GGAGAAAATATGAAAAACTAGCACCGGGCACCTTAAGTTTATGGAAATTTTCGTGTTTCGCAACATAATATAAGAAATTCGCCAACAGAATTTTATCAAAGAGAAATAAAAATATTATTTAAGGCATTGTGTTTGATGCGTGTAATCTCAGACGAATTAATAAACCGAAACGTTGTAGTACATAATACAGACCGTGAAGTATAACAGACCGTGAATTAAATATTCGTTTGTGCAGTATTGCAGCAAGAGTATAAGATTAAATAAATATTTGATTATTGTAAACACCATCGGACGGAACGGCGCCAGTGGATTTTTTTTTATTTTTATTCAATCGTGCGTTTTTATAAAGCGTGGTCCACACAGTGGCACATTTGAAGGGACAAGATAAAGGCAACCCCTCTTTTTTTTTACAAAGATAAATAAGTAATAAAATAAAAAGATTAATAATTTCATTGTAAACAACAGAAACCATGTTCTAATCATTAACATCAAGGATCGTATTTAGTAGACAATTTTGTCTATAGTTGGCGCATTGGACTAGTCTTTTTTATTTATCTATTGGTTTTACATAAATTAGACATCTTGCGTCGATTTATCAAGTGTAGCACTTTTTCAGAAACGAAATTTTATTAAGTTGGTGCATTGAGGAGGTCATTTTTTGATTTTCCCGGGCGTTTTCATAATAATTGGGAAAACCCGGAAAAAAATGATCGAAAAAACGGCAAATATTTACGGCTTGCCGTGGCGTTACCGATTTCGTTATTTTGAATTTTTATGAACTCTATTTCTACCAGAAATATTGCGTTAGTCAAAATATGCCAAGTGACCTTTTTTGTTGCGTTTTTAATTTATAATTGGTGAAATGTGCTCAATAGTTTTCCTAAAAACTTAAATTGATATTGTGTTTTGACAAATATCTCGTGGGATTCAAATCCTAAAACACTAAAAGTACCAAAGCTTCCAATTACTATTAATTTAAATATTATTTATATTCTCATTTTTAGTTCAATTTTTAATTGTTTACACAACACTTCGATCTCTACTTTGAATATTAAACGGAAATCCGGTTGTCAGTGAAGTTCACATAGACAATTCACTATGCCTATTAGTGTCCACGGATGGGCCGTATATTAAATATCTATGAAAAGTATTTCACATTTCGACTATTATACTACACTGAATAGGGATTTTAAGGTAGTTTTGGTACGAATATCTAATTTTTTTATTTACTTATATTTTTTTGTTCAAGGGTTACCTTGATGATACGGATGTTAATTTTGATTGTCACGGGCATAAAACTATTATTATTTTTTTTATCACTATTATTTAGCAACAGCAAAGCATTGCCGGGTCAGCTAGTTTAATATATGTGCGACCAGGCATGGATCCAAAGCAAAGATCTGGGGGGCAACGGTTTTTGTACAACACAAATACAATTAAAATATAATATAATATGTATATTATTTTCTCAATCATATCAGTGATTAGAAAATGGTAATATCAGGATCTATTAGAATTATAAAAAACAAATCGGAAAAATAATATGTTTGGGGTATGTCTGAGCCCCTAGGCCCCCTTCCTTAGAACCGCCCCTGTGTGCGATGTGTGTGGGCGTGTAAACTACATCACTCCCTTCTTCCCAAGAAACTTCAAATTTCGCCACTAGTCCACACGATGATATTGTTACCATAACAAATACAACGAACACATGCTAATATAAGTACAGCAGACAAAGTGAATAGAAGATGGCGACAATAACAGACGGTGATAGTAGAGTGAATATTGATATTATAAACGCCTATGAAAGTGCAAAGCGACAGTAAAACATAACGTTGGTTTATGATGTTCACGTGGTGATAGTTACTATCACTCTCACAGTCTCGCGGTGATAATCATTAACTGTCATGCATGTATGTTGATAGGATGACTGAGTTGCTTTTACGATATAGTTCGATAGAAATTATCACCCTGTTTTGCTCGCGACAAAAGTTCAAGATATATATTAGTAACAACTATATCATACTATTGTGAATTTCGTAACTATAATGATAGTAGGTATTTAAATGGTCGCGTGAACACCGGGCTTCGTCTATTATAATCATGTTTTGGCCCGAAGGAAATTTAAAATTTATTTTCACGCGCGTTTCGAAATATTTTTTTAAAATGTTTGATAATAATAATATAATATTAACTTTGTCACTTGTTCACAGTTAATTAAAACAGATTTATATCTTTCAAGTCGCGAGTAATATCATATAATATGTTGCATTATTAATATATACGCGCGGTTTCCTGTGTTTTTTTGTATGTTTTCGCGTCAACTTAAAAATAATCTGATCCGCTGGCGTTAGCGAGAGAACAGCAGTCTCTCGTTCTATTTATATAAAATAGTATATATACGAATCGTTGACCGAGTGCGCGCTGTTAATGCTCCCGAATAGCGTCTCTTGATAATAAAACTACAAAAACCCGTGAATTACTCGTATGGAAAGAATTTTTTGAAATTGTACGAAATTTGAGAGATTTTTCGATTTTCATAGCATTCAATCGAAAACATATTATGTCCGATAAATGATTTCTCTTCAAAATGACGTTCGATTGTTGCACATTACTGTAACCCATTTAAAAAGCTGTATTTCAGTAAAAAGAATTATATAAATATATATATTGTTGAAAAAATACATAATTTGCGATATTAATCAGGAAGTTAAAAGAAAAAAACGATTCTGAACTGATAATAATGTTATTATTTCCGCGTTTATCGATTTTTTTACACACAGCCTGCAAATCGGCCGATTCATACAAACAATCGGAAAAAAAAAAATGGGAAATTTTCGAAGCCAAGATTGTTCCGAGAAAACAACATTTAAAAGAACACAGTCGTAAAACTAACATTACTCCCACGCGCATTACGCAGAGAATTTAAAATTATCGTTCGCTTAAAAATACTGCGCTATAACACTATATTATAATATTATTTAGTACTAACACGTCATTTAAATTAAATCGATGTTTACGTTATACAATCTAATCAAATTTGTCTATTTTTACTATTATTATTATTACCCCTGTGCTTTAGGATTATGGCAGAATCGCAGTAATTTCTGTTTATCGGAACCGACAGTAAAAAATAACCGTGCGCTACCGACCGTTTACGATTTTCGCAACGGATCTAACGGTAACGGAAGAATTTGATGGTTGCGGCGTGAGAACAACTTATAAAAACCGGCTCGTCCATTGCGACGCAGAAAGCTAAGTGAAAACTACTGTATTATTTTTATAACGAGGATAGTGGCATGGATCTATCGAATGGGTTCATCGAAATCACAGAGTTAACCTAAAAGGATTGAATAAAAAAACCATTATTATAATAATTGAAACGGACAAAGAAAATGATAAAACCGTATATACTCACAAGTAAAATGTGGAAATTATTAGTACAAATCTTCGGAGATTACCCTGCGAGTATCTTTAGAATAGGTACTCATGGTTTGAATAGGTTTAAGTCCTACATCTACTCGAAGACTGTGTCATTGTGATCAAAACTAATTGAACAACAATTATTGTAATTTGATCTCGACGTATCGTATTTGAAATTAACTTCGGTACTATAAAATATCGCATCATTATTATAGGAAAGACAATAACGTTATAGTCGTTTTGATAAAAATCGATTGTTTATGCCTGTATGTTTCATGGCCTAATGGTGCATAAAAACTGAATCATGGATAATTTATTTTGAGAAAAAAGTGAAGACGTTTGACTATCTGTACTGATTTATTGAAAAAAAAAAAATAATAAAAATTACAATCAAAGATAATCATAAAATCACACATAATAGTATACGAGCATGCGTTTTAAATTTTATACAAATCATATTTGTGTAACTGGTAATCAACTTTAGACGGTTGTTTAAATCTTGGACAGTTTTAAAGAAAAGCAGACAATTGTATAGATCAAATTTGTGGCTTGAAAAAAAAAATAAATAAGATACGAGTGATGGTTTCGTTTAAGAAAAAATGTAGGTTTTATTGGACGTATGCGATACCGCAAGGGTTAACATTTAAAAAAAAATACCAGGTAATTCAGTTTGGTAGTGACTATAAACTAACTATTAATATACAGAGTTTGTGTTTATCACTTTAAATTAGCCAAAAAAAAAAAAAAGCTTTAAAAGCTCTTAAAAACCTCGATTATAAAATGTATTCCTTTAAACAGTGTCGGTATAATAAGCCCTAAAATAAATATCACTCAAAAATATTAAAAAAAATAAAAAAAAAAATACCTATCTAGAAAACATTTTTTTTTTTAACTATTGAAATAAGCAAACAAAAAAATCACTTTCAAATTCGCTATTAGAACTCTTGAATCTTTTTTAAATCTACACTCGTGGATTTGTAATGGCCGGTGTTCAGCGGCTACATCGACGCGGCAAGTAGATAATATGACAAAGCAATAGGCGAGGGAGGGGGGAATCGGGCTTTCGTCAGTGATGGCTTGCGTAAAATAGAAAATATAATCTCCCCTACCCACCCCCCCNAAAAAAAAAAAAATAAACCCCCCCCCCCCCCCCCCCCCCCCAAAAAAAAAAAATTTAAAAAAAAATACCCAGTAAAAACCGAACGCTTTCAAATCTCATTCGCCTGTATCCGGTAAGCTCGTTGTAACGCGTCATAAATTCCGATGGCGCTCTGCTGGACGGTCTTTACCGTAGTAGAGCCGAGACAATAAGCGAATCGTTACGGGTGACGAACGCTTCGCCAAATGCGAAATCTACCGCGCGAAACGCATCACAATACACGTGATCGAAAAACGTAACAATAATAATTACTGTTTGACGACGGATAACGACGGTGACGATAATATTATGCACAGGAGACGCTAAAACGCGGACGCGCGACCGCGGCCGTCGGAGAGGAGGGCCACCTTTTACCCTTGCGCGCGCCAACCAACGGCGTCCGTCCGTTTCGGTGTACGCCGAAGGATATCGCGACGCGGCGGCGGCGGCGGCGGCGGCGGCGTCGACAACAAGAATATCGGTGTATTTTCGGTCGCCGCCGCAGTAGCGTAGTAACGGCGCGAGCGCACAGTCGACCAGACCCACCGTCGTCAGTATCTCGCTTGATAATATCATTGCCATCGTATCGTATCGCGTCCCGTCCGGCGCAGAACCGCACGACAACATCGTTTGTTTTTTTTTTTTTTGTTTTTTTGTTTTTAGCGATTTGTTTTGTTTTTCTATTCGGTGTATTCGTCCGGTCGTTCCCGCGTGATTTCCGTTCGAAATAACCGACCGTTCGTCACGCCGCGCGCGAGACGTTTTTCGAGACCGGCGCGGGACTCGGATATACGAAATCGTACGGCGATGACGCCCGCGATCGCGGAGTGCCGCGAGTTATTCGTCTGACCGAATCTGTAAGTCTTGTAAGCCCGAGCGTACTTCGTAACAAAGCTCCGCGGTATTTCCGAAAAAGATCGCCCCTGCAGGTGAGATAGTACTTATGATATTATATATTATTATAAGAAAAAAACAAAACGACAGTCTGCGTCTCTCTCTGCTGGACTCTCGCAGAAAATCCCGGAATTATTATTTCCTTCGCAAAACGCTCGGTTATAAACCGCCCCTCGGTGGGTTTGCAAGGTCCCTTCACAAGACAACATATAGTTGAACAATAGTGTAACGTGTGATTTACTGTTTTAAAATTATAATATTGCAATGAGTGTGCAACGACTGCAACGTCGCGTTTCTTATTCGCCCAGAAAGTCGACAATAATATGTGAACATAGTGACGTAGTGAGAAAAAATCTGTCGGGGGTAGACGGGAGCAATGATTTTTTGTACCATCTTGTTCGCTGAAAAAAAAGTCAATTATCCGTATAGATCAACAAAACGATTCAAAAATCGTATGCACCTAATTATATATGTTTTAATGGTGCAGTAAACTGCATTTGAATTCACGATTATTTATTTAGATATACCCGACAAAAACCCATTTGTTCTTTTCAACCACCTATAAAAATTAGTTGTCAGAGACATTTCGGGAAGGGAAGAAATTACCACCCCATATTCCGTGGTTCAAAAAATAAAAAATAAAAATAGATTTACTTTTCGCCTTTTCGCCTGATATTCGTGTTACCGAATCGGGCACGTCAAAAACTTGCACCGGTGCAGTTCTACATTATATTATACATAGTAGGTAATCGTCAAATCGAAAATGCCATTAAAGATCCCGAGAGCACATCACCGACGAAGACGAACGTATGATATAATATTCGGTTCTTCTTCTTCCGACCGGAGGACTGCACTGCACACATGCGTGCGGGGTCGGTCGCGCACCATCTGGTTTTTTGTTTTTTCAAAACGGTCCAAAATGTGCACCACGTCAACCCTGTAGAGTTGGGCTATACGACGACAGAAAAACACATTTCAAAACGTATACAATATGAATCGTAATACAATAACAGAACCTCATATTATTATAGAAATGCGGTGGAATATGTATAACATACTCGGATTGCGTGAACAATAAAATAATATTACGCTTCATGCAGTATATTTTAGTAGTAATGATTATGGGTTATTATATGAAATACACTGTACCCTCGAGTGGTATAATCCTAAATCCAATTCGAAAACAATCAAAAACTTCATTTCGTCAATGTATAAATGCTTTATGGTTTTAGTGTGGGCGTGTTCCGTGCCTTTTTTGTTTTTTTTGTTTTAGCTTTATTTTCATAACCAGTATAGAATCGTGTAGAATCCGTTAATAGTTATACATGATTATTATGCACATAAAACGGTGATCAGGGCCAGGGAACGCACACGCCCTTTAATCCGGGGTTGAACATTGATCAATTTTGGTTGTATACTGTTCAAACTAAAAATTCGTTCGTATTTTAAGTGACTGATCTACGTTTGTTTTCACAGAAAATAATATAATGTGTACAACTGAAATATATGTAAAAAAAAGAAAAATACACTACGGTATAGGGTGATTGTAAAAAATTGTCAGGAAAGTGGAAAGTATACAGTATAGTTTATTATTGTTGACACGAATAAATTATATAATATATAATATAAATTTTTTTTTTTGTCAATTACTACTAAAACACCGATGATCACGAATACCGCATATAAATGTGCAATCGAATCGAAATATTATTAAGTCATTTAGAAATGTCGAGTTTTGTTTTTTTGTTGACGGTGAAAACATATACATTTATATATTATGTGTATTTCTGTACAATTATTCAAAAAAGTTGTTGGATTTGTCAGATTAACGCGTAAGTATAAATCTTTTTGTATTATACACGAATAATCAAATTAACTGATTCGTGTAATACTTGAATCAGTGGCGCAGTCATGAGGAAGAGAAGGCGCCTCCCCACAAAAATGTCTCCGATAACTACTTAAAAAAAAATAATATACATAACGATATGTTTGAAAAGTATTCAATATCATATTATTCATTTTTTGATAATGCATTATTGAGTGATTAATGGAATATTGACTTTATGTTTGCGAGCGAGTATTTGGTATGTGTGGTCGAAAGGAATGCAAAATTGAAAACAAACCCTTGGACATATTTTCTAGCTTCGGTGACTCACCTGCACAGTGTGCGTCCACGCTATGTCTTATATCGTGTACGTTTAAAGGTGTACTCTTGTCGTCGCCCGTCCTTATTATCTTTACAACGAATATCTCTCTTATTTTCCAATCAAGATCGTCCCTTTTCCATACCGTCGATGTAGTCTTGCGATTTCTCGTATAACTATTTACTACTGAACTACATACGACACCGGTGGTTTTATAATCCACAATAAAATTCGATTTTTTATTCGGTTTTATACTGCGCACGTTATCTAATATTTATTATTTAATCGCGCAGTATTAATTGTCGAGTCAAATATTATTGCATACATGTTTCAAAAACCTATTTTTATGGTACACAATGGTATAAAAACGAGTAAATGAAAAGAAAAAAAAACGGTAATTTACTCTTTAGTACGTATAGATTGACAAAAAGTTACGACTTTTTATTATATTGTTGTGCATACATTATCCGTATACTCGATTATATTACACTCGCCGGCGCTGAAAACCCGAAATCGAGCTATAATAATATTGCATGTTTTATATTATGCTGTCGTATTCTAGACGTTGTACCTCATAAAGATTTCCGTTGAAAATACACCGTCAAACACGTAAAATCTAAACCAAAGCGTAATTTCTCCGCGATTCACCCGGATAGGTACTATTTCAGATACCGTTTTGCGGTGGAAACCAGCAGTAATATTATATTGTATTTCAAGTTAATATAATACATTATATGTAGATAAAACTCAAAAAGTTCAGTAGTATAAATAACTTACAGACAAAAAACCGCCTCGAAACGCTCGGGTAGGTAGGTATATATTCCAAAGTGAACATAATTTATATTATAAATCTCCGGTTTAATTGGGTTCGGAGGAAAAAATAGTCATACGTACAATATACAGTAAAACCGGGCTGTCACGTAAAAATAAAAATCGGGGCTCAAAATATAATTCATTTCTCCGACACGTATAAATATACGGGAGCCGTTGCCATAAATCGTTACACGTTTAAAAACGTCTACTCATATCTCCCGACGCGACGTTGTTGACCATACTAAAATATACTCGTTTTTGGAATAAACGTCATACTATGTATCGCATTAAAGCTATCCAGTTTTTTTTTTTCCATCAGTGATTCGGTGTCAACTCCAAATTCAAAATGGTATAGAATATGTAGGTATACCTGTACATTATTTCCTCACGACGTTGTCCGCTAGACTGCGACGGCAACGCGACGTACGTTTACGCGGACAGAATAAAAAAAAATATCAAAACCGTCGGTTTTTTCGTGTATTTTCCTTTCGGCGCACCCCTACGTAGCGCGCGCGCGTTATGTTTACCCGTTAGCATATTATTTATGTAGACGCGCGTTTCCCTATAGGCGAGGGAGATATCGGAAATTAATATTGATAATATCATCAATCACGTTCTAAAAAAAAAAGTTGTTGACGCGGATATCATTTTTCGTCGCCGAAATAACAAAAACGAAAACAAGCTGTTTTAGAGACGTGAAAAAATCCTATCGGATACACTGCTTGATATTATATTGTATTTTAAGACGTGTCCCGCGCGCGATCCGACGGCGGTTATCGCGCGTAGTGGCGTAACCCAAAGAGGGGCGAGGGCTAATAGGGTTAGTATAGCCTACGCCGCGCACCGTGTTTTCGTGTATGCACACTGTTCTACGGTTTGAGCGTTTACGTTTTCGGTAAATCCTTCCACTCGTGAAAGTACGTTTGTTTTTTTTTTTCCACACTGGAACGATAGGTACGTATACATCCTATTATCCGTCCACGCGTGTCTCAAGCGAAAACGCGGTAAGCCCCGTTCCGTCCTGTTCGAATTCCCGACTACGGGAATCCTGTAGCGACTCCGGCATCCGCGCACGCCGTGACTCCCTGGAAATCGTTTCGAATTACACCCGACTACTTATAATATTTTAGGCGCTCGACGGTTTAGCAAACGTGACTGGGACGTAATCTCTCCGGTCTTGTTGTTCGGATAATATTATAATGTCATCATCCGCGGCGGTAGACAACGCGCGTTTCGCGACCGCGCCGCGCGTCTTAACGTATCCGGTTTGGGGGGGAAAAAAAAAAAATACCAAATCCATATCGCGGGACGGACATCACGAATAACGTATATTAGGTTCGATTTTTTTTTTCCGTCGGCCGCCATGCATCTCGGCCCCCTCGCGTAATACCGTAATAAAAGCATCGTCGTCGTAACGGTTCTGTCGTTTTAAACAATAAATTCGGCCGTTTTAATGGGAATCCGTCACACGGGCGGCGGCGGTTACACGAGTTCAATACGATGACAGCGGCAGGACAACTGCATAATACACGCACGTACGATTTATACCAAACGATAACGCACCGAATCTCTAGTTTATTGAAATTTGTCACGCTGCGGCGAAAATAATAATAATAATAATTTAACGTTATTCCACGTGCGATCACATTACGACGTCGCAATCACACATAGTGCGCAATAACTGCACTGTTATCGCGGTAATATCCGAGACATCCCTCGTGTCGCTGACGGAGACGAAAACATCCGGCCGCGCGCGACAATTCGACTAATCCGTACAGTAACGATAATGTGGACAGTGTCGCACGATCGGTATTTTTCTATCGATTGTGTACCGTAGTCGTATAATGTTTTATTCGAATATTTCGAATTTAAAAAGCCGTATAACAGTATTACTATTTGGAGGCACTGCGCGATACCCGCGCATCGTGTACTGTCATTGCAGTCTAATCAAACGCGCGACGAAGTGAAATTCTGCACGACTTTCCAGTGAAAATTATTAGGTGTTTTTCGAACAAGGGTAACAAAATTTAATGAGGAGAGTGTTTTCGAGGCCATTGCTGTTTTTCTTTTAAAATATCGCCAAACAAAAGAGTTACAGTCGCGTTTTTTTTATATATATATATATATTATTATAGCTATATTTTGTTTTATAGAATTAAAAGCTACGCGGTTCCCTTGAAAACTCGCTACTTATTATGCGCCAAAACTCTAACCTATAGGTGTATTATAATTTCCACATAAACGTCAACATTCAAAATTCTAAGTTTCTTCGTGATTTTTCTATAATATTTCCCGTCAGTTGGACCGAGATTGCAATATAAATACACGGATATCGCGTCCTCTTAATATAGACTCAGATGATCCAGATTGTCGATATAAAACGACGTACCTAATTCACCGTATTATACACGTACATACGTATAATAATATGTAAACCACTTAAAATTACAATTACGTCAATCCTAACGATTTTCGACATGTATACAGAGCGACAACATCGTAAAAAAAAAAAAAAAAAAACGCTATAATCTTCGAAAAATTAAATACATAATAATATTGTTTCCGATAAGATATATGTAAAAAAATAATATCGTAATTATTAATAGTTTTATTTTTTAAATTTAAAACAATTAAATATTTACGACTATCCGAAATATGTACGCAAGCGCGTATTTAAGGGCGTTCCGTCATCATCCAGCTGCAGTAGTAGTAGTTTAATATATTATAATATTTAAATATTATACAATTAAATATAATTATTAATTTTATCGGTTATATATATTATAGGCGATAAATGTTCATAATATTATATTACGGAGTATTGTCAGATGAGTAGACATCTGACAAAACTGTGCTTGATAAAAACGTTTAAAAAACAGTCTAAACGTAATAAATTATTTATTATTTACGATAAACAAAAAAAAAAAAAAAAACAAGCTTGTCGGCTTCTACACATAGTCGCCATAATAGATATTGCAGAAAATACCTTCAGTCGATGAACATAACGTTTTTAAATCATTTGAAATCATATCGGCCATCGCGTCTAAAGAATTATGCAGACGGTCGGCGGTTTTGTACGCTATAAATCGAAAAAAATCGAAAAAATTCCAAAAACACGAGTAGTTCTATTTGTTTGACAAACAAACGCGTGAAAAACCGCGAATTTCCCCGAAAGACACGCCGTTTCGTTTAGAATCTAAAATGTTCGAGTACACCTACACCTATATTTCCCCGTCGTAATTCTCGCGTAATCCGTACTCGTACTGAAACTGCACGGCGCGCGGTACGCGTTTTTCCCGATCCGTGTTTCGAACGGGCGGCGTATACCGACATCGCGCACGTCATAATAATAATAATAATAATAATGGCCGCGGGCTATTTTCGGTAAAAATCTTCCCTCGTCACCAGCCAACCCCACCCCCGCCCCCTTTCCGCCCGTCGTTTCGTTTGAAATATACGGGGGTGGTGCGGTATAAACCGCGCCGCCGGGTGGTTGACGCGCGCAAACAGGTGCGTGCCAGTGATAAGGGACGACCTCGTCTGCATTGTCCGGGAGACGCGTGCTTGTACGTATATATAATAATAATAACAACAATAAACGGTGTGTACTTTTTGTGATAATACAAATGTGCTCTCGTATACATATATATTTATACACGCATTATTTGTAAGAAGCGCGTTCTCGCGAAGGCGTTTACACGATAAACACCGGGCCGAGAGGCGATATTGTGCAGACGCGTGTATCGGTCTCGTCGTATTTATTATTATTATTGTTACTATTCGGCAGTAGTACGGGGTGATGATAAAACCATTAAAAAAAAAAAAAAAAAAATCCGTGACTGATGCAACAGCAGTATTATAGCACCGAGATCGCACAATAAACAGATACCGTTTTGTACGCGTGTCCCGTGACCGTGTATAATACAATGTAATAAGACTAGTACGTATAATTATCGCCGACGGTGTTATTTATGGCTACCCGCAGGAATCCGAAAATTTCGAAAAATATCGTTATTCCGCGCACGCTTTATTCGATAAACCGACGATTCCGATACTCGGTGGTTTTTTTTTCTGATCTCTACAAAAAAAAAAAAAAAAAAAAAATATGTAGACATTTATACACACATTAAGAAAATATTAAAACTCGTTCGATATCGGTAAACCATTATTATTATACCTATTATCTATTATTGTTTCTTATCGGTCGTTCGTCCTCGCCCCGAAACGCGACTGCACCCACAATAACTTCCCCGGCGTTAACGTTTTGTACACATTATTATACTATACCTATACGCCAGGTAGGCAAAGACATTATATTGCATTAGGCACACAAAAAATCATAATGTGACTGTATAGCTGAACAGATATCGATTTCTCTATGTGTTTACAGTTTACTCGGCCCGCAGACCCGAGGAATCGGACGTTTTTATCTAATCTCGTCGATATATGATACCGTGGGCGCAAAATAATATTTAAGACGTGTACACAAGATAATCCGTATGGTGTTTCGTTGTATTTCGAACGTATAATAATAATCGTAAAAATAGAAAACTGACGTTTTCGTCGGCCCGGGATTGACGTCATAACGTTTACCTAAACAATTAGACATTTTGAAATCTGCAGAAATGCAAAAATTTACAGTTTAATTGGTAATTGTTTATTACATACAGTAATCCCCCGTTATCCGCGGAGGTTAGATTCTAGAAAAGTTGTGCGAGTAATAAAACCGTGGATAACAAGACCATAAATCAATGTAGAAAAGAAGTTTTTAATTTATACAATGGATTAATTAATTATTTATTTATGCGCATTTACATATAATAGAAAGGAAGGAAAAACTTTGTGATAGATACCTGTTTCTTTGTATTCTCTGTATGTCTGCGAAGTTCTCCGTACGCAATAGGCCTTTATGTGCAATGCGCACGTGTACCTTAAACGGTATAAAAATGATCTAACTTTTTCTAAAACAAATTACACCGTTCGCATATACTGGCGATTATAATATATGGATTATATAATTAAATAAAGGGTATTTCCGACTCAACCGGGTCGAAACCGCGGTTAAAAAATCCGCGGATAACGAGTGATTACTGTATACGGTTAAACAGGCATACTAACAATGCCACTGATTTTGTATAGGCGCATTGTAAACTAACGTAAATTTAACACGAATACACGGGCAAAGTTTCCTGATAGCCGTCTGAAATATTAAAAAATCGTTTTCTCGACTTCCCGATTTTTCAAAACAATACGAGTGGAATATATATTTAATAGGATTTGTTCGCAATAAGGTCAACCAATAGTGGTAATATGATGGTATTTACGCTTCCCGTCCTGTTCCATAAACCGTCATAATTGCGATGGCATATTTAAAAAAAAAAACTATAAATTCTGATTTCAAACAAGTCGAAGACTTGGGAACTTGGGCGTATCAGTTGACATAGCCCCATAATGACGTCATTGTAAAAGGGACGACGAACAACGAAGTGGACGAAAATACACAGGTAGTTTGCATAATATAATACGAGTATTACGGTAAAACAATAACCGAAATAATATTTCTCTGTTTTTTTTTCTGTACGAATAGCGTTTGTAACATGACGACGTGTTTGCGCATAGGGTATAGGTTGGGTCAGGTTAGGTTGTACCGGGTGAGAGAAGAGAGGTCGGTATTTTGGGGGGACAAATATAATTAAGTATACGAACGTACAATAATAATAATAATACACGATTCTCCCCCCTCGTCGTGACGACCAAACGCAATAATAACGTTGCAGAATATCGGATTACGAAAACTGCAGCGGTCCGCACTCCGCTACCCTCCCTCCCAAACGACCAAATATAACGTATCGTTTATATTTTTTTTTCGGATACCCACGCGAGTTCCCATATTTAACGAAAAAACTATTTTCAACCGGAAATGACGTGGTTTCGATCGAAATTGATTGTTTGCAACGTACGCTGTATTAGACACGATTTGGAATATTACAGATTCCTGATAACGAAAATCTGAAAAAGAAAAGCCCTGCAGTTTTGAATGTCACGGTTCGGATTTCATAGTTGTTTAAATCTAAAAATCAACATTTTTTGTAAACATATTTAATATATTTTTTTTTTAAACAAACCTATTTAATTTTTCACTAGCCATTAGTGGTTTATTATAAAAAAAAAATCTGTCTGAGACATTAAAAAAAGACTAAAGCAAGTTACTAAATCCATATTGACTCTAGTGTTGTTATAAGTAAACGTTTTAGTCGAGTAAATATTAACATATAGAAATCCGAATGACAACAATGACGAAATATCCAAAATTTAAAACACATACCAACATAAGCAGATCCTCTGAGTATCACCGGGGTGACCGAAGGAAGTGTCCGCTATTGAGAAATTTTACTGTATACATATATAATATTTTAATTTTGAAACATTTTTTTTTCTTTTTTAATTATTTTAAACGTGGTTTGTTACGTGATGGATTTTTGACCGTAAATCAATACAGGCGTATACGGTTTGCAATTAATTACAAACCGGCCAACGGTCAATGCAAATCAATATTAATTCGCGTAATACTGCAGTAGTAAAACGGCCGGGCATTATAAACGGTTTTTTTTTTTTTTTTTTGGAGAGGAAGTATTCTCCCGGGGAAAACTCGCGATCGTCGCGGGTCGCACCAATCCGAAAATACATTCGTTCGGTTTAGGATACCGCGAATTTTATATTTACCGTGAGTAAAATACGCCCACCGAACAGTAAAGTTCGGCTGGAAATAAAATAATACATTTATATATAGATTTGCATAACACATGGACAATAATGTGCAGGGTCGTACTTCATTTTGTATTTTGTATTATTTTTTTTTTTTTTTTTGTATTATGTAATGGCATTCGGTTTTTGAAAACACGTCATATTAAAACATAAGTATCGCCTATTATATATAATAAACTTATCGCTTATTTAATCGCGGTGTTTTAATTGCTTCGACCGTCATTTTTGAGCTGTATTCAAAACCAAAATATATATGTATTAGGTATAATATATCAGTACACATATAATACACAACATATTATAATGTCACAGTAGTTTAGTGTTCTAATATAGTGGGTATTTATAGTATATACTATTTTTTAATTATATACAAACGATTACAATATAATTGTATGATATGAATAACATGCTAGATCGGATGTTGTTATATATATATATATGTGTGTGATGCATATTTCTAGGAGACTATAATATTTGATTTTAAACGTTAAAATGTTATATAACGATTATACGATAATTTTATTTTTTTAAATTCAAAAATGATATAATTTAATCGATATGCGTATAGTATTGTGCAGTACATACCTTACACTATTGTTGTTCTACATAATATTAAATGAACGACAAACGTACTATTAATATATTAAAAAGGTACCTTATATGTCATAAACCAGCTGAAGTGTCTGATAAGGTTTTAAACGCAACGAAGGAAAAACGACCGTTTTCTGTGGACACGTATTCAACCCTAAAGTGATGATAAATGATTAGACGCACACTAAGATATGAAAGTCTATATAAAAAAACGATAATCCGAGGTGATGTTAAAGGACTCGTGGAAAGAATTAGAAAACCGAGGACAGAGTATACGTATATTGTGTATGATAGCAATATTGATCAAATACTGGAGAATGAAAATAGTGAAAAATACGAGGATCGAGGGAGAAAAAGAACAAAACGCAAGTACAATAGAAATGCGCGAAGATGTTTCAACATCGTATAATATAGGTTTTTCGAACTTTACCCTTTGGCGATGAGCTAGACGACTTTAATACGAAACTCTCTCGACAGCAGCGATGTTTGACGTTATTGCTGTCATACGATATTATATAGACAGGTACACGGAAATGAAATGAGCGTGTCGGTCCCCGGTCGCATTCGTTATAATAATATACGAGCATAACATCAGACTCGTTCGTGAAAGCCGAGCGTACGAGTCCCTCGATATTATAAGTCCGTGGCCCTCGAATTTTCGCTCGTTTAAAATAATTGGATATCGTATTTATTTTAATAGAATATACCGAAATCGCGCGGTGCGGGTAACATAATACACGCGTTTAACGTTTCCCACACACGTGTTGCTTATAATATACTATGTGTGTATCATACGGTTTACTGGTCGTATACGGTGTTTAAATTGTTTAAATATACCGAAAACTCGAAATATGGGACACGAATAATACGAAGTTCAACAGGATGACCCCAACGAAACGTTCATCGTACCCACGTCGCACCTTTGGCGCTATGTAATGTAGACCGCCACAAGTCGAAAAAAAAATCAAGGTTTCGAGATAATACAATTTTAAAATTGTCTTCGCTCCCAAATGGTCAGTTTCAAAGTTTTGATTTGAACCATTGTCAATTATCGTTATTATATTATGTTACGTTGGTATCTGAGGTTTGTGACTTTTACATTAAAATACTTGCATGAATTTCACCAGGACTACAGGAAATCGATGTATATTTGACAGGTTGGCAATAGGTATTTGAAACCCAAAACTGACACAAAAATTAAATGTGACAGTTATGTATATCAAACCAAATATTTTATATTACCTACGATGCATAGAGCGCAATTATACGGATTACAGCCAATATACGACAATAATAACGATAGTTTTTTTTTTCATTTAGGTACTTTAGAAAACGATTTTTCCACGATTTCCCTGTTTTTTTTTTTGTTTTTTTGTTTATGTGGCATGAACAAAACTATAGAAACCATAGGATTATTTCTCTCCAAAATTAACCCGAATCGCCTATAAACGGACACTGTTTTTAAAATGTTCAGTTGCATTAGGCCAAATAAATCTACTCGAGGGGAAAAAAATTTAAGAATAATATTGGTTTAAAAGCAAAAAAAAAAAAATGTTTTTTTTTTTATAAAATCGGTTTGACACGCTTTTTTTGGTTTTTCTCGGCACAATGTTACGGCTGCAAACAAAAAACACGTTTCGACTACGTTAGTTCGATATGAGCGTTTTTTTTTCCGCGCGAGGGTCAAAAAAATACAAGAATATCATACATATTTCCACTTCATATTCCTCTGGCAGCTGTGCCAGAATCGCAGTACATCGAAAGATGACCGTAGCCGTTTCAAAAAAGGAAATAATCACGTTTTCCTACATTGTACAATATAATATGTCACACACGCGTAATATTATTATATCCGAGTCGCGTCTCGAATTTGGAGAAGATCCTATTGTTACTCGTCCATACGCCCTGTCGTTCTCACGACGTCCGTATTTTTATTTATAACGTATACACTGGTAAGACTCGTAATTCTTGTAATAATAATATTATTTGGATACGTACTCGAGTTGCGCCCCAAATAACAACACGAAAAAATAGGTTTAAAACGACCGTTTAGAAAAAAAACAATGCTATGCATACATATATTATATATATATATATAGCTCAAGGACGATAAAAATGTGAAATGCGATGTAAACGAACTGTAAACATCAAAAACATTAAATTAAAATTGCGTCGTATAACGAAATATACAATATAATGTAATACATCTTGTGTTAAATTTTCGAACATTTTTGCCGGGCCGAAACAATTTCGTGCGCATAAGAACTATCAAGAAAAAAAGCCTATAACCTAAAACCGTAATTTAATTTTCTCAGAAATGCAGAGGCGTAGTTATTCAGTACGGCGCTTTAAAAACCGCATAAAACTAACCGAAATCCAGGTACGTTGTAGGCCCGTTGAAATAGTGAAACGCTACGACCTGTTCAATAACTCTGTGATTTTAACCGACCCGATAGATTATCAAACCGACAATTTTTAGATCTGTTTTCGTGCAACCCGACATTAGTCCTACTTAACACGGCGCAATAATAATAACAATAATAGCGAAAATGTTCGTGATTCGTACGCGACGCGTGCACCGCGAGTGACGCAAACCGCTCGCGCGCCCGTACGCCGCGGTATGTCGATTTTAAAAATAACCGTCGTTCCGAGAGACCCGATCGGATAATGATAATAATAATAACAATAATAATAATAATAAAATTTCATTTTTACCGTGTACGTTTTTACGGGGTGGTGGTGTCTGGACCCGGGTTTTTAACTACCCAAAGTCGCTATAAAACGACCGCGGCGACTGTTCCCCGTCGGGGTTTTTGGCGGGCACACGTGAACGGCACATGTGCGGCGCACACATCACCGCGTGCAACATCTACCGACAACAGCGACATTGTAGGTCGGGGCTGTCGATAATAATACATGCGGCACGGTGCACGCTCCATTTTGTATTGTAATGACGCGGCCGACGGGTCGGGTATTGAATTTATGTAAGCCGAGTGCGAGCGGTTCGGGTGTTGTAGTGATGTTCTAGCACTAGTTTTGTGTATTTTCCGGAGGCCATCCGCCAAATCGCACTGCGGGCAAGTTGCTCTCGCCACCCGCCTCGTCCCGTGTATAGATATCTACTAGAAAAAAATAATGTTTACACGATTGAATCGCCCGGGAACCGCAGAACTCCGTTACTTGGGCCGAATGCCCACCCTCCCCCGCCCCTCCCACCTATTTTTTTTTTCGTTATAAAACTTCGCGAAACAATAAATAACCGAATACCTATTATTGTAACAATACAATGTATAATACAACACTTTACTATACCCGGCACCACAATAACTATACTACTTCCAAAACAAATCGTTTAAGTAATTTTATCATACAAATAGTAGGCGTAGGAGTTGAAACCCCAATAAGGGAAATTATTAACACTAAATTCACACATAATATAATATGAAATGCCCCAAACAGGGTCTGTAGCTCGTTCTCATTCTCTAGCAACAACATGATTAAATTCATATTTAAAATCAACTCGACTAATATTACTTCAACAAAACGACTCTAATTCCCGAGTTTTAGCTCATTTAGTCACGAAGGTGGGCTCTAAAAGTGCTCAAAAGAAGCGGTAAAACGATACACGATATACACACGCCAGATAACGGACGCAATGCTGTTAAACAGTCTCTATTTCTAGAGAAAATTCACCAAAAACTAATTAATGCATGCACGTAATAATGCACGCTAGAGAAAAGACCTAGATAGATGAGGAAAGATAGATGTCTATAGATAAATAAAAATCTACTCGATTTGATTTGTTTATACTTGTCCAGCGAGACGAGACTATAGGCCTGCAATATGTACTCATCTCGCAGCTACGGCATAGTGTGCACCACAACGGTAGTATAATAATATAACTCCTTACATTTTTCATCCGACATCTCTCACAACATAATGTACACCTACACCTTAATGCAATTGAAAACTGCAGTTTAATTAATAAACTGCCCGCCCATCATCCCGAATAATTAATAGGTCGACTTTATGGCTACTATATAATATATATGTATGTATATACAGGGTGCTACGTGAAAGGAAGAACCGCAAACGTTGTGCGCGCGCGCGTCATTATCGTAATTGCGTATATTATATTTCCATCATATAATAGACTCTGAAATGATAAGTTTTTTTCCCCCAGCGACGCACGTCTTAACTCAACCGTCAGATTTTAACCGACACGTGCGCCAAAAAAATGAGGGAAAAAAGGCGTTAAGTGCTTTAGACGCTTTTACTTTTTTTTATTTATTTATTTTTTTATTTTTTTTTACTGATCGCCGTCATCTGAGTTCTGCGAAGTATATTTTACCGGGCTGCGATGATATTTTTTTTTTGGTGGAGGATGAGCACAAAACTTCCCCCGCACACGTGTGACTATATTATTATACGCGACTGCATCAGGACCGTCACGTCATCGCCTCCGCTAATCGTTTCCGGCCAAACGTCGCGCCGAAATTCGTTTATACACAATTATAATGTTATTATTATTATTATATACGAAATAATAATAATAACGATAAAACTGAAAGCAACGAAAAAAAAAAACCGAATCAAAAATAGTGAGCGATGACAAGTCCAAAAAATTTCTTCAGTCGTTTTAACATAAAATATTATATACGAGTATAATGTACACTCGTTTTCCGGTCGTCGCTAATAATTATTATTACAATTATTATTTTGTTGCCACGGTGCACTGCGTATACTGTAGCAGCAGTCGTGGTTTTCGATCGGCTAACGTAAAATAACCTACGATAATAGAAATGTGGCTTGTATAATAATATACAATAACTACGTTGTTGTTATGAAAGATGAAAAGAACAAAATTATTATATTTTCTCGGATAAATTGAACAGCCCCGATTAAAAATAATAACATCATCTTTGTATAAATATCATAGTTGTATACGTTTAATAAAAATAAATGACGTCCTTGAATAATGGGGACGGGTGCAGCCTTTTTCATAGATAATTTAATGTATACCCGTAAGCAACGATAAACCATTGCTTACGAAAAAACGATTCTGAGCGGGGTTCAGTTGATAGTGATGCTTTTTCAACAATATCTATGCCACAGGTAATATATTAAAATAATTAAATAAGCTCTATATATTTTCTTTAATAATATTTGTTTAATGTTGTACTGATTTACCCGATTTTCCTACGTTTTTCCCGGTTTTCCTATGTTTTTTCCCAGTTTTCCACATTTGTTGAGGAAACTCCGGAGAAAATCGCAAAACAACCTCTTTCAAGTACCTCCTCAGTGAAATTTTCTTTTAGAAAAATCGCTATCGTTAAATGTTTGAACAAAATTACTGGTAGAAAAGTTGTCCATAGAAAAAAAAAATATATATCTTTGTAAAATCATAAGCTTCTCCACTCAGAATCTAGTAGGTAGTTATAAAAAAAATAATTCAGGAGAAGTCTGGCCCCATAATTCGTCCTAATAATTTATAATAATATATTGAAGAGAGTTTGATAAAAATTATCGTGTACAATTTAAGTATACATTCGATCTATGTATTAAGCTGAACAAATTTGTATCCGAATAAAATAAAATTAAAAAAAAACTCATACTGCAAAGACTTCCTCAATGCACCCAACTAGTCAATGTATGTTGCAACCGGAAACCACCTCTGAAGCTGACGGTCGGCACAGGGTTACCGATAGAAAAAGTTGTTTACAGACAGAAAAAATAAGGCACGCGCGCATAGTTTTTTTTATTCAGAATCTAAAACATAATATATTTAAATTTTAACACGGAGTATAAGTTTCCCGGTTAGTTTCGGACGAATAGTGCACACTAATGTCATTGTCTGTTGATCGAATCGGACAACGAACGAACTTTCACCACTTATACCATAATCTATATCTAATCGTTGACGATTTCTTCGATAAATTTAAATACACACACACACATATATATATATATATATATATATATATATAATGCACGATTTTCGCTCGGTTAAAAATAATATTACAATATTATCAGGCGTATAGTTTACCGCTGTTTTCATATTATTCAGAAAACTACGAAGAAAACAAAATGACAGTATCAATACCACCAAAAGAGCCCTCTTCTCGTTTTTCGAATGCCGTAAAATTTCTGGTAGGAAATTCGTTAACGGGCACTACCGAATCACATATCATAGTAAAACGCTCAAAATCAAAGATATATAAAGAAAAAAAAAAAAAAGTACGCGTGGTAAAACCAATATACATTATTCGATACGCTCGAAATCTAAAATAGCAATGTAATATATGGAAATCACTCAATATGAATAGGCACTTAAGCGTGTGCAGGCTCTGAACGACAACGCCTAAAAAACCAACTCGTATATTATAATATTTTTTGGCGAAAATAAAATAAACGCATTATGCGGCAAGTTCGAATACCTTAGGCACAAAAACCCAAAGAAACAATAATAATAACACGTTGTGTAACAAAATGTTATAATATCGTTTCATGTAGATATTACACGAGACCGAGTTACCGGGGGCGGCGGCGGTCTGAAAATACAATTTTATGTTTGAAAAAAAAAAAAACCGAAATGACAAAAACAATATAATAACAATAATAAAAATAATAACGAAAAACGGACACGTGCAGGAGGCGGCAGTGGCGGTGGCGGCGGCGGCGGCGGTCATCGGGTGCGGACGCGGTTGTTTTACCTAAAAAGAGACGGCAAACGGGCGCGCGTTTCGGAATATTAAATGAGGGGGAAAAGGAAAAAAAAAAAGGTAGTCACACTTATATACGATTTTTTTATTTTTATTATGTACGCGCTTACACACATACATAATAACAATATTATAATATCGGAATACAGGCGTTATTATTATTTTTTTTTTATTCTATTATCGTTTATAAACGCGCGGTTAGCTGCTGCGGGCATATACAGAGTGATACTTTATCGTTTAATTTTCTATCCGAGGTTTTTTTTTTATGACAATGATATGATTTCTGTTTTAGATTCTGAGCGGAGCGAGGAATGTATAGGTTTACTATGATGTGTGCGATATTTTTTCTTCTTTTGGCTTTTTATCAGACATCATCTTCCGAGTAGTTTTCATAGTAACTGCAACAATATTGGCTTTCTCTATACGTGTCACGTGGTGAAATTTTCAACATATTTTAACAGTTTATAAGCTGTTTTTATGTTTAAATTTTGATGAAAATTATAAAAAATTTCGTAATTTCAAGATATGCTTTCTGAACTTCACTCTGAATCGTATTCTGTTATCAATAAATTATCGTTTCGTACAGATGTATAAATGTATGTATCCTATCTTCTTAACTTTCCACCTACAACAGTGACACATCCAGTCTTAGATTTCGAGCGTAACGAGGAAGCTATTGGTTTTATAATATGGTGTTTATTTCTTTTTCTTTTTTCTTTGTTTGTTTGTAATAGTCTGTGGGCACGTTTTCTCCAAATAAACTTGTTCCGATTTTTACGCGTAGAAACTTTTCTGAAAGATTAAGTTATCTAAATCGTATTTTAAAAAGGCCAATTTTTTGATTTTCGACACCACTTTTTAAATAAAAACACTTAAGTGGGAAAAAACGTAGGAAAACGTACAATTTCACGATTTTATTATTTTATAAAAACATGGACGATGTTTTCTACCAGAAAAAATGATTTAATCGAAAAACCATAAGATACCTTTTTTGTTGTATTTTTGATTTAATTTCTTACGATATCATTGCCAAAACGTTTGAGCCACTTTTGAGCTTTTATGGAATTTTAATTTTTGGGAGTTTTTTTATTGTAACTCGGTTATAAATACACGTAGTGACTTAGAACTTTGTTATAATACTTATATTGGACTTACCTAGACGTGGTAAAATTTTCTTGCAAAAAAAATGATGGCACTTCAAATTATATATTACCGAAATGCGCTCGGAATCGTCTTTCGTGAATCAATGGTTTATCGTTACTTACAGATATAAATGAAATAATCTTATGTATCCTATCTTCCCAACTTCTAATCTACAACAGTGCCTGCCCCCGTCTCCAGTGTTGCCTCTTTTTTTTCCAATTATTTTATTATAACACTATTTTCAAACATCTTTAGCCGTACTCCATTATTATGTACCTTAAACGAGTATTCAATTTTGATTCTCATATGACAAAAAGTAACTACCGTACTATCTTTTTTAGAATAGTCTCGCAAAAGAAAAAAATAATTTTCTAAACATGGTGATACACATAGCAGTGAATAGTATTTCCCATTTAGGACTTTAGTAGTTCAAACAGTTTAGAATTTAAGTTGGAAGTGTATTATAGGAAAGATATAAGAAATTGATCATTTAATAATGGTAGATTGATAATGATAACTGAATAACACTGTACAGACTACAGGGTGTGATTGTACATCACGAATCTAATTGTATTATCACGAACCAGCGATTATCTATGTACGAAGATTTCATTTTCCCGGACATTATAGAATATTATAGTCACCTATAATTTGATTATGTCGTATTAATATATAGGTATATTTGTGCATAGTGGCGTAGTCAGGAAGGGGACACTGAGGCCTTGGACCTCTCCATTGGCAGTAGTTTTTCAAATATTTGTATTATAATCGTTTAATCTGCATGTTACTTTATTATGGTTTATGCGGTTTATTTTCAATATTTTATTGACTATAACTAATTATAGTAAATTTTTAAATGAAATAAAGAAAATAAACGTATAATTTTGGGTTATTTTTTTTTTTTTTCATTCTAATACGGTTACAATTTTGAAACTATCGTGTAAATACGATCTTGTGTTTACAAGATTGTCGACCGACGGTTATTACGGTTATGTATAGACGTAAATAATTGCAATTAAAAATTTAAAAAACAAATCGTATTTACACCGAATATTCGTAAACACACGCCGGTTCGTGATGATATAGGAGAAACTATCGCTCTGTATATATATATATATATATTGTTAAATTATACTGCGCGCACGACGCGGCGGCCGTATCGTTGGGCGGGAGTTATAATGATAATATTATTATTATAAAGGTGTAGTATATACACACGTCGTACGAACATTAATATTCAAATAACGCGATAACGTACAGTGTAAACGACGGCGACGACGGCGACGGAAAAAAAAAAAATGAGGTCCGAACGGTGTCGCATTGTGTACGACTTACGGCCTATAATGCAGGTATGATGCGGTGCGCGTAACCGAACGGGCGCTCGCACAGTGGGCCCCGGAGAGAAACGCTAATTTACGGACTCACGGCGACGGTGTCGACGCGGTAAAATGTGTAGTTTTTTTTTAATCGCCGACGCCGTTGTCGTCCGGCCGCGTGATTTACAGACGTGCCACCTGCCGCCGCGCCACTGATTAACAATAAATACCCCTACGCCGCCCCCCGGTTCACGATCGCGTCGGGTCGAGCCGGGCGCAGAGGGGTCCGTGCCGCCGCGCCCGGAAAATGTGCGCGCTCGTCCGCAAAGGCCGGTCCGGGCAATCGCCGCGAATCGACGCCACGGACGAGCCAGTTACGGGGGGGCAAAGGCGGCCAATTGTTTTGGATTTCCGACTAGGCGTGGATTTCGTTTGAAACGTTTAGACTCCGGGTAGATGGAGGAGAGCGTACTTTAAATAACGCGACAGTATAGGTTTTCTGAGGTGCGCTTCTGTTTCGCCGGTATACATTCGAAACGGTTATCTACTTTCAATTCCAGTGGCGTATTTCGCGCTGGGTCTTGGGGAGGGAGAATGGGCGATTTTTTTTGGATAAAAAAAAAAATTCCATTAGTTATAATATAGTTCATTAGTTCACAATTAGTGATAACTGTACGTATTTAGTTTTACTCTTATGTATTAAACATTAATGGTTGTGTACAGTCAATACAGAAAAAAAAAAAAAACAAACAATAACGATTTTTACAAAAACCAGTAAGGAATATTCCCGTTTTTTCAAACTTGTATTTTTTACGTTCGAATGTGAACCACTAGACACCCCTTCCCCCAGTTATGGCAATGGGTATCTATATATATAATTTAAGTGACAATTTTTTTTTAAAAAATGCCCAAGTTGGCGATTTTGCCACATTTCTTCGGTCCCTCAAATCTGCCATTAGGAAAAATACAAGGAATATATAATAGAAATCACTTCAACAAACCCTAATACGCCAAATAATAAAATACCTTCTTCGCCTCCGTTCTTTTTCGCTTTCATTACATAATATATGGACAACATTTGCTACCAGAAACCACCCCCCGAAGTTGACTATCGGTGCAAGATATTTGGTCAAAAGTTTTTTATAAATACACACACACACACACAACTGATTATTATAGATTTTAATATAATCGACTGCGGGTACAGTCGTGAAAATCAAACAAAAATTATTATTATTATTTTGTACAATAATTTTGTTTTATTACGGCTGCAGCCGCAGAAAGCCGACGCAGCCCTTTGGTGATGGCAATCGTGATAATAATTGTTATTGTTGTCGGCACCGAGCAAGTTATAATATTGTATTTTTCGATTAACACACCAGTATAGCGCAACACCGATGATTTATTATCCTCCGCATTAATCTCGGTCGATTTTTTTTCTTAATTGCGTATTAATAAAACGAGCGATTTCCCTATTCGTCCTACATATAATTGTATAGATTATTATTATAGGTATGTATAATAAACGTTTTTTATATTATATTATACGCCCCCATTCCGCCCCTATCCTTCGTATACCATTATGTTTTTATTGGTATGCGTGATGACTTATTATATTGTTTTACGGTTTTATTTTATGCTCTCGAATACCGCAATATAATTGCCGAATGTATTGTTTATGTTTTTCTAAACTATAAAAAACGAGTACACTCCAATAATATTATGTTTTTTTTATATCCTGATTAAAACCCTTGTAGCCGGTTTCACTGTGGTGTATTTTACGTCTATAAACAATTTTTCTACCAGAAATCTTGCTCCAATCAAAAACTTTACAGGAACTTTCTTGTACGATTGTTCATCTTGTTGGTGCTCTGAGATCATTTTTTGATTTTCCTTATTGTATTCTTAATAAATCGCTGACAAATTGGCAGTTTTTGTCGATTTTTGGATTACTTTGGTAACAAGGGAAAAATATATACCTAACAATACTTTGTTCATAATTGTTTTTTGTTAGCAATGGTTTATTTTCGCATATAATAATAAATTTAATTACTCTATAATATATCCTCCCTCCCGACTTCCATTCAAAAACAGTGGCACGCTCAACAACAGTATCAACCTTAAACAAATATCCGTCTTCTTAAAAATTGGACACAGTTCCACGACGGGCCATACGAACCACGACTATACGTCGATAATATTCATGCGGTTTGGTTTTTCATGTTGAAAAGGAACAATATAGGCGTTTTATATATGAATAGGAGGCAGTAGCGGCGCTAGGTTTTGCGGGGCCCTGGATAATGCTTTAGTACAATGGTGACTTTAGTATAACTAATGATTGTATAGCTATATAATAATAAACCGCAGGACCCTGGACATATGTCCCATTTGTCCTCCCGTAACGCCGGTACTGATGGGAGGTACAATAAGGAGTTGCGCGAATTAACGAAATTTCTGAAATTATTATAAATACAATGCGTTTAATACTATATATAAAGAAAGGGAAGGCGGAACCCAAATATGACTTTTAGAATGGATATTAGAGATTTTCCTTCTTCTTCTCGCCGTTTTCGTCGCTTGTCACTGTCGCTGTTTATGGCCGTCGCCTTGAAGACATAAATAACAACCAGCACCTAACGGTTTTCATCATGCACGTATCATCGTTGTATAAAAAACTAATAATAATAATAAAATTGCAGATCTACTCGAAGAAATATATTGTGTTTAATTTCGGCCACCGTCGTCGTCGGTAAACGTGTCGAACAATACAACATTAACTATTATAATTAATAGCACACTACCGGTTTCGCATTTAAAAAAACAAAACAAATAGTTGTCGATTTCTGCGCAATCGTATGATAATACTGCAGCATATTAATGCTGCAATTGCAACAGATCTTATTCGACTGCATAACGTATACCTGGGTACGATCGTATATTACATCTTCTATGCGGAATATTTATCGTTGAATTATCTATGATATATCGATTCGGAGAAATAAAATTATAAAAATGATTGCGGCGATGACACGTGTGCGGCGTGAAATTATAATATTTTTATAGATATTGAAAATCAACGGACGTCCCGAGCACTACCGCAATCGCCTCGGGTGACGTCATGAATAATAATAACTCTCGTCGTAGGATTTTATAACAATTGGTATGGTATAAAAAAACTAGGTTTCGGCGGTTATAATATACTTACAGGCGCAATGGGGGGGGGCAGTAAAAACAGTTGAATATTTATTAAGCGCTTCCCAACCCTTCGGAAAAGAAAACCCGGCTTAAATAATCGTTCAAAACGCCTGTATATTATACTTGGTAAAAGTACAAGAGACGCTGTCTCGGCGGATTATTTTGGAACTATAGCGCGTGACTAGTTCCGTAACGCATCGGCCAAGAGGGGGCACCGGGGCTCGTAAAGAAAAATACCCCTCCCCCCCCCCTCTCGCATATCCCGAATGACCTGTGACTTTTTCTGTCCGGCGTTATCAGTGCTCGTTTCCAGTCCTGTTGCTATATGGCAAAGCTATTATTTAATAGTAATTGACAATGTCCGCCGAAGGAGACGCGTCGTGGAGAAAAAAAAAAAATTCAAAAATTACCGACATCGATCCGTTCATCGCGGCCCCGGGTCTCTTTGCCGCCGCAGCGAGACAGTAATTTAATACGTATTGTTGTTGTTGTACGCGCGACAATTTCTCTCACAAAATATCGTCGTCTGCGCATGCGCATCACTGTGGTTTATCAAAACGGTCGCGTGGTTAATTTATTTACCATAGCGCGCGCGCGCACACGGTACAAATACGATTTGAATTTTGTGTACGTCTACGTCATGCACATTGTGAGATTAAATTATTGCATTATTATTCAATTACGCGTGACGAGGGGACCGTATTATTATTATTATTATTATTATTTTTTTTTTTTTTATGTTTACACAGAACAAGCGCACTCGCACGAGCACGTCGTGCATTTCTGACCGATCGGTCATGTAGCCGAGACCGTCGTCCATCCCTCCGGAGGTGGTCTCTTTTTTTTCTGTCACTAACGAGGTTACAATTATTTTACGAAATACTGTTGTATTGTATTTTAGCAGCATTGTGTTCCATAGGGCGCACGGGGTGTTTTATTTGTTTGTTTTTTTTTTTTTTTCATTCCCATCGTTCGGGGCGAACAAAAATCCTGCGCGGAGAGCGACGACGACGTTTTATTATTATTTTTTTTTTCAGTCCGGTAATGTCGCTACATCCGTGTAGATCCCGTCGCGGGGGAAAAAATTCTATGAAACGAAAACAATAACAATTAATGAGCGAAATAATCGCAACCCTATATCACCTCCTCGCGACCACGAATTACCGGTGTACAGTTGTTATTATAAACTGAACAAATAATATTATGTTTATTTACAATAACTAATTGTTGCCGAGTTGAATTGCAATAAGCGGACAAAACGATATTTGCTTATATGAATGCTACCGCGACTATACAATAAAAGTAAATTGTTTAACGGGCGCACAGAAGCCGAAGCACGATTAATAATCGAACCGGGGACTCGTCTAGTCGGGTATTCGACCTTGCCGATTATAACGACGAATAATTACAGAGTTTAGAAAATATTACTTTTTTTTTTTTTTCTTATTCTAATTATTACTCATTATTCTTTTATAAGTTTATTTACAATCTGCACTACGTAATATTATGCACATTGAGCATCGAAGAGGTCGGTAGGCCTTCTTCCCTCGGGCTTCCATTCGGCCGCTGCTCTAACTTGGCTCGTTTCCTCCTTACACGGTTCGAAAGTTCGGAAACGGGTCCTAAACACATTGTTCTTAGCGCCTTGTTCTTAAAGGCTATTCTCAACTTTTGTTTCTAGACGCACTGTTAACGGTCATTTTTATATGATGGCACATATTATAGTTAACGTGTATAGGGGTTTTACTGTAACCGTACATTGGTGATAATAAAAGTTGAAATATTGAAAAAAAGCCTAAGTATAAATTGCGGCTCTGGCCGAAAACGGTTACGCCCATATGGTAAAATACAGGGGAATGGGGGGGAGGTGAAAAACCGCATCAACGACCGGGGACACGATATTATTATGTCATACGTAAATAACTATATAATTATGAATTATACTTTAATATAACATGGTTTATCGTTTTTTCCCCTTAAAAAGAGAGCGTTATTATTTCGTCGTTGGCGCCGCCATAAACAATAATAATAGGTACGACTTTCCGCCCTCGTGCAACGATATATTATATTGTAGTCAAGTCTGTCGCGTTTTACAATATATGACGAATCGACGACGCTATCAAGATCGAAAAAAAAAAAACGGGGACGCGTCACGAAAACAAGGTAATTACATCGCGCAAGCCTTATTCGGTAGAGGGGTAGCTGCAGAGTGCACACAATAATAATAAATACAACACGGTCGTTGTTGTGGGAAAAGGGAGGAACACACTGTGCTGTAAGGTCCTCGCAGTGGGCCCGGCCGAGTACGACGACGACGCGATCGTATCGCGGCCTGTTACACGTGCTGCTACGCAACGTACATAATATAATTTTATATTATGTTATTACGATGTGTCTCCGAGGAGCGAGTATCGTATCTGATTGACGGGTTTTCGGGTAGGATTTATGGGAACGGGTTGAGAGGTGTCTGTAATGGGGTTGGTTGTGCAGCATTAAGGTACAACACGAGTATATTGTCATGTGTCCGGAAGAACGTAGCATGTAAAACAGCTATATTAAATATTATATACAAAAAGGAGTGGTGTATAACAAAAATATATCATCGACGGCGGATTAAAAAAAAAAAAAAGAAGAAATTTCGAGACGCATATCGATTGTCGTGCTCTTGTATGCAGTAAAACCACTTCTAAATACGTACAGAAGGCTGGGTCAGACTAACTCGGGCGAGTTTAGGTAATAATCGTCAAATAAAAATTATTATATACCTTAATGGTCAAATGTGAAAATGGCCTGAGGAAATTTTGGTCAGAAGAAAATATGTTTAATGTCTATGGAAAAAATTTCAGATTTGGCTGTGATATTTTCCTTAATATTATAGAGAATTAAATTATTTTTCACTATTGCCTACTGTGCATTGAACATAATATATAGTGATAATAATAATGGTTAAATCCAAAATGATCATGAAAAAAATTTTCAACTATTTCATCTAGCTATTTTTGTATTTTGGCCATAATTTTCTCAAAATTTTTTGGTGGATGGTCATTTTTTATTTGGCCATTATACTATATCGACTTTCAGCCTGGACCGCCAGTCCATAATTGTAGAACAGACCCCATTGATTGTACACATATAAATTTATTAAACCTTTGATTTTTTCAACTCAATTATTATATTCACAGACTCATAGTTGTAATTAAATTTAAACGTATGTAAACCGATAAATTTCAATAATCGTTTCAATAAATGGCACAATTTTGTTTTTACGAGCGTGAGCGTGATGTGGTTTCTGTGTATACCTATGTATAAATATATATATATATATATATATATATAAATAGAGAGAGAGAGAGAGAGAGAGTTTATGGGTTATAGAATTTGTCCACCTACAATCATTGAGATAAGATATGATATTGTATTCGTGAGGGTACGAACAACCCCTCCTGAAAACTCGAGACGGATTTGTGTGGATGGATACACGAACAATATAAAATTATACATAAAGATAGGTATACCTATATTGCTGCAGGACACACAAGTAGACGCAAACGATTCGTTTAAGATAACCTTTTTCATGAGTCTTTCTTATCCATATCGATATATATTCTTTTGTTTTCGTAAATTGGTTGGGAATATTTATCGGTACGACTAAACGTTCCAACGGATAAGGAACAAATACAATTTTCGTTGTTTTTTTTTTTTTCATTCGGTTAGATATAAAAATATAATAAAAAAAACGAATCGAGATAACCTAAATAATGAAGTTTTATAGACGATCTGTGTATGGGGTGTAAGATACAGAATAATATGTATTCTATATACTTAATTGAATTATCGTTAGATTTCAATTCTCTAATAATATAATATCTAATCTCCCCGAGAAGAGTGGTAATAATGTACATCACCAAAATTGTTACAACACGTGTCGTTAAACTTGAAAATTATTAGCTATGCATTTTTAATCGACCGACCTATACAGAAATAATCTTATAATTATAAGATTATTTAATTTACAATCGAGGACCTCGGTGCCGACGACCGTTATTTTTAATTTTTTGGATAATGCACTTTTCTGCGGTACAATCTCAAATGACAGTTTCTCTAAATTACGATGCAACAGCAGCCGAATGAATTCAATACAAGAACCTATATTATAATAGGTATGTAGTTTTCAATAGAAATTGAAGTCATTTTGTTTTAGAATATTTCGGTACGACAATCGGATAATAACAATCAGCAGATAATTAATATTACGCTCCTAATCAAATTTCGGCGCGTCAATCGGATTGATTCCAAAAAATAACCGGAATAATTTCAAAAAGTGGAACTATCTCAAGGTCTTCGCCTACTTCGTATATAATAAATACGGTAAACATAATAGTATATATTATGCCATTATATAAGTTGTAGAATACAGATTATTATACTGAAAAAAGTAATCGTATCGCGCCCGAGAGGTCCCGATATTTATTTACGTATACTCGGTTTATAGTATAATTATTTATATAAAACGTCCATTAAACGCAGATGATGTACGAGTCTCGTTTAGGTGTAAAAGAACCAGAAAAAAAAAAAAGAAAGAAAAAACGAAATTATATTATCGTGGTGTAAACAATATTATCATTTAAATACTATACACGAGTAATATGCCACCTCAACATCTGTGACACGTAGATTTTTATTTCAAACACGTTATTACACCAAGCATTTCGGGAATAAAATGTGATAATTGCAAACCTTGGAGCAATAATAATTACCGTGCGGATAATTCCACTTTTGGGAGCGAAAATTGTTTAATTTTTTCGGATTTATCCGACTGTTGCGCCGAATTTCTAAAACAATGTATCTGATTATTGTTACACCTGAATACAGAGAATGACTGTTTCTTCTTTAAATTATGCGTGAAATATGCATTTTCCAAAAAAATAAAAAAAAGTGGATTTATCGTTGTTGTGCACCAAGGTCTTCAATTATCGCCCGAGACAATTGTACCTAATTTCCACGTCGCTCCGACCACGTAATTAACTCGAGATAAAAGTGTTCCGATTTCCAAAAGAAAATATTACATGCATACTATTACAACGTTTTGAACTTTTTGTGTAAACGAATTATACACGGTAATATATTAAAGTTTGTGCAACGATATATCGTCGGAAATGGTTTTGTTTTCGAAATTACCGTGAGTTCCGTGTAGTGGGAATTATTTGTCAACAAAACTCTGAAATCCAAAAAAAATCGTAACCTTTAAAACCCTGCTATGTAATCTGCACAACACCAAAATACGTTTTTTTCTGAGGCGACTATATTCGGAGACGATTACCTGTCGGCTTAAAACTCGCAAAAATAACATTTAAATTTAAAATAATAAATACGCGTGGAAAGAAAAAACAACTTATAAAATTCATAAGAAACAAAACTTATTTCTAGACGAAAAAAAAACAAAATACCAATCACTGCAAGTCACTAAACTCGAGTTATTTCTCACCTATTTTACATTGTAGACATATTCATTGCAAAACAATACAGATAACCGAATACTACATACTTAAAAATCCAATACTAAAAAATAGTAATTCCTCCCAAAAAATGGTGAAATCTAAGCATGAAAATGGCAAGGATGAGGTTTAAAGTTAAAACCCTCTATACTCTTACGTATTGACTGAACATACTGATTTTCCACCAATGTACAATTTCAAGTCTTCAAGAGTATCATAAAATAATTGTAAATCCGGGTTACCTAGTTGGAAATAGCAATGCTAGCGTAAAAAAATAGATAAAGAGCGTGGACCAACGGACAACTTAAGTTTTTTTTTTTGGGGGGGGGGGAGGGGGATGGGTTATGCGGCGGTGCCACGGTATACCAAAAGATTCAGAATTCCGTAAATGAGAGAACCTTTTACGTTCCGTCCGTTCATCATTTAGCGCCGTTTCCAGGACACGAAACGGCTCCGATTCCCGAGTTTTAATGGCTTTTCCGTGGTCACGGATGCGACGGTCGGAACAGCGACCAGAAGTAGCGGGAAAAGTAGCGGACAAATTATCGTGTAAACCCGACACGCGCTGGCACGGTGCGCTGCACGGTCTCCGTTCTCGGGGTAAATCCGACGAAAAATTTGATACGAAAATAAATGTCGATCCGTATTCCCCTCTCCTCCCCCACGCCTCGCGCGTAAAACGAATACCGGACGGTTTCGCAGAGCCGCCGTCGCGTATTGCACCCGCGTTCGCGCGCACACGCGGACGGTGTTGCGTATTTTTGAAGCGTACCGCCGTACAGCACGCGTGCGAAATCGATTTCACGCAATTTCACGCAGTCTCCGCGTTACGACAACATCGCAGTTGCGTGCGGGCGGGTACATTGTAACGACCGTACACAACGTCTACGCGATTCGGGAAAGCGCGCGCCCACTGGCCACTGTAGTCGACGATTACAGGCCGGTAGGCGACGGCGGCGTGCGACGGGAACGCGCGGTAATACCGTCGGGCACAACCAATCGCCGTCCGGGCCAGACAACGGACGCGCAGTAGCGGGCGAGGAAAAGTCCCGAACCGTAATTTTCGCTTTTCGCTCGGCGTAAATGCGCGGCGTTGCGCGCACACCCCGATTCCTAAAACGCGCTCGTTGTCCCCGTGGACCGGACCACTTTTGTTCGACGAACGTACGGTTTCTGGTCGATACATTCGATAATACGTTGAATCGAAAAACTATTTTCAAACGAGAAACAGTTGATCTGTTATGGTCTACAATTCTTCGGAAAAAAAAAAAAAAAAAAAACGATCTCTGGAGTTTGTTCGTTTTATTAAATTTTAGTACAGTTGAAACGTAAAATCGATTTGAACCGTTCGTGGTGTGTGAATTATTGTTTACCGACGGGACGAAAACAGAGAGGAAAAAAAAAAAAAAACGAAAATATCGCCTCGTTTCCCCCGTCGCTCGCCACCGCAACGATCGTCGGACTGGGAATTATTTTTATATACTCGGGGGAAATATAACTTTACCGTAATATGTCGTAAAAAAAAAAAAAAAATAGTACACGGGTGCCCGTATATACATTATTATCATAACGATATTACGTCCGATTATATTGTTATTATTATTATTATTGGTCGGCGCAAAAGGGGGAAAAAAAAAAACGGGAAAAAACCTCGTATATAATATTATAGTTTATTCTCGTGTAATGGGACCTCCCGAAAAAAAAATATACACATAAAAACTACGGTTTAGGTGTACGCGTATACGATCGTATTATTTTTTTTTTTTTTTTTACGATCGAAGATCATAAAAAAAAAAACCGCAGTTTACCGACGACGCGTCGCGACGCAACAGCATAATATATTATTAACGTGTATATTATTATTAAGTGGTAGCGGAGAGTTTTGCGACGACCTCTAATACTATATGTATATATATATATATATTGTTATTACACCCGCATGTGGGATTTTGACGTAAAAACGAAATTAAAAAAAAACAAACCCGAAAAACTTTCGGGCAGCACGGGCCACGCAACCGATATACGACGGCAATAAAATCGACATGGGCCTAACATATACGTAATAATAATAATAATAATAATAATAATAATTAAACGGCGTACAATATAATATTATTACGTTGTTCGCGATCGCCGTCGTTTGATTGTGGGTGGAAACGATTATCGCGTGAAAAAATAAAAACGATAATTTTTTTTTTTTTTTATGTTTTTCCGAATCGCCGCCGCCGCCGACGACGACGACGACGCGGCTTAATTAAAACCCAATACGTTTTCGTTTGACCGCCGCGACCCACGCCGACGACGACGGCGAAATCCAATTCGTTTTCTTCACATCGCTCGCATATAAAGGCGAAAAAATAATAATATATACGAGCGTACGATAATTATTATTATATTATTTATACGCAAGACGTTCTACGGCGTTTTTTTACGCAGTAGACAACGACAATAATAACGATTGTACATTCGTGTTATCGGATCGGTATTAAGCGGCTACGCGAGGCCTTATCAAAGAAATTTAGAAAAAAAACCGCGAAAAATAATAAATAATACGATGATATTACGTTATATAATAGTTGTATCGCCGGAATTTGCAATTTGGGGAGGGGGGAGTGGATAAGTTGATTGAGCCGTGAGTGTCGGTGAGGTGTGTGTAGGGGATTTGGTTTCCCCCCCCCAAAAAAAAAAAAACAAAAAAATAATAATAAATTAGAAAAGTGTTTTGGTCGATTTCAATGTAATACTTAAATCAAATATTGATAAAAGAAAAAGCTTAATTATGAAATGAGAATATAATATATGTATATGTGATGTCTTTGTAGATATTGTAATTTATAATTAAGGTACATACCCCCGACAGTTGCGTCATCCTAGGAAAATTTCGAGCAAAGGCAGTAATCATGTCATTTTTCATTAATTATTTTTAACGTGTTTTTCATTTACATCACCTGTGGCTATTGATTCTATTCTCTGACGCAGTGCTCCTCATCAAATACGTCTCCATACGGTTTAGAGTGGAAAACGTTCTTACGCGCGTGGAACAAACAACTGGAAACGTAGTTAACTCTCAAACAAGGCCTGCGGAGGGTTATATTTTCTCATTAACCCGTCCCCCCCCCCGTATAGACTACACCGCCGGCTACGGGGAGAAAAAACTCGACCGATCCTACTGCCGTGTACCCGTTATCGGTTTACCCAGCCTTCTTTCAGAATCGTTTTTCGATGGCAATCGTCGAAATACCGTTGCTCTGGGCGTTTAAAACTGAATGTCCCATAGTATTATTATAATACACGTAAATACTAATATCCTGTACGTGCGCCCGACTACCGGTACCTGTACGGCCGAGCGGTGCGACAGTGAAGATTTGTACTCAGTCACCCGCCGGCCCCGCTACGGGGCGCCCGCGACCGTTTTCGAAATATTACGATAATTTCGAATATTTATTGATATTCGGATACCGTTCCGTTTGTCAACGCGACGCGCAATCGTCTCGCGTACTACCTATGTATATTATATACCCGGGTACAAACGTCACATCGCATGTTATACAAACATAACCTTGCGTTGACTTAAAAATATATTATTTATGAATACCGAACGGTGCCAAGTGCTTAAAATACAATTTAGAGAATAAATACAATATAACAACACACGCCGCGTACGCGCACGTGTGCTGTACCTGTTATAAAAAAAAAAAATCTAGGCGCCCATTATGTAAACACCGTGCACACAAGCAAGCAGGCAAAAGCAACTGAAACGGTTACCCGTACACGTAAGTACAGTGCGCCCGATAATATTATTATTATTACTGATACTATATTTTTATGATCGTGTAACCGTCCGCGTTCCGTGAATACGATGTACCGGCACGATTACGTATTGAAATTTACGCATTCGTTTGTCGAAATGCGTTACGTTTGAATTGTTATTACCGTTATGCGCGCGGCGCGGTCTTGTTATGAATAAACGCTTTTTTGTGAGGGGGGGAGGGGACCTTTCAGAAAATGCAAACCGTTTCCCCCTTCCCTCCCCCCCGTGTGCGATAACATTGAAATAATAAGTCGATACTGCTCATATGCAGAGACAGGCCTCCGCTATAGATTGATCGTCGGGTCGGCGAGTTTGTATGTGTGTGTGTGTGTGTGTGTGTGTGTGTGTGTGTGTGTACGTAAATACAGGGCAACCTAAACTGGATTATTAGATAAATCGTTGTTAACGAAAAACGATTCTGAACGGAGTTCAGTACACGTACAGTATTAGCCGTGGATTTTTCTTTCGCGATGCCGAGGGAACCCGGAAATCGAAAAAACTGTTTTTAAATTTCGATAAATATGTGTATCAAATAAATTATTCTATAGCGTGATCAGAAACACCGCATATATTTCGAGGAACTGTAAAAACCGAACATTTCTATAAGCGACAAAAGTGTTTTCCGAGAAACACACGCACACATCTTATAGTTAAAACTATAATAACGTTTCTTCGCTATTCTCAGAATCCAAAAGTTATTTGAAAAAAAAAATAATAGACTAACAAGTGGCGCGGGTAGGTACCAACCTACAGAACAAAATGACTGTGACCCGTGTGCGTTTGCAATGCAGCTCGCACGAGCTTGTAAGTATTACGGCGTGTAACATAAATAGGTACAGAAACAAAATCTGATATTATCATTTTTCAATCGATTATACACCAGATCCCGTCGTGAGCGTAAATCGCGCCGCGGGCCTCCCGTGTAATACGCGCGTTCAAGTGCCCGGCCGTTGTTGTTGCTGCTGCTGCTGCAGGACCGCTCCTCTAATCGTTTTAATGGTCGTTTTATTAAACGCGCGCAAAGAGATAACGTCTCGTCTCTCGTCTCCTCCCGACATCGCGACGACGAGAGACACAATAATAATAATAATAATAATAATAATAATAACAATAATAATAATAATTTAGTATTAGGGCCGCCGCCGCCGTCGCGCGTAAATAATAACAATAATAATTGAGATAAAAGGGACCAGACGGAAGAAACCAATCTGACCGAGGTCCCCGCCGCAGCACTTGAACAACGCGCGGACTCGAGTGCGGGACGTCTCGATTCCGAATAACAAAAAAAAAAAACGTTTTATCGATCGCAGTAGCTATGAACGAACGCTGCTGTATAGTATTGTTAACATTTTGTTTTAGGGAGTAGTCTGAGCGAAACGGGGAATACGGCGAGCGTTGGTTTTTTAGCCCGGGGCCTATTTATTTATTTTTTTTTGTACATTTTTCGTGCAACGCGCTTTTCTTTCCGGACAAGCAGACACCCGTGCCAGAGTTCACGCTCCACACTCCTCCTCGCCTCGGCATCATCGTACTACAAACACTACCACACTGTCGTTAAACTTAATCAAGCAGTATCTCTTTTCAATTTTCTCAATATCTAGATAAATAATTGCCAAATCAATCGTTGTACACGTTACAATTTTGGGTTGTTACGCGCATTGGGTATCGCATAGCACGCGACAATCGGCCCTAGGATTACTACGATGTGTACTTTTTGTTTTTTGTGTTGGGTCTGTCTATTAAAATACGGACAAAAACGTAGGAAAAATCGGAAAGTTATAACGGCAATAACGATTCCGTTTTTCTTTTGATATTTTAATTTATAAATATTATTTTTGTTTCAGAAAACAAAAAATGTTCGACCATCCGCCGACGTTGCGATTATCGGCGACAATCGTCCCGGTAACGCTGGTACTGCTGCTGTTAACCAAAGAATTGTTATGTCTGCCGGCGCATTCGAAAACCATAGTATTAGAAGGTACGTAAACCGTTAATATTATAATATAGGATTACAATATAATAATATCCATTCATTGAATAAAACGCTGCATCTGAACAGATACATATGAAATCGGAAATCGACTCCCTTAATTATAAAGTGAATTGAAAATCCTCGAGCGGGGAACGCCGTAATAATATTAGACGTATGATGTTTTTAATGTGTCGCGAGCCCATCGTATACTAAAATTAAAATCGTTCTCTGATGAGAAAAACGTACGAATATAGACTATAATATAGGTACTCGTGCATGAATAATATATTTGAGTATTATAAAAATGAATTCATACGTCAGAAGAAGACGAGAAAAAGGGGTATATTAGTCACGGTATGTTTTCTAAGGAAACGTGCGCACATATGTTTTTTTTATACTTCATATGTACGAGTATGATTCATTAATGTCATCAACAGTCAGAGATACCGCGCGCCATCGTCTCCCTGCAACAGACCTTTATCGTGGCGTCTTATATTATATCATATCCATATTATAATATCTGTCAGATTAATATTACCAGTGGCTTGCGCAGGGTGTGGGAGAGGTAAGGGGTTATGTTCAGTTATTTGAAAATACAAAAAAAAAAAAAAAAAAATGATTAATATTTATTCGGTAATTTAATCTTGAAATGTATACATTTCAACCGGATTACAAAGAAAAACTTGATCGACTACAAATTGGCTTTTTAACATCAGGCTTTCGAAATGCCAATAGTCGAGTTAGAGAAGATTTTACGATTTCTTTATTATTATAATGCGCATATTCCCCTCCCGTTCAGAACGCAAGGTCATTTCACTGAACATTACAATCGACTCTCCTCTCAATTAGTGGCAATATAGTGCAGTTTACATTTTTCGATAATCCAAAACAATCGGGGTACGCGATGAAACGCAGTCTGCAGGGCCGGAGTAGAAATCCCGGATGAACGAAGATATTCTTATGTTTCGAAAAAACTTTTCGCAAGAATCACAGACGGCGTATATTAACAAAAAAACATAATACATTTTACGCGTAACTAGCGCCGATTCGCGTACTATTCATACATATATATGTATATATTTATTGGCAACGGTCCCTGCAGTTATTATCGTGCAGCGTTTTTTATATATACAATCTAATATGCGGTTTAATAGACCGGAGTCGAGACAAAAACGAAATTCCACTGCACGGAAAATCGGAAGTCGGCCGTAAAAACATAGTAATACTTATCAAGTCGAATCGTCTCGTCTAGTGTAACGTGCATACCGCATAAAAAATACTGAAGTATACACGATCGCGCGTTTATGTTTCGTTAGAAAATTTCGATCCGTACGCGCCAAAGGTAAGTCGGCAATGACCTTTGGAATGCGTCCAGAAACGGGTGTTGTGCTGCGCGTATGCGCAGGAATTACGTGACCGTTTGGTTTTTTTTTTTTTTTTGTGCGACAACGTATAACTCTGGTATACACTTAACTCCTATTTCGGAGAGGATATATTATTTTTGATTTTAAAAAATAAAAACCGTTTGAAGTTTATACCATTGGTAGACAAGAGTGAAGGCCACTGTTGTAGGCAAGTGATTAAGAAGGTGTATAGGACTGCAGTGTTTCTCAATTGTTTTAATGCTACCGCTTTTTTGAAGATCAAACGAATTTTCTACGTCCCCTATGTAACGTGGAAATCCCATAATTATATGTATAGGAAAGAGAAGGAGGCATCTAAAATTTAAATAAAAAATTTAAATAAAAAATTTAAATGACCAATGAAAAAATATAAATAGTACACTTTACAGTTGTCTTTATTGAAGATAATTAAAAATCAAATGAATAACCACAAAAGAACTAAATTTCGTTTCATAAATGAAACATGCAGAATTTTCGCATTTTATGCAGAAACTCGCTTCTACCGTCCAAACATACTTACTACCCCCCCCTACTGTCAAAAACGAGTTTACCGTCCCATAATAATTCTCCAACGAGCTTCTGAGTAGTTTATCGACCATGTTGGGAATCACTTGTATGGATACAGAAAAATGTATTTTAAATAAACCAATATAAACGAAAAACGATTCTGAGCGGAACATACCAGTCATGTTCTTTTCTCCTGTCACCGAACTCTTGAAGAGTTAAAAAAATTTGATCTAGGAGGAAAACTGTCGAAAACGCATCATTTAGGTATTGGACATTTTGAAAAGTTTTTCTACTTATATTGTCAAGCGAATTATCCGCACCAATCAAAATAATATGGCATGAACAATTTGAAGAAATTTTACATTGTTTTATGAAAAAAAAAAACAACATTCATCTCCGTAAAACACGAACAGCTTTTTCGTTTGAATCGGAAAAAAAAAAAATGTTAAAACATCCCAACCAAAGAAGTGATAATATATAATTATTATTTCGCTTGGCGTTTATGTTTTTATACATGTTTTAGAACATAACGTGGTGCGTACTAAATAATCGAAATCGACCTCGAACGAGCCTCGTTCTGGTATTCGAATGATGCGATTTGTTTTTTTTATTTTTTTTCATGTGCGTGTAGATGACCTTTTCGCGGAGGGACTCGACTAGAATTTTTTAAGGTGTAAACACGCGTGGCACGCATCGGCTAGAGGTGACGGTTAAAAATATAAACTAATATAATATCGCCGGCAACGAGAAAATTTCAAACGACTGCACGATTTATGTGAGCCAGTTTACTATTTTTAATGTGCAGTGGTACAACAAATGTATGATTACATATAGGCAGTTATAATTACTATTTTGTATTTTAATGAGTATACCGATCCGGCACAAGTTCCGAGTCTAAATAAGGGGTATTAAATTATTATACCGCATAGTATAACTATATAACTATATTATTTAAACACAAACACACACATATATATATATATATATATATCTCGTATAATAAAATATACAAGTTTCCCTCGGTTTTTTTTTTTTCAATTCCGTCACCTAATAATATACTTTATAATTTTTACTTTAGTGTAACTTAAAAACATTTACCGCGCGAGTATACGAATAATACCGCCGTAAAAAATGTTTAGATATTGAGTACCTGAACTTAAAAGCAATACAACTATCACAGGTTCCGAAAACCGTAGTTTTCGGAAAACCAAAAGATCTGGAAATGGCCAGGATCGGGGTTTTCGTGTACAACGAGGAGATCCAAAATAGATTTTTTTTTTTTTTTTTTATACAATTCAGACTGAGAACATTTTTTTATTTTAGCAGCACAAATTTGGGCTTACACACAAAGAAAACTAAACTGTACATACTGTATATTAACGACAATAATAATTTAACTACCGCATAGTTAACTCAACATATTATACAACACTATCAATCAATATCATAATAGAGTAAATCAAATATAATAAATTGACTCGCCGAGAATATAATTTTATTCTTTAAGAGTTTATTCGGTTTCAACGATCAATATTATATTATATATTATATATCAATATTATATCAATATAATATTATATTTATGGTTTTCAAATTTTAAAGTGCGCTTTTTTTTTCTCTCAGTCTAATATTAGAAGCCGTTTTTACACGTTTTTTATTTGTTTTAGACGAGTCGAATGTTTTAACAGCCATAGAAGGCGATCGTTTGAAAATAAAATGCGATTATTCGGACGCCGTTAAAATTAACACGGCTCAATGGTCAAAAGAATCGGAAGACGACACGGTGTTTGATCCGCCAAACATTTTGACGAAAAAATCGCAGTGGTATATCATAATATTATTCAATACCTGACGATAAAATTGCATACATATATTCGTACCATACTCATCCGGTTTTTTTTTTTTTTTTTATGGGAACGATCGTATTTTATAGGTTGCATTTCAAAAACGTAAAACATTCGGATCACGGGCGATATTCCTGTTTGCTCGGCGGTTCCACCGATACCGGGACGTTCTCGAAATGGCGCAATTTCACGTTGATCACGTACAAAAGGTCCGAAGCAGCCGCGAGCGGCAAACAGTTAAAAATGACCGCGCCCCAGAGCCTTTCGCACCGCAAAGACGGAGTCAAACCGAAATTCATTAACAAACTGTTCATGGACAACCACGTGGTGATGCTGATAGACGATAGCCGAACACTGAGTTGCCCTGTCGAGAGTAAGTATCCACATAACAAAGCGCGTATGCAAATTTCATAATTATAATTTTCACGTACGACTTCTGAAGACTGGAACGCATAATAAATTATGATTCGTGAAAAATTCTTGAAAAATAATGTACCAAATCTTGAATTGCGATTTTCAGTACAAGTCCCATCTCGAGATCTTTAAATTTTTATTTTTCCACTTTTCTTCGGTGCACACTACAGTGCCACACATCGGTATATACGTAAAATAAACCGATAGTCTGTGACCGAGACGAGTCCCATATCTATCTGGTTTCAATAACGTTGGAAAACGTTTGACTTCCTGGATTAAATTTCGAAAAGAAAATCTCATCACAATTAGCTATGAGATCTTTTGGGAATCGTTTGATATATAATCTCAATTTTGCGCAACTTCCCTTATCAAAACGAAAATAGTACGATGATTCATTTTTTTTTTAATGTTCTTTTGTGTTTACAATTTTCATTTGAGAAATTCGGAAATTCGAAATTTTCTATTCACTTACATTAATATATAGTTCATACTTAATAATATTACTGTTTACTGTAGGCATGTCTCCGGTAGTGTTTTTATGGTATAAAAACGACGACGTGCTACTCTTCGAAGGCAGCGGAGAACACAATTATACGTTGAACAGAGTGAAAATGTCGGATACGGGAAATTACACGTGCGTGGTGAAAAACGATTTCGGTTCCGTGCAGCACAAGTTCAACGTCGAAATTTTCGGTAAAACAATAACAAATAATTCAATTTATATCAATATAACTGGTACATGTAAACTCGTGAAAATTATTATTGTTATTATATTTACCTATTACCATAATTTGTTTAGCGGACCGAAATAAATTGCCAATTTTGGTCGAATACCCGCAAAATCTGACGCTAAAACCGGGGGACACGGCATGGTTCGCTTGCAAGACTTTCGACATGCACCGCACGGAAATCGATTGGTATTTTTTGAACGGCAGCAATCCGCAGGAAATTAAACCCGACGATCTTCAACTGTACAAAAAGATAATCAACCACAACACAGTGAGTCCGATAAAAATATTTATTTTTTTGTTACTTTAACTTTTAATTATAATAATTATATGAATATCAGCTTCTTCTTCAACTTCTGGCGTTGCTGCTCTCCAAGAATTTTGTTCGCCGTTACAATATCACGGCACCTGTCTCTATATATACTTCCTCTCAATTTATTATACATACCCAACGGTCTTCTTTTATGCCATCTATCTATTTTTTGGGGAGGCCTTTTAATTTTTTTTTTTTTCGTAATATCATTATGTTCCACATGAATACAGTCAATTTTTTTTTTCATTTTGTGTATAGGTGAAAATATTTAATGGCGTATTAATATTAGAGAACATAACAGCCGACGACGCCGGATGGTACGCTTGTTATATAAACGGGACTAAAACTCGTATAATGACCGGGGCCAAATTGATCGTGGACAAAAGTATGACGTGCACTGACGTTAACTGATAACATTATATTACAATATATTAACTGCTGTATTTCCATTTTAGATATCGACGTCAATGACCCGCAAGACTCGGGAGTCGACGTAGAAGACAGCGAGGTGATTGAAAACCCGCGAAAAATCGGATATTACAACGCGACGGAAAATTCCACGATCCCGAAATTTGTGAAATTCGAAAACATGCACAAATTTATGGCAAAACCTGCGGGAAACATGTTGAAATTGAAATGCGCGGCTGAAGGTAAAAAAAATAATAATAATAGCTAAATTTTCAAATAGTAAACGTATAAAATATACGCGAATTGTTGCGTTTTAGTTGCCTACGTGATGATAAGATCATTTTTTTCTTTCTTTTTATAATCGTGTAAATACCTACGTAATAATTATTTATAGGTAACCCGTTACCAAACATCACGTGGTACAAAGACGGAGTCACGCCGCTGCAACGGACGCTGGGAGTGGTTAGGTACACGAACTGGGCTATAGTTTTGGAAGACCTGGTGACGACGGACTCCGGTAATTACATGTGCAAAGTGTGCAACGAAAACGGATGTATCGATTTCACGTACAAAGTCGACATAATCGGTAAGTCCGGAGATGATTCAAATAATATTATTAGAAAACATTTTTTTTTTTGTTTTTCTTAAGTCTTATTTATTACAAAACACTAACGATATGATAATCATCTTCCCCTCCCCCTATAAAAAAAAAAAAAAAAAAAAACAGAGAGATTCCCGCATAAGCCCTACATAAAAGAAGGGCAACCGCATAATGTTACCGCGCTGGTTCACACCGACGTGTTGTTCGAGTGTACGCCGTTGGCCGACCTCGAGCCGTACATGCAATGGTATTATCACAACGCCAATGTCGGCAACGTTCACAACGGAAATCTAGAAAACGGCACCGTCATACAGGTACATTACGGAATGGGCCCAAAAGGTTTTGTTTTTTTATTTTTTTTCGGACACCGGTGATGGCATGCAAATATACCGCGGTGGTGAGGTGAAATGTTCGCCGCGGATGGCGATTTTCGGGGCTTATAATTATATGTCTGCAGAATGCGATGCGCATACTATTAATATTTGTATTTATTTTATGTGTTCTTGGGCATATGGAAGCTATTTATTGATTAAAACCGAAACTATATAATAAATACATTGCATACGTTATCTTATGTGTTTTACCGTGTATTTTTTTGTTTCATATCATATTCTAGAGCGTTTGCACCATCGTCCGGTATTTACAGAGGCTCCACAAAATCTTACGTTGGTGTTAGGTGGTTCTGGGGCTTTGGCGTGCAAGGTGTTGTCGGATTTGCATCCATACATCCAATGGTACACCGGAGAAATACCGACGGTGGAGAATGCCGACAATTTAGATATTAAAAACTTAGAAAAAACCATGGTGAAGGTCAAGGTACGCTTGGGCGAAACTGGAGCTTTTTAAATCTAACACAGTGATATTACTATTATATAATATATGCTTAAACGATATTTTAACATTTGGATTTTTTCGCTTAATACTATTTCATAAATCGGGTCAATTTATGCGTGGTTAATGGGATATGCATGCACACGTGCACTGTATCTACAATAATCCGAACGGTATCTGACCGTGCATTCGTCTCTATTATATTACAGGACGCCGATCTCCACGAAGGGTATCCAGAAACCCTTCTAGTGTCCAATGTCACGCATTTGAACGAAGGTTGGTACACGTGCGTGGTCGGCAACAGTTTGGGCGTGAGCTTCGCTAGCGCTTATCTGAAAGTCGTAGACGGTAAGTTGTGAACCAGAATGGAAGGTCGATTTTGAATTTCGTGCTCAATATAAGCGTCGATAAATATTGTTTCAGAGTTGGAAGAACCGGTGAAAATTAAAGCTCTTCAATTGCAAACATATCAATTGGCCGCACTGGCAATCGGTTTCGTACTAGTTATAGCCGTGTGCGTTGTGATGCTGGTGTGCAGTAAAAGGAAGCGAGAGAAACTAAAGGAATTGGTAGCGAGAGAATCGGCCAGAAACGCGATGATCACTCAATGGACAAAAAAAATTATCATCGAAAAACAGCAAATGGCCGACGCAAGCGAACCTTTGGTATGTAAAAATATACAATTTATATACAACATTATATTTATTTTTTGTATTATTATACACGTCCAAATCACTATTTTGTAGATACAAAGAATTTATAATAAAAAAAAAGCGTGTTTAACGGTTTTTTTTTTTAAAAAATTATTATTTCAGTTAATGCCCGTGGTAAAGATTGAAAAACAAAAGAGTAAATACACGAAATTGGATCAAACGTGTCTGTCCGAATACGAGCTGCCTCTCGATCCTTGTTGGGAATTTTCGAGAGAAAACTTATCGTTGGGCAAGACTCTCGGAGAAGGTGCTTTCGGTAAAGTTTTACGCGGCGAAGCCGACGGTATTTTATGCGAGAACGTAACCACCACAGTAGCAGTAAAAATGTTAAAAGGTAAGTAAATAAATAACACTACTAGTGCTGTTGTTTTATTTTTTTAAATTTTAAATACATACCCATTATTTTATACTTCATTGGTATGATTAACAGACGGACACACCGATACCGAAATGATGGACCTCGTATCCGAAATGGAAATGATGAAAATGATTGGCAAACATGTGAACATCATAAACTTACTCGGATGTTGTACCCAAGACGGGCCGTTATACGTGTTGGTGGAATTTGCTCTGCACGGCAATCTCAGGGATTTCCTGAGACAGCACAGGCCGTCGTCGGGCTACGAACCGGCCATCGGGTCAAATCTAAAGGACACTTTGACGCAAAAAGATCTCGTCTCATTTGCGTATCAAGTCGCCAGAGGAATGGAGTATTTGGCGTCCAGAAAAGTGAGCACAATCATTTGTACAATCATAAGTAAATGCACTGTGTTTACTCGTATAATAATATACTATGAATTATAATGTTGACGAATGGCAAACAAAAAAACGTATATAATTAAAAAAAAAAAAAAATTACTTACTTGTAAACAATTTTATTATATTGGTACTCACTGTCGTTATTTTGCAATATTACAGTGTATTCATAGAGATTTGGCCGCGAGAAACGTATTGGTAAGCGAAGACTTTATAATGAAAATCGCGGACTTTGGTTTGGCCAGAGACATTCAAAATCAAGAATACTACAGAAAAACTACCGACGGCAGATTGCCCGTCAAGTGGATGGCTCCGGAAGCTCTATTCCATAGAGTGTATACGACTCAGTCCGACGTGTGAGTAACAATTAATTGAATGACAACTGTGAAGAAATAAAAAACCAAAAGTGTACAAAACACTCATAACAAAATGGGTATAGAGCTGATAAATATGTCGAAATAGGAAAACTCTGCATCAATAAACTCGCATAGAAACATAATATAAATTCACATACCCACGTGTTCGATTCAATCCATGAAATATTATCATTACCTATATTTAAAACGAAATTCGGGAGGACGTTATTCAAGCGCCGAAAACGATTTGAAAGCCTATTGACTGGGTACGGAAATCGTCTGTATTGCATCATATACCGATACTACATCGTCGCCGTAATGCCAAAAGTACCAAGCGACCTGCAAGCGATTTAAAAATTAAAATTTGTTCAAATTAAAATTCTATTCGATTTGTATTTCAATCGAGAATTACGTGTAGAATGGTTACTAGACTATTTCCGATATCACTTATCGGACTCATTTTTTTTTCTACACAATACGTAGGGATAAAATAAACGATTTATAAATGTGGTTTTACGCTTGATCGCATTTTGCACGTGGTCACTTCTGTCACGGCGACGACGAAGTAGGTATTATGGAATCTATACAAACGGACGAAAAACGATTGGGCCCAAAACAAACAAAACACCCGAAGGACATTCGGCCACTTCTTTCTGTGCGTGCGAATCCGGGAAGACCGGCGAATAACACAATAGTATAGGCACAGTCGAAATATCCGACATATTATCATGTATGTGGCCACACTCCCGAAATCCCGGTTAAAAAAACCATTACCTTAAATGCCTGATCCGCCATTTTCGTTGTCCCTCGTCGTAATGGCGTATGATTGTTGTTTGTTCTACAGATGGTCCTACGGTGTGCTGTTGTGGGAAATCATGACTCTGGGCGGTACGCCGTATCCTTCCGTGCCCAACATGGAACAGTTGTTCAACCTGCTGCAGAGCGGACACCGCATGGAGAAACCGTCTTGCTGTTCGCTGGAAATGTAAGCGCGCGATTTTAATTAATATTCGTTTATTCGTAAACGCGCCCTTCCCGTGTATTATACACAATTTTACGGAACTGCGAAAATACAATTGAAATAGCGCATTTTAACGTACGGAATGATGCGCGAGAGTCTCGTCGCGCTCTTCGCAGAGCCGGACTAATGCGCAACGGATTAGCGGACGACCGCCTCTGCGGGGGGGACCCTTAGTTATACACTAACAATTAGCAGCTTTACGACTTATTAACAAAAATGCGACGAGGACGGCCGTTACCAAGAACATGCCAGCTTTCGGGTGATCCGGAGCGTAGCGAGGGTTTTTCATCGGTTTTACTATTATGCGTGTGAATAATTGTATGTATCCCAACTGCCCGACTACCCATCAACAACCCGTTGTTGATGGGTTATACCCGTCTCCGATATTAACTTTTTCGAAGTTTTTATTTTTCGTGCACGAGAGCAACTTTTCTACCAGCAATCTAGCTCCGAAGTACCAAGCTCCTTGTCTGTAAGTTAATTTTATCGAGTTGGCGCGTTGGGGAGGTTTTTTTTATTTTTTTTTTTTATTTTCAAAGAGGTTTTTAAAACAGCCGGAAAAAATAAAAAAATACGATTTTGAAAATTTCTAATTTTGAAAATTTTTACAAAAAAATATTGCTCCGATAACGCTCCGGTAACTTTATGACAGCCCCACCGAAATACCGTTCCCCGTAAATTGCATAATAGATACTTTTACCGTAAACGAAGCCAGTTTTACTCATTCTGCGCGAGCATTGTTTTTGCGCGCGGTTGCCCGGTAGTTGGACCGGGACAGCCGATGCGGGTATAACGCGTACGCTCGAGTTTTCGAACGGTCTCCCGCTCCCTTGCCCCCGTTCCCCCCCCCATCTCCCCCCGGTAACCGATCGGCCATACTAATAAAAATCGTGTTACGACTTTGGCACGCCGCAGATACATGATAATGCGGGACTGTTGGAGTTACCATCCGAACGAGAGGCCGATGTTCGACGAGCTGGTGGAGAGCCTCGACCAGATACTGTCGGTGACGGCCAACCAGGAGTACGTGGACTTCGGGCTGCCGCAGCTGGACACGCCGCCCACCAGCCAGGAGTCGTTCGACGAAAACGATTTGGTCAACTTCGCCGTATGAAGAACGCGCGTTACGGGCGCCCATCCCGCAGCCTGCCCCGATCGCCGTCGCGATAACACACCTAACCTAATCATAGGCACCTACCTACTGTAAAACCGTACGGCGGTATTTACAAAATTTTCGTTTGTGTTTACGCGCGTCATGTTAACGGCCGGAAAAATATTCCGGGGGCTGCGGGAACGCAACGGTTCCCGAAAGAAATGCACAAAAAAAAAAAACGAAAAAACAAATATGCAAATATTACCGTACATCCGTCGGGACACCTAAATCCCCGAAATAGCGTTGCGCGCCCGCGAGTTGTCGCGCGACTGCGCCAGTCAAGTTTCCGGTCGTCGAGAGGATGTGGGCGCGAACAGAGGGACAACGGGATCCCGTTCGGCGGGACCGAATCGCTTTTCGGCGGTTTCGTCTCGAAAAACCGTAAATTCCTATTTAATAAAGCGAGTCGAATTTCTCGTTTGCGCCTACGCAGACCACCGGGGTCGAGTAGGTACCTATTCAATTTTGTAAATAAAAACAACCGCCCAAATTATAAATTATTATTGTTCTTTTTTTGTTGTACAGCTGATAATCGTATCGCGTTGTTTGTAAATATATTCAAAAGTTTCGTTATTATTATTATAATAAAATAGCTACCTACGAAAACGTTGTTCGAAACGTAAGTTTACAAGTCCAAGTACCTATATTATGTATTTATTTATCGTGATTTACCTACGCGACAATACGGCTTCCCTATGATATTTATATTTTATACTTATGAACAAAATACAACCGTCGATTGAAATCGACCGCGGCGAGTACGCCGGGACTGAAAACGGAGCGCTATTATAACAACAATCCGGAAAGCGTGTGTCCGGTCTGCAGTTAGATGTACGCCCGGGAGCTAAAAACAAAAAAATAACCGTAGTCCGGTAAATACTGTTACCATATCTTTTTTGGATTCCGGCAGTCGTATTGTTTCTCCGACAATTTTTGTTCGTAAAACGAAAGTTTGGTGGTTTTCAGCACATCATCTCACACGCTGTATTTTTTAATCATAAAAAAAAAAAAAAAATAATAATAATAATAATAATAATAATATTTAGATATAAGAGACGTCTAGTCAAAAGTGTTTTATACCTATAGTGTAATATTATTTTATCGATCGCCCGATGTTCATTATATTTTGTACATTCTATTACATAATAAACATTATAATTTATTATTATTATTTTATCGAAGGAAAAAATGTGAAAATTATATCTGTTAAGCGTTATTAAACATATTCTATAAGGATTTTTTTCATTTTGTATTGGTATAATATCATTATCATACAACAAATACTTTTACCGTGTAAACATTTTGTTGTATTATCTAAAAATTACAGTCATCAAAAACAATATACATTACGGTATACAATTATTACTTACCTACCTATTTATCAACCTGGTTTATAATTTATGGCAGTATGTCATAGTTTGTTCTTTTCCGCAGGGACGAAACTCTCATAATTTTCATGGAATACTTCCAAACAACACTGGCATTGTCTCATCCAATAAATCCTAACAATATTTGAAATTAATATAATGTATTATTATGCAGTACGCAGGTAGGTAGGTACCAAATACTAAAAAAAAAAAAAAAAACAACAAAAGTGTTGAAGATTAATAATAATTAGATATTGCTGTTTATGCAAACAAAAACTTCTTTTCAAATATTTGGTATCTACTCATCAATAAAACAATATGATTAGAATAAATTATTCGTATTCCAAATAGGTGGACAAATCAATTTGTCTATATTCTTGACCTACGTAACAACCATGTTGAATGGTAAGTATTTTATTAGGTGGACAAGTCGGGAAGAATTACTATATCCATTTTGGAACAATAATCAAACAAGTACCTACTTAGGAAATAGAAAATAAAAATGGATTTATATTGCAAATTATAAGTATACATTAGCAGAGAACTACCGCAAACATAATGAAAAAAATAAAAACAAATTTATATTAGAATAAATAATACCTTAATATATATATATTTATATACATACATAAATATAATATGTATATAATTAATAATTATATACATAAAATGTATGTTGTAAAACCATATTTTTTCCTTTTATTTTGAAAAAAGCATTAATATATATGTATATAAGTATAACAAAAAATATGTATCGTTTTATCTAAATTAAATTGAAAAAGTAAAAAAAATAATAAAATAATAGTAATACAAGTAGAAAAAAAATATTCTAAGTTATATATTAATCGTAATAATTAAGTATATAATATATTGGTATACACATGAAATACTGATAAATGTTTTCTTTTTGAAATACAATACTTTTATTTCATTTTAATTGAGCTGCAAATAAAACTAAGTAAGTACATCGGAATAATACTATATTTACATATGTGACATTATATTAATACATTACATAACTTTTAATTTTGAAACGAGAAAACAAAAATATTTTTTTTAAATCCGACCTGTAAATTTAACTTAGCAGACAAATAGTTATTATAAATAATATTTTATATACAAGGTCGTGATAAGAATCACCAATTAATAACTAAATATATATATATATATCGTATACAGTGTACACAAAGATAGTAAGTACCTAATTTTATCAAGTACAAACTTTTCAGTCTGTGGAAATCGCTCAGAATCTAAAAAAAAAAACATTAATTCAACTATGACTACCTAAGTAATAATGGCACTTAATAATAATACACTTATAGAACAATCAAAATACAAAGCCAAACGCTATAGAATAATAATTATACACATAAATGGTATCTATGAATTTTAAACCGTACAAAATATTGCTATATCAATTTAAAAGGACATTAAACTGCCTGTATTTAAATTTGCATAATATTAGGTATAGGAAACATTTCAAAAAATATTTGAAAAAATGATAATTTATCTACTTAAAAATATTTAAATTCACTTTGAAATCAGCGTATAAGTAGTGCCGTGTCATTATCACAGTTTTTTTTTTTTTTTATCGGGTTATTATCAAATTAACTTAAAAAGTTTTTTTTTTAAAAGTTGTTGCACAGTATAAGTTTAAAATTTCAGAAATTATAGCAGAAGTACATAAATTTCAGAACACAAGCACTTTGTGGGATAGCATTCTTAAATTGTTGATAACAAAACACAATAGTTTTTATTTAACTATCAAAAACTATTGTTTAATAGTTTGTTTAAACTAAGTTTAATAGTACACTATACACATTAAACAAGCAAATAAAGTTCTCTTTTATGTGTAAAAATGTGGTAATTCTACTAAAAATACGTTACGAAAGAAATTGTCGTATGTAAAACTGTTTTTAAATTGAACTATGAGTAGTGAAACGCCCTCATAGAACGAAAAAATAATAATAATAAAAAATGGCAGTAGCACAGCTGGATTACCTGTAAAAACTAGGTATAATAATTAAGATTAATAAAACTCAAATTAACATAAAAGGTGCCTATTCAAGTTATAATACACTAACTAATAAACCGTAAAAATGTTTTAACGTGTGCGTTAAATAAAAAATACTTTTAGTGTTAAACTAAATGCAAACTGCAACCCATGGACTAGAATACTAACTGCAAACTATATAAATAAATAAACAGTAAAATAATTGTTACTCATAAGCTTTGTCAGAATCAACTATGTGGCAAATTTAATGGTTGTTTATCTACCATACTACCTAAATTTAGAAACTACTAGGTTACAATATAATATTTTGAATAATTTATATGAATTTATTTAAGTTTATTTGTTGTCAACTATATTAAGTTTCAACTGCAAAACCATTGTCCTAAAATTAAATTTTGTTCTTAAATCTATCCTTAAATTGCATGGAAAATGTTTTGAAATTGTCTACGAATAAAAAAAAAAAAACACAATATAGTAAACCAATAGATTCAGAGCGAAGCAACCTAAAGATGGGTTATATTATTACTAATTGTTTAATTGTTCTTATATGATAGGTAACTTGTTTTCTATCTTATTTTAGACTGCTAAACTAAATATTTTTTTTTAAAACCATGTTTGTATGTATATGGTATGTTACTGATAAATTTTGAAGAAAACTCTTCTTAGGGATTTGACAGTTAATTATTGGTGTGCCCAGGAATTTTCAATAAGAGGGAACTTAGTAAATAATAATCACAAATAAATCATAACATCTTCTTATGGTCCTGTAACCTAAGAAAGAAAATTATATAGCCGGATCCAAAAACAAAATTTTGTAATCAATTAGCTATTACTTGCTTCAAGATAAAACTATAGTTTTTATAATTTTAAACCAATGAAATGGAGCCTATAAACTCTAATTTCAATACAGTACACAGGCAAAGTCATGCGAGAATAGCTATACTCCGACCAACGAGAGATCATTACCATGTCACGACTAAAACGTGTCCGATTTCGCGCATACCCCACCAAACGACAAACAACTGTTCAGTAATGGCCAGCAACGTTCAAACACTATACAGTGTGGGACGTAAAATACATAAAGTGTATACAGTCTGTTGCAGTGAGGACTTGCATTGTTACTGTCATCTGTATCGAGCAGGCTTACTTTTTAATTTTGTATTTTGTATTTTATATTATTTACACTGTGGTGTAGTGATATTTTCGAAAAATTGGGAATCAATGAATCCATCAAAGTAGATGATCCTGTCGTTCAAAATATGAGTGAGCAATTACGAGGTTCGCCCAGTAAAAGTAAGAATTTTTAAATTATTTTTCAGCAAATAATAAAATGTCTATTGATGGAAAAGTTATGTGACATTAGATCTCTTCATTATAAATATATTATTGATGAAGAAGCATTGAAATCGAATAAAATGGTATTGTGTCTGCCACCGTATCACTATGAAATTAATCCAATAGAACTAGTGTGGTCAGTTGTAAAAAATCACACAAAAAATAATAGTATGACGTTCAAGTTGAACAACGTAAAGAAATTATTGATTGATGGCATCCAACTCATAACACCAGACATGTGGGCCGATTTTGTTAGGCACACAATTAAGGAAGAGGATAAATTGTGCAATGTCGATTTCATTTCTGATGAAGTATTAGATGAAACACTGCATGTAATGCAAATTACAGGAGATACTTCTTCCGATTGTTCTGATTATTTTTTTATATTTTTTTTTTTTTAAATAATTATTGTTCTAAATTTGTGACGTGTACCTTTGTATTAAAATAATTTATAAAATTAGAAATTTAAAATAATACGTTATTATATATCATATAATAAATTGTCTTGAAAAATAAATACTAATAATATTAAAAAAAAAAAATATGTTTATTACTTTATCACTCTGTATAGTATAAACACGCATTTATGACACTTTGTAAACACGCCATATTGTGTAACTGTTGTGGCACATGGTATGAAATATAACCTCGGGCCAGTCACTGCCATCAGTTTACATGCACGAAACGGTTATGATCTCTCATGGGCCGGAGTATAGTGACAAATATAATAGGTATTTAATTTACTGCTGAAATTATCAAAGAATCAAGTAAAAATACTGCAGTATCAGATGGTAAAACTAACATATTAATTATTGTATAATTATTTTATAGTAGCTTAACTCACAATAATAATGCTAATATTTGATAACTTGATTTAAATAAAGTTTTAAATATTACCTATGTATTGATGTATTTACAAGAGGTTATTATATCAAGTGTCATTAAAACTTAGGAAAATATTTTTCAAACACAAGTCTCGTCGTTTTCATCACTATCTGATTTATTGTTTCTGGCGAGTGTATAACCAGATGTTTTATGAGACTTTCTGAAATCTTTTTTTCTTTTATTTGCATCAGCCCATCTTTCTTTTTTCGGTGTAATTGTCTCATATGTATGATTCAGTGGATTAGCACTAGAACAATCGGACACTATTACATGAGGACTGCAACATGTTTCTTTTTCACTGATGTTTCTTCCACAATCAGTAACACTATCTGAAATTCCTTCACAACTAGCACCACTCATTTGACTGGTGACAAACTCTTCAGTTGAGTAATCTCTTGGCTGCATATACTTGTGTTGTTCATACTGTGATCGGCCGTCTACTTCAACATATTCATGGTCAGTTATAGCACTGTCTGAGAATACACCGTTTTGTTTTAATTCCATACGAAGATTATTAGTTTTACCATTTTGACAGTAATAAACACCATTGTCAGTTAGTTCTGGTGAAGTTAGCGGTGGGCGTCGAGGTAAATTATTCTGTTTTCTTCGTTGTTTTTTGAAAAATCGTTTTGCTACAGTTATTTGATGAGGATTATAATAATCTATTTGTCTTTCAGAATTCAGTTGATGTCTCATCATGACTAATTGTAGCTGAGGTGATCTAAAAGATTGCAGTGAAACGATTTCGCTATTAGATTTTGGCCTTACTGATTGAAAACTGTCAGTCCTTACAGATGGCGCACGCACTGAGTCTACAACTTTTTTCCTTCCCCACCGATGTTCTTTGAGTTCAATAAATGCACTCTGAACATCATTTCTTACAAATACGTAAAACCACATAATTAAAAAATTTTGAAATATATTGAAACAAGCAAACCATACACCCAACCATAATTGTATAGTTGAACTGTGCATAACTGCAATGTTGAAATACGTCATTGCAACGGTTAACAAGTATCCCAATAAGGTTCCATTAAAAAATCTTAGTTGAACAACTGGAGACTGTTCGGGATCTTCTACTTTACTAGACGGAGTTGTTAGACTACGGCAACTATTATGTTCTACCATGCTGTTTGTTTGGTCCAATAATTCCAAATCTGTGGCTTGTGTGCCTTCTGAAAGCTGTACATTTGAATCAAGATCGTTAGCAGCACAGGAAACTAACAAACTGAGGATGAAAATACAACTGATAACCACTAAAGCAACTACAATGATAAAACCAAAAGCAGGACCTGGTTTTAAAAAACAATAATCTCCTTCATGTCCTCCATAACCAGGTAAATTGACAGCACTCGACATTCCACATAATAACATTGGAATGCCCCAACCCACCATATATATACCTAACAATGGTTTTTTCACAACAATATCTTCATGAGGTAAATTCATATCACCACCATCATCTGACGGAGTGCCAGCTGGAAGGAATGGCTTTCGCACCCGTTTATATAAAACTCTAATGAGGGAAAAAGTATGTTATAATACAATGTAATTTACACAAATTGATATTAATTATTTACTATAATGCTAGTATATTTATTATAACAGAATATTAATAAAACTCACTTTATTGTTACTGTCATCCAAAACAAAGGCGCCAAGCTGAAAAATTGAATTAACAGTCCAATAATTTGACAGGTTCTAGAATTTTCAATACGATGAATTCCATTGCTAAAAATTATACAATTGTGTTTTCATGTTATTAAAAGTTTGAATAACATTAATTAGTTTGGCTTACCAATAAATCAAGTAGAACATCGCCATTGCGAACCAAGTATTAGGAAGAGAGTGTTTTAATTTCTTGGCCATTTGAATATTACTGTTCAATATTATATAAAGACCAACTGAGAATAAAAGAAATGTGCTTCCAACAAAAGTTCCAATATAGATTGAAGTATGAGTAAACATATTTTTAGTTTTAATAGTGCTGAAATTATATCATTTGACATAATAATATTGTATTATATTGTAAACCAACTATAATAAATTAATAGTATTTAATAAAATCCTCATACCTATTTACCGGAGGTACAATATAATGTATCAATGTCGGGCTCATAGTCAATGCAAAATAACCGAATCTATTGCATTTATATTCTAACATGCCGCCACCAATATTTGCTAATAGACAACTTGTATTTGGGTTTATGTCCCATAAACCCGATAAAGGATTCCACCACGATGGACTTGGTCTCATAGTTAAATATAGATTGTAATTTTCAGGTTGGCGTAGTTTTATAACCAAAGGTCCTGGTGTAACTTCCATATCAACACCAACCAATTTAGTCACCAACACACAAGATTTTATTTCCGTAGGTATAAGAGTGACATTGTCTTCAGCCATTATCATCGGTTCTGGAAACATTTTTCCATCTTCGTATATGGTGAATACTAATTTTAATTCATTGTTAAACAAATCTGTTTTAGTATCACTTGAAAATATTGATTTCGGCACTTCTATTAACGCATCCACAATCTATACAAACAAATTAATATAAAAATGAACATTATTAGGTTGTATTATTTATGCTAAAGTAGAAGCAACAAAAAAAGTGTTGCTTGTAAATCAAAATAAAATTGCTGGTAGAAAAATTGAACACAGAAAAAAAAATAAACACTGTAAAACCAATACATTCCTCGCTTTCTCAGAATCTTAAACTTAATAATTTTAATTTTAAGTTTGGATATAATTTTCATTCTAATTAATAGCTTTCCATTGTAAATATAGTGTTATTAATGTTCAATACCTTTAACTATAAATTATAAATTAAGTATATAAACAGGCTATTAATAAATCTAGCCAAAAATTAAGTTACCTTATTTTCAGGAAGAGTGTGATTGTTGTAAACATAACACACCAAAGAATTCATTGTGATTGAAGCATCTTCATCGCGACCCCAAATACATGTTAAACCATTAAAATTTTCTTTAGAAATATTAAATTCTTCCATTGCTATAGCTGATGTCTAAAATAATAATTTATTTTACATTAACCTTACAAAATGTATATTATACAGTCTGTAAACAAAAATAATCAAACAATAATATACCCATCGAGAATTTAATGCTGATGCAAATTCTAAAGAAGTTTCTAAAGCATTTACAAGTCTGGAAGTAGATTTATCATTCTTCTGAGCAGCTAATAATAATTCTTTGGGCAATTCAGCCATTAAACTTATTAAATCCACTACAATTGGCGCTAACTAAAAAACAAATAATATTATTATGTCAATCCTAACTTTAAAATAACGAAAGTAATATCATAAAAATATAATACCGATTTCTCATCTCGTATTACATCCAAATAATCATCCACAATGTCGGCAATATAACTAATATCGAGATAATCTTTTATTTCATTAAAATGATCTCTTGTGTAATTAAATAGCTGTCTAGCAGTTTCCGTGCTGTCTTTATGAGTAACGTTGGTCTAAAATAACAAGAGAAAAATCTATGATTTTAAATCAATTTATACACATATATATATTTGTCATACCTTAGATTGTGTAAAAAATAAACGAGTAATCGGACTTGTATATGGGCAATCTGATGTATCTGGTACATCCCATTTACCATCGAAGTTACAATGTCTACTAACCATACCTCTAGCCAAAGGTTCAACTTCTTCATTTGCTTGGCATTGTTTAACAGTTATTACATCTGATATTGTACGAGTCCAAGCATATGTTCCTTTATTGTCTTTACTTTCTAAAATAAGAAAAAAGTAATGATTTCACTATTAGTTAAGATATTATTTATAAATATAAATGTAAATCAATTGTTTAATTTGTGTTACCTTCAACTCCACAAAATCTAGTTTTATTCGACATGACAGTAAGTGAAATTGATTGAATACTAGATCCACTAGATGAGTTTAATTTACATTCATATTTACCAGTGTGACTAGAATTGAGCTTTGCAATTGATAAATTACTGTAAAAAATTAAAAACATATTTTTTGTTTTAAATTATAATACAAAACTTTGAATATTATTGTATATTGTTCTCTGTTGGTTGTTTTCTGTCAAAACCAATAATACATTTATTTATGTATTTATTTGTTCTTAAATAATCATGAAAATTGCAGCATAGAAATATAAATTTATTTATTTTAATTGAAAATTAATGAAATTGTAATCCTAACCTTTGGATCAATCCTGTATTTTCAAAGTCTCCATCTGTAACAATTATCGAAGAACTAGTGTTTAATGTGTTTGTGTTCCAAGTTAAAATAACACCTTTTAAAGCATCTGTGCCGACAGCACTACATAATAATACTATTGAATCTCCTTCAAAGAGAACCTTTATAAAATTAAAAGTTATTTAAATGTATTACTATATAAATTACTATTAATAAAACTTGATATTTTATTACAAATATGGATATTAAATAATTATTATCTATTTACAAGATTTGAATTTGGTATGATTTCAATGGCTGGTGGTGTGTTAGATTTCGGACGCACACAGTTCAGCATATCTTGGCGTAAATTTTTTATTGGTGTATCTTTCAAGCTAACTGGTTCATAACATTCAGATTTAGGTCCAAGTTTTACTTTTCTCTTTACCCAATCGAGAAAACCAGAAATTTCACAATCACAAACTAGTGGGTTATCTGATATATCTCTATAATCATCAATTAACATAAATACACATATATATTATAGTGTTATAAATCTTTTAAGTACTTGATGATTACTCACAGTCTTGTGATGTGAACCATAAAAGTAAATGTATTGCCTGGTATTTGAGAAATCATATTTTTGTTTATTTTTCTATAAAAAGAAAAAAAATAACATAGTAATAAAAGAAAAAATATCATATTTTAAGATAATTAATTTTAAGATAAATATGATTAAGTAATAATAATTATGGTAACAAATATAATAATTTCTTACAAATACTCTAATGAAAAAAGTCCTTCAAACATGCCTTGGGATATGTTTTTGAGTTTATTGTCACTTAATGTCCTGTTAATTAATTTGATTTAAATTAATTTCAATACATAAAATATATTTAAATTTGTGAGTAGGTGCAAAATGAAACTCACAAAATTTTTAGATTTGGCATGCCACGAAATGCTCCATCTTGAATAATGGATATTAGGTTTTTGGTCAAATCTCTGAAACACAGAGAAATATAGGTATATATATTGTGGTATACACTATAAAATAATATACAATGTATCCCATCGTATTCGAAGGATTTTTCTAGAGCTGTTAATATAAAAATTTTTATTTTTAATCAATTTTCCTTTGAGTGGGACATTAATTTGGGGAAAAATTAAATTTTTGTTTTCATCTTCTCAAGACAAAAAAGAAAATAACTTTTTAACTAATCACTTTAAAAAATTTTCAAATTAGCCATTTCGTAAAAAAATTTTAATGTATCACACATTCATATCTGATGAATAGTTTCTTAGCTATAGTTGTTTTAATCAGGCGTAAAAACAATTAATATTCAATAATATAACACAATATATGATAAGAAATTACAAACAGCAACAGTAATTCTTTACCTTCTATTGAATATTAATTGTTTTCACGCCTATTTTCAAAAAATTAAAACAACTATAAGTAATTAGGAATCCATTAATCGAATATTAATGTATGATACATTGAAATTTTTATAATAATATTTTTTACAAAATGGCAAAATGTTGGACATTTTCTAAAGTGAATAAATAAAAATGTATTTTTTTTATGTTAAGGGCTGAAAATAAAAAAATTTAGTTTTTTTCCAAATCTCGTCTCCCTCGAAGACAAACTAATTGAAAAAAATGTAATATTAACAGTGCTTAAAAAATCCATCCAATACGGTGGGACGCACTATATCAATGTATAAAAAATATTAATATAAAATAGGCCAATCAAGGAAATGTGCTGAGGTAAAAGAATGTGAAATATATTTAAGGTGATGACCAGAAAAACATAGATGGGAGTCTCAGAACCTTTGTACATGCGAATATGATGATTAGAAAATATAAGTGTTGTATAATTCTTTTTTATATATTTTATGTCTTTATAAAGTTTGCCATGAATTATATTTTCTGTTAAAGTAGTCAGAAGGTATATCACTATAAAGTCCATATACAACTATATATGTCACATACTTAAATTCCCCACAAACTATCTAAAATGCTCTAAACAAATGCCTTTCAGCATAATATTATCCTTAAAATAAATCTATAAATGCTAAAATATTCTCTAAAAATAAAAAACTGTGAAAAATGCAGAATAAAAGTTTCACTTTTGTAGTTGTTATTTTTTTAAACCCAGGTGACGCATAAAAGCCGTTAATATATATATAAGACATTAAAGAAATCATAATAAAAATTAATTTCTTAAGATCTGAATTACATAAGTTAAAATTATTAATTTATATAATGTATAAATGACAAATGCATAAGTTTTTTAGAGATTATTAACAGCAAAAGATTCAAAATAAGAGATCACTTCTGAAATATCAGTTAGTTGAATCATAATATTGTGGACTTAGAAGGCATTGAATTGACCACCTCCTAAAAAAATGTATGTAACATTAAAATCCAGGCCTTAATTATATATTATTTTAAGGAATCGATAATAAGATAACATAGAACATGGTATTGAACTAAAATATAATATCTTACAGTTTCAATAAATTTGGAATTGGTATAGCATTTGTTGGTAAAGCAGCGATCACATTTGTAGACAAATCCCTGAAATTGAATGTATAAAATTGGCAATTAGTAATTAGGTACCACAAAATAATTGAACAACAAGTACAGATATATAATATTTCTAATGTGAAGTCTTACAGAAATGTTACACCAGTGAAATTTGAGAGTTGATCGTACGGTATCTCGTTGAGGTACATAATCGGCTTGTCGAGTCCACCACATTTTACTTTGCTGTACTTGTCACTAACTCGCTTTTTCGGACAGGAACACCGTTCCGGGCAGTTGGACACGTCTGTCTTTTGGGCTGACACACAGACAAAGAACAACAGAGCCCATGGCCATGTACAAGAGTACATGGTATTCCCTCGACGACGACGATTACCTAACAAACAGCTACATTGCAAAGAACAAGACGTCTCCTTAGACCCGTCTTGTATTATGGATATCAAGCAAAACGAAGCAACCCATTCTAAATAACGTCTTACGATCGTACGAAAATTCGAAAACGGTCTGTCTAGTTTCACAGATACTATGCTTATTTTGGTATTTGTTTACATTTTTTTTGTATTATTCGATTAAAAAAAAAACATACATAACCTTAAAAACGTGATGAAAGAAAAAGACCGACAACGGAGGACGGTCCCGCAGCCAATATTTGATAATAAAAACCCAGGGGTGTCTAAAATAAAACTAGACTATTCGAAATTCTTTTTTGAACCCATAGATAATAAAGTAATGGATAGGCCATCCCAAAGTTTATAGATAATTATCTATAAACCTTGAGGTCATCCCACAGCCTATTAAATAATTACTCTCGTCTGTGACCACAGACTGAAGCACGACAAAAAGTCATCCGACAAATAACCACCACACAATTTATTATTTAATCGTATGACAATAATGGCATAGACAATGTAATAATTTAAATAATTTAAATGGTAATAACCATGGAAATAATTATCAAACCATAAGTGCTAGACTTTAAAATTGAAGCAAGATCTCTGGTAGCAAAGTTTTCCACAGAAAAAATAAAATAAAATAATAAACATCATAGTAAAACAATAAGCTTTTTTTGCTCCACTCAAAATCTAAAATTACATTTTTAAATGTCAAAAAAAAGAACGACCATAAATATATTATATATTTATAAATCAATTAAATAATATAGATTAAATTAAGTAGGTTAATGCTTTTTTTTATTTTTGATGATTTTTTTAAAAATTGATATTTTTAATAGGTAGGTACATATTTTAGAGCTTTTAAGTGCTTCCATATTTATTACTTTTTTTATGATTATATGTGTTTTCTTCAACTATTATCAATTCAAATTATTATTTTAATTATGATGATATAACAGATCTTTATGTCAAATTTGATGTGAATTAGACAACTAGTATAAGGCATACATTCATTTTCATTAACTTTTCCTATTTTTGGTTCCCTATTCAAACAGTGATAGATTTTAGGAGGAGGTTGGGTGTCATGGTGATTGCTGTTCCCTTGAACACATTAGATTCTGTGTATAGAAAGGGAGCTATTTGTTTTACTATGAAGTGTATTTATTTTTTGTCTGTGAACATCAATAAATTACTCTAATCTACTTCGGCTGACAACTATGTACTCATCATATTATCATCAACAGTTAAGCCTATTTTTTTCGCGTTGTGTATGAGTTTTCATCTCAATCATTTGAAGGCCTCTAGGTCATCTCCTATAAGAGAGTAACATTATCTGCATATGTTAAGAGCCCGATTGATGTCCAGCCTAGTGTAATTTCTTATGACATATTAATTTCTTCACGAGATTAAACAATGTGTATCTCTTTATCAGAAACCTGTAGTCACCACTCACTCTCAAAGGTTGCAATGTTGTTTTCTATTTTGAACTTCATCTTTTGTCTGGTTAATACTGGGACTAATTAGGTGCATGATATTTCTTGGGAATCTGAATTCAGTGATTATATTTATCAAGCTTTCTCTATGAATAAAATCATGCTGTTTTAAAATCTACAAATATAATTATAATTTAAAAAAAAAAAAAATAATGTTCATATATGTTCTAGTTGTTTATATAATTTTATACCTACATTTAAGTTGTTATAAACAAGAGTGTATAATATGTGTATATAAATAACCCTGAAAATTCAATATCATTTGCAAACTTAGACTTAACCATAGACTAACATAGAATCTTATTCCATAGTACAAACATTTAATATCAATCTCATAGAGTCAAAAGTGTGGAAAAAAATTTGACTATAATTTACACAACCACAAATTCTGGAAGTTTAAAGTTGTGTTCAACAACAATAATAAAAAAATTTCTCATCATATTCAAATTTATAGATTATTAACATTGGATAGTTATGCTGCGAGTATGTTGTATAATTTACAAATTATTCTGTACTTTTGTTTTAGAAATTGAATATCTACAAGTAAACAAATATATTCACTCATTATGATATAAAAATAAATTCAAATATCTTAATATTACAGTAAGAAATCATTAATATATAAATTTAATGCATGTTTAATATAATTTGATTTATTTATTAATACCATATTTGCATTATCATTATGCAATTTCTATTTTAATTATGAAGTTTAAATTTATTTTACTCTATTTTTAAGCATTATATTACTATTTGGCAAATTCACTACTACTCGTGTATTTTATTATTAATTAATGGAATTCATAACAGGACTCAAGAAAACTAATAAATTATACATAAACTTAAAACAACAAAAACATTCTTTCACAATTAACATATAGTCTGTTTATTTTATTCTCTCAGTTGACTATTTTGGTTTTTTACATAATATATTAAAATACAAATATAATTATACACAGAAGTTAGTCTAACATTTACTTTTTCCATGTGTTATTATCATAGTCCCATTTCGATGACAAACCGTCAATAGGATCAACACGCAAATCAATCATACGTTTTAATTGTGCTTGACGAGATTCTAACGACAGTGAAGGATCATCAGCAGTGTTTGTCACTAGAAAAATGAATTAGACGACATAAATGAACCATAAAGATTAACCGATCTGTGTAATGTTTTATTTAAGACACTTACAGAATTTTCGAACTCCGACAAAGGACAAAATAGCTACCGAAGTCCAGACCATAACCCAACCGAATATAGCTTTCCACTCGCCAGTTGGTGTTTCTGCTTCGATTAATGTCTGACAGAAACTCGCTCGGTACAATTTTTTCTTTTCTTCCAAAGTTAATTTTTTCCAGTCTCCCTTTTCTTTCTCACGTAGAGCCTGTAATTATGTCATCATTATTATAATTATTATATGTACTAACTCTAAATTCCACAGTTATTAAAAAAAAATAAAGGTTTGAAGCTTGAATACATGTATCAACAAACAATTTATATAATTTATAATTGCATATTGCAACAATTTATTTCTCTATAAATGTTATGATATGTTTGTTGTATTTTTTTCTTTTTTATACCAATTTTTTAAGTTTGGCAGTTTAATTGTTCAATTTAATGTCATTCTTTTTCCTTTTAGTTATATTTTGTAAAAGGACGTCGTTCATTAAATTAAGCTAAATAATGTTTATCTATTGCTACTTTTAAATAAAAATATGTGTGCACAATGAACATGATATTATTTGTTTGTGCGGCCAATGAATGAAATTTGACCGCAAAAGGGTTAGATTAAGAGTTTGGAAAACAATTTATTCTTATTTGTTATTATTATAAAACATGTTAATAGTTTAATATTTGAAACATTCATTGTTTTTCAATAATATATGTTATATTATACCCATACATTTATTAGTGAGAACTGCTCGCTAAGTATAAGCTTTAACTTATAGGGGCACATCTGTATTGTTAATTATTTACTTTAACTATTACTACTAACGATTAGATAACATTTTTCTTCTTCTCTTGGCGAAATCACTCTATAAAAGTTTTAGCCATCACCAAAATATCACACCACTCTATCTTGCACTATATCTTTCCAGTCCTCAATATTCAGCCTCTCTAAATCTTCCTCTACTCCATCCAGCCATCTTTTTCTGGACCTGCCTCCTGGCCTTTTCCTTTGGGGCTCATTCAAGAGCTGCTCTTAACTTCTAACAATTATATAACATTGAATATTCAACATTTTTTCTCATGCAATTGCCACAATTTAATTTTAATACTACATAGATTTTTTTTTTTTTTTTACTATTGGTTATTTTTGCACCATTATTATATCATTTCTATCAGACTACAATTTTAAGCACTTTCCTTAATCTACATAATCTACAAAATTATCAATACCATTAGTCCGAGATATTAGCATAAATCAAGGGTAGCCAAACTTTTTTTCCTTTGAGGATCTACTTCCTAACAAAAATTCTCAAGTATAAATTACCTAATAGGTATTAAAATTAAACATAGAATATATAGTTAAATAATGATTTTCTTCACATTATTATTGAGACTAATATAATAATATTGCAAACATAACTGCCAGTATAAATACTGTAAATTGTATCACTTGATAAATTTACAACAAAGTAATGATATTATATTAAGACAAAAATAATCAGCAATTAATATTTAACAACTAATTACATAAAAATAAATTCTAACAAAAGAGAGATTGACATTTAAATCATCCACGGTCTACCGGTCAATTGTAATTGATTGGTTGGTCATGATTATAAGATATTTAGCATACACCATGATCACAGGATACATAGTTTGATTAATGTTCACCTTGTCTGTGTTGGTAGATCACATGATATCATTGAATCATAAAGTATATTAAAATCATAAACCAAACTAGTTCCCATGCATGCAAGTACTGTGTCCGAGCCCGAATTAGAAACCTAATGTCCAAGTCTCTAGCCACAGATTTTTTAAAAAAAAATTAAACAGTTAGCAATGAAATAATATTAGTGACCCAATATCACAAAAATTAATAACACAAATAATTTGTATGAAAATCCATTCTTCAGTAATATTTCAGTTTATAGTTTTTATAGTTAATTATTATGTACCTAATTCTAGATGGGGTCAATTAGTGACTTTCGTAACATTATTTTTTACTGTTCACTTTTTAGTGATCACACCAAGTTTATATCACTTTGAAACGATGAAAATCGAGATAAAAATTGACACTGGTCCATCAGTTTCTGGAAAACACTATATTATACCTATACCAGGCTATACCTGTGCCTAAATTTCAGGTATTCATGACACGTTGATAAGTTCATACATCCAGCTAAAAATACATTCTCATTATATTAATGCGATACCAATGACAATATAATATTACGAATGAATAATTATGCCATAAGCATAGTTTTCGGGGCATTATTTGTGTAAAAAATATGTTTAACATACAACGGGAGTTTTGTAACAGGCAAAATAAGGAGGTAACAACATTTGTGCGTATTAAATTTAATTGGAGCAAAATATTCCTACCAAGACTTCGGGTGTGTTCTTCCCGAACCGGACGCTGGGAAACGGGTATGTGATGTTGTCGAAATACTGGGGTTCACCATTTATACCGTAGCCGACAATATCACGGCCAACGATCTTGTCCTCGAGCACCTGCATGACACCCTGTACGGGTGCTTTCGGCTTGTCCTGGAACACGGCAGCTGCGGTCGTGCTGCTGTTTGCCGCCAGTTGCTTGTAGGCGAGCTGGCGAGCCAGTAAAGACCGGACTACAGAACGGGAATACATCTGTAACATGTACAAGAAGATAGAATACAACAGACCTGATTAGGGAGATAGTTGATGCGTACGACTTTCGGATCGAAACGGTTATCGAAATTATTCCAATCACCTTTTGTAACAAGAAATGAGATCGATGATGAAAATTTACACAGAGGAAAGCACGAATGAATTACGATTTGATGAGGCGAAAAGGTGGGATATTTTCCTAGGACCGTCAAGGGCTCGAAAATCGAATAACATATGATATGATGATAACAAGCATCCGTCCTTCGATCCGGCAATGTGACTATAACGCGAACAGTTTGTTGGCGACACTGTATCGTCCAACTTTTCGCGGGTTATTAATTTCTTCGATTGTCCGTTATTAGTTATATATTACCTAAAATATTGGCCAGTAGAAATTTCTATGGATATTCGTAGTTATGTTATTGTTTTTTTTTTTTTTTTTGAATACCAACTGACAGTCAATTAATTGTTTTCGCTAATATTCCATTGCAATGTTATAAATGTTTACGACAAATAATTAGCTACTGTTTCTATTTTGTACCCAATTACTATTCATAGCGAAAAATGAGTTCATGCGAGGTAAATATAATTTTTAAACGATATTTCCTACACCTAATATTATTTCGAGATACTATGTGCATAAGTAAACACAATAAATTATCGAGTGTCGTAAATTGCGAATATATTTCATACGTAGGATTTCGAAAAAGAAAAGGAAGAATTTATGAGCTACTTGGATCAATATGGTGTTATGGACAAATTAACCGACACGCTGATAATGCTGTACAACGAAACAGAATCACCTCTCGATCCTATTGAGTAAGTGCACAAATTTGTCACGCCTTAGCTAAAAACCGCGGAAATTCCAACCCGTGGGGTAATCCGTCACCTACTTAAAAAAAATTCCAAATTTTCAACAGTTTTTTTAAAAAAAATTTAAACTGATAACAAATATCGACTACTAATACTACTCCGCTCAGTATCGTTTTTTGGCTGTAATGATTTATCGTTGCTTTCAGTATAATATACATTAAACTTATAACCTATACTCCCTATAAGTTATAACCCGTACTTAACTTTCAAACTTCGGAAAGATAGGACTGAATATTTGTTCAATGTCCATGGCTTCCCGCTTTTGAAATACCTCGCACCAATAAATTCCCAAACAGAACATTTTTTTTTGGTTTTGTTTTGATTAAAGACCATATTTTTAGCCACCTGGTATTTTAGGGAAGTCGTTTTTTGATTTTCCAAGCGATTTTCATAATATGGAAAAACCGGGATAAAATGTCGAAAAAACGGTAAAATTTACGAAAATCATGTATTTTATTTTCAGTTAAAAATATCCGAAGTGACTTAAAATTTGGACAGAAAACTCATATTTGCTTTTTCTAAATGTGATAAAACTGTGTACAAATTTTGAGCATTTTCGAGCATTTATATCGGCATTTTTATTTTTACTTGGTAGGTACTCTGTGGATAAAGTTGTTAACAAAAAAAAAAAATTGAGTTTAGTGTAGTATTTTTTATATATATATATATAAGAATTTTAATATCGTTTTAGTGAAAAACTATATGAAACAAATCTAGTAGTGAGTCTAGCCCATGCAAATTGTTTTAATACATATTTATTTACTATTTTATTACATTATTACATATATATTGTTGAAAAAGCAATAATATTAACAGAGTTCCACTCAGAATCGTTTTTCGTTTGAAATGATTATTTTTTGCTTACAGATATACATTAAATTCTCCTCTATATCCTACCTTCCCAATTTCGCATTTTCAACAGTGGTCCACCCGTTGTGCGAAGTATGTCCGTCTTTAAAAATAAATTCGCAATTTTATACAGTTTCATGTAATATCAACCAGTTTTATCTTTTATTCTAAATATTTAAATGTTTTTCATAATTTATCAAACTTGAACCTAATAGATGGGATATATTTGCGCTCACGGTTATAATTTTTTTTTTTTTTTTTAATAAGGTTTTATAGACAATTCAAAACATTGGAACCTATATAATGCATTGTAGGATTAACTTAAATTTTAAAATATCTGAGACTTTAAAAAAAAAAAAAAAAAAAAAACATTACAAATTTCATTTTAATTTCGGAACATAGCAAAAGATCTATTGGTTTTACTATAATGTAAGTGTATTTATTTATTTATTTTTATTTTTCTGTCTGTGAACAATACTTTTCTATCGGAAAATTTTCTCCGAAGTATAGACTAAAAAACTTTTTCTGAAAGGTAATTTTCTCTCGTTGGTGCATTGTGGTAGTTTTTTCATTTTCCAAGGGGTTTTACGAAATAATTGTGAAAAACCGAAACAAAATTTTAGGGAAAACGGCCAATATTTACTGTGCGCCGCGGCGTTAACATTTTAATTGTTTTTATTGTGGTTATACTTAGTTTTATACCAGAAATATTACTTTAATCCGAAATTGACAAGAGATAAATTTTGTTCCTTTTAATACATAGCCACTGAAACAGAAAATCGTTTTTTGGTATCCAAGGTGTTTTTCAAAATAATTAGGAAAATTTACTTTAATGTAGTTTTTTTTTTTATACGTAAGTTTTAAAATCTAATTTTGATAAAAATCGTAAAAATTACGACCTTTTAAAACATAAATAACTGAACTTCACTCCGAATCGTTTTGCGGTATCAATGGCTTATCGTTGGTTACAGGTATAAATTATGTATCTCATAATATACCTCATATCTCATGTCTCATAATTGAATTTTCTAAATTTCAAATTTGCTATTTATCGATTTCTTTTTAACGTAGTATTTATAGATTTTTAGGATATTTTTATAGATATTGCATCCCGGGCATTGGCACCGCATGCCTCTTCTCCCTTTCCTATGGCCCTGGCTGTTGGTGTATATCCAAGTTAGATAAAGTTTAATGCTGGATAAGTAAAACGGACGTACACGTCGTTGAGATTAAAGTATACATCGCACGGTGCACTCTAATATAGTTAAATCACTTTAATCTCATAATTTTCCGTCATCCTTGTGTGCGAAATTTCTCTCGGCGTATTTCACGTTCGGAATTAGTGGCCTGTAAGTAATATGATTATAATATACACGGAGCATAAATTAAAATCGATATAATACACTTAGTGAGAACTACGGGAGGGTGCAAAAGTGGGCGTGTCGACGAAAACGTGTAAAACGCGTAAACTATAATAATACAACAATTTGTATACATTTATTTAAACGTTTTTTATTGGCAGTAAAATAATATTATCTTCAAATACATGCCCAAATCATACATTAATATTGAATATTATAAAATTCAAAAGAAATAAATCCAGTCATATTTCGCACCAATCAAGTAAGCCACTGTTGTAGGCGGGTAGCTTAAGAGGTACACGGTAATTTAGTTTATGTGCAAGGATTAATCATTGCAAACGAAAAAACAATTCTGAACGGAGTATAGTATTAGCAGTTTATTCCCTATTATTGTTACCAAGGTATAAGTAACCCAGAAATCGACAATAATTAAAAATAAATTTAATAAAATGATGTGCAGACTGTGAAAAATGTTGATAAATGTTTCAAATAAATTACCAAAAACCGGGTATTTTGAATCGTTTAACATATTATACGGCATGGTAAGAAGGATAATGTTGGATACAATTCTCTGTAAATTGAAAATTCGTAACTAAAATTTCTCCGTTAAAAAAATTGAAAACCGCACCGAATAGATGATATGTTTAAGGAGTAAAAAGTGGGAAAAGAAATTACATGAATCGTTATAAATTGTTAAGTATACAACAGTTTTTATAGCTTCTCCCGTGTAAACTATTGCAGGAAAACGGCTTACGGGGTAGCTATTTTAATGATTGTTACTAAAATAATCTAACGTTGTTGTTATTTTTTTTTTTTAATAATTTTACTATCAATAAAATATTTTAGTTTCGTGAGAAAGAACATGTGCCTAGACAACGCGGACGTCAAAGGGATCGCCGAAATGAAATCGAAGTTGGTGGACGCCAAGGCTGAGTTGAATCGTCTCTTGAACGTGCGAAACGAATTTAAGAACCATCTGTCCCGGTTGGAGGGCAAAGGGTGTTCGTCGGACGAGGATTGCGGCGGCGTAGAAACGGACGACGACTTTGGCATGGATCAGTTGACGGCTACGGCCACGGATCCCAAACCGGAATCACGCTAAATAACAGCAGAAATATGCGTTGACATTTTATTATATTACAACAATTCGACAAATGTTTTCACATAATAAACTAAACGAAACACAGTATCTCGGCACACGCGGTTATCTGCAATCAATATTAAAATTTAGCGTAATAATTTGTGTACAATGATGGAGTTTTGTCGCAGAATGAAACGGGGAACGGGACATCGGCTATACGCTATAACGTGTGCGTGTTTCGTTTTCTTTCTGGGATTGACTTTTCGACCAGAAATCTCGCTCCAGACATCATAATATATCCGCAGAAGTATCATTCCCGACGTAACTTTGAACACTGTTGGATAGTAACTAATAGGGTATGCCGGAATGGAAACCGATCCCCGATATAATATATGTGTACATATTGGACGGTGATGTCCGGGGAAAAGGGAATAAGTGCATTTTATAATATATTGACCTTATATAATATAACGGCTGATGACTTATCCGGTTTTACCGTAAGTTTTATGATAAAATTAACTTCCATTTTTTATCGCCAATCGATATGGACTATTATAATCTACACGAATATGCAATAAAAAAAAAAAATAAATAAATAAATAGTTAAAAATACTTATACCGTCCACCCGGGTACCGGGTACAACGTCCAATTATATAGGCATAAAATATAGCCGTAGGTAATTAAAATTATAATAATCATTGCAATTAATAATCGCTCGTGGTTTACTATTTTAGTTCCTATTCGATTTTATCGAGGTAAGTATTACGATATAGGTACACTGTCTAATATTATAGTGTTCAGAATGTCACGTTTCGAGAAGTATGATAAGTAACCGATATGTACTAATCGAGAAACCGTATTTATTTCGGATTATTATAAACGTTTAGATTGTTGGCGCAGAAAATATTATTAAGTAATATAACACATTTAAAATACAAGAGATGCAGATGAAATTAATAATTATTTGTTTATATACTCGTATATGCAGAGGGTATCTGCATGATTTGACAATATTTGTTGTCTATGTAATAATTGTATAATACACGGAAATGCGCAAAAGCCGTTTAATCTGTTGACGGGCGTGTAAAAATGTATAATACATTTTAAAACGATTATAAAAAAAAAGAGCTCATGCTTGGGACAGGTGCAGCCGTGCAGTCACTTATAGGTAGGTAGCTGGAAAGGTGGGATATTACATAAATTATTTAATTTATACCTGTAACCAACGATAAACCATTACTAACGAAAAAGGATTCGGAGCGAAGTTCGGTTATACATGTTTTAAAAGGGTGCGGGTCAAAATCCCGACATCTACAATCCCGACCTGGTCAAAATCCTGACAGTTAAAATCCCGAATTGTTCGAAATACCGACAGTCATAAACTGCACAATATTAAAGGGGCTTCGTATAGGCAATTTTAAAAATAGTTAACTTATTTTTTTTTCGGATTTTTACAAGGTCAACAAGGTGCACTCAAGTGTTCATATTTTTATTTGGATTTTATTATTTACATTATATTTTACGCAGTGACGAACCCAGGATTTTAGTACTGTGGTTCTGCCTCACTTGCGAGAGGCCATAAGTCATAACTAATTTTTTAGTAAAATTTTAAACTTACTTACAAACTTAGATTCTACATATTTATTATTATATTTGTATACATATAGTTGCAGTATATTTATTTTATCTTAGTTTTCAATAACTGCTTCCATTTTCACAGTAAAAGGTAGTAATAAATTCTAATCCAATAGAAAAAAAAATTCATATATAAAATTATATTTTTATTATAATATATATAAAAAAAAAGTAAGTATAGTATTACAATAATTTTTTACGTTTTTTTCATTGATGCAAATGTATTGTTTGAGCTATGTTGCTTTCTATGCTTAATATTGCCAAATTTGATAGCCGGTCTTCAGTCATAGTTGAGTGAAGGTACGTCTTGAGAAGTTTAAGCCTGCTAAAAAATTTTTGCCGGACACATAAAACAATTCAAAAACATAATCATTATTATTAAAACCAGGTTGATAAGGCCCTATTTCAACAAGAGTTTTGATTATTTGAGGTGTTAATACAGTATCAATAAATAAATATGGATCTGGTGTACAATCATGGCATCTATCAATTAATTTCGATTATGAAACATCTTCTTGGGCAAGTTCAATTCGTTTGTCCGTACCAAGAGTTGGTAAAGTGAGTGGATTATCTTCCTCTTCACTACAATTATATTCCGAAGATTGTTCTTGACTGACGTTCGATTTTAGGAAGAACAATAAACTTCGATTGGCTTTAACTGCCTTTTATTTTTCTTTAACTAATCGCCTTGCTCCACCAGACAGTCGAATTTCTTTATTAGGAGCTTCCGTCATTAATATTAAATTTGACAAACACACACGTACGCAACACAACACAGTAAGACGACAGCGAACCGAATGAACAGACGCTCGTTGACAAAATGGTAAAATACAAAGAATAGTAAAAATAGTTATAAATATATATAGCGTACTATACGTTTATACGTAATGCATCAACAGCGACCAATGAACATGGCCCATATAATTATTATGGATATTGGATCATAACGTGTAAAACAATCCCACTAATTCACAATTCTCACTAATAATACGATAAGAAAATCTATAAACAGTAAAGGGATTTCACTTAATATATGCGATAAATATATTTATATAAACAACAACATCGATTATCGGCGTATGTCTCGTAGAGGCAGCCGCGCGTGCGGTACACGCATGTTTTCCGATTTGGGTGTATTATTTGTTGATAACGCGCTGGCCGTACGATTTCGTACGCGCTATTTACACTTCAATACCCAGTCCTCGCGGCTTTCTACAAATCATAATATTTATAAATTTATAATTATGTTTCCATAGAAATGTTTTCTTGAGCCCGTGTACATTTTACACATCACTTATAACACCCGTATAACTATTATTTAATATTAATTCTGTTTCGATTATTGCAGTATTGTACATATTTATGTAGTTGGTCGTTTTGAGGGGCCACATTTTACCGAGAAAAAAACTCTGGGTCAGCTGACCTCCCAAACCCCCCACCTCCTGGGTCCGCCCCTGATTTTACGCTAAATTTAAAAGAAATCGGGTAATGTCAATTTAAATCGAGAATTTTAAATATCCAATCAAACTGTTACGCCGAAATTTGAAAAAAAATTCTCAATTATTTCGAAAACCTTTTGGAAAACCGAAAAAATTATCTCTCTAATGCACCAAGCAGACACAATTTCCTTTCAGAAAAGGTACTATATACTCTATACATCGGAGCAAGATTTCTTTTCAAAAAATTGTTTACAGACAGACAAAAAATAAACAGAGATGATACTGGGGAAGGGAGCGGCTATTGTTGTAGGTTAGAAGTTGGGAAGGTAGAATACATAAGGTTATTTCATTTATATCTGTAAGCTACGAAAAACCATTGTTTGACGTAAAATGATTTCGAACGCAGTTCGGTAATATATAATTTTTGCGATTTTCGTTTAAATTTGATTTCAAAACGTTTATTAAAATAAAAAAAAATTCGTTCGATGATTTTGGAAATTTTATCACGTCCAATATAATATGGTAAGTCCAATATAAGTATTATAACTAAGTTTCAAGTCTCTACGTGTATTTATAACCGCGAATACAGCAATAAACTCCCAAAAATTAAAATTCCTTAATAGCTCATAAGTGGCTCAAAAGTTTTCACGATAATACCGTAAGAAAGTAAATCAAAAAGGCAACAAAAAAGGTATCTTGTGATTTTTCTTTTTGAAATTATTTTTTCTGGTAGAAAACATCGTCCGTGTTTTTATAAAATAATAAAATCGTGAAATTGTACGTTTTCCTACGTTTTTTTCCACTTAAGTGCTTTTATTTAAAAAATGACGTCGAAAATCAAAAAATGCCCTGTTTTGAGTTCAATTCAGATAATTCGAGCTTTCAGAAAAGTTGGTACGCGTAAATATCGGAAGAAGTTTACTAGGAGAAAACGTGCCCACAGACTAGAACAAACAAACAAAGAAAAAAAAAAGAGAATGAAATAAATGTATTGTAAAACCAATACATCCCTCGCCACGTTTGGAATCTTAAAATCACAAATAGTAAAACCAATAAATCTCTCGCTACGCTCCGGATTCAAAATTATTATCAATATATTGTATCGAACGAATAAAAAGAAAACAATTTCGAAGATTAAACATTCAAGTAGGTTAACGCGTTTCAATCACAATAATTATATGATCTAAGCCGTTTAGGTGACACACAGTCGCTGCTGTCACGTGTCTGCAGCAGAGGATTACGTATAGGATCATATTATTTAGGTAGTACTTAGTAGGTATTTTAAATGTTTCGTATGCGGATAATAATATTAATACGATGTCATAATATAACGGAATTAAAAAGACTCGTGCTTTAAAATATTTCACTAAAATTATAATATACAAATAAAATATAATGAGCTTTTCGACGCGCGTACCTATTCACATTTTAGAGACAATTTTCGGATTGCACAATGTTCACGGAATAATAGTTATAATCATAATACGAATGTTCCGCTTCAGAAACGGGAAATATCAATACATTGTTATCGTCGGAAAAGTAACCTAAAGCCTAAATCTTATAAAAATGCATAACACAACCTAATAAATTATATCATTCAGCGGCTGCTCCTCTATTTCGGTTTTTTGTCTTTCGTTAATGTAATTAATTTTTTTTCTCATTGTTTTTCTTAATTTTTCAAATATTTTGCCAATTTTTTTCATCTGTCGATGTTTCGTTACTATGAAAACGATGAACAATACTGTATAATGGCCATCACTGCTGATATAAATATATAGAGCTAGGAATTTGTAGCATTATAATTTTTTTCTCTTTTAGGTACATCACATAGCTCATCAAAAACAAAATTAGATCCATACATCACAGAGCTTAAATATAAAATTTGATATTGCATTTTTCATATTTTCTTACAATTTTCAAGAATAAATGCAATTTCCAGTACAATTTTAGAGATTTAAAAGTTTTGTTTTAGCATTATTCATCCTTTTTGAATGCATTTATTACTGTAAGTTTTTAGTGCATCATTTATTTAGCCCCGAATTTATATTACAGATACCTAAATTCTTGTATATTCTTGTAAGTTGTAAATTCTTTTATATATTCCGACATTTAGGATTTATACGCTTGATAAAAGGCAATTAAGAATAATACATTATATTTTACTTGTTTAATCAATTATAATAACCAATTGTAATCAGTTATTACTAAAATTAACTGTAAATGAGAGAATTAAATTAATATTAAATATAAATTAATATTAAAGTTACCAAGCTGTACATGTTCTAATGGTATTTACAAAGAACTAAATGTGTTTAGTTTTGATAAGTTATTAAAAAATTGTTTATTACAATACTTAAATATATAAATGTAGAGATGTTAATTCAATATGTAAACATAATTTCAATACCTACTAGAATTAAAAAAAAAAAATGTCAATATAACTATGTCTATAAGCGTTTTAAATATTTTGGTTACAAAAGCTCATTAAAAACTGCTGTTATGTTATGTTATATAGATTCAAAAAACTAATATTAAACTTTTTAAAAATTAGAACCAATTCTTAAGTATAGCATACTAAAATTAATTTAGATTATAACGTTCTTCTATAATATTATAAACTATCGTTATCGTCTTTTGTCAAATTACTCGCTGTAAATTATTATTACTATAAGTATATTCAATTTTCTTTTAAATTTTTGTATAAACTATAACAGTTTTTTTACATTATAATATATATAACTCCAGATTAAGAACATACGCCTTCAGTACAAGTCAAATTTAAAGATTATGTGCATTTATTTGTAATTTGAAATTTACCCGCAGATAGTCTTGCAATAAACCAGTAAACCGAAAAAGAAGAAAGACGGACATGCTTCGCACGTGGGTGCAGTTACTATTGCGAAGTTGGGAAGGCAGTAAAGGAAAAATTTCATGTAGAGTTTTCCCATCGAATTTGAAAAACCGGGAAAAAACATGGGAAAACCAGAAAATTGGTACATTAAACCAATATTACCAAAGAAAATATGTCTAATATTATAATGTCTATTTAATTATTTTACCGTAATGACATATATATTGTTGACAAAGCATCACTGTCAACTGAACTCTGCTCGGAATTGTTTTTTCGTTAGTAATGGTTTATCGTTGTTAACAGGTACCTATACATTAAATTACCTATAACAGTGGTTGCACCCGTTCCCATTGTTCCCTAGGACAGCTTTTTATCAACTAATGTCTACATTTGGTACATTTTTCCGTTTTTTCACGGTTTTTCTAATTTGTTCGGAAAACTCCTCAGAAAATCGAAAAATGGCCTCCTTAGAGTATCTCCTCGACCCAATTTCCTTTCAGAAAATGTGCTATACTTAAAAATCGGAATAAGATTTCTGTTGGTAAAGTGGCGCACAGATAAAAAAAAAAAAATCTTTGTAAAACCATAAGCTTCTTCGCTCCACTCAGAATCTAAAACACCCATATTATATATGTTTGATATTCCATTTAGAAGAAAAACGAATCCTCAACTCGAGCACGAAAATGTAGAACGGGGTGATTTATTATCAAGTAAAAGGAAAGGACAAGAAAAAGATAAAAAAAAAACAAAAAAAAAAAAAACCCCGTAAAATAATAATACTATTAATAATACACGCACGAGTGTATATTGTATTACAATAATAATAATTTTAACACATATTAAATACATATCACGAAGGAAAATACAACGATAATATAATATTATGTATATTGTTATAATGTATTGGGGCATTCGGTACCACCTAAACGGTTATGCATAAAGATACGTAATACAACAATAATTATGTATAATCATCAATGAAAAATATACTGGAAAGTGTCTAAGGTATACAACAACGTTATGCAATAACATTAAAACGGTTATAATCAATAATAAAATATTAAGCCGTAAAATACAATAATGATAAAAATAATAATAATAATAATAATACGATCACACGATAATAATTAATTAAATGTGTAGCAACATTAATTGGTATACGATGTTAACGTAATATCGTAGTACACGGTAAAAATTATTATCGACTCGCGAGACTAGAATAATATTTGGGTTCTAACGTCCTAAAATATAACATAAAATATATTTTAAATTATCATAATAGTTAATAACGCTGGGTCGGACAATCGCGAAAGACATTGTGCTCAATGCTGTATTAATTATAAAGGTAATACAGTTTGACAGTTAATATTATATCGATGCCCGCCGACAGCATTAATGTTAAAATAAATAAATAGAGACGATAATACAATATACCCGCTATTCATCATTGAAATAAATAGTATAATGTTATTGTAAATTGTTATTATTTTTTTTTTTCTGGACAATATTAATTATAATTATATCTAAAATAATATATTGAATGAATAAAAAATATATTAGGTATTGTATTGGAAATCCAAAATTATGTATACATTATGTTATTATAATAATATAAATATATAGATATAATATTATATTTTCGGTAATAATAATAATAATAATATTGTCAACGAGTAGAATATATTTTATTTTAATTAAAACAGACGACAAAAAAAAAATATATATATATATATATATATAAATACTCGTAAATTACAATTAGATAATTCATAACACATTTTGTTTCAAATTTATTTCAAATTTTTTTTTTTTTTCTTATGTCACGTACCGTCATGGTGTTTTTCCCCCCTCAAAATTATACCGAAATGATTTTAACCGACGCGAAACACAGTTAAAAACCAGTTTACATCACAATATCGAATCAATTTCGGAAATATCTGAAAAAAAAAAAAATTACCCTTTTGTATTCTATTTGCGTCCCGATAGTACAATTTTTACAAAAATATTATAACGCGGATATATTGTATCGTCAACCGCGAAAAAACTTGAGACTTTCGAATTTCGTATCGTTCTGAGCGTATGTTTTTAAATTTATATTATATACATATTAATGTGCCGTTTAGTAATTTACACGGAATAAGCTAAATTTTAAATTTATTTACCGTTATATATATTATGTGTTTATTATCAGGGCGAGTATCCGGAGATTTTTTCGTGGTGTGGGGAAGGGTTGTATAATGTACAGTGGCTTTATTATACGGGTGGTCATCCGGGTAAAAAATATATCACCCCTTATCTCGGGGCTTTTTCCCATTAGTATACGTTTATCAGTAACGATAAAGACTTTACCCCCCCCCGCGCTCTAAATACATCGTTTCAAGGTCCCCGAAACGCGTTCTACTTTTATTTAAAACCGCTACGCCTTAGTAATATCGCGGGAAGCGGGGGGCGGTGCAGCCGTCCCATAAATATTTATCTATTTATTTTACTCGTAGATTTTAAAGCGTATTGATTTTGTCGTCTTTTAATCACCGCGAGTCGCGCACTATAATGACGTACTATACGCATTTTTTTTTTTTTTGTGAAACTTTAAGGAAAAAACGAAGGAAAAAAATCTGATACGATTGGCTGACTGGTTACCAGTACCGTCAGCAAAAGTCCGTGACAAAGAGTATAGGAAACCATAGCAGAACAGAACTATTATAGAAAACTGCGGGTGACTATTGGTATATGGCAGCCGACAGAACACCGTAGCATCGTCATCCTTACACCATTGATATTTCATTATAATAGGTTATATTTTATACGGTTTTCTCCGCAGCGAATTCATCACACGGAATTCATCACCGGACAGTTTGAAATCCCGTATAGTGCCTATACACGCGACAATAATATGTATGCCAAACCCCTCTTCTGTATTATCTAACCCGCAGCCAACGCCTCCAGCACCACGATGTATAATCTGAAATCGATATTGATATCATGTAGTCGAGCCATTATAATTTTGAACCGCGTGTCCCCATGGTCCTTACAAAAGGGGCGGCGTTTGCACAAAGTGTATTGCAAGTTTTGCAAAAATATTGGCATATTTGCAGGGCCGTTCATCGGTTGCCTAACCTAACCGTCGTTTTCGCGTTAAACCGTCTGTTTACCTGCGCCAAAATATCGCACATCGTTTTGCGCATCAATACATACAAAAAATACAAGTCACTGTCGGTGTTTTTTGCCGTAAATCTCGTCGTAATAAATATATTATTTATTTTATATATTTACAACCGCAATGTGTAACCGAAAAAATTCATATTACTTTTGTGCCGCAAATATATATATATATATTTGGTTAAGTTTGTCGAGAAGCTAAAAGTTAATAAACAATTTCAAACATGCTGACGCGCAAACGTATACGATTCTTTGGCACGAGGTTAACGACGGCGATGCGCAAACAATGTATACGATCCGAAAAGTTAGACGATACGCAAGTGACTAAAAAAAGGTCAAAATGAACAATTATTATAGCGATGATGATGGTGCGAATGATGTGCAGCTATTCGCAAAGCATTACCAGCGTTGTCGTTTCCCCAGAATTTAAATTTCTTTCATTGATTAAGTGACGGAATTCGACTGTGTATGTATTTATAATTTAGGTGTACTCGAGCGCTCTGTATAACGCAAGTATCTACTCGAAACGGTCGTCACGTAATAATAGGTAACTATGCATTTTGCGTAAGCTTTTATATAGTATGTATGGAATTAATTTCTAGAACCATTTATTCCCTGCAGTACACGGTACGATCGTTAATGCGTGCTGACTTATCGATTGGTTTTTGAGACACATGCATATAATTATACAGGCGGCGACCGACGGGATTGTATTTCAGCGAAAATCGTACATCGAAATTTAATAAAAAAAAAAAAAAAAAAAACCATCACAATGATGCCTCAAAAAATGGACGAGGTGTTCAATTTTTCGATATTCTGTTTCATTTTTTTATTTAATCAATTCGGGTTACCAATTATAGTTATTAATCTAACATAAGATAAAGAAAGAATGAAAATTAGTCTCGCCGATTATATAGAATTCGGATTTAGCGTTTTAGCGCAACGGTGTAATTAGGCTACATGTCATGGGCGGGGGGGAGGATTAATATCTTATCAAGGAAAAACTATTCATCCATATGATAAAATATAAGAACACATAGAAAATTTTGTGAAACGTATTCATTAATTACTAACAGTTGTTGTACTTGGCCATTTATTATTATTATATTACGATTATTATAGTTGTATTTACACGTTAGACAAAATAACAAAGTTACCATTTAATTTTTTCTTAAAACAATTACTTTTTGTTCCGAAATTATTGAATATTATCATAAAAAAAAAGTCCGAATGGGATTGGACTCCCAGATCCCCCCAACATTAAGCAAACCGTTTTAGTGACAACATTTTGTTTTCTCTGTCTGTCTCGCGCTTAATATACACGTAGCAACGAAGACATTCCTAACTCCCACGATTATGACTCTCTGGTTGAATTTAAGACAAAGCGACCTATTATAGGTCGCTAGGATTATATTTCATATACAATCGAATTTATTAAGTTAGTTCTTCGAAAAATGAAAAAATATATATATTTTCGTTTTTCATCAAAATATTTGCAGCGGGTTTTAATTTTACATAATTTCATCAACCATCAATAACTTATAAAAAAAATGAAAATATTAAAATAAATCATTCTAAGAAGCTCGAGGTAAACACTATTTTTTATACGTAAAATATCCCTTATTCATCCTAAACATAACCAGAGAGTCGTTATCGTGGAATTGCGAAATATCTTTTTCGATATATTATGCGCGAGACAGACGGAGAAATTAAAATGTCAGCAACCCGATCACAGACCAATCACAGACAATAATATAGGTAGGTACCATTTAAATGTCGACGTCGAAAATTAACGTCAAAATTTAAATAATTTTAATTTATTTAAAGATAACAATAACTATTATAAATTATTATAATATTATGCACTTGTAAACGAAAATATAAATCATATATTTTTTTGAGACAATGAATTTTCATTATTTTCAACGAGATTTCGTTAAAACCGCCTATTACACGCGCTAGTGTTCGACGCTCGCATGGACAGTATAAATAAGGTAAAAAAAAAAACAAAAATGAATAATAATAAAAACCGAAAATCTCTCGCATATGCTTCCTGTCTAAAACGCGTTCAGGTGGACCAAGGCGTCGGCGGCGTTTGCTGCTGTTGCAGGTTCGCCTTCCGGCAGTTCCACAACCACTTGATGATCCGGGCGTTTCGCTCGACTATGGACGGCAGTTGTTGTTCCGTAGACGGATTCCCACCGCCAGACTTTGTCGCACCGCACGTGGCCGGCACGTCACACGTGCCCCTGCCCCCGACGCCCCCGCACGGGCCCCCTTCGGAGTAGTTGTTGTTGACGTAACCGTTATTGCTGCCGCCGCTCACCGAGCCCACCGAACTGTTCGAATCGCCGAACCACACTTGCGAACCTTCGTCTGAATCGTTCTTCACGATCGACCTGAAAAACAAAATAACACAGTTCGCGGTAAGTATAATTCGTATACGTTTAGGTACTCGTATCGTATCTATCATAGTGATGTGATATAAATCCGGATTTCAAAATCCGACATTTCGGACCTCAAATTCCGAAAAATTTTTGGTTGGTACTTTAAGGAAGTCAATTTTTGATTTTCCAGGCAAGTTTTCATATTACTGGGCAAAACCGAGGAAAGACATGGGGAAAACGTAGGGATAAACGGACAAATATTTATGGCGTAAAGATTTCACGATTTTACACTATCGTAAGTACAAATATTACTTATTATTAGTGTTATTACAAACAATAATTACCTATCAATATGGTTTCATACTAAAATGTTGATATTTTTAGATTTCGGATTCCAAAATCCGAAAATCCGGATTTTCGAACCTCGGCAAATCCGGATTTTTCCCACCACTGGTATTTATATGTATTACAATGTATCATAGAGGACAAGATTACCGACGGGGATGATTTCGAAAATGCGTATACAAGACGCGCGTTTGCGATGCGTTCAACGACGAATCGAACAAAGACAAGTTATATTGAAGACTATACACTCCTTGGATCCACCCAGGGTCCACTTGGGTCCATACGATTTCTCACTGGTCAAAATCGTACACATATGTTATATCGACCTGGTAAATCAGAGATATAATATATAATATGTATACACATATTTTCATTTCAATTGTAAAATCATAATTCGATATTATAATAATGGACCAATGGTTGAAAATATAATTTTAATCGATGTCCCATTTACGTAAACGTAAATATCATATATTACGTATTAACGTGAGGGGATTATTAGGTCTGACAGCGGTGGTGTAGCCAAAAGCGAGGGGTGGGTATTGTAACACTCTTCCTTCCCCGACGCTTTTATTTTTTAGCTTTAAATAAGATTAAGACGGTTGTAGATCCTCTAAACCCTCCTAGACCCCCTAAACCCTGTTTATCAATCGACGTGCAACGGCCCGACCCTGTATTATATTTAAATAATATTGCAAACATAATATTATTTGATAATTACATTTGTTTGTTTTTGCAGTTTCAGTTTCGTCTGTACAGCATTCTTTCAAGATCATTAAAAAAAAAAAAAAAAACGTTGTCCAAACCTTTATATAGGGGTTGGTTTTTATCGACTACTCGTGAACTTGAAAATCTATTGTTTAGCCCCTGTACTTGTAAATTATAATGATGCTAGTTTTTTTGTCCTACTTCTTTTCCCCCTCGGATTCACACACGATTCGGCCACTTGAACATCTTTATAACTACGAGTATATGACCGTATAGGTCAAGTGCCGATAACTATTCGTGGAGTGATAATTTCAATCAAACGGTTTTTTTCCCCGATGAGTATTTTTTATTTTTTATTTGTTAACAACTTTTCTACCAGAAATCTCGTTCTAATTTTCAAGTACAACATATTTTTTTCTGAAATAAAATGTTGTCTGGCATTGACGATGTAATTTTTTGAGTTTTCTTTTAGTTTTATTTTTTCAATAATTAGAAAAAACGGGAAATTTTACGCTTGAATGGTTTATGTGATTTTCGATTTTGATTTTTCTTTTTTTTGTCAATGGGTTAAAAATAATCACGAGGACTTAAAATTCGCACAGAATCGTCGTGTACACGTGATGACACGATATTCTATAATATAATAATATAGTACGCGGCGAAAGGTTCATAATATATATAACATATTTCATACGTACGACTCCCCGTGGGGCAACGAATACGCACAAATCTATTGCCATCATGTACCGAAGGAGTGTTTTAATTTTAATTTCTTTTTTTTTTTCATCGCACAGTCGCGAGTTCGTGTGGCGGTCTTCGGTCACGAATATTCAGGCGTCGATGAGTATATATGTATAGATAAATATATAACAATATTTTTTAATCGCGCACGTCTAATGTTTAATGATATTTGCAGCGCAGCCGCCGCGTCTCTCATTAAAAACAATAATAAATCTCACGATTACGGTACGTGCAGAGAAGGTATACGATGATGACGACGACGACGGTGTATCTACGAAATTTAAAACTTTGCGGCGTGCACGGCGTATATATAATTTAGATAAGTATTCGAAAATGTTTGTAATTTCGTGTATGATGATAATAATAATTTAATCCTTAGAAAAGTCGGATTATTTTTTTTATTTTTTTTCCTGGAGACGTTTATTCGATGTGCAATCCGGATTAAAAACAAAATCCGCAAATCCGGGTGCGTATTGTCGTACCCTATTTTCAACGAGCCACAAAATGCAAATGGATTGTGATGGCTTTTTGAGCACTTGTCATACATATATAATATCGATACCTAACATTTTTCAATGATGACAATAATGAACAATCAAAATGCTTCGTAAAGAGTATAGGAAGTTTGTGTCTTGCGTCTAAATGCAAACCTAAAACCTACTATGGTTAAACTCATTAGAAAGCCACGAGAAGTTTATGTAAAGCAGGACAAAGAAAAAAAAAACAAAGAAAATTGTCTTTACGTTCGTCGAATTTAAATCCAACAATATTTATTATAAGGATTGCATTATCTTTTGCGAAACAATTAGAACACATGTATGTTGCGCTTTATGATAAGGTACCTAATTAAAACGAATAACGCCATATCTAGCCAATCCATTTGAGTATGCAGTTCTCACAACCCCCCGGATATTAAACACGAATATGATTTAATCTAGAATTCCGAACGAATCGATATAGGGGAAATGGACTACAATGTTTAACAATTGCAACGACTGTAGAATAATTTTGATGCTAATAACTTAAAATGTGTTTTAGAGACAACATAAATGGAAATGGTCAAATGGCGAAAGGCTACCACGTGATTTTTGTAATTTTTAAATTGATCGTAGAATTTTGTTAAGTAAAATCCGGATCAGTCGTTGCAGTGTATAAATCGGACTATACGGATTGTCACGTTTTGGTTGATACGGGTCAGTAATCCGATGTTCGGATTGATCCGGCTTAAGTGCTCAGCACTAATAGTTTGCGATGACGCTTTTGAATATTTTTCGTTCTCCGAGTTAATATCCAAATCTGAATGAAAATCCAAAAATGAGTACGTGACGCACATGTAATTTTTTTCCCAACGTTCCCCTATAATTATAAATCGAACGGCACGAAAACAATTTTTTTTTCGCGAGAATGAAAACTCGTAGAATTTATTATACATATTATAATTCGTTATTAAGACGTGCGTATACTATTATCAATATTATAATATCAGTATGAAAATCGAAACCACATCTCTCCATTCCGATCTTCCATATTATCGGTCAAAACACAGTTAACGGATTATAATACAGTAATACGTTATGTAAACAAACAGGCAAACATTTTTTACAACCATTTTATTCTAGAAAACATTTTCCATTACACAAAATTATACTATGGTAAAAAAAAATATGCTTACAAAGTTTCGTCCGTTTATATTACATTGCTATAGACTACAATATTGATGAATAAATAAACAGCACAGACAAGACTCAAACAAGATTTTTATTTCATCCGTTGTGTAAGCATTAAAAAAAAAAAATCCTTAAAACATATTGCGTTTTTTTTTTTGTGTACATCCGGAACACGCTTTTTTAGGATATAAAATTAAATTGATAAAATTTCGTGTATACTTTTCAAAACGTTATTTTTGAAGTATTATCAAGTGTATACTTAAAGAAAATATTTTTGTGTCTTTTGAGTTTAACGGTCGTCATTTTCCATTATAGCCATAATTGTTTCTATTTAAAATAATATTGCACACTTAATATTGTGATTTAAAAAAAAAGAACTGATACTATTCACGGGTAGGTCACTCTGTTATGGATGGGTAAAGGTAAGGTATAATATATAGGGTAATTTAGTTTGTATATATGGTATGCCAAGATAAACTAATACAAACGAAAAACCGAATCTGAGTGCAGTATAGTATAATTCGTGTGTTTTCTCTTGTTGGTTGTCAAGAAATCCGCAAAATTAAACAATACATTTTGCGTTTGTCTTAATTATTAAGAAAATTATTCATGGAAAATTAAAAATAAACCTTCCCAATTCACCAAATATTTATAAAATTTGACTCGAGAAAATATGCTATACATATACGCTTGATATTTGGTACGAGATTATTTGTAAAAAAGTGGTTTTAGACTGAAATAAATAATAATAAAAATAAATAAATACATAAATACATAATATCATCAGTGGTGCAGAAAATATATTATAGTAAATATATAAAGTGTAACAACGTGTCGCTACTTGAGCCTGCCATTCTCTCTACTATATACATGCAGGGGAAGGACTCATCCCTATTTATGCTTTAATATTCGTAATAACATACAATTTCATTACATTTCAGTAGTTACGAGACATATTAGCATTTAGCAGTACTAAAGTTACTTATAAAGTTTGTAATTAAAAAACTATCAATGTGCACGTCGTACAATTTTTGTAGTGATATTATAGAATTATAATGCTCCTTTAATAAGATCCACGAGATTAGATAATGATTTCCAAATTGATTTACTTAATTATAATTTTGTTGAGTCTTTTTGTAATTAGATCTTATTAGTATCTAGTTATATATAAGTTATATGATAACTATGTTTTTTATTTTATTAATTGTACTATTATTTTTACTTGTTTTTTCAATTTCTATAGTTCCTTAATTCACCTTATTATTATTACACGTATGTATAATATAACATTTATTGGTCATTTAATCCGTTTAAATTAATAATAAATAAATAAATAATGGATTTCGACTGTTTTTTTCAAACCATAATATCAGTTACGTTATAAATTAATGAAATAAATAAATTAATACCTTTATTTATTTTGATTTTCAACATTAAATATTTTCATTCGTTAAAAGATTAACAAATAATATTAATGAAAATTGCATTTAAATTTTCTTTTCGTTATTTATAAAGTTGTATGCATATTTAATTGAGGGGAGGGTTGCGAAATGATATGTTTCCCTCCCATGAATTACACGGGAGGTAACGGCCTTTCCCACTTCCCATACCAACTGCAAACCATAGTAAAACCAATACATTTTTCGAAAAAAATTGTTTTATTTATACGCTTGTTTGAAGTTCAAATGTTAACGGAATCGTGAAGAATCGTAAATTGATTGATATAATACTGCAGTTTAAAATTATCCGGTTAACCCGACATTTGTACTCGAGCTGCTGTGGATGACCTCGGAATCGTTTTAAATTATTATTTCGATCAACAATCACGATGTCAAATCGACATGATATTACAGTCGAATACGGGAAAAAATTTAAAATACATTTTGGCCACCCCTACGGCCTACATACAATATAACTTACACAGTGTGCGAATAAATGCGCATTAATATAATATTATTTATACGGAATATAAAAAATGTATAAGAGCATAATTCTCACTCGGCCGAATAATAGCATCGCTGTCAAGGTCGAGACGAGTGGCTGCTGCGGTCGATGCGCGGATCTCGTTAGGCTATTGATTTTTTTTTTTTCCATTCTTTCGCGCGGGTTCGGGTTTTCTCATCTGTTCCCGCGCCCGGTCACGAGTGCGCGCGCCGCTGTAACCGACGACAACGACGACGACGACGACGTCGGTTTGTAAATTTCCAATATTATAATTATGATTATTGTTTTTCGTATGCTGGGCGTATTCAATTGGTGTACAGGAATATTGCGCGTAGAACGACGGAAATATTGTGTTCAGATGTTCCCGCGGACAAAAGGAAAGTTCGCCTTAATCTAAGTAATGTATATATTACCCATATATATATATTACTTAGATTAAGACTTGTTGCTGTAAATTTTGAAAACTCCGAATAATTTACATTATGTACGAATTTTTCGAAGCCCAAACGTTTATTTTAAAAGTCCCGAGGCCGATGTAGTTGCTGATCGAACGACGGCACTGGACATGAGTAAGTATATACATATTACATAATAATACACATAGGTATTTTATGTTCGTGATGCGAAAACGCGAAGGTCCGGCAGCGGACGAGCGCAACGCCAAAATGAAATCGGTTTTTGATTTTTACAAGGCACCAGAAGAAACTGTATTAAAAATGATTTACTTTGAGGTTTTTCTAAGATCCCGATGTTATAACATACTATCTCTCTTATACCCGCAGAGCAGGAAATGTCCGAGAGCGATGAAACTACTCAGAGACCCGAAGATTTTCTTACACCGTTGTAATCGCGAAAATTAACCTCCATGATATTTGACTCCAACGAGGTAAAATTTCACAGGTGAATATTTACCCTTCCCTCTCTTGGGAAATGGCTTATTTTATTGGCTTTTTAGGTCCATTACCACTTACACAAACATAGTTCATACTATTGTTATGCAATTAACATCTTCGTGTTATTGTGATATCAGCTCTTCTCCGTCCAGCAATCTTATGATTTTCGGATTATCTTTGACTCGATCATCTCAGCACCGCTGTTTATTGAGGTCTTCCCCATGGTCGTACTTAATATCTGGTTTCTGTTTCGTGACTAATCGTTTTATTTGGCTACCATTTTCTCTTCATATACGTGCTCATCCCACTTCATTTTTTGGCACTTGAGTAAGAGCTCTTCAGGAAAACACATTGTTAGTTGTTACCGGGCTAGGAATTATCGACGAGAATATTTCCAGTAAGTATGTTTTTATTTTTTCAAAATTAAACTAACAAGGTTATAGAATTAGTTATTAGTATTATAAAATGTATGTTTTGATATTTAAGATCCCGATGTTTTATTTTTATCTCTTCTAGTAGCAGAAGAGAAAACGTCTTAGCGCGATAAAACTATAGGTATAACTATAACGGTGAGCCGATATAACTTTTTTCCGATATCCGATGTTTGCTACCGATTAAAACCGATACTCGATCCGATATTTGAAATCGATAAGGATTCGTCGATACTAAAATTAGCTGATAAACCGGTTGAAAACCCGATGTTTTTAATGCTTTTTTCGTATTCCAGAGATATTATTAATAATTCCCTCCCCCCCCCCCCCCCCAAAAAAAAAAAAAAAAAAAAATCCGATATCCCGATTTACTCAATAATATTGTCGATACTCACCGTTATAGTATATACTGACGAGGACTAAAGAACTTTCTCACCGAGTTTTCCACGACGGATTATTGACAATAATATTTCGAGTAAGTATACTCGCGCGTTTTTTTCCTCTTAAAATTACGCAGCAGTGATTTTTTTAACCCGTATTATAGGTATTATAGCATGGTATCTTTTCAATCTTTAGCAAGAATTCCGTTCAATTGCAGGTGTAGGTATAATAGCTATTTACGAGCATAAGATATCGTTTCTCGCGGACTACCGCGGCCAACATCAAAGAGCAGTAAAGTGCGTATAGTTTACAAGATATATATATATATAAATAATATACTAAAAATAAAATACTAGTAGGATAGTATTTTTTTTTTTTTTTACTACTCTGTAATAATATCGTAATTTCATATGTATTGGTGTAATAAAAATAGCGAGTAACTATAATATAATATAATATATGTATAGCTGCAGTTATAAGGTTTCTTCGGTATTTTTTTATGGTGATACTATTATTGTTTTTCCGCTTTCGATTTTATTACCGTTTTAAGTATAATACATATATACAACTCTATACAGTCAGTGGCGTGTGGCGCAGGGAGGAAGATTAGGGGTTATATTCCCCTCATACCTCCTCTCCATTGGTTTAAAAACACACCGACTAACGAGTATTTATGTTGTAATATTATCTTGAAAGTATATATATGGATAGCTATTTCAGTCAAGTTATATGGAATAAAAAAGCATGATTTTTATTGAATAAAAAAAAATCGGCTTTTTTTGGATTCGAGTTTTCTATTCATATTTTGTCGAATTAGATATAACGAAGATTCTACGATTTATACACGAATCATTGTTCATATTTTTACTGCGTCACCTCCCATTCAAAATGTCTAGGTACGCCACTACTATTCATAATTCCTTAAAAATAAAAGTGTAATTGCATTCAACAAATGTATTCCAATGAATGGATTATTTTCAAACACGGATAGATGACCGATATGAAATACACTCAGAATCTATACGGTAAAACAAAATTTTATTTTTCGAATTCATTGATAATGGCACGAAAAAAATTACCATTATCGTTACAGGAGTGTCGTCGAGAACGCGTCGGTTTGTCGGCATGACGATCCAGTAGTTTTGTGTTATATTATGTTACACTGCGCAAATATTATAACCAAAATCGGGAAATGTTTTTTTTTTTCGTTCGTTCGTTACCCGTTATCATCATCATCATCATCATCATCATCGCCGTCATTATTTTCATCGTCGTCGTCGCACAGAAACGCGTGTTCGTGTATACAGATCAAAACGATATAAAATGCCGTGATAAATCGACGAAAGGTTACAGTGGCCGCAGAGGAGACGGCGTCATCGTAGTATTATTATGTATTGTACAATATATATATATATACACAATAAGAACGAATATAAACGGGTACACAATATATAATGCCGGATATAAGATTTCGACTCGGCCCGAATAATATATTGTACAAAAGTCAAACGTCTCGAGACCAGAATATTTATGGAACGGTCATGGCGGCGGAAAGAAATGGTATACACGAGATATATGTATGTATATTCATTTACGCGTCGTCGCCGGTATAGCTACCTTCCGAGGTGTACACGATTTATTATTCTTTATAATAGAATAACACCGTACACGGTGATGTATACCCCGGAAAGATGGCCGAGAAAAAAGTCCAAATAATTCGAGTTAAAAAAAAAAAAAATTAAAAATTGAAATAATAAAAAATTGTAAACGACCGAGTGTTTTCAATATTTTCTTCGATTTCGTAAAATTCGAATATTATTTGTTGCCTCTTTATGGATACTTTTAATATGATAATAACATTTTCCCACTAATCTATACTGCCCGATACCACATTTAAGGGAAATAATAAGGAGTACGGCCGAACAATATTACGTTTTAGGTGTATAAGGTGTAATAAAATGCGCACACTACCGTTCGCCCAATTTTAATTTTGAATACATATTTGAATTCGTTGATTTTTTGCAGTCTGCAGTGAAGTGTAAGAAATATTTCTTGGTATCAAATATCAATTGATCACACTGACTTTATATCTATTGGCATGGATCCCCGGGCCCTTACGCTCGCACGATGGAGTTTTATCCACAAAATGGTCGATAGAATTTATAATTGACCAAATTATATGTTCGAAAATTGTATGTTAAACGGCGAAAATAAACATTTAACGAGAGAAATTACAATAATGGATACAGACATTTAATCGATAATCGGCCGTCGTTGATCACGTTTCACGGGTTCGTATTCCATAGAAACGAAACGTAACATATAATGAGGATTTCTTTCCATGACGAAATCAATAAAATTACCCAAGCGTTTGTGATTGTACGATATCAATACCGCGAAATTCTGAATATTGTATTGTACGCGCGCGTTTAAAAACGTTTTATAATGTCGGGGCGAGACGGATTTTTATTTTAATTTCGGTAATCACGATTATTAGCTAATAGAACTCACCGCTAGATTAACCGCAAATTAATTTCTATTCTTCGTATATTTTTTTTTCTGAAGAATGAGGAAGCAGCCATTTTGCACCACCAAATTGCATACCGCAAACTTTACGAGTATGCATAGTTACGATCGGCAGGGATGGGTAAGATGCTTGAAAAATGAGTATTTATATGTTTATTTTACAAGTATTGCCAAGGATACATTTACGGGGGGGGGGTACATTGAGTATAATTGGCGCGGAAATCAAGGAAATTAACTTCGAATATCCAAAAATAAGGAAATTAACTTCGAATATCCAAAAATATTCACTACGTTATTTTCGCCTTTTATCACTCACTTAATGGAGGGGGGGGGGGGGGAAGAAGTAAAATACAAACTATACCTAAACTACTTTTGTAATATTAGGTGTTTCAAAATATTTTTCTTCCTCCCTTTAGAATGCGTTTTTAAAGTATATGTGTTCCGCGCTCGAAAATATGTGCCTCTTATACTTAGATCTAAATATTGCAATACTATATACGAGTATACTGTATAGATACTCGATACATTAAAATTAAAATAGCTATCAAATACATTTTTGACACATGCAGTATAATATATTAATAAAATATGAAAGCACGAAATCCCGAAATCGGTCTTTTCGCACATATTATTTGAAACATTTCCCCTCCCCCCACCAAATTTTCATACAAACAATCATTTTTCATGTTTAGTTTTATTTTTGAAAAGCTAGGGGGGGAATCCAGTTTACTCTTTTTTCAGATGCCTATGGACAAACTTTAAAATAAATATTCATAGACACTAGATCATTGATACATTGATGTCAGTAACGCTATACAAGACATTCGATATATACTTTCTAGAACTGTATCGCGATAAAAGATTCCTCAAAGATACAATTGTATCTAAGATAAGCCCAACCTTGGTAAACGGATTTTGATTTCTTTTTGTACTGTATTGGTGATAGCAGTATCTGGTTATCGCGATTTTCGAATTCTCAAGAAAATGCTCACAACGTTTTTTAATTTTTATAAAATTATATAATAATAAATTCCGAGATTAAGAACTTGAAAAACGTTTCGTTTTTATAGGAATAGTTCGTGACCACGTAGGCGAATCCAAACGGTCTTTGCGCAAATTATACGATCGGGACCTTCGTGATGGTTATTAGAGAGTCAATATTGTAGAGATTTCGAAACACAGACGATAGTAATAATAATAGTAATATATGCGGATTACGTCTGCACCATTTCAATATGATAATTTACGACACGTGCCAAGCAAAATGTCCAATTATATTGCTTCACCCGAAAATATAAAACAGATTAGGAATCGTTATACGAATGATTGCAATTAAGGGGAATAAAGCAAAACTAATATATAAAGGGTCATATAAATTTCATGTTACAGTCAAGTTTTCAAATACTTATTCTTTTAAAAAAATTACTTATCTAAAAACAATTTGGAATCATATAATATTAAACATATATTTAGTACCTATACCTACAGCATATTATTTTGTACTATCCTACATAGGGGTTTTTAAGTAATAAATCAGAAAAATAAGATAAATATATATAGATAAATAGATTTACAACAAAAGTATACATACATCACAATATCCTGTTTAGTACGATTTTTCGTTCATCGATAGGTACCTTATTAATTATATGTGATTGAAGTTATATTTAAACTCAACAAAATACCTAAGGAAATTTTTTTTTAAAATGCCAATAACTGTATTTTTCTTTTGCCAAAAATAGATAGAGTATTAGATTAAATGCATTTTTGTATTGAAATTATTGATTTCAATCCACTCGTTGAGATGTTATTCCACTTTTAAGTTTGGATAGAGGAACAGTAGTAGTGCATTCATCTGAGTAGTGGCACGATGCAAGGCATTTGAATAGTACTCTACTATACTCTCCCTCTTTCTTAGCTTAAAAGTGGAATATCTCGTCAACGGGTTGACGGAAATCAATAATTTCAATACAAAAATGCATTTAAACTAATACTCTATCTATTTTTGAATGACACCCGTATATATATATATATATATATATATAAAAGCTAATATATTGCTGATAAGAGTTTAACTGTTCAACTGTTATGGATGGGAAATTGGATAGATAGGATACCTATATAAATTTATATATGTTAACAACGATACATCATTGCTAACGAAATAAGATTCTGAGCGAAGTTCAGTTAAATGTGTTTTGAAAAGCGGTGATTTTTACGATTTTTGTCAACATTTGAACTTAACATGGTTTAAAAAAAATATACTACTCTAAGCTCGATTTTTTTTTATCAAAAACAACCTACAATGAACAACGATTAAACAACCTACGTATTAAACTTTTAAGTATTTCTGTTCGCGAAACAATTTCGTCTACATGAAATCAGATAATAACTAAAAATAACATCAAAAATATTTTTAAAATTTGATCTCGTTTAGAAAATGGCTACCAATATAAGTATTTTGTGAAAATTCAAAGTTTCTTTACCTATGGTTATTTCTAACTGAATTTTATTAAAAAAACAAAATTTACAATAATATAATTATTACGTTATGCGTAAATAGTCCCGTTTTTTGTGCATCGACTTGACAACTTTTTAAAAAGGTTGGCTGACACAGGATTTTTAGGAATTTTGGTGCAAAAATCGAATTATATTTATTTGTAGTTATTTTGGTGATATGAATGAAATAAAATTTTTAAAAAAAGGACAGATACTACTAATGGGTAGCTACTATTTTTGGACAAAAGTTGTAAAGGAGAACATATAGGGTAACTTAATATCTGTATAATATGCAACGATAAATCATGAACACTAAATCTCATGAAAAGCTATTCTGAGCTCTTTTTATTATTAGCAGTTTTTCCCTTGATGCAAAAACCAATAAAAATTATAAAAAGTCCCGAGTTATTTCCATTTATTAAGAAAATAACAAGGAAAAATCAAAATATGACATCCTTAGTGCACCAATTAGATAAACAATTTTACAAGCAAGTTCTTTTACAGTTTATGATTAAAGCAAGATCATTGGTAAATAAGTTGATTATAAACACAACAAATAAACAATCATACAATAAAACTATTACATATTCCTTGCTTTACTCAGAATCTAAAACAACTGTTAGAGGAGACACGGGAGAATTTTAAAATTGTAATTGCTCGAATGGACTTTAGTAGTTTTTTCCCCAAAATTTTCTACGCAAATTTATAATCTTTTAAGTGCAAAATTCAAACGGGACATTTCCGATTATAGCTTAATGACATAATATATTGACTATTACTCAAAGTTGACCCGTAACAAAAACATAAATAAGGATAATAATATACCCACTTATTAGTTTTTTTTTTTTTTTGCAATTTTATGCGAATATTCACACGGGTGATTTCCGCAATGTGAGTGTTTATAATAACATAAATTAAAACCGATTATTTTGCAGAGGCGAAATAATAAACTGTAATATGTAAAACACTTAACGAAAACTACGCATATATGAAACGTAACCGAGACGAAATTTTCACTTCAACTTTTGTAATGTTACAACTCTATTATAATCTGCATATTTGTACAAAAAAAAAATCGTGCCAAATTATTGTGCGAGCAAGAACATTGTACACTGAACAAATCTTACAAATCTTACGAAAAGGTTATTGATACCTGTGATGATTCTTTTACGGGTAATAAAACATAAAAACCCGATAATTTAACTCAAAATTATTAATATTTATTATAGTCAGTGTTCGGGTCTTATCAAAATTGTTTATTTGTTTCGTTTTGTCACATTTTACTTACCAAATTTTACAAAAAAAAAAAAAAAAAAATTGGAAAAACGGTCTGTTAAGCGTAATTTAGAATACATATATTATAAGTACATAACTAAGTAAACTTGACATTTTTATAGTGTCATAATTATACCTTTATACCTTTGTTATAATAATATACATTTTTGTCAAAATATTTTATAATACATATCGTTTTGAAATTTATAAATAATGATATTACATTTTTAGAAAATAAATGTAAAGAATTACTATTATTTTGGACTTATGCAGCCGTTAATGGCCTACAAAATATGATTAGTTTGCGTTATACAATACTGCAGTAGTGTCCGGGAGAGGTTTAATGGGAATTGGTTTTCGGGAGCATCGCTTTCGGATTGTTATAAACGCGCAGTTTGTTATTTAGTAAATAATAATTATTATCGTTGTGGGAAATGAAAATTAATTTATTAAAATAAAAAATCCGTTAACACAAATAGAAAAAGTATTTCTAAAACTAGGACGCCGGGCCGTGGCGAGCTTTTTAAATAAAAAGATTTATTTTTCAAAAATAATAAATAATAATAATTTTCGTAAAAACTCCGAACATCGAAAACTTACTAGACCTAATTTCCATTAAAAATTCGGATTTCCCATCCAATATATTGTAATACAGAAGTCTAAAAAATATGATAATAATAGTTACTAAAAATTTAATATAAATACTTATAATATTTAAAAACGACTAAATGTAAATAAATATAATATGTATGGTATGAGATATTAAAGAAAATCAAAACTAAGTTTACAAAATTTTAAAATCATAGATCAGCGTAGTCCGAATCATACATTTAAAAAAAATCAACTATAAATTGTCCATTAAATCCCGAGCCGTATCGACGGTGTTTTGTTAAAAGGGCGTCAATGAAATTTCACTTTTTTCAAAATGCAAGAGAAACTATTTTGTAATAAAACAAAAATACAGTTTTTAATGATGTTTGTCATGAAAAACAATAAAATTACTCGTACACATAACACCTTGTACACAAAGTATACATGCATTGAATGTGGACACGTGGTATACGCCCTTTTAACAAATTGGTGTTGATTTAATTATATTTCAAAAAGGCGCCTAGATATCTTTTAGTCGACATTACCGACTTAATTTTCTGTATTTAAATACACCCTTTTACCTGTTTACATTCTTAATTTTTCTGATTTTTTTGATACCAAAAACGTATTTTTCGATTTTTAGTTGTATTTTACCCTTTTAACGAAACACCATCAATATGGTTATTTAAAATTCAGTCGAGGAAAAGTTTTTGAAATTACCATAAACGACCGTATTCAATGATTTTAAATCGACGACTAAAATAAAAAAAAAAAACTCAACCCAATAATATACAAAACATTTTGACCGGACCGCACTAAACCCGGATTTAGGTCCAGGCTAATCCGGGACAGGCCTGATTTCTAGTGTACATTATATTCATTACTTAAATATATTATAGTACGACTCACCTGTACTCGTCTGGATCGAGGCCCAGGTGACAGAAAAATTTCTCCAGCTGTTCGGGATCGTAGTAAACGTCACGGGCTTCGTCAGCGGCCGCGGCCGAGGTAGTCAACGGGCCCGCGGACAGCAGACTCAACGGCCGGTTCAACACCCCGTGGCCTACGTCCGACTTGCTCCGGAGTATCGGCCGGCCACGGAACTCGTCTCCACCTGCCGTCGGCACGTTGTTGCTGTTCCGGTGGTTTCGACGCGGGGCTACCGGCGGTGGCGGCGGCGGTGGCAGCTGTTGCTGTTGTCCAGCACAGGCCACCGTCGTCGGACCGGATTGTGGACGACGGCGGCGGCCGCGGCCGTGCGACACGGTCGACTTGACGGGCGAAACGCTTCCGCCGTTTTCCTCTCCGATCGAACTCCCCGTCTCTCCATGAGCCTGTAAAACGTCCGGAGCACACACATGATTATTTTACGTAATCAATTCCTTGTCACTTGTTTCTCCTTTAATAGTTCAATAATCATAAAATGATTTGAAACAAATTTCAGTATAAGAGATGGAAGACAGCAGTTAAATAATAAATGCATAGCTAGTTAAAATGTTAAATATATAAATATGTAGGTAACATGTTTTGATTTGTACGACACAATCCTTTAGTATAAACCATAAGTATAGAAATACAAATGCATAAAACATCAAAAACATCATTTATCATCATGCTGTTCAAGTATTAATTTAAATTGCAAACAAATGGAAGTTAATATATAGTTATAGGATAACCAGCATAACGTAAGACACTAATTATTTCGAAAATTAACTTTTTCGAAATTTGTTATTTAGAACATAAAAGAAACGAATAACTCGAAAATTTTACATTATCATCATTTTTCGTCACTCTTATTTTACTGGATGAAACCCCTTTAGATTTTCAAATAGTAACCTATATTAAAAACATCATAAATAGATGAAGTTTTAGTTTAAATCAATTTTAGTGTTGACGTTTTTAATTTCCGTTTACCCGTTTCCAGTTTCAAGTTTGGGTAAAAGGAAAGCAGTGAAGCGTCATTTTTGTGACATTTCAATAGTGTTTTAATGCTCTCTTCTTACCCACAAAACGACAAACTCAAAGTATTATATTATTGATAGTACAAATTTGGGAATCAAAATACATTGTTACAACAATGATACTAGTACGAAGAATTATATTTCTCTCAATTTTGCCCCTAATCTAAATTCTTCGTTTGTTTAACACACTGTGGTAGCGGTTGATGGCGCGGCAAAATATTACGTCCCTGATGTTCAGGCAAGTGAAATCCACAGTCAGAAAATCTACGAAAGATTCAATTCTACCGAGTATTTTTTATCGAATTTCCTCGTTCGTGTAAAAAAACTACCTGGGGCTCTCATAAATATTTTATCTCGCAGTGTGTACCTACGACGATTCTTTTCATCACTGTGACCACCGTTCATTCCTTCGATAAATCGTTTGTCGTGTAGTTTTTTGTTCGATATTTGGGTTATTCGCTGTCTACGAAATAAAACGAGCTTCTTAAAAAAGAACGATTTTTCATTCGGAATTACAAGCCCCCAGAGTCGAATAGAAAAGAATATAATAGAGTAGGAATAAACAAGAAAAATTACCTTCGTGAATATTTTATCCGCATTTTGGCGCTGCAAAATATGATCGTTTTAAGTTTGGTAATTTTTTATTTATTTTTTCTGCGCGTCATCTCGAGTATAAAACTTTCTACGTTACCTTTTTTTTTCGTATAAAGTTTTTTTATACGCACTCAAAATTTACAGCAATGACAAAAATTATTAAAAGTTTCATTAAAATTATTTCCGACAACAATTTTGCACATTAAATATATTTATAAGTAATACAATAACATAGGTACGTAGAAATGCGATGGTAAATTAAACTTTAAACTAAAAGCCACAAAACAAAAAAAAAAAAATTAAAAATAAGAGCTGATACTGAGGATGAGAGCAGCCTCTGTTTATAGGAAGTTGGGAAGGTAGAAAACAAAAGGTTATTTTATTTATATCCGTAAGTAACGGTAAACCATTGCTAGATGAAAAACGATTCCGAGCGCAGTTCGGTTATATATAAGTTTTGCGATTTTCGTTTAAATTTGATTTTAAAACGCTTGTTAAAAAAAAAAGTCATCTAATGATTTTAAAAAAATTACCACGTTTAAATAAATCCAATATAAATATTATATTACCAAGTTTCAAGTCTCTACGTGTATTTATAACCCGAATTACAGCAAAAAGACTACCAAAAGTTAAAATGCTTTAAAAGCTCAAAAGTGGCTCAAAAGTCTTGGCAATGATACTGTTAGAAATTAAATCAAAAAGGCAACAAAAAAGGTATCTAGTAATTTTTCAATCAAATCATTTTTTTCTGGTAGAAAACGTGGTCCGTGTTTTTATAAAATAATGAAATCGTGAAATTTTACGTTTTCTTACGTTTTTTCCCACTTAAATGCTTTTATTTAAAAAATGGCGTTGAAATAAAAAAAAATAACCTTTCTAAAGTACTATCTAGAACCTCTGAGTTTTAGAAAAGTTACTAAACGTAAAAATCGGAGCAAGTTTACAAGGAAAAAACGTATCCACAGACTAAAAAAAAAAAAAAAAGAAATAAACATCTTAGTAAAACCAATAGCTCCCTCGCTGCAGCGTACTCGGAATCTAATAAGGTGAGTTCACGCTTGCTTAGTGAATCATTCTGTATGTGTATAATATATATGTTATACACAGCATATCTGTTGCCGATTTCGGCTTTTGCCCGTAACATACTAGTGTATAATATATATTATCTTCTTCGCGGTACATTTGGACACTTTTAATGGTTCTTTAAGGACCAAATGAACACAGAAATTAGAATTTCCAATACACGGATTAAAGTGATAAAGGTTTTGGTTGAATTTAAATATGAACTTTACCATTTTATTGTGGGAGGGAGATGTTATTTTAACTATTAGTTCACTATTACTGACGTCCCGAATGCGTCTACGGAGATGCAATTTAGTATATATACTGTTATAAGTATCAATAACGTGCCTGTTAAGGTTTCCAATTTTCAACTCCTTCCGCAACCATTTTTGTGTTAAAATTTCACGTTTTCACAGTAAATATCAGGTTTTAAATACCTTTATGCTGACTCCCCAAAGTAAATGACGTCGTTCAGATTTGTATCCGTAAATAGTGTTTTTGTCGAAGATACGTCTTTAGAATGATTCAACTCTCAATTTACACTCCTCTATCCCGCCTGTTTGTAGTTTTGCTTAAATTCCGAGAATTACTTTATGCGTAGATTGAATTTATTGCCAAGTATTAATTATCATTGTAATTTAAATAATTCGTAGTTAAAACCTAACGTTTTCGGTGCAACTTTTATTGTAGCAATTATTGGCATATATAAACATATTATCAATTTTATTGCAAATGTTGTTACATACNTATTATTATTATACATTTATATAATATACATACATTTTTTTAACAATTAAAATTTTAAATATTATTTCAGAAAATAATGACGAAATAATCTCAAAATAATATTTCTCAATATTTTATTTGAATTAAATGTAGGGACATTTAAAAACTATGAAATTTTAATTTCCGAGTGAAGGGAAGAAGCTATTAATTTAACTATACAACTTAACAATAGTTTAAGTTTTAATCCTTAAACTTAAATTTGTATACTTCATCATTGTTTTAATGAACACCCAGTTAAGTAACGAGTTGAACAAATTTTTGAAATTTGAATTGAAGTATTGGTACTACGATAGTTTACTATAATAGTTTGAGTTATCCTGTTTTTATATAAATGCAAAGATATAAATATGTTTATATTTTTTAATATTGAATAACTACTCTTGATTTATATACCTTCGCGATATTGATTTTGTGTAATCGAATAATATTGGCTTTTTTTTATTTTAAACTGATTAAGGCTCACATTTCAAAGTGTTTTTGTCCAATTAAATTAACTGTATAAAATTGATTATGTTCATCGTCTTTGATGATTTTTATTTTATTTTATTTTTTTTTTTTGGGAGGGGGAGCTGCATACTGTTAACTGTATAAGTATAACTATAGTTTTTTATTATGCTAACCTAATTTAAACGAGGGAATAGATTTTCGGCGTTACGTTACGGATAATAATGCCGTTTAAAAAGAAAAAGTATACAGACATAGAAAATGTGCAATTTTACTGGTTATTTTTGAAATATTGTGGAATTAGTATTGAAATTCGCGTAAAAAGACCAAAAACATTCCACCGCGTCAACAGGGTATGACGACAATATTTTCCGATAGGTTTTGATATTCATTGTTATTGATCAAGTTATATTATTGTTGGTAGATTGAAAAACGATAGCGGCGGCAGGGAAAGAAATGCATAATCAGTTCCCCAAATCATCGTCGGTGGATAAAATAGGGCTTGGTTACTAAATGTTACCAAGATTATAACACGGCCAATCAGAATGCGATAAATAGCACACGACATATTAAGACTCAGTGGAATATCTTTAGGCAAAATTTAGGAATTTAGTAAAACCGAGGTATTGATGTTCCTACGGTTATAGGAAAACCGCATTATGTTATTATTATACATGGTGTGTCTATGTGATAAATCAACGCTTTTTACGAGAAAAAACAAGAAATATTTCTTTTTTCTTCCTATATATCCGTATCTACTTGTAAAATCAGCCTAATTTGTACGCGAGGCACAGTTATAATAGGTCTATATTTTAATCTATAACAAAAAATAAATAATATAATTTTAAAAAAGTACACTGTAATATAACGGGTCGAAATGGGCAAACCGAGACGAACATTAGCCACAGCATAATAATATATTCCACTTATTGTTTACACTGCAAAAAGTTATCGATATGGCGAGTAAGTATAATTTAAAATCCGATTCGGGGCGTGTGGTTCTGAAATTATAGACAGAATTAATAAATTTAATAGTATGATAAATTATCCAAAAACGTCACGCGCGCCCGAACAAAATAATAATAATATGATCGATCGGTCGTCCGATATTATTATAACGTTCGGGCAAATTATTAACGTAAACCTACGGAAAAATAACGACAATATATAATTTAAAAACACACATAAACAAGATTGTTCGATCCTAATTCCTTTTGATTAAATGAAGCGACTGTTTTGAAAACTCATTTAAATTCGTCGTAAAAATATATTAGGTACTCGATAAGACCGCATTTCTATGAAGTTTGATTCTGAGTATAGCGAAAAAACTATTTATTTTGTTTTACTATAACATTTTTTTTCTCTCAAAACACTTTTTGGGATAGTTTTAATCTCAGATTTCCTCATATCATATCTAGGAAGATATAGATTTTTGATTTAATCGTACATTTAAACAATTTTTAGAAATCACTAATACTTCTTTTTTTTTTTTTTAAATACCTTTTTAGTCAGGCAAATACTTTATTTTTTTCACGTAGTAATTCAAAAAATACGCAGTTTCTGATCGATTGTTAATTTGAAATATTTCTCGGCAGTAGATTTTCAGAAGTTCTCCTTCTAGGATCTTTTTTGATGATTTCTGCGCTCTCTCGGTAGCAAGGGAAAAAATCAACTAATGCTACACTATTCGCTAATAAAAATCATTTTTCCATTTTAAATGGTATATTATTGCATATAAATCAAATTACCCTATATATCCTACTTCCCAAACTATCTTTAGTGGCTACTCATGAGTAATATCAATTTTTTTTCAATTTTTCATCCTATACCTTAGAATTAAAAAATATAAATGATAATGAAAAAGAATAGAAAATAAAAGGTTAAGTTCAACCTTTTTGATTTTCCGATTTTAACCCGTGAATCCAATTAATCGGAAAACGGTGGTTTAGATATTTTTTATCGCAGAGTAAATACGTCGTCATGATAGACTCAGGCAGAAAAAAACAAATTATAAAAACGTAATAATCGAAATGCTACTGTAGCAATAAATGTGAAATACTAATAATATTAGATTATCTAAACGCGATCGTACACATAATATTATTAGTATTATATTAAACCGGATCCGGTTAAGTGTGTGAATGAAAATATAATATTATTATTTATTATTTATATGCGAAGAGGCAAAAAAATACGTAGTATAGACGTATAGTATAGTATTTTTTGTAGAAGTAAATGAAAAAATAACTTACAGACTGTTGCCATCTGGCATCCGTTTTGTAACTGGTCAGGCTCAACGAATCCGGGAACGAGCAGGTTGTTACGTTGTTGGCAACCACGCCGCCGTCCGTTTCGTCTGGTCTGCTGCAGGACTTGTTTCCGAATCTACGGGAAGACGAGATCAAAAAAAAAAAAATTAAATAAAAACGATTAAACAATAACCGCACGTGTTAAAAAACTGTCACGTCGAAAACCACATGCACTTTTACGTGATCAAATTATATTACTATAACCACATGTATATACAGTCTAATAGACACTAATATTTAATACGTAGTGCATAACCTTGTTAATCTTTGCATAAACCTATGATAAAATTTCATATTTAATTCCTGACTAAAATATTTTTTAGTGTTTAGAATGTTTACATATTACATACATTTCTTAATACCACAGTTGGAGTTCAATCGATTTGACAAATCGAATAAACTTTGTAAAGCGCATTAAAGTAATGCGTATTAAACGTGCGTTTACATGCAAGTTTAACTTAATACGAATTAGCTTAGTACGCATTAGTGACTACTCCGTGTAAATGTGGTATACATAAAACTGAGTAATCAACATAGGACATTCATTAACTCATAAAGTATTAGTTTTTCGGAATGTAAATTTTCAGAAAATTTAAGAAACAAGCACCACTAAAGCGTTATATTACAGTTCATTTTCTATCACTTATCCCATTTTTAAAGTTTGCGGTTTTGTGGGTAAGGGGAGAGTAGTGGAGAACTACTCAAATGTCATGCGTTACACCGTCGCTCAAATAATGCTACACTACTTTCCTTTTATCCAACTACACAAGAATATACTTCACAATACTTGTAAACGAGTTAACGGGAATTAAAAATGTCAAAACTAAAACTTTATTTAATGAACTTAATCAATGAAATTTTTAATATAGGTTACTATCTGAAAATCTAAAGCCGTTAGTAGTTTCATCTCCTTTTAAATAATGGTGATTTTAGAGTTGCTTTTTTAAATATTCTAAAAAACAAATTTCGAAAAATGTTAATTGTTTCCTAGGTAATGAGTATCTTGTCAAGGATTGAACACTCTGCATAAGTAGAGTTTTAATGTTATGACCAATTTTTAACTTGAAAAATAATAATGTTGTGATATTTTCTTTACCCGTGAGGAGATGGTACGCCGCGATACATATCGAAAATGTCATCGTCGTCGTCGCCGTCGTTATCCTCGTCACAACAGTCTCCCGCCGCCACGGACCCCGAGGACACGGAACGACGGCAACGTCGCGGTCGGGCCGGCCGTTGTAGGTTCGCTGCGGCCATTACGGCTGCCGTCGTGGACGCAACGGTCGCGGCCGCAACATCCGTGAGATCAGGCATAGACTTGTGACAGACGGTCGACGGTCCAGAAGTGCACGGTTGATGCTGCTGGTGTTCCTGCAGCAGATGATACGAGTCGTCATTTCGCTGCACTTCCTGTTCCGACTCATGATGACTGTGCTGTGGTTGGCCGTGTGACACGGATCGGCGATACTGTACCGGTGGCGGTACGATCACGTCATCCAAGAATACCTGTACGGATAAGATACACAACATCGATTAATATACTTGCGGAAGGTTTTAGAACTTAATAAACGAAACATATTGGGTTTTTAAAAATCGAACAACATAACGTGTGATTTATACAGATCCGAAAAATCGGAAAAAGTTGGATTAAAAAAACAAAAACAAATAAAATATTGTCGATTACTCGACTGTTTTTCGAAAATCAAATACAAAGCCTAAAAAAACCAAAAAAAATTGTAAGAAAATGTAAATGAGTTAAGAAGTAAATAAGTTAACTATTCAACTACTAATTCAAATACACGTTTAACAGAATTCTCCCCCTTCCTGCTGCGTTTTGAGATAAAAATGTTTAAATGTACAAACAATGTTAATGGCTTGTATTCATAGACGCGAAAAACTCAAATATTTTTTGGAGTAGGTACTTAACACCTGGTAACATTGATTATGTATGCTTACATAATTTTTACTTGATAAGGATTTGAACTGAAAGGGCTGAGTTTTGAAGTAGGGTAAAGAAGGTGATTTTTTATGCCCAGATACGTATTCAAATTTTTTTTCTTTTGACACCTTTAAAGCAGATTTTTGTTTTTATTTTATACATATTACACGTCATATTCAATTGATAACAGTGTAAATAAATACTTTCTTCTTTCTTTTTTTTTACTAATTTATTGAACTGTATGTACTATAATAACACGGCAGGCTTTCGAAACAAATTAAAAATATATAAAAGTGTATCCCAGTGACTTCTAGCTTCCACCCCATTACAATTAACCGTTGTTTCGCGGTCATTTTTTTTTTTTTTTTAAGGTTTTTTTTAAATTAATAGATCTGCAATATTATTTGTATGATTGAATCACGTTGCTAGCTAACGATATGTGTATACTTCAGCAAAACACAAAAAGGAAAAGATGTATTCTTATAGTGATACAGACTGTTTTATACTATAAACCACCCTCCTCCACTCCCCCCGTATGGGTTTATTTATTAAATTTATGTTTAGGTAGTCTAGAAATTACTTTATCTCGCAGTGAAACTTCCATCGAAATCGGTTCAGCCGTTTAGAGATTTGTCCGGACAAACACTTCAATTGTTGAATAGTTATATATTTTAATTATTTAATTACCTATACTTAGTTTATTCATTTATACATTGAGTATTATATTTCCCGTTCATATTATTATCTATCTAAGGTCATGACATAATTTTATAACAAAACATTTTTCAATTTTCACTGTTAAGTTTGAGTATGACAAACGAGATAACTAAAAATAAAAGTGTTAATATCAACACCAATAACCAATATGTTATACAGGTACAAAAATATACTTAAAAATACCACTCCTAAACAAATTCTACCCAACGCAATCATCCTTCCTAGCCCCTTCCCATAAACATATCTCTGCTAAGATTTCTCTTTATTTGCACCAAAATATATTCTAGATTTGCATTTATACCGCCAGACTTTAAAAAAATTATCACGTAAAATAAACTTGCGTTTTTAAATCATATGCAATCGTTTGTATAGGTACTTTATTAGGTATAATAATATGCTGATTCGAAATATATTCGTGTCATGTAATACAAAATAATCTTAATCAGGTATTACATATAGTTGTCGTAGACTAGTCATATTCAAAGTGAAACGACACTTTTGTTTCAAATAAATACTACAATAATTCGTCATCGCGACGTTTTGACGGTAAAAAATCGTTTTTCCATAAAATTATCATATATATGTAAATTGGTATATAAATATTTTCGTTGGTTAAATATATCACATTGTCGTTTCGTTCGCCCGGCATAACGATTCCAAACAATACACGTCGTAATTACTGTAATAATTTAGTCGCGGTAATGTGAGCGACTGTAAAATGCGCACGAATAATGCGGGTTTTTTTTTTTTTTTAAGTAAGCTTGTCATGTGAAAATAAAACGTTTGAGTTTGATAATACTCGTATTTAAATACTCGACAAATGGTTATTGTTTTAGACTTTCCGTCATCTACGTACAACAGAAATCCTAAATATCCTAGTGGACGTCAAACACCCGTTTAAGGGGTTGCATATAGATAATTTTGACGAAATTAAAAGAAAACTCGTCAAACTATATCATATCGTTTATTAGGTTTCTAAAGCAGTAGTCTTTTTCTTTTAAGTACTATTATAATTATTACTTTAGTGATAAAAATTAAATTTCTTAAATTCATTATCGATGTACAACCAAAAGAGAGTTGCACTTCGAAAAACGTATATAGTTATAGAAAATGTATACATTATTCTACCTATATTTCGATTTTTCAACTCTAATTTCATGATCGCGCGATTTTCTCGGATAGTTTTAAGTAAATTTGATTTCTGGTTTTGATCATTATGGAATTGCTTAAGCTGCATTTTAAAGGTAAACGAAACGGAACAAGGATTCCCTTATAGTAATCGTCTTACACACGCGCAACAAAGCAAATTTTACTAATTTTTCAGTTCTGAAAAAGTTCCGAAAACTTATTTCAATTCAGCGTGAAGAGTATATGATATTAACCAAGCACTTTTCGAATTTCAGTTCTCATAATTTTCCAAAATTTAATTTAAAGATATATTAAAAAACTAAATTTAACAAAACAAATTAACCTGGCCAATTTTGTGTACACTTCACGCCTAATTCAAATCTTTTTTTCACATTAAATTTCCCGACTACCTTCCCAACTTTATACCTACAACAATGACCCACCCATCGTGCGAAGTATGTCCATTTTTAATATTTTTTTTTTTATGTTCAGTATTATTCATACATAAATAAAACGTACAGAAACGATGGATATGCGAACGAATTATCATAATTATAATTACCCACTATTTTAAGGACGTACTGGTTAGAGAGAGCCATTCTCACCTGCAGGGAAGGTAAATATTAAGGTTGATGAATTGCAATCAAATAAACTTAAATAATTTTATATTTAAATAAAGAAATAATAATTTTTGTCCAAAATTACCGAATAACTATGTATATTATAATAGAATGTTGGTTTTTCCTTTGACATTTACCATTTTGGTCTGAATTTTTTGTTTTACCGGGCCCAATTTTAATTCCCAGTCCGCCCTTGCCTACTAATGCTACTATAAATACGAAATATTAGTTGAAAATCATACATCATAAAAAGTACTCACCGAAGAGGCTTCGAATAAGTTTTCTTTGGAGTCTGCATTCAACAGGCGTCTGAGATCGTTTTGAAGTTGTTGCGAGTCCGCGGTGGACTTTCTCTGGCAGCCGGCCACTAATCGGGGACTCTTGGGAGGCGGCAAGCAAGTGAAACTTCCGCTCGACCAATTACAACAGTTACCTATATATGTACCCACAGACAAGTTAAATATTATATAAAATAGTTTGTTTGTTTTGATTCGACGTATGCTCTCAACGACAAAGTTGAATATACTTGTATACATACGTAGTAATCATTTACGCCACGATTTTCTGCACTTTGTCGAAAACTAAAAGGTCTGAACTAGAGGCTAACATTTTAGATATTTAGTTAAAATACACGTGCACAAGAAGTTCGTGTATCCAACATACACGCGTGACATGTGTAAATGATTCATGTTATACAAACTACGTGTACATTTTAAATACAAGTTATGTTTAATAATATACGAGTACATCAACTTTTTCAGTGGAGTATCCGTAAATTTAAGAAGATGGGGCAATAAATAAATAAGTAATGTATACGTAAATGTGTACTTAAAATAAAAATAAAATATTTACCATAGGGGAAACATTTCGCACCTGAACACAAACTTGTGAAGAATGGTCCACTCATCATAAACCAGCAATTTTATCGGATAATTTTAAATGAATTTGATTTCTGGTTTTCAACCTTTAAGGAATTGTTTAAACTTAATTTTAAAATTATTTAAATTTTTTTAACCCTACTCCCTATAACTTAAGTGATTTTATAGTATTAGTTTTCAAATAGGAATACCCCATATTGAAATACGCACATTCAAATAGAGAATGGTTTTATAAAAATGTACACAACACCACCAATTTAAAAGTTAACGTTTATAAGTTACAGCAGTTTAAAAATTAGACCGGAGAAGTAAGAAAGAGTAATACATTACATATCCATTTTAAGACGATAAATTGATAACCCTTCTTTAATACTCTAAATTTGAATTTGTGAAACTCATAAATAGTAAATCCGATGTGAGTGTTATATGCACAGGTATCAAGATTTTTAGCAAATTATCTTTGCTTAAAAGGTGGTGATTGTAATTTGAAAACTTAATGTGTATACTCATTTAAATTATAAATATTAGGGATAGAAATTTAAAATGGGGGGCAAATAAAGATTCAATAATAATTGAAAAACGGAAATCAACTTCACTCAAAATCCCTCGAGAAAATCGCTGTTTCTGATAAGTGGATCTGTACACGTATACGCGTATATTTAAACTACACGTGTAGTTTTTATGTCATAATCGAACCATTATACATAAATACAGAGCGTTTTACAGTATTATCCTTAGGTTAATAATTCTGTTTTTTTTTTTGTTTTAATTTTTTTTTCAATTAAGTTTTGATCGAAGGGATATATATGTAGAGAAAAATTAAATTTTTGTTTTCATCCCTTAATTATTGAAAAAAAAATTATTTTATTTTATCACTCTTAAAAATAACCAATTTGTAAAGTATACATTATTCTAAACACTTTAATGTACCATACTTATATATTCGATTAATAGTTTCTTAAGAATATCAGTTTTAATTTCTAGAAAATTGATGTGAAAACAATTAATTTTTAATATAATAATACGTTAGAATGTGTGATATAACACACATAAAAATACACTGTGCGTCTTGTAATATTATGCAAATTATAATAAATATGAGGGGAAAAAAATAGGAGGTACCTACCGGAAGCGTTGTCGTGCGATGACGAGCCCTTGTCGGAAGAACCGCTGCTCCGGAGACTCCGTCTGAGCTCCTGTTTCCTGTCGAGCACAGTTTCCGATTTGACATACAATGATTTCGTCTCTTGTAACAGTTCCACAGCACTCTTTCGTTTTGCTGAAAAAAAAAATGCAATAAATAATAAAAATCAATAAATATTGACCGAAATAACAGGTATAAGGAGTAGGAGTACAAAATTGAAATTAGTGTTAAAATAAAGCTTAAGCGATTCCATAATGATTAAAAAAAAACAGAACCACTGAGTATATAATTTATACACTATACATGGCATGTATAATGCATATTGTATATATTATATCATTTATACAGTGTGTCCCGTCTTTTATATACCGCTAAATATCTCAACCTGATGATATTAGAATGAAATGGGATTTTCGGAAGGTGATGGGGAGTACTAAAATACACACTTTGAGATCATTTTCAATTTATAGTCCACATTTGAGCAGTTAAAATTACTTATTTTGAATAACAACCTCTTTATTTGTCATCAGATATGAATTTTTTTTATTTTTTTCCAAAGTCATTTTGATCCATTTGCCAGGGTTTTATACTTAAAATTGACCAAGTTACAGCTTTTCGAAATTTGAAAATAATTGATTTTTTCGACTGGAAGCGTGTTTAGAAAATAATTGAAGGAATTCGGAATATTTTATAAGATAAAAAATTAAACATAATTGAAAAAAATACGGTGCAAAGTAATTATTATTTTATTTTATAATACAAATTTCCAAATCCATGAGTCACTCAATATAAGTTTGTTATTTTAGAATTTCAAAAAGCTGTAATTTAGTCAATTTTAGGTTTAAGACCATGGTAAATGGATTAAAATGACTAAGAAAAAAAATGATCTATTCATATCTGGTGATAAAAATAAGGGTTGAGATTCAAAAATAGTAAATTAAACTGTGCGTGCGTGCACTGAGAAGGTTAGAAAACTAAAAATTGTCTCAAAGTGTGTATTTCTTTACTCTACACCACTACACGAAAACCTCATTTTAAACATCTAAGGTGATCGGGCTGAGATATTTAGCGGTATATAAAATAAGGGACATACTGTATATTGAAAGCAACAATAAATCATTGTAATCGTAAAATGATTCTGTAATCAGTAAAAATGATAATAGCAGTATTTTTCCTTTGTAAATTGTAACCAAGCTATTCAAATTATAAAATCACCAAAAATAAAACTAATTTATCGTCATTAAGTGTCAGTGTGTATAATTTTTTAGAAAAATCATCAAGAAAAAAAAATATTTGATGTGATTGATCCGAATGATCCAAAATATGTTTTATGAGAAAAAAACATCTTAGTAAAACTAGTATAATAAATTATAAAATATTAGTTTCTTATGTAGCTACAATATCAAAATCGATAAATGACTTCCCGAATTAGTTTGGCTGTAGAACCAAAACTCATTTTTTGATCGGAGGTTGTAGTTTCCATACCGAATTTAATTTAACAGACAGAAATCATTTGTAAAAATAAAAAAAAACATACATCGTATAGTGAAACCCACGATACGTTTCTCGTTCAGAATCTAAAGAAAAACAACATATCGTGGTCTATCTTCCGAGTCACGGCACATTACTAAAAATTTATTTTTTTATTTTGCCAGGTCCTTATCTACAAGGTTAATTACCACATTACGGAAGTGCACATTAACAAAATTTAATATTTTTTTTTATCATATTCAAAATTCTATTAATTTTATTTGCGGTGTCGGGGAAACGGATCTCTTAAATTTATTGAAGTGCGACTACGGGAAATTCGATCGCTGGCTATGCAAAATAACAAATATATTATAAAATTACATCATGTCATTATATTATCTGATGTTTGTGTGTGTATGTGAGTGTGTGTGTAGGTTATAAAGTGTACTGATCATACGGGGTTTTCGGATCGTTAAGCGGGCGATACAATTTCACACGCACGGCATACATTATTATGTAAGCATAATACAGTATGTTTTGTTCCGACTTCCTTCCTGTCGGATATATACTGTTTAATATGGTTTTTTTTATGCTTTTGTTTTTTTACGTGAAAAAATAATAATAACAAAAAATAAAACTCTCGATCGTTCTCGTGTTACCTGTAGTGGCGGTGTTTATACGTATTTGTTGTATAATTATGACGCCGGTAATACCACGGCACAAGCCTGCGCGTCGACGACAACGACCTGCCGGACATCGCAGACGGACCGTGAATTTTTCGGGCACCTAAATACTTTTTCGAAGACCCGGTCGACTGGAAAGCTCGTATTATATTATAGCGAGTGTGTTTAATTTTGGACACTTCCTCTACGGAAAAAACAACCGTACGTCCCCGGACACGGAAGCTATTCGACGTGGTTATATATAACACAATTCTTTTTCAGTATATAATATTATGCATATGATAATGACTACGGTTTTTTCCCCACTCCGAAACTTAACGGCGAAAATGATAATATTTTTTAACGGGCACCCGTTTTAATAATTATTGTAAAAGCCAACCGTTGAAATTGAATAGACCGCACACATATTTACGGCTGAGCGCATCTAGACAAAACCAATAAAAACAATAAACAACACCTATACCTGATACCAGCAAAGATCGGATTTCGCCGGAAAAATATTTACCAAATAGTAATAATATATAGGGTGATTTTTTTATTTTATATACATCACGAATCTGCTGGTTTACCGTATGTTACTTACGATGACTTCGAGTAAATTCGATTTTGGTTTTTCAGTCATTATATAATAGAATGAAATAATATAGTTGTTTGATTTTTCTAAATTTTACTCCTATTATAAATACATTAAATCAAATTTAAGAATATAATGTTCTGCAATAAATCCCCCCCCCCAAAAAAAAAAAATGATTTTACCATTTCCAAATAGTGCACTTATAAAATTTACTTAAAAAAAAAATTTAATTTATTTTTCTCATTATTAATAGAGTAAACAAATATATAACAAAACAAAAAACTCGTATGTAGTTATTTAGGTTTTGAAATTATATGTCTGATGGTATATTAATAGTTTATTATATTTAAAAATCTTGCTGGCGTAAAAAATCTTAAAATAACATTTCAAATTCAAATTTTAGGTCCATAAATCCATAAATCATAAAATTCTATAAAAAATTAAGAAAATAATTTCAAAATAAAGTGTAAAAAAAAAAAAAACTAAATAAACTTGTTATACTCGTTCAATATTAGATGGAACGATTTTGTAACAAAACGATCATCGGACAGCAAGCTTTGAAAAAAATGAGGATTGCACATTGAAATTCACGTCCTAGTAACATAATTATAGTTATGTATTCAACAATTTCATATAGATATTAATAGCTACTGGTTCATGGCGATACAAAAAGCTTTAACCAGTGTATAATAAATGTTACCACAATTATAATATTTGAGAATCTCCTTAATGAAGTGATACGCAATAGATACGCCGTGTGAAGTCATCAACTGTCTTTATTATATTATAGCTTGTTATCTTGCTCCCGACGTTACCCGTGCCAAATTTAATTTCCTTTTTCTGGCCATTTGGAAGAAAATGAAAAAAAAAAAAATGAAAAAAAAATAGAATCTACAAAACCAGCCCTCCAAATAAATATTTAGTAATCTTTTCGATCAGACAACTAGTGTTTTAGTTAAAAAAAACTTGTTTTATTTTTCAATTTAAATTCTATACATTTCTGTAAAATTATTATATGTGTCTGCATAGTGTATATACACGCAATTTACAATGTCAACATTCAGTAAATATTATACGATTTCTATACAGACGCGAGTACGAGTAGAAAGACGTTAATTTTTGTAAAAATATATTGTCTTGTGCAAAATAATATTATATATTTTGTCAAAAAATGGAAAAGTTTAATAATTTTGGATGAAAACTGCTATAAGCCAATTTGTATAGTCCCCAATAATACTGTTATTATGCAATTAACTATATAATTTTAAAACGAAAAATACTTTTTGAAAAATGTATCTTAAACTTTTAAGTGTCATTATTTTGTTATCGTGTACATATTCGAACATTATCCATTTTATATACATAATCCCCAAAAAATAGTGTGCATTCTTGAAGTTTGACAGACAGTCTGATAAGCAGGTTATCAAACATTTTATAGTGTAAAAGTGATAAAACATTAAAAAGTATAATATAATTTCACACGTTTTATATGACATTTTAGTACAAGCCAATCTACCCGACCCCGTTTTATTGTTTTTTTCTTTATCACGAACGGAGGTACTAAAAACCGAGGTAGGTACAAATATTTACGTATAGTACAAACGTAATAAATGAGATTTTTAACGACCGACGATATTTCGTTTTTATAGCTTTATTATTATTATTATTATTATTACTATTATCATCGAACAAATAACCTTATTTCGTTATCACTTATCTGATTATATGTCTTAAACTTTGTTTTTCCATATTTGAGTACCCGTAACATATTTGCCTACCACGGAACACACAAAATACTTCCATGGTGACGGTAAATTGCGATAAAATTAATTTTTTTCTCCTCAAAAATCCATGTGTAAATTTTACGTTAAAAAAAAAATTTAATCACACAAACAGCGATAGTTAAAAACAAGTCATCTAATAGCTGGAGAAGTATTGTCAAGCAACTGCAGGTTCAAAAACGAAGCGATTTTTCTTAAAACCTGTACTCAATGTTGGATTTTATGACTTGATTTGCGTCTGTATCTAATACTGCAGAACGACAGCGTCAAACGTTCTGATTTGTCGTTGACGGTCGTATACGGAGAAACTATAGAGCACGGCGGGGTAGTTCACCCTTTATAAAATTGTCCGAGTCGACCGAACGGGCCATTTTTAACCATACCATTACGGTCGGACAAAGGCTGAAGATATTTTCACAAAGAGAGGCGACCATATTATACTGGCTTGTCTATCTCCAAAAAAAAATTACCTACTTAGCTTTAAGTCTCTATTTGTCGTAAGCGATTCGATTGGTTTTTTTCTCGGTCTGTACATTCTCCACTTCCGAACACTATATTCTATCGAATTTGCCCGTTGGTTTGTCACTATTTTATAAACGAGACGTGTGAAAAATATAAAAATTTAAAAACAAACACTTAGCCACGCCTTCGATTTTTTTTTTTTATTTAGTTCCAAATTATGTTTTAATAATATGACTATAATTCGAGTGCACATTTCGAATACTTTTGTTATCGTATGACGCCGTGTATATAATAATTTATATACTTCATCTGCAATTTACTACCGGACTCTACATATGTATATATTATATATGTTCATAAATATTGACTGCAAATAAAAATGTTTCAATATATATTATGAAAACTATTTTATTCTGTTTCCTGGCGTTTAATAACCGCAAAATAATAATACAAACTAACTACTATATACGCGTTACACTTTTATAAGTAAACGATAACGTATATCGAATTATACCAATTATTCTGATACGTATATAGTGTTACGGAAAAACAATACACAGTCTTAAAATACGTGTTAACATTATCAATATTACGTTAAAAAGAATAGTGTCGATTACTGTAAAAATAACTGCAACTAACATATTATAAGAATATTGTAGCGCGTAAATAAGAAATGTTTAATAAAATATTCCTTTGTCGACAGCATTGTTGATGCACAAAAATACAAATATTGATGAGCGACGCGGCAAATATTCAGTATTCAGTTTTAAATTAGAAGGGTAACGAGAGATTGGTTTTACACTTATACCATTATGTGTGCTTTTTTTTTCTATCTGTAAACAACTTTCCGAAAATAAATCTTACTCTGATGTAGAGAGTAAAGTACATATTCTGAAAGAAAATTGTGTCAAGTTGGTGCATTAGAGAGGTTATTTTTTGATTTTTCAAGGGGTTTTCGAAATAATAGGGGAAACCCGAAAGAAAATTATAAGTAAAACAGCAAATATTTACGGCGCCTTGCAGCATTACCATTTTCATTGTTTACATAATGTTTTCTACCAGAAATTTGCTCTATTTGAAAAAAATGAGAAGAGATCGATTTCGTTCCTTTTAATATTTTCCCACTAACAGGAAAAGTCGTTTTTTTAAAACTAAAGTATTTTTTATAATAATTTAAAAACCAAAAAACTACAACATAACGTCCTGTTTCATTATTTTTAAATTTTTAAAACTTATGTTTTCTACGAAAGAAATTGCTCCAATAGAAAACAATAAGAAATCTTTTTTGTTGAATTTTTAATCTTTATGGTGACCAAGAAAATAGTTTTTAAATTTTCTTTGTAGTTTTTTTTATAATTGACCAAAATTGAAAATTATGTAAAAATTTCGGGAAAATTTACGAAAATAATTCTGTTATTATTTTTAATTTTGTTTTTTTAATATAAATTTATGTGTTTTTTCTAGATTTCAAAAATGTTTAAAATATTGTTTAGCTATTTTTAGACATTTTAATTTTGCAAGATTTTACGTAATTTTTATGTGGTAAATATTCTGTGGAAAAAAGGTTAGACTAAACAGAAATGCTTGAAAATTTGACAGGATATTCATTACAAGTCGTACTTAGAGATAAAAAGAAAATTGAGTGTAATGTAGTATTATAATACTATAACAATATAATGTTGATAATTAAAAACTAAAGCGGAACATACTTCGAACCATGGGCAGGTTGCTTTTGTAGATGGAAAGTTATGAATAGGATGTATAAATCACTGCAATCAAGAAACCTTAAGTAGAGCTCAGTAAGAAGTCAGTCGATTTTTTTTTCATTCGTAGCCAAGGTAACTTGCAGAAATTGTCAACAAAAATAAAACCGCCATTTATCATGGAGTTATTATTTTTTAAGAAACGTTGTCGGTAATATAAAAAAATGTTTCAAATAAAGTGCCGTTTGGCGGTAAGTCCACATCTTGTAATGTACTGCGTGAAAAAATCTGAGTTAAAACTATCTAAAACGAATAGTTTCTTCGTTACACTATCATGCAGCATCTAAAAGTATATAAATGATATGTTTTTTTTGGAAAAATATAAAATACAGTTTCTTTCTGTTGGGTACGTAGTATACGAGTATTATATGATATAATGAAAAATCCGAAATGCCGCTAATGAAGTCATCTCAAAAAATGTTTTTCACAAGATGTGTATTCATAATAAGTACCATTTACTTTGAGCTTTTCAATGACAATTTTCTCTCCCTTTCGTCAACATGTTTTTTGAACTTATTCCACGATTGCGATGCAAATTCGTTTTTTATATGCAGTGGTTTATCGTTTCGCACAGATTTAAATTAAATTACTATACATCCATTCCCTTTCGACTTCCCTCCTAAATCAGTAGTACACTCACCAGCAGTACCAGCCTTTTATAAATATTGAAAGGAAAATAGTCATGGGGCCTCATGGAGTCATGGGGATATATCTGATGGGAGTCTCATTTCACGCTTTCGACCACCCCTGAAGCGAACAAAAAAAAAAAAACTATAGTTCAAATTTTAGTTTGGACATCCGAGGTTATTTTAGGAAATTTCCATAAACTGTTTCTCGTCGTATATTAATAAAATATTATGTCTTTATGCATAGCAAGAGATTAACGATTTTTAGACGTCATAAATCTATTGAGTGTGTGTCGTCGTATTATATAGTCGTGTCCACACTCCACAACGTCGTCGCCTTTTGTTGTGGGGCTGTAAACTATGTCAATGAGCTTCTTTATATTATTACTATAAGTATAATTACTTGTTTTTGTTATGTACTTTTGAATCCCCCGTAATCCGTCCTCGGAATAAACGTCTTTTAAAGTCAAAATTATTATTATTATTTTTTTTTTAATTTTTTATGTCCCAATAAAAACTAAAAATATTACTGTTTATTTTATTATTTTTTAAAAATTGTTTAGAGTTTATTTTTCTCAAAATGTTGACTTATCAACTTGTTGTTTTCATTAAATTTGTGATTTTTAATAATAGTTTAAATTTCCGAGAAAAAAGTGTACAGTCAATTAATTATAATGATGATAATCAATTAACAAATGCGATTACAGCCTGCTGCATAATTATAAGTACTTTTATCTCAACTTTAAAAACTTATTTAAAATCACAAATTTAATGAAAACAAAAAGTTGATACATCAAAATTTTTAGAAAAAAAAACTATGAAATTTTTCTTTTTCAAAAATAATAAAATAAAAAGTTACTTTTTAAGTTTTTACGAAAACTTAAAAAATGAATTGAAATATAAATATTTGTAGTCCTTATCTCCGGATGTATTATAATGGGAATATCTGCGCAGACACGTTGTATAAAATCGACGAGATTAGTAAATCTATACATGGGTACACTGAGAAAGTGAATCTGTCAAACGCCAAAATGTATTATTTATAATTTTTCATCACGCTCGGATTGTATCGAAAACGAATAAATATAGTTACATTTTAAACGGTTTCAATTGTTTTAACTCAAAACTCTTCGTCAATCATATTTCGTGCTTAAAAATTTTTGGAAATAAAAAAAAAAAAAAAGAAAGAAAAGTTGATATTTCTCACAGATATTCCACTATTTTAAGTGGGTAACTGGGAGCAATGGCAGAATATACAGATTTGTTTATTGTATATACAGTATATTCAACGACAAATAATAGCAAACAAAATTAAAATTCTGAAATTCCTATAGGTATATTAAATGAAGAGCAATATCCGAAAGTAGAGACGATATTTTTTTGAAGGCACATAACTCCCTATATTTCGTCAGTCGGCAATGTCATCAGTAAATAAATATTTGCCCAGTTCTAGAAAATATTGAAATGACGCCACCGGTCGTAATACTCATCTATTTATCCAATGCTCGACGTGTATATTTACATTTTATATTGTTTTATTGATGCGACGAGTGCTCTGAAATATTTATTTATTTTCACCATATTGGTCTTTCATCTTTATGCAGTAAACTAGGTATACTTACATAAAATATTTATTATTGATGTTTAAAACCTAAACAAATAATAAGTAATTGCTAGACATTTTCTCTCTCTCTCTCTCTCTTTCGTTTCAGCAAGTTTTTTATTACGAGCAAACAAGCCGTTTGTTTTCGGCACTTCGTCCTTTGTCGGCAACAATTGTTTCGGGTATTAATAATAACAGACAAATAAATATATAAATATATAATTTACGAGAAAAAACGCGAAGTACGGAGGCAGCGTACAAGAACACATTAGACAAAATAGTCGGACAGACATCTCACACCATTATGAATTATATTTATACTTATAGGTCACTGTTTGTAGGTTTTCAGCGTTTCGGTGGTATTTTTTTTTTTTTAACCTTCGCCTTACTTAAAATATTAAAACCAATATTTTTATTTTATACATATTTAACTAACAGCTAGATAAATAAACAATTTTTTTTTTTTAAGTAATTTATCGATCTTTATATTATAACTGTGTTATATACATAACATTTATTTAATTAGGTACTAATCACTATTACTCACTCATATAATAATATTATTATACTGTATATTCATATCTATCTAAAGCCGTGATATAATTTTACAACGAAATACTTCAGTTCGACAATGATAATGAGATAACACAATAATAATAATAATAATAAAATTAATTCTGTCGACCAAAATTAAGATGCGTGAGCACAAATTTTAATGATTAGTGTTTTGAATGAAAATATGTTTAAAAATACTGCCCGAATCACCTTCCCCTAAATACATCTCCGGCTGAGAAGTTAAGGTGTATAGAATTTCTAAGGTAGTAAATATTATTATTTACTAATTGAGTTTATATTCTGAAAGCAACGATAAACCGTGGAAAATCAAAAACGATTCTGAATATAAACTGGTAAGTTAATGGAATTATAATATACCTAGTCGAGGATTTTCCTACAGTAGCCCATGGCATCCCAGAAATCATCAACAAAAATACATTTATTTTTTCTTTTTGTGAACAACCTTTCTACCAAAAATTTTGCTCCGATTTTCAAGTGTAGCGACCTTTTCTAAAAGAAAAACTGAGAAAAAACGTAGGGAAAACGGGAAAATCTACATGCATGTATAAAAGAAACTTCGCTCCGATTCGTTTTTCGTTAGCAATGATTTATTGTACCGTACAGTTATAAATTGAATTCCCCTCTATGACTCTATTACCTTCCCAATTTTTCGCCAACAATAGTGGCCACCCTATCGTGCCAAGTGTGTCAGTTTTTTTTTTAATTTATGATTTTTATTAATTTATAAGTTTTAAACTTCAAATGACCAAATTGTAAATGTTGTTGTGTGTATACTCTATATTGTTATTTGATTGATAACAACTAACAGAATTCGTATTACCGGTCGGTATATCCGAGAGGTATGGACCTAAACCTCGGGAACACTACTAGCCCATTAGTGATTATAGCGTATAGGGACGGCCTATCCATATTGTTCCGTACGCACCGAAATCGATAACGGCGACGACGATAACGTCGATAATGACTGCGCAGCGACGGCCGGTTTTCCGTTGCGGAAAATGGAAATACTAGGTACAACATTACTGTCTATTACACGATGATATTCTCGCGTCGATAAAGAAAAATCGCTCGCGGACAAACGTAATAATAATAAAACGAGATAGAAAACACGTACGTACCGCGCATATTATTATTATTATATAAATACGTATATCATTATTACTACCACGCTCAAGTATAATACTCACCGGTGCATTGTGGCCGGTACGACGACGGCGCTTTGTCCGTCCGGAGAATGGCGTTCGTGACGTTTAGCGTCTTCAAAGGTTGCCCGGGCTGCTGGCGCACGTAACACGCGGAAGACAAGGCGGCCATGTCACTGGCTCGGCCGGAATGCCGGACGCATCATCGTCGCCACCTCAGCGGCGGCCGTGCAGGGGCTCGTGACCTGCAACAATATGACGGTGTTGATCATTTCGGATTATTATTAAAACGAGAGAAACGCACCCTATACCGAGGTGTCGCGCACGCGCGTTACGGTTAAGGTCGGCGGGCGACGGACAACAAATTATTAACTCTGCATACACGCGCACATTACTATTACAGTGTCGTGAACAGCGGGCCGGTCGATCCGAATTAAAGAAAACCGATTGACAGATTGAATCCAGTAGTCCGAACGCTAATCCTTCCTCTCCCTCTACCCCCCCTATAACCGGCGTTCTGCAGACGAATCGGGAACGGAAAAAAATACAATCAACTATGTATAATGTTAAATTACAACACATACCGCCGGATCATTTTAATGAAAACAATTACAAAACGCGTTTCAGGAGGTCAATAATGGAACGACCACTTTTGTAATTTTCAAATAGATTGTATTTTGTAACAATCCGGATTGTATACAGAATTGTGACATTTTAGTCGATCCAGATCGGTAATCCGGTGTACGGGTCCATTCGAATCAACCGGTCAGCACTAATATTTAATTGTTTTTTTTTTTTTAACGCACCGTATGCACATAAAGAGTTTCAATAATAGTGTTATTCACTGACTTTATTTTAATTCACCATTGTTCGGTAGGTGCGCGATAAAATTGAAATAGACTTTTGATTTTCAAAAATAGCTGTAACCTTAAAATATTTCTACACATACATAAGTCGGTGATCAACATAATTCAAGTTTAGATCCTCTTCCTCGACACAAACTTAAAAGTGAAATATCTCGTCGACGGGTGGACGGAAATTAAAAATGTCAACTCCAAAATATATGTTAACTCAAATTGCATCTATCTACAGAATTTCTAATGTATAGGTTGCTACGCGAGAACCAAAACTGGCTAGTAGTTTAACGTTAATAAGGGTGACGAAAAATAACGGCAATGTGACATTTTACTATTTTAGAGCTGCTTGTTTCTTAATGTTCTTAAAAATTCAATATACTTTCCGAGATAATGAGTGTATTTTGTTATGTCGATCAAACTGTTTATAGAAATACGACGAAGTTTTATAGTTGAAATAAATCGGTAAATAACCGCTGGTAGAAGTACTAATAAGCCTAATATTAGGTAGGTAATTGAAAAATCCTTTCAAAAACCAAAATCAATAAAAGAAATTCAATTTAGCGAAACGTACATAATAGCGACTGCAGATATTGTGACTTTCGGTAAAACGTGTGTTCGAATATCCACACGCTTATGCCATTTAAACGAACAAATAAAGAAGAAAAAAGACAAAATCATATATAAAAAAAAAAATTAATAAATTTACATAAACCCACCTTTCTTCCCAGGAACCGAATAGCGCTGTATTACTCGAAAATAATACGAACTCACCCACATCTCTTTCTCTCACCTACACTCTCGCTTCGTCTCTTCGACCCCTAAAACCCATTACGTGTTATACATTTAAGGGGGTAATATATAATACACCGCTGTAATTGTGCCGTACAACGGTGCGCGTGCAACGGAAGTGTTGTCGCCGGGGTAACGAGGTGTCCATAGGACGAAAACAACGACGAAACGCACTCATAAACGTCACCCTGTATATAATACATACGAATATACTAGCGCCGCCGATTTCGACCGTTAACCGAAACGGAAAAGTCTTTAACGTGTGTTTGTTTACGAGAACGAAAAAACCGTAATACTGTGCTACACCATAAAAACATAATAATAATATAACCATTCACGAAATCACCCCTGTAATTATTATATTGTCGAATAAAAATAAAAACAACTTGTAATTTCAGTTTATTATAATTATTATTATTACTTAAACCCCAAAGCGCTTTCACGTCTCGAGTACAATCTAGCAAAATATTAATTACAGATATAGTTGGTTACCTATATAATGCTTGGGCAGTCGTGGATATTGGACAGCCTATGACTGTCGTAGGTGGGAAGTCTGAGACGTGTATGATATCAAATATAATATTGTATACGGTAATTAATTATAGTTTGTGTACTGAAAACAACGATTAATTATTGCAATAGTCATAATAAAAAAAAAACCATTCTGAGCGGAGCTCGGTAAACACATAAACTGTAAATGTTAGTATATAGTACATCATTAATAGTTTATTATATTACTTGTGATTTTTTTCCTGAAGTCAAAGTGACCCACGTAAAATCAACAAAAGTTAAACCGATTTATCGTCAGTTGTTATCAATATTTAGAGTGGAGCGTAGAAACTTATGGTTTTACAAAGATGTTTTTTTTTTTTTTATCTTTACGCATTTTTTTTTTAAGAAGACTTACTCAGATTTTTAAGTGTAGCACCTTTTCCGAAATAACATCGGTGTGGAAAGGTACTTTAGGAAGGTCATTTTTCGATTTTCCTAAGAGTTTTCTCAGCAAATATGAAAAACCGGGAAAATCGGTACAACATTAAACAAATATTGTTAAAGAAAATATAAAAATACTATTTAATTATTTTACTATAAAATGACATATATTGTTGACAAAGCATCATTATCAACTGAACTCCGCTCAGAATCGTTTTTTCAGAAGCAATGGTTAATTATTGCTTACAGGTGTACATTAAATTATTTATAACCAATGATTACACCCGTCCCCATTATCCTACGACGTCATTTTTTTTTTCATTTGCAAGAAGTCAGTCAAGAATCTAGAAGACAAATTTCAAATAAAGTACTACTGGGCGAAAAATCAAAAAATTCGGAGTATATTCATTATACCAAATCGAAAACGGAAAATGTGTTTTTTAAAACATATCTTACTAAGACTCAGACACTGTATTAACATTCAGAATTTATACAGATACTTCAAAAATTCAAAAAAATTACCAAATATTATTTTTAATCGATGATGACTCGTGGAAACATTATAACTGTTATAATATCATATTTCTAAAATAGAAACCTATTAATTTGAACAATTTTCGAAATATTTCGTGAATTATTACTATAGGTATATTGGTTGTAATAATATATTGTATACATTGTACCTACCTATTTATTTTATACGACCAAACGAAATAATATACATGTATTTTATACCAGGTGATTCATTTGAGTGAATTGTCATTCGGAAGTCAAAATTATGTAATCGTTTCCCCCTCGGAAATAAAAGTGACGCAAATAATCGTAATGTAAAATTTTAAATCCGTTTGTTACCGTAATTATCAAAAATACCGATAAAATGACAGATATTAAATACCGAAATCGCAGGGTTTTGCATTATCTATGTATTATACACTCGTATAGTATTTGTTTTGAAACTCGAGATTCCGCCAAAAGTTCGTGGTTCAAACGCAAATTCGATACTCGAGCGCGGTGTTTGAGTTTGAGAATATTTCCGTTTCGACTTCAAAAGCAAAATCCATTATTTCGATTATTTGTATTTTCGTCGTATTCGACGAACACGGCGGAATCTCGGTAGGTGTACAACCGCCGTTGAATTAATAAATAAATAAATAAATAGATAAATAGATAAATAAATAATTATAATACGATTTACCGATAAACGAATCGCTTCGACTCGCGCAGCGTTATATTCATACGTTCGTCTACACATATACGTAATACGTATATAATATTATTATTATTATACGTAGAATTTATTATTTCGACGATTTTTGTACCCGCGATATCATGATAATGCCGTGGGTACGATACGACACGACGTGGCGGTATATGTGCACTCCGATAACGCGACTTCCGAGTCCGCCCGTATGTTGTTGTACGAATTATCACGCACTCGCGATGTAATACACCAAATTGTTGTGCTCGCGACGACGTTAACGCGCCGAAAACAGGTACGGACTGACGCCGCAGCCGCGCGACGATGATCTACGGGAACCGACGGTACCGCCGGCGCGCGACGACGACGACGACGGTGCGCCGTGGGCCATTAACGCGCGCGACCTTGTGCGCATGCGCGCACTCTTAACCCGTTTTCCGTCCGTGAATTATTCACCGTTGACCAATAATCCATGTCCGAATTTACGGACATATTATTAACAATGTATCTTTAACGGTTATACGAATTACAAACTGTTGAAATATACAAAAAAAAAAAAATCAAACTTTTAGCAAACAAAATCTTCTCCTTCTCCTTTGCCTTCATCCCAACTACAGTTGACTACTTTTAACCGATTAATTAACGTGTGCTAAATGTCTATTTGTCCCGTAAATACGTAAAAAAAAAATAAAACCCTTTTTGATAAATTCTTAATTCTATTACGAAAATTATAAAAGAAATAAACCAAAACGGTAACAATTAATAAAAATCTCACTACGTCAAGAAGAATGTAACACACCCGTTTAATACGTATTATTTTCTTAAGTCTACTAATATATATATATTTATTTTTTTATTTTTTTAAGCCGCACTGCTCACGGGTTAGTAAATTTATTTTAGATGGGTAGTTGGGAAAATAGGATATACGGAGTAATTTAATTTGTAAATATTTCAATGCAAACGAAAAAACAATTCTGAACGGAGTAGTAAATTAGTCATGTTTTTCTCTTGTTACCAAAATAATCCGAAACATAAACACAACTTAGAGGAAGGGGGAGGTGCTTGAACTGCGGAAAATGTCGATAATTGTTTCAAACCGCCAAACAAAAGTACCGTATCTTATGCGGTACTACGTGAAACAATATGGTGTACTTATTCACCCATCTAAGTATTATCAAATTTTATCAAAAAAAAAAAACACAAAAAGTATTTTTTTGAGTGGGGGGGGGGGGGGGTAAAATGATTGGAAATTTCGAAAAATCATTTACATAACGCGTATCACCAGGCAAAAAATTCCGTTTCGTTTAAATTATGTCATGAAATAATCGGAGCATAATTTGTATTAATCGTAAAAGTGTTTTTAGAGGGAAAAGAATACACGCACAACCCATCTCAATAAAACTATAATAGCGATACTTCGCTACGTTTGAAATCTAAAATACTCTATTCTATATATTCTAACCGTCTCTAGAGACGCGTATAATACTATAGTTAATGTCACACGCGCCGTATACAAAAATAATATTCTGATACGAATCGAGGGATAAAAAAATGAAAAATATTATTTTTATTCGGGGACGATGGCGCCAAGTCGTGTTTCGAGGCTCCGGGCAAAATACTGATGCGAGGTCTAAATATTTCACACTTTGAACATTATCTGACTCGTTTCTCTATCCGCCACGGACATGTCGTCATATTAACGTTTATTTTGATTTATAGAGAAGTTGAAGTTAACAATTTGGTAAAGTACATATTAAGTAGACAAACTAAACAAAATTCTTATCGCCTATCTTTTGTATTCATACGGCGTACGGTTGTGTATAACAAATATAGAAAAACACAACTTTCGGCTCCCTTATTTGAAAAAAAGTTTTTCCGTCAATTTAACAACTTTCCATTCTATTTTTAGATGGTAGGTAATAAGAATACAATTTGAGATGTACAGTCTCAATTACGCATAGTTTGAAATTTAAAATCTGATTATTACTATTAACTATATAATAATACGCATGTTGTTGAAAATATGGCTCGTGGTCAAAATCAAACAATTTTTCTGCCTAAGGATCTGCTGTTGACGAGAGGATTTTCAGAGGAACGAAGTCACGGACAAATGTCCAATGTGCCCTATCCTCCCATCGTCTGTATGTATTTATTTTTTATCACTGCATCTACAAATTCGATTTCGCTCGACGAACTGTGTATAGTCGATATTGAGGATATCGGAATGTCGGATATCGGGTCGACTTCAAGACCCGATATTTGGTCCGATAATATTTCCGGAGAAAATATCTATAATATCTCTGTATAAGTATAGAAAAATACATAATTTTTAACCGATCTGTTCTTGATTTTATGATGAAGAGTTGTATGTTTGAAAATGATATCCGTTCGAATGAAAAAAAGTTCGCAAATGAATATGTTCGAAGAATAAAATGTGTTATTAAAAATGATAAGATAATGGGAACGAGTGCAGCCACTGATGAAGGTGAGAAGTTGGGAAGGTAGGATACAGAAGGAAATTTAATGTATATCTGTAAGAAACGATAAACCATTGCTTATGAAAAAACGATTCTAAGCGGAGTTCAGTTAATAGTGATACTTTTTCAACAATATATATGCCATATTATAGTAAAATAATTAAATAGGCTCTATTTATTTTCTTTAATAATATTTGTTTAATGTTGTACCGATTTTCTCAGTTTTCCTACGTTTCACCTGATTTTCCCATGTTTTATCCTAGTTGTTCATATTTTCTAGGAAAACTTCTGAAAAGATCGAGAAACGGCTACTCAATGAAATTGTCTTTTACAAATATTGCTATCATTAAAAGCTGGAGCAAAATTGCTGGCAGAAGAGTTATTCATAGAAAAAATGAAAGCCGTAATATATTTTAACTAATACCTATATTTCTTATATTTTCCCGATTTTTTTTGTTTTCAAATCTTATGAGAAAACTCCTGAGAAAATCAAAAAATGATCTCCTCAAAGTACCTCTCCAAACGGATTTCCTTTTAGAAAAGGTGCTACACTTAGAAATCCGAGCAAGCCTTCTAGAAGAAAAATTGTTTTTGGATAAAAAAAAAATAAACATCTTTGTAACACCATAAGCTTCTTTGCTCCAATCTGAATATCAAATAAAAATAAAAATAAACTTATTAATATAAATTTTAAAGCTATTTAAATGCAAAAAAAAAAAATGACTGCATAAATGTATACATTGACAAGTTAAAAATTTAAATTTTATGGTATATGCCTCTTAAAAACTCAATATTATTTTGATAACAATTTTTAAATCTTAAAATGATATACTTTTTATTTTTTCTTCTTGTTGTTTTCGGGACTTGGATACCCGGCGCTCGGGATATAATATTATACAAATTAATAAATATAATAATTGAAATTAAATATAATAATAATTGAAAAGTTTCCGAAAAAAATTCATCGAACACATATGGTAACCTAACAATGGTAACCTATGGTAACATAACCGGTAACAAATATGCGTATACGAATATTTGGAAATCGGAAAAATGTCTTATTAGCTCACCACTAAAAATATATAACCGACTTTACTTGTACCTATTCCTCTTGTCTTCAATCGTTTGATGGGTTTTCTTCCTGGTTTACTGCTATGCTTCCCCTTTGTCGATTAATCCTTTTAATTCATCGTACAACTGTATACCCTTGTCTGTGTTTATCGTGATTTGTTTCAGGTACTTCCTGGTTACTTCAGGTCTTCCTCTTCCGATGTGATATTTTATGAAGCATTTTGTCGACCTACCATAATACGCAATATACACCTTATCATTTTATCCCTTCCGGCATTTTTTGATCCATATGGAACGACTCAGTATTGTACAATATAGATTGTGTTCAAGCTATTTGGATTATAAACCAATTTGCTGGACAGATCAATCATTTCGATCGCAATAATATAATACTATAGTAATATTTGATAGTATATGTAAACCCAACCCGACCTGACCTGACCTAACCTATATACGAAAAATATATTTTTCGGAATAATATCGTATAATGGTATCAACTTATTCGTTATATTATTATACTCGTGCGGTTTTTCAACGGTTATCTAACCTAACCCCTAACCTAACCTAAACCCTTTTCTGGTGCGCTCGAATAAACCAATACGATTTACGTACGACCGCGATATAGTTTTTACGTGACATTTTACGGGCGAATTATAACGGTTTTTCGTGCAGTTATCGTATTATATTAGACGACGTCGATGTTTTAAAATCGTTACTATAAGTATCGCCGTCGTCATATTTAACGACCGGATTCGCGGGGACTGGTGCAGCAGATGTCCCGCAGCGGCGCGACCGTTCCGGCGATTTCGAAATCGGGTCGCACTACCGGCCGTCGACCGATTCGAAAATGGCCTGGCCGTTTTTATGTATGTATAGGCACCTAATAGCTTTCAGCGTGTTGCACTTCAGATCGGTAATGGTACAATTGTAAAAAAAAAAAAATGATACGATAGTGAATATTTATATTCCGATTTAATCGAATCGTTAACAACTGTACAAAAAAAAAAAAACCCCTATAAAAAAATTAACAGCATACATACGTAATTCAACTGCAGAGAAAATTCTTAACTGAAAAATAGTCACGTAAATTTGCCTCGGATTCGGGCCAAAACAGATCTACCACTTTTCGGGCGGCTGTAGGATTTCGTATGGTGGTGATATGTTTGTATTTTTTTTTTCGACTTCACATAACAAATATACGAATTTTCGCGAGACATCGAAAAACGGACAACCGAGACGCGTATTATTATTACGTAGGTATTTACACTTCATAGTACATTTTTTAGGTGTCCTTGAGGTGTCACACTCATCTATATTTTAGCAGTGGTAGATTTATTGGGGAGGATGACATGGCCCCCCCCTTGAACATTTTTTTTTAAATTATTGCTTGAATTAAATAGAGGACTTGACCGTAACTAGAGGGAGGAAGAGGGAGCCAATGGTGGTACGTTTTAACCTAAAAAATATAAAATGTATAGTATATTAAATGCATTTTAAATCACTTCCTCTGAAATATCTTTTCAGTACTTATATGATACTAGTTCTCCCACCCATATTTAAACGAGTTTCAACCGAATGCCATATTGGCGCTACGACAAAAAACAAGAAAATAATGCTGTTCCCGTTCATGATGTTGCCGATTCTTTTGCGACGTTATTACTTGTTATTTTCGATGAGTATATTTAATATATATATATATATATATATATATATTATGTTACGATTCTAACGGGAAAATTAAAAATCGAAGTATACCGACTCGCAAAATCCCACGCAGCGTAAACACGTCGTTTTTCTATATGAAAAAAAATTCGAAATCGAAAAAAAAAACAAATCGATTCTTGTCGGAGATTTGTTCGGCGTGACGTTTATGATATTACAACATATTTATCATACATTTATACGATATGCGTACATATATTATAATACAAAATTTAACTATCAAAATATATTATCGCACGTTCCGCAGACGTTCATTTATCGTAATACTCGGTTTTTTTTTATCACTTAATATCCACTATAGAAACAAGTATATATTATCAGAACTCTTATCGTTTCCTCTTTGAGAAATACTTTACAATTCACTCACAATATTTCGATGCAAACGAAATCGCGCTCTATCAGGTTTTTGATTTCAAAAAGGTACAATATTTTATATTCCATCAAATAATTTATTATATAACTTTTTTTTTATGGATTTCAATACCTACGTCTTTTTCAAAATATATATAAAATGTGAAATTCTATTATTTGGTAATGGTTTTATTAGTGCACTAGAAATTGTCTATAGTTGGTTTTGATTGACATTGAATCCACTACAAAATAATTACCTATTTTTACAATGAACGAATCAAAATTTTAACAGTGTTAAAAAATCAGTAGAAATCAACAAACCATGTTGCAAATTTCTAATTGTTTAGAAATGAATCGAACTTTGACGGAAGTAACCAGTGATTATAACGGAAAAAATAAAACATTTCTCGTACAATTTGTGTTACACATTTTTTGGTGTTGACCACGGATGTTGCCTGACCATTTTGTACACAAGTTCAAATTAAGAGGAAGGGGTCATGTCCCCTGGGTACGTGTATGTGTGGAGGGACCATTCAGGCATTGTTTTTGTAAAATGCACGTTAAAACAAATCTATTTTAATACAAAAATGTGTGTTAAATGTATATAAATTGAGACATTTTCGAGTAGTTTGAGTTCAGATCCAGAAGCGAACCAACTGAACCCTTAAATCCGGCCTTGGTCGTACAAACTGTTGTCCGGACCACTAAATACAGTTCACGGATATTGTGTTGAGACGTATGTAATATGTATATCTACCTAATAATTAACAAATACAAATCTCTGTACAGCTAGTGAAAGTGTATCAAAATCACTAATTTGACGCAAAACAATAGACTATTGAGTTTTTGAATGTACGTTTTTCTCTCCATTCATGTAATACCAAATTTATTATGCCAAACGTACTCGAACGGTATGGTACAAACACATATCTATAGTTGTACAACAACTATATACGAATAGATATAACCGACTCTGATTTCATCATTGAAGCTCAGCTGCCATTTGCTTACAGTTTGATCACGTGATGTCTGATATCAGTTATTCGAATTTTGTGTATGGATGATTTATTAGTATTATGATACTATCCAAATACATACCATTCGTGATCATTTACTCATTAGCGTTCTTTATTTCACGTGTTTTTGGGATTATTTTTTGTTCTTAGAAATTAGGTATCACGGCGTATATGATATCTGGGAATATGGTAGTTTCATGTCCGACAAATTAATGCACCAACAGAAGGGGAAGCGGAGAGGGTACAGTAATATTCACAAGAAGTTAGAAATAGATAATTATTATTATAATTTAACAGTATTCGACAGAACTAATAATACTAGCATGCAGTCTGTGCATTATTCACTATTATTGTCACTATCATACACAAATATTCGAGTTATCACGAAACTATGTAAACAGTGCCCTTTTGCAATATGAATGCCACGCTTCATGGTTCGTATTAGAGAATAATATATAGTTAGCTATATAATCGGCTTATATATCTTTGGATACAGATGCTTGATTATATTTTTATATCATATTCCGTCTACGTGCGTATAGTAAAATATTTTTGTTTTAAAGGCCAATAAATGTTGTAAAATTTAAAAATGTTAACCTTTTAACGACAGCCTTAATAATAAGAGTTTTCCATTAATCTACTGCCCTAAACCTGTTTAGGAATAAGGGGAAGAGGGGTACTACCTTTTTACGAACAGATATGACTTCATAGTTCATATACAGTAGGGATTATTTTAAATTTTAATTGATAAATAATAATATTTTACAGCCCGAATTCAAATTCGATTTTTCTTTTAAATTCAAATAAAAAAACGGAAATCAAAGCGGTCTGTAAGAAGTCTTCCTCTTTAAAACGAAAAATAATTATCGATATAGTATCACTCTGCAAAAGGTATTTTTGAGCCATAAACGTCCTGACGCCTTGCCACTTAACATCAGCCTGTTCGAATCCAAAAACCATTTTGCATATCAGTGGCATATTTTAGTAGTAGAGTAGAATCAATTTTAAAAATGTGTGGTCCTTTTCCTAAGAGTAAGATATCACGAAATAAGGATATTTATAACAAAACTGCAGCGATAATAAAATTACGGAGGAGTCAGAGACATGATGACGAAGAAATTGTATAGATAAAAAATGTCAACAAATTGGCGAAATGCTGTTGTGGCAATAATTTTTTTTATACATATACTAGAGGGTGATATTTTCTACAGGGTGATGTTTATGCTTATACAAACAAAGAGTTTTTTTCAGATTCTTTAGTTTTTTACTACATGACCGTCTCTAAAATATCTTTATGGTGTATACGCAGTAATTTGATTTATATAATACATCATTAAAAAAAAGCGTGTTTTTCTTGTATCCGGTATAGATTATTACCACGTAAATATAAACGTCGTGCTTTATTATATTCTACACGTGCACAAACTATAGCTATATTAATTATATTTTTATTATCATTAGTCAATACCGGTAAAACTTGTCTGGCAAATACAGTTCCCCTAAACGCGTATAAATGTAGTAAAAAAATGTTCAACAACGATCCAGCGATTATATACGAAGATTAAGAGTACAATTGTCGATTTTGTGTTTTTCAATTATTAAATCTATATACGATTCACGGTTTTATTTACAATATTTTCAAACTTTCGTACGCATAAACCGCATGTTTATGAGTTATTATAACTGTTTAAAATTTAGACCGTAGATATATAACAATATAGAAGAGTTATCGTCTGGAAATAGATAATATATGTTTTATACTAGATTATGACCGAAGAACTTGAAATATTTGTATGGAAATATTCACTGAATCATATTTGAGTAAAGTAAGGAAAGTAAAGCTTTTGAATTTCGACGAATTTATAGTTGTCAATAATTGTAAATAGTCGATAATATATATAATTTCGTTAAGTTCAAAAATTTTACTTTCTAGACTATATTATTATAAACTCTGTATTCGGAAATAAGTTTTTCAGTATTACTGTTTTCCGATAGAAGTCGCTATCAGCAGCAGCGATACAGTTCAAGACTATAACATAATAGTGAAACGGTTTTTGGCCACATCGAGTCTGCATCAGACGTGAGAAAAATCGTCATTATGCAGTCTAGTACGATAAACGATAAAATATATGTAGTTTACTAATTAACACGGAAAGAAAAACATTTCGTTATGTTCCGGTAGACGGGAAATATAATGCTTTTTGTCGTCATATTATACGGTCACTATAGGTATATAGGTAGGTGCTGGAGAACATGCAAAAAATAACGTATATAGATATACTGAGTGCACGAAAATATAACGAATGTATAGTGGAACATTTTACAATTTCCCAGAGGGAAATTATTTAACAATCTGTCGGTAAAAATGGACAAAATTTCGCTGGGAAAATTGTTTATCGGAATCGTATTTCATTGGTAAATTAATATAACAAATCGGAATATACATTTCATTTCATATATATATAAAAAAATATCGAAACAGATAAATTGTTAGTCGGGAAATCTTATTTTCTTTTTCTTTTTTTTGGACTAGCTACGGATGCGCGGTTTTCAATATTTTTTGAATATCAAATTGCCGATGACCGGAGACTTTTGCCGATCAGACATAATTGAATATGCTCCCACTGGTAAATTACTACATCGAATATATTGAATCGGCTACCAATAACACTTAATAAACAAGTGGCTATCAAAATTTATTTCAAATGAAAGTTAGAAAAAGCACGTGGTATTAATATTCTATCAAATGCAGTGCTACGGATCATTGTAGCCGGAAATCAAATAATTATTAATTTAAATAATGTCTGTAAGCTATTCGTTTTTTCATTTTTGTGATAACGATAAAATATAATTTATAAATAATTGAATTCAGAATTAATCAACTGCAGATTTAATTCAGATGTCAAAAATTAAACAAATATTAGCGCAATATTTTTTCTATAAGTTTTGAACCTTTAATTAATTGTAATACATAATAGGTATGTGAATATGTTATATAACTTATCCATAGCTAACTGTTATATTGCATATGACTACCTATATCTACATGATATAAAGTTCAATATAATAGACATAATTATGAGGTGAATTTAAATTTGGTATTTATGAAATAGGTATGTGCCAAATGAGCCGATTCAATACCCAAATCTTGGAAGCCAATTCAACATTATAGGTAATATTATTATTGACTACCCGCAGAAGGTTTGGAAGCTAATTCAAGTGCACCGACGAAAATACTGGCCAATGAATTACAAGCCCTCCGAACAATCGAATTTTCAACAACATCTTTGTTCGTTATTTATTTTTACGTTTATATCGTACAATTCGAATTTCAAATACAATCAAAATTTCTATAGTCAATCGCGAAAACCATATGTTATAATATTATTATTCGATTGAAGTAGTATATCAAGCGACAGAACACATCCCACGCGCCGAAGAAACAGGACGTTACACCGTCTGTATTTAATCAATATATATATTTATTTTTTCAGTAAATTTTTTATTTTGGACTTTACAAAATGCCATTAAAATAACGCCATCTATTATTTATATGATGATAAAAAAAACGATACAAAAAAGAGCTGTAATTGCTGATGGGAGTGTTACTGTTACCGATGGGAAGTTGAGGTTATTTTTATTAACACTATAAGTACTTCTGACTATGCTCGGATTAAATTTTCAAAACAATTTTATCCACATAAAACTAAATAAAACCAAAACAACTAGGAGCATTTAAAATAGCTATAAATGTTACAATATGATGCGCTATATTATTGCGTTTACGTGTGCGATGAGAGTATAATATTTGTACCGTTCCTAAAATCATCTATAAACAAAAATATATAGGAATAAAAGATGTAATAACACCGTTATTTGCAGTATATTTGTTTGTATATCACTTATATGCACACCTTACGTGAAAACAACAACAGGGTGAATTTAATTAAAATATAAAATACCAAATAGATACGCCTATATTTTATGTGATTTTCGTTGATTTCTGCAGGTATTCCTTCGGTAACGCGATGAGGTGAGGGGAAGTGCGAACGAATTAAATTTTAAAACAAAGCATCGGACATCAGCAGATGTTATTGGGTTGCTGGATTGTTTAGTTTTTTTTATTGCGTCACATGGGCAACAAAACACCAAAATACTATCGGCGTAATGGAGACTATAAATAGGCCCCGAGTGTCGAGCTATGAAAAACAAAAATCCACGGAAGAAGTAAAACCGTCATCAGGCGTATACGGTAGAACTGACCCCATCCCGACTGATTACCGTGGATAACCCTGGGAACAGAAAGGAATGAGATCTGAGTTCTTCTTTAGTATACGTTAATAAGAAAAAAAAATCACAGACAATATTATTCAATGTCAATTCGTCCGGCCACGTTCCGATTCGATCGATTCGTGGGTATACGGGGGTCTGTACTATACATCTAAAGTAACCCTCGATTTGATATGCGAAACCACGTCTGATAGGTCAGAAGGGAAAACGTTTTCACACTTCTATTGTCGATTTTTGCTTTTTCGTTATCACGGGGTATGAATACTTCCCGCGGCCCGAGTAGGTAAAATTAAATGAATATTTTAAAACAACTTTAGATTTTGAGTGTAGTGAAAAATTTATTAGTTTTACAAAGATGTTTATTTTGTATTTTTTTTTTTTATATACTGTGTACAAAATTTCTACAAAAAATATTACTCCGATGTATACAATGTAGACCATTTTCCGAAAGGAAATTTTCTTGAGGTAGTACTTTAGGGAGATTGTTTTTTGATTTTCACGGCAGTTTTTTTTTTGTTTTTTGATAACCTAACCCGACAAGAACGCAGTTATAGTATATTATGATAATAAAAATATTGCCGATAATATGTATACACACGTGTAATACCTCGGAATCGTTATAGTCACTGCGCCGAAATGTTTTTTTTTCCTCTCTCCACGCGCACGTTAATTTCCTGGATGACCGAACCCACATTGCAGCAGCTCGCACAGTTCGGTTCCACCTCGCATTTTCCATATATATACGAGAAGTTTTTCACTATAATATTATACCGACCGATCGACCGATTTTTTACCATACGGTTTTGACGGTTTGCAAAACGACACCGGTGGCGAAGTAAAATGAGTTTCCGGTGGCAACGAACTCGGCCGATCCGTCAGCTGTAGTTTATAATACTATATAATATTATCATAATGTTGATAAAAAAAACATATATCTAACGATATACCTAGTACAATATTATCAAAAACGATATTTCTACAATAAATGTAATGTAAAAACATAAAAAAATAAAATTCCCAAGAAAATAACAGGTTCTAACACAAAATGGTTCGAAATTGTTTTCCAAAAACATATTATAATCTGCTGCACTAAAGTTTCTATATGCTTCAATTTTTTCCACTATCGGTGTAATTATTACTAATAAAACAATACAAATTCTTTCTCAAGGAACTCGTTATGGTTTTTAATCAACTGTGTATTTTTTTGGTAATTTTTAATTAAATGCACATGCAATAATCCATAATATAAAAGTATCTCTTGTAATATTTCATTTTAAATAATTAAATGAAATAAATTATACAGGAATAGCACCACAATATTAATAATAAACGACAATAGATAAAAAACCACAGGATATTTTAATTAAAATGACGTAACGATGATGATAATAGTAATTATAATAATAAAACTGTGTAAATAAACGTCTATTTTCAAAATTTGAATTTAGCTATAACAAGCACTCTCAATTGTAAACTAAAAAAAAAAGAGCTGATACCAAGAACGGGTGTACAGTTATTTAATTTGCATCTGTAAGCAACGATATACACCATTGACAGCAAAAAAACGAAGTTCGGTTATACGTGTTTTGAAAGGCCGTTATAATGTTTATGATTTTCGTCAAAATTTAATATTAAATTTATTATAAAAAAAAAAATACTAAATTATACTGATTTTTTTTTTTTACCACTAAGTACAACTTATAATTAATAAATTAACTTCCTGTTAAAGGGTCAATCATTTCTGTTTGGTCAAATAATTGTATCCACTAAGAACCTCCATATAAAAATTGCGTAAAAAACTCATAAAATTAAATGTCTATAAATAGCTCAACAATTTTAATTCTCTATGAATATTTTTAACTAAATTACTACAAAAGACAAATTTAAATTAATAAAAGAATATTATTAATATTATTTTAGTAAATTTTCCTGTTCTTTCTACGTTTTTTATTGGTTTTGCTTTGAAAATCAAAAAACAAATTACTTACTCACCAACTAGGTTAAAAATGCAACATAAAAGGTCTCTTGCTTTCTGGCATTCAAGTGTTAGCTTTATTTGCGATGATCGAAGTCTAAGTGAAATTTCACATGAACATGATAATTTAAAACAAATAATATTAATAAAAAAAAAAAACCTAAAATCACCTAGCGGTTCCGTGTAACTGTCGCGTACTGTTAATTGTGATTTATCGCGAAAATCGCTTTATATTATCAAATTTTGTACGATTTTATAGCTAATTTTTTATTATTTTTAAATAATACCAAGTAACGATGAGAAATTACTTATTCATTATGGCGTCGTCGTCGGCTTTTACTTTCTCAATCTGTTCTACATTATAGCGGACGCAATATTATTGTCTATATTATATAGTATTACACGGTTTAACGGATTTTAACAATTAGACATAGGTACACTCGGCCATCCTACTTTATGATGCGATAGTTACTATACAATACGTTTACCGTTTCCGCCAACTAAATATAATAATGTATTTTTATTCCGCGGTGTTGAAAGCGATTTGACCGCGAACTCCAAGAGAAAACGATAATACATAATTGATTTACGAGCACGCTAATAAAGTGAGACGAATATTGAAAAAAAAAGTGTACGATATGGTAAAATTATGACGTGATGTTATAATATTTTAAATTATGGTGATCCGGTCGAACTTGCGGAATTTTTACCTGGTAGTACTTTATTTTAAATTGTTTTGGGCAAAAGAGCTATTCCTCCAAAATCGAAAATTAAAGTATTTTTATAAGCAATTTGAAACCTAAGTTAAATATTAGTATAAATTTCACCATATTAATGCAAGAGGAGGGTGTTTTTTAATTTCGTTAAACCGTGCAGACCCTTCAAATAAAATCTGGGGAATTTAATATTGTATGTGCATAGAGTAAGTTTCAAGGATGTACATTTTTGAAGTTTTAATCCCCTCCCCAAAAATCTGTACATTCGCAAATAAAATAAATACAAAATTTAATATTTTAACGGCAACAAGTCGGCTGAGTAAAATTCATCACTAATAAAAGAGCTATTTACAGATGTTTTCGTTTGCAAGATTTATATCTTATAATCAAAATTAAACAAAAACAAAATAATCAAACATCCCAAATATTATAAAGAATTTAAAAAACCCCACAATAAAAAGAGAATTACGTCTAGAAAACACGTCTAGAAAATGCTAACACGAGTATTCAGTGAAAATTAGAGGTTTTTACAGTTTTTTAACACTTATAATAATATTATAGTTTAAAACCAAAAACGATTTGAATAGAAACGCTTTAAGTTCGTAAATATTTCAATTTTTCGGGCATTTCGGACAAAAAAATGACCTCCCAATGCACAAACTATACAAAATTTGATACCGTAAACCACTCTAGAATCTTGAAGCGAATCATTTTATCGAAAACTTCTTCACAGACAGACAAAAAGCATACATCTTAATAAAACTTAGTATAACACATTGTTTTTATCGCTATAAGAATCTAAACTAAATTTTCAACTAATTCATGATAGCCAATAACTAGGTATTTGTTGTATTGCTCATTTTTTTTTTAATATTTTTCTGTGCAGAATTTTGAGATAGTTATATTATTAGAAGCAGTACGAATGTAAAAACTTCAAAACTATATAACATATTATTATTAAATAATTTTGAAGGTCTCGTGTATATTATAACGCAATAGAGGTCCGTTCGAATTTGAACTTTTAGAATTTTACGATGAAAATTGGGTAGCAAAAAAAAAAAATCAGTCTACGCTCAGTGGCCTCGATAATGTGGCGGAAAAATAAAAAGAACGTTACTGCGATCGCAATACTAATATAAATACGTTACCGTCGGCGGCGGTGGATTCGGTTACACCCGCGACCGCGTCTCGTTCACGGTCGAAACGCCTCCGATCGTTTGACGAGAACCGTTACGTTATACTCGAACAGCGAAATATACTTAACGGACAGACAATAATAATAATAATAATGATACAATAAACATACCAAATAAATTATAATAATATTATCGCACAAAACGATGAGACCCCTGTCGATATTATAAACTAAGCTGTGCGACCGGAACCGCGTATAATTATTGTCATTTAATTAACAGAACGTAATACTATAGTCTCGCCGATGATTTTCTGCTGAGGTTTAAACTGCTACGTGTCTGTAATACACAAAAACACCGGCCATTTTCAAACGGTTTTAGCGGGCTATTTTTCTGCTAAATATCGGACCCTGCAAATCCACCACCTCCCCCCACTGTAATATAAAAGCATCGCGAGCACATAGACCAAACTTTTTCTCTTAACTTTTTTACATTTTTTACACTCCCAATCACCCTTAAAATCACTAGCGAGAGTGTTTTTCCCACACGTAAAATCTAATTTTTCGCTATTCAAAATCGACTAATTCAATAATTTACCATTTATTTTTCAGTCGACACTCAGTCAGCAAAATCTTCTCAACTGGATGTACAATGAACTCTACCGAGTGTCTATTGGGTCACATAAAACCGCCTTTAAAGACTGTCTGGATTTAAACATATAAAAATTAAACATAAAATAGTAACAGTATAAAAATAGTCAAACATTACAGCCGAATACGAATGTATTAATTGATTATCACTGTTATCAGGACGCACGCGTACGGGCCCATCAATTGCTTACGTATATTATCCGAACTATCCATTAAAATCAAAATTTGTATTACCTTAAACTTAATTAACTTAAATAAAAGTATATAGTATATGAGTCATACAAAATTCCCTGATTGTACGATAATCATTAAAATTTGAACTTTAAATTTTATTAAAAAAAAATTATATTACGGTCGACTTTTTTTTTTTTTTATCACGTCATTGCGTTAGTTTTCTTGTTTTTCCTCAATTATTAAGAAAACTACAAAGGAAATTAAAAATTGTACTCTCCTTTGCACTGACTAGACAACATTTTCTTCAAGAAACCATACTCTTAATAATGATTGTCAAAGCAAGATTCCAGGTAGACATTTTATTTACAGACAAAAAAAAAACACTTATCATAGTAAAATCAATAACCTCAATTCACTCATAATCTAAAAATTGTTTTCGTAAATAAAAAGATATCATTGCGGTGGCGAATCGACCTAACTTATATTGTTCCCAAAATGGTTCGAAGAATAAAAAACTAAATTCCCACGTTCATAAATATAGCAATCTAAATAACACAAACAATTTATTATACTACTAATAATATTCTAAAAGAGTTCAACAAATAAAATAGTTTTGTTTGCTCTTCTTTATGTATTTTCTGTTGTGTTCTCACCCTCTACTAACTACCTAACTACAAACTTTGATTTTATTTTTGGTCTGAAATTTAAAAAAAAAATACACCTCGAATTTTCAATACACAATGGAAATCTATTGGATTCGTAACGGGAAAATCGCAGTTTTCCCCAATAACTATTTAAGGTTATATGTAGTGTGGGAAAGATAAAATATAGAAAAAACGTCGAAATGGTATAAGAAGTAGGTAGGTACATAACAATATTATGATCGTTCTGTTTTGAATTCGTGTACAGTAAGTATAACCGTTTTAAAAAAATGTTACGAGAGCACCAAGAGAGAGAGGATTGGATGATAATATTTAAAAAAAAATTAAAAAATTAAACCCCGAAAAAGTAACGATAATATTATTTTAATTCGATTCCGAAATGTGTGGTCGATATAGTATTGTATAATATCCATATCCTGTATTATATTATATTGTTGTTATTGTTGCGTGATGTTGTATGTGGGAGAGGAGGAGGCATACAGATTTTGTAGACCACACGCGCGCGCGTCTTTTCCTTCCTGATGCTACTATACTGATGGACCGACAACTCGCCTCAGTCATCGCCGTCGTTTGTTGTTGCGGTGCACACTCGTTAAGAAAAATGGTATCTCCGAGTATAATAATAGTAAGACGCGATGAGAAAACGAGCTGCTGGTGATCGAATAATATAATATTATATATATAGTATTTACTCGTAAATATGAATGGTATAGTCTAACCGAATAATTTTTTTTATTATTATTATTATTATTTTTTTTTTTTTATATAATATGTAACGGCGGTGGCGGTAAGAAAATAAACCAATGTCATCCTCATATTATTATATCGCCCGGGTTATACATCAACAGTGTAGAAATTGTCGGTTCGTCAGTATACAGTATTCGTTATTCATTCGTTTGACATTTTAACAGTTTAACACTGTCCAGGGCCGAATAATTAGGCTCGAGTATAACCCTAATCACATTTTTTAATAGCCCATTAAGTAAAGTCATCCAAGTGATATTATAGGTAGCACAACCAACTCATGGAACTATTTAGGTGTAAAATTATCTCATAAGTGATTCGAAATATTACTATATTATTTAAAACATTTAATACGCTTGATTTTCGAGAGGAAAAAAACCCTGGTCTTACCTAGCACTAAACACGCGCCTACAAGTAGGCGATCATCGCCTTTGCGTTAATCCGGAAGAAATTGTATATGAAAGACGGCAAATATTATTATGATGTACTCTTAATACATTTTATAAATTATTGAAAGGATATTTTAAAAATACATAAAGTAATTATATTTTGGTCTCTAATTTTAGATTTAGAGCGTTACGAAGGAGCTATTGGTTTACTAAAGTGTTTATTTTTTTTTTTCTAGTCTGTGGATACGTTTTTTTCTTGTAAACTTGCTCCGAATTTTACGTGTAGCAACTTTTCTAAAGCTCAAGTTGTCTAAATAGTACTTTAGAATGGTCATTTTTTGATTTTCTACACCACTTTTTAAATAAAAATAATTAAGAGGAAAAAAACGTAGGAAAACGTAGTATTTCATGATTTTATTATTTTATAAAAACACGGACGACGTTTTCTACCAGAAGAAATGATTTAATCGAAAAATCACAAAATTCCGCTTTTGTTGCCTTTTTGATTTACTTTCTAACAGTATCATCGCCAAGATTTTTTAGCTTTTAAAGAATTTTAATTTTTGGTAGTTTTTTTTGCTGTGATTCGGTTATATATACACATAGAGACTTGAAACTTGGTAATATAATATTTATATTGGACTTATTTAAACGTGGTAAATTTTTAAAATCATCGGGTGACTTTTTTTTTTTTAATGAGCGTTTTAAAATCAAATTTAAATGAAAATCCCAAAAATGATGTATTACCGAAATGCGCTCGGAATCGTTTTTCGTCAAGCAATGGTTTATCGTTGCTTACAGATATAAATGAAATAACATTATATTTCCTACCTTCTCAACTTCTCACCTACAACAGTGGCTGCTCCCATTCCTAGTATCAGCTCTTTTTAATATTGACTAGTATTCATATCAAATACTCATATTTTAATATTATAATGTACCGGACTAACTACAGAAACCGGTTGTTTGTCACTCTTCTTGTTGCGCTTAAATTAATCACTATTGTAAAACCGCATTATATAATAATAATAAAATAATATTACGAATGTCTATCGCCTTGTTAACCAAATCAACAACCGTAACTATACGGACGGATGAACGGATGGACACAACGAGCATATAAGGTGTTCTAAACTTAATATGTTTAGAAACCTAAAATCACATATGAAGAGAGTAAAAATACAAAGTACTAAGTACCAATAAAAATATGCATCCATATTATGTTCATTATAAACCTATCTAATGAAATTAAACCATAAAATATAAACGAGTATACAACTACTATTTTTTTTTCGTTATTCGCGAAACACGTAATAAAAAAGAAAACAGATAGTGCGGTGTTATACCATGAAAAAATGTAAACCGCCAGTAAAAACGGTATAAGTCAATATAATTTTCATAGCTGTTATTTTTTTAGATGATGTTGGCGGGTGTGCAGACGATCAAATACCACTGCTACAATAATTTCGGACGAAGACGCCATGAGTGAATTTGATAAACCAAGCATGTCTATGTAGAAACAAATCACTGAATAGTGACAATGACACTATACAATTACAAGTAAGTGTTTAATTATGAAAAAGCTGGACATTTGTTGTCAGTTTTTTAAATTGTTTAGAAAAACTACTGGGTACATAGACATTTGTCCAAGTAAAGTATTACCGTAGTCAACAAATCCGCATCATCTATTAAGGTACTTACGATGTGAATGATTTGGAATATTTTTACTAACCAAAAAAGTAATTTCAAGAAAAAAACCATAATTAATATAGCTTCCTCGTTATAATTAAAAAAAATACGTATAACGACTCTGTTGTTTAATTTCATTGTGAGCTGAAAACTATAAGTATAAGTATTAATGATAATTCAATATTGATATTTTACAAATGATAAACACAAAAACAATATATGTACTTTATAAAAATGCCTTTTGAAAATCCCAAATAAAACGAATACAATATTATCAGTAAAACGTATAAAATTCTATATACGGATTACTTTAGAATTCTGCAGAGTGAAGCGAAAAAGCAATTAGCTTAACTAAAATGTGTGGGTTTGTCCTGAAAACACATTTCGGGTTAATACAAATGTTCTGATATTTCTATACCACACCTTGAAAGATGATGATTTTTTTATCAGATTGTATTTTATTCGAAAAAAAATATCTAGATTGGCAATAGATTTTTTATAAAATTTTAAAAAACAGACAACAAATGTCGATACATGTATTGTATTTTTATTGATTTCTGATGGGTTACCTTTAGCCATACAAGCGGAATAAAACACGACTCTGATACTACACTTCTTAAATACTCATTTTTTGATTAAAATGATTCATCGTTGCTTGTAATATATAAATTAAATTACCCTATACATTTCTAACTTTCCTATTACTACAGTGACCTAATATACATGGTGTGAAGTACGTCCGGATTTTTAATATTATAGTTTCTTCGGTAAACACGAAATAGATTTAAAAAAATATATAATCAACCCATTGGTTTAGGTATATTTAAGCTCAACGCGAAATTTTTACTGAAACCCCTTTTTACCCGCGGGACTATTTGATCCGTACAATACTATAATACAAAGACCTAAAACTCGCTTTTGTTTCCACGCAACAACCTCCCGGGTGTACAATATTATTTCAAACGAATGAATATAGAACCCATTGCAAGACTTAAATAATATAATACAACACAACAATCGATTTCTAATATCATACTTTGTTTAACGGCCGAAAAACTACAATGACCCACATCTCGTTTCGATTTAAAACTTACGTACCTACTCGAGTATTCAATAAAAGTTAAACTATAATACTATATTGTTCTTATGTAACAGATTTTTTTACAAAGTGAATTGATCTGTAAAACACGTCACTGCACACACAAAGCATATTATTTATTCTATTTCCGTATAATATATTTAAATTTAAATTTTAAAAAAGAATAATAATGTACATAAACATGTTTTTAAAACATAAACTGTTATAATTTGTTTTTCGTCATGACGATATAGTATTTATCAACATTACACAGTGCAACTTCGAAAACAATAATGCACTCTATAACTGAAATAAGATTAAAAAAAAAAATAGAAAATCGTCTACAGAAAATTTGTCACAGCAGTTTGGATCTATATAGTTTTATAAATCACTCGAAATAAAACAAAAAAAAGAAACAAAAAGTGAAAATCCTAAAAAAAAAAACCAATCAATAATTATTTACAGAACGGTTGACACAAAACGATCGATTATTTTTTTTAAATTGTATACCTGTAATACTATACAACAATTAATATTTTCTGATAACATAAAACAAAAAAAGCCGATACTGCTAATGAGTGTGTATCACTGTTTAAGGTGAAAAATCGCGAGGAAGGTGATAAAAAATATACATTAAAGAAACTTGATTTATACTTGTACTCAACGATAAACCAGTGCTAACGAAAAACGATTCTGAGCAGAAAATAATTAGTCATATTTTTTCCTTTTTTGCTAACTAGAAATCAATACAAATTATACCTATATAAAAATTGCTAGTTTTTCTCATTTGTTAAGAAAACTACAAAGATAATCAAAAAATTACCTCATTAATGTAAGGACCAAATCAAAAATACTTAATAAAATTATTATAAACTTTTTCATTGTAGTAGGCTTTCTAGTAGACGTTGTTCACTCACTGTGCTCAGAATCTAAACAAATATTAGCTTATTAACTTATTCAATATTTCAAATATACGCAATAATATGCAATATTTATAAAACAAAATATTAAAAACGAGAGGGGAGGAAAAGAAAAAATCGTCCACAAAGCATTAAAATAATACAAAGTTGAAAAATAAGCAAAATAAAAACTTCGTTGGACGGAACAAATTTATGCTGACGTGTTACTTCATACAGTGAATCAATAGGGGGAAAAGCAAACGCCTACAACATCCGAAATCTATGATTATTAAATAGGTACTATCGAAATAGGATGATAACAAATTTTTAAATACTGCAACGTAAATTTGTATAAGAAAAACGATACACAATATAAAAATAAATCAATCCTAGTTAATCTAATAGAAAGCATGCAAAACTACAATCAACTAATATCGAGAATTCGAGACTAAATGAAGTCAATTGTTAATCAATTATTAGTAACGAGTCCATATATAGTAATTTCACAATTTTAACTTTAGTGTCCTATATTTTGTATAATATGGCGCATTTTTATCGATTGATAAATATTGAAAATAAATTAAATTAAATCTAAATTAAGAATATTGCGGATAAATAAGTATTTTTACATTGTTTTAAATAACCACGGCCGTATTTTAAGGGCAAAAAATGTATACAAACCCATATTTTGATACACAGGATTATCTATTTTACCATTTATTATGAACCAGCAATTTTTTCAAAGTGTATTTAATTTTTTTTTCAATATTCATTTTTAACTGATAAATGAACCACCCTTTCTCCTCTACTCCTCCGGTTTAAATTTTAAACTCTTATAACTCAAACGGTGAATCAAATAACTATTAATGTTATGCATATCAAATTTTTAAAAAAATATTCTCTATTCGAACCTGCAGTTAAAAGAGAGGAGATTCTATTTGAAAATCAAAAATGTATAATAATTTACTTTAAGTTATATGGAGTCGGGGTAAAATATGGCAATAAAATGTTAAAATAGTGTTTAAACGGTTACATTATAATGATTGATTAACAAAAATAAAATGCAATTATAAGCCTCCTATAAAATCGCTAGTTCTTGATAAATGAATCAACCCGTATGTATTAAAATTTAATCACCTAGAATTTTAGGGCAGGTAGTCGTTTTATATAAATTAATGAGTTAATAACGAGTTAAACTTTTTGGAGGTCGCGGCTTCAATAATGGTCCTGGTGATGAATAGGAATAGAACCGTATAAGAAAGCATCAAAGATAGAAGTAGATAATATTAATATGATGGAATACGGAACACGGTTTAGATTTAACATTGGAATTTATGCGATTAATTAGATTGCGCGGGAGGAGAGAATCTGCTGACACTGAAATAGTTTGTAGGAAAGCTGTACAGTGACTAGTTAAAACTCTTGCAGTCTCACATTTGAACAGAGAAGAAGAGAAGATTTTCGGATTTTAAAATAACCAAACGCTGTCACGAAAAACATAACAAACGTGTAAGAATATTATTTACGACGTACCTACTCTTTCCAAATTTGGGCATTAATTATAGGTTGAAGGTTTAAAGTTACTTATGTTTATAACTTTCAACTTAACTAGTTAAAAATAAAATAAAATGTTGAAAAGTAACTTAGTTATTTCTTTTGATAAATAATTATAACTGAACTAAGTTATTTTGTTAAAATTTAAGTTATTTATGATTTCTTTTGTAAAAATAACTGTGTGCCTATGTTTTTTAAAATTATTTTTCGACGAAAATGACGAATTTTTTACGTGAATATCTTATCACATCACAAGACCAGTGCGCGACCGATGCAGCGATACCCACAAAAGTTTGGTAGAGGAAGTCTATAAAATACTAAATATTATAGAGTACAAATACTTTCATAGTGCATACAAAGGGTAATTTAAAAAAAGTAACTTTTAACTTAACTATGTAATCATTTTTCTTGAAAATGTGTAACTTAAATTTACTGATTTACTTGTGTATATCAAAATTAACTTTAACTTGGCTTAGTTATAGTTGTTTTTGAAATAATTTAACTTAAACTAGTTAAAAAAAAATTATTTATAGTTGCTCAACATTGACTTTTTCACACATTCTTGCGCAATATTGACAACAAAGTAACTTTTAAAAATGGTTTTAATGGTACACGCGCTTATCGTATAGTAATATATACGTATAGTATTCGGCATTTTGTTTTGTTTTTAACGCGTAACGATTTGTTGTCGTTTGATAGGTACTTTGATCAAATATTGAATGAATAATAAAATATTCATAGTTTTTTTTTCTGTATTTAGCGGCAGACAACAATAGAAGAATTTTTTAAATATATATAAATTATAAATACATAATATATACTCATTATTATAAGCTGCGTCTATGTATTTAGTGAAATCTTTAGCTTCGTCAAGTGGATATTCACTTGATGAAAAAAGTATACCCATATATTATTGCGAATAATATACTCTTGTTTGCCTATACATCGGATTTCCGTCGAAAAATATTAATCTCTTCCGATAAATCTCCAACGGTTCATTCATTTCGGCGCTTTCATCACGCGGGTTCGCTATCTCCCACCCTGAAGCCGTGTTTTGCATATATATTTTGTATATTATATTATTATTATTATTATTATTTCAACAACAATAAGTCCAATGCACCGGAACGACACCACAGTCGGTTTTGCGAGCATTGTTCTAAATATTCGTATATTATAGTAATGACCGGGACGTTATAATATAATAGGTACGAGTACGACGGCCGATAATAATTATTATACGCCAGTCATTTTTTTTTTTTAAATTTTATTCGTTGCTATACAGGGTGATTTTTTTTAGTCACAATCCAGCTCGATCGTTCCGGTTGATATCAAGTACATTTCATTTCCGTGGGATTTTTCAATCGTTATTGGAATAATCGTTAAAGCTTAGAGTCGATCCGAGACTGTTATTATCGCGGTGTACAGAATATGTGTGAAATGTCAAATACACTTTATATGTAGGTACATCAAAAACCATACGATTAAATAATAAATAAGGTATAGTTGTCTTCCGAAGTGCAGCCATGCTCAATCAAAATGTTGTAATTTATTCTAAAACTTAACAGTCTAATTATATTTTATTATCAGGTCTTTTTCCAAAATTCAACGTTGCCAACTAAATTTCCATCGGATCCGGCGTTCAGTTTTACCGGTTTACCCGATTGGTAATTCTTATCAGTTCTTATAAGCCTCATTTGCTGTTATTTCCCTTAAATTCTAGAGATAAGGGTGCCTATTATATACTTGATAATATATTTCAATCATATATACGGTTATGTTCCATATAATCCAGAGCGATTCAAAAAGGTTGGTACCCAACAGATCCATCGTTTAGTTGAATTTTGAAAGACAAGATACCTAATAGGTAACATTTAATTAAATAAAATTACTAAAAACAAAAAACACCCTGTATACACGTCGTCGTTTAGTTTTCCCCAAAGTACGAAATATAACGCGCAATACAATATTGTTATTTAGTTCGAGTATAGAGTAATAACGAGCAATAATAATAATAATATAATGTGATAATTCTTCGGCGACGGCGGCGGCGGGGCGATGTACTCTCCCGAATCGTGTCACGGACGTCGGACACACTGCATGGTAGATAGGTATCCATAGACCGGGTATATGGTATAAAATATTATGATCGTAGTCTGGGTGATGTGTTATACTCGTATTATAGTACGCTGCAACATAGAAAACACGACGCTGACAAAGATCAGCATATACGGTTTCGCTATAAATTTATAACACTGCGAGCGCACGAGGAACGTAAGTACGATATTTCATCATCCTAATTTCTATTACCCACTATTATATAGTACTATACAGTTTGTGTTCGCCTTTTGGATAACACAACAACATAATATAATATTGTATACCCAATAATAACAACATACCGCCGACAATTAGTTTCGGTCAGATTCGTTTGAAAAACCACCGAATAATAAAATAGTCGCTATACTGCGTTTTGAGTACGGAATTATTGGACTTATGTTATAGTACTCTACTCGTATCTATCTCTGTAATAATATATTATGGACATTGTAAGTGCATAAAATAATTCACATAAATCGCGCAATAATTTCAGAAAACGTAAAACTTCGGGAAAATCCGCGAAAATCGCGAACCCATATCGAAATTTTTTTCACCGAACCATAATAAAAGTTGAATTCGCATAAATGAAAAATAATAATGTACACGAAATATCGGCGTTTACGAGTTTCGTCAAAATCAACGGAAATTCATCGGTGATAACTTCGAATCTTTTTATTTTTCACTAAGCAAACACAAATAAAAGCTGATGGTCTGCTGGTGGGTGTACCACTGTTGTAAGTGAGAAGCTGGGAAGGATGGATACACATATTATTCAATTCAATTAGTTATTCAATTAGTATCTGTATGCAACGATAAAACAAAAAACGACTCCAAGCTCGGTTGTGTTTCATTGAAATGTTATGATTTTCATACAAATTTGAACTTAAGACGCATTTAAAAAAATATTGATAACGCTCAACTATTTTTTTACCGTAGAATACAACTCATAATGAACCTCCTGTTGAATTTAGAAAAATAAAAACCGGTGGGATTTCGTGAATATTCTAGTTTTCATAAATTTTTCCCCCTGATTTCGACGCATTATTATTTAGGAAAAGTCCGAGGAACTTCAAAACCCCGGATTCAAAATGTACCAATACTATACCATCATGAAGTTGCCCCCCCCCCTCACTTTGTCTGTCTTGACTTCAAAATACCACCAAATAATACCAAATCGAGTTTCACTGATTGTGAATCTTTTTTATATTTTTTACAAATTTTTCAATTTTTTGAACGAACGTGGATTAAGCACGATCAAAATATGATCAATTCACGCATGTGCATATACATTTTCATTCTCTCTACTTGTATAAATATGTTGTATTCTCTGTGGCTAGAGCCTGTAGCTATAAAATTCACGGAACAAATTGTATTTTGCATATCAATGCCATATTTGAAATTATTGATTAAGGTATATTTATATACTCTTAACAAATAAATTAAGTATTTCCTCTTTTTTCATTATTTTTTACCCTTAAGACGAGAATTAATATGTTGACCGTCAATTTATTAATTTAAAAGTTATGATTATCATCAACAAATTATTTGTAATCGAAAATAATATTTCTAATATCAAATTGCTATCAAATAAACTAAATAATTATATAAGTATTATGTACTATGGTTTATGATGGACTTTTTGATAGACCTGCTTTACTAATCTTTTTATGAATGCCAATTAATTTAGTGCATATAAATTTTTTAAAACCTTTACCTACTGCGTATTTTGAATGTTTTTATACATATATTATTGTTGCATATTTCGTAATTTTCATTACACATTATATTTGCATCATAGGTTATCATTTAGCTACTTTTCCATGCATATAATTTCGGTCTATAATAATGTAGCCCTGGTTTATCGATGTATTGTACAGCGTCGTCTTGTTGGTCGGGGAGTGGGTGGAGGTTGTTTCCCAGACGTTCACGCTAAATCGGATCGTCTTTAATAATAGGTTAGGTATTATTTTTTATCAATAACATTTTAAAATTATTTCGATTCAATTTTTATGCAAATGTTCAACGTCGATAACTGGACATTTCAGTTTGTATCGATTAATATAATGCAAACAATAAATTATAAATGCCTTATATCGCTTAAAATAATTCTAATTTATACTTGATTCTACACAACAATAATAATTCTGTATTTCTGTATCACAAGAACCAACATAAGTAAATCCACACCTTCTTATATATATTCAAGAGGAATAATATCAAATATATTTCACATTTAATTTCAAATAAATAAAATTGAAAATGTTTGAACAATAAATATAATATATTTATATATTTCATAATCATACTACTAACTAATTATATGTTATAGAAAAAAAAAATAACTTTTATTAATATTAAGTTTAATTTGCATAGTAAGTAATTTATTTATATTTAACTTCTTTAATGGAAAAAAATCAATTAGAATAAAAGAATTAATTTTTTTTTTTTAATTTGTAAGAACGTAAAATAATTACCAATTAAAGCTAGAAGAGAGAATGAAAATGTATATGCGCATGTGCGAACATTTTGACTCAATTCACGTTCGTTCAAAAAATTGAAAAATTCGTAAAAAAATATAAAAAAAGATTTACAATTAGTGAAACTCGATTTGTAATTATTTGATGGTGTTTTGAATTCAATTCGATAAAGTGGGGGGACCAACTTCATGATGGTCAATACTATGTATATTTTATTCTATAGATCCAATATGCTATACGAAGGAATGTCACGCGAATATTTTTATCAGAGCAAGTATACAGCTTTGGAAACTTGTTTTTAGACCGAAAAGAAAACCGAAATCGATTAAACATTGAAGTAGGTAGAGTTTCGGTAAAATTTGATTAGAACGCAATTATTACTATTGTTTTATAGGTATCTCAACGGAAAAATCAATCGAATTAATTCGCCAATAGTTCACTTGTATACAACGGTCTCTCCCCCTACTCACTCACCCATGTACAATATGGTACAATCGCGGTTAATATTTACACCCGAAAGACACTCGTAATATCAAAAAATATTGTAATCCGTCAAAATGAGACGTATACACGACACGTATAATATACTATCGTATATAATGCGAGCACATTATAGAACGCGTACGTATTATTATATTATATTTTATTAACTTAATTTCCGCACGCGAATGTTAATAATTCCGCAAAATAGTTTTTTTTTTTTTTAAAAAAAAAAATTTAAAAACGCGTGTTTACAAACAATGCGTTCTTTTGTTTTATTTCTTTTTTTGTTTTTGTTCCATTTCGTATATTTTACGGTTACACGGGGTATATAATATTATTATGGCGAATTTATGTAAATGAGTTGTACTCGCACCACTATACGTTTACACACGTATTATAATTTATAATAACATTCAAGCGCTTAGAATATTTTTATACACGACGTTTCGGTCTATTATATGCCTGTGTGTGATATAAATATAACGGGTTGTCTTCGTGTAAACACGCCGTAAATTATAAATATTAGGTTTGCGCGGATACGTAATTTGCAGTGGTTAATCCGATATATTAATTAATGTCATACGTGTGTACTTCATTATAATATAGTACATATATTCGAATAAAATAACTGCGGTTAAGATGATGTTACGAGTATAGGTATATAAAAATGAGCGTATTTCTTTTTGAACTACCTTAATTAATCATAATATCGTTATGTATTCTTAAAGTCGTGTATGATTGAATACCGGACATACTTCGCACTGTGGGTAGGCCCAGAGACGCCGTTTCAGTTTCTTATAAGAGGCTGCGAACATTTTATAAAGTCAATTCCCACCACACGCGCCAGGCCAACTATTGTTAAATACATTTTGTTGAAATATAACTAGTATTGTTGCAAAAAATAAAAAAATTAAATACGAATTGAATATTAACTAAGTTACGTAATGACATCCAAAAAACTACATCCAAGTAAAAAAAAATCGAAAATTTGATACTAAGTAAAAAATTTACAAAAAAGACTTGATCGTAATGTTACGATTTTTTTTTATATAAGCCTTTTAAACTCGCATTTTAACGGTACTTGTAGGTAAATATCGCTTTAAAAATATTTAAAATTAATAACTTGAAAACTTGATAAAAGCGATTTTTATCATAATAATTATTTTCAGTAGTGGTTGTAAGTTTAAATTTTGACAAGCATTAATTATAAAAAAATATTGTACATTTCCCGTAGATAAATATTAATTAAATGTTCGATTTCGTAACGAAAGAATGCTTATCTGAATTCTGAGGGTCCAAAATAGAATCGGTTTTTTTTGTTCACAATGACTTATTTTCAGAACATAGTAAACTATAACTAATAAAAACGTTATACAATTTATTACTATAGTTACAGAATAAAAAAAAGATGTCCTAGGATTATGGGGACGGGCGCAACCACTGTTATAGATGAAATGTTGGGTAGGTAGTAGAGGGAAAATTTAATGTACGTGTATCTGTACGCGACGATTAACCATTGCTAACGAATAACGATTCTCAGCAGGGTTTGGCTGATAGTATTGCTTTATCAACAATATATAAGTCATATTATGGTAAAATAATTACATATGCATTATATATTTTATTTAATAATATGTGTTTAATATTGAACCTATTTTCCCGTTTTTCTACGTTTTTCCCCAGTTTTTCTCATTTATTAGGAAAATTTCTGGAAAAATCAAAAAATAACCGCCCGTAAGTACCACCCCAGTCAGATTTCCTTTCAGAAAAAGTGCTTGTTAATCACATTGACAATGACCACAGAAAAAAAAAAACAAAAAACATTGTAAAACCAATACATTCCTCGCTCCACTCCGTTCAAAAAAAAAAATCAAAATCGTTACCTGAACATATTTAGTAGATATAAAAAATATTTAAAACAGCTATATGTATTTTTTATTTTTTTTTTTTTGCAAAAAGATTATTAAACATCGTTACGTTATGATCGCAAATAATTTAGTAAAGAATTTAATTTAAATATTATTAATTTTGAATGTCACTGGTCTGCTTTGTCATGTATTTGGCAAAATATCTATAGAAAAGACCATAATATAATATAAAACCGAGACGGCAAGAATGCAAATTTAAACACATTTCATTCCACTCAAAATTCAAATTATATTAATAATTAAATCATTATGTCGTATCTCTATTGCTATACGATAATCTATATGTTTAGAGTAATATCAAAATCGTAATTGTATTTAATTTTAATCGATTTTTGATATTTTAAACCGAAAATCGTTCTGTGATAATATTTTACTACATAATATTCTTAATAAAATTCAAAAGTCATACTGTGAACCACACTAATTCCCGCCATTAAAAACGCGAGATTATAAAATCGTTTGGAAAATATTTTCGCGTGTATGTATTATTATATTATATATAGGAAACTCATCATAAACTCATTATTAGAGCTACGTATACGCGTCATCTGTGGAAAGTGAAAAGTTTCGATTTAGATAATATGTTTTTTGTATTATGCATTAGGTATATATACTTATCTATATAAGAAGTATTAGTATTACGTGCGAGTTTTTGTAATCACAAAACAGGCATCATATTTTACGCATACACTATATTAAACGAGATAAATAATATATTAGAAGATTTTCCTTAGAACAACCGTTTATAAAGAAAACGAAAATATGAACTATTCGAACTTTTTGAAAGAATAAAATTGTACCAATATTTATATCACACCAATAATACAAATATGTATTAAACTAGGTTTGTAATGTCTATTATCAGATATTATATGAATATTATATTAAAACATGGTAAATTAATTTATATTGTAGGTATACACATATACGAGGCATGTCTAGAAAATAAGAGTTCTGTTGTCCTCTAAGTATGTGGACATTTTTGTTTTCAGAGTTGGTCACCCTAAACAGTAGTAGAAGTTCTCCTAGACACTACAAGCACTGACGAAACTTGATAGTACAAAAATTGATTTTATAGTAAACGTTTCTGTGAAATATAACTATTCAAAATCTCGCCAAGTGTGAAGTGTGTGCTGTAATCTGGTTTTTTATCGCGGAAAAAAAACACCTAGGTACTGAAATTTGTTAAAAGACCAAAAATGTTTATAGCGATGGTGTTATGAACCGAACGAACGTGTTTAAGTAGTATCGTGAGTTTAATTAAGGCAGAACGAATATTCATGACGATTAGAGGAATGGAAGACCTTCAATTATGACTGATGAGTTGATGCACTTTAGGACTCATTCGGTTGAGACCTTTTGACCATCTAGCATACTCCCTGACTTGGCACCTTCAAACATTCATCTTTTCACCTCCTTAAAGACACATATGGGTGTAAAATAATTTTTAACAGACGAGGAAATGAAACAAGAGGTCCTGAACTGAAATAAGGAGATGGCAGGAGAGTTCTTTAAGAAAGGCATCACAAAACTTTTATCACGGTTCAGTACCTATAAAAACCGAGAAGGTGACTACATGAAAAAATAGTTTACATGTATAAACAAACTATGCATTTTTTTATTTTTTTAAATACAATTCTTTTAAAAATTAGAAAAATCTAGTATTCTTACTTTCTGGACATGCCTCGTACATAGAGAGACTGTAATCAGAGAGTGACCATCGGTGTTGTCATTTTCGTTTGGTTCCCGTTATCAATGAATTGGCAATGATACAATTTCGTCCAAACAGTATTATTAAATCAAATTTGAATTTTATTATCAAATCGGGATTGTCAATATTTTAATTTTTGTTTTTTAAACGATTTTAACGTTTTATTAAATATAATACTATAAACAAATTTATTTAATTATAATTAGTTAACAAGCCTATTATTTACTGATAACCGCAGAATGGAATTTAGTCTATGCTAACAATAATGTTTAGAAGGAAAATTACACAATGTGTCGAATGGTGATCAGTAGGTATCCATTGTTAAAAGGTTCGGTGGCCATCATTCACTGATTATACGCTAGAGAGCCTAGAGAACTTCACCCTATAAATTAATTAACATTTCGTGCAATATTGAAATTTAAAATGTTTACTCGACCAAAGAGCGCGTGGCATCTTAAAATGACGTGCACGCAATGCATTATAAATCGATTTACGTCTACACAAATATTTAATTTTATCGTCCAAATTTACTTACCTGTTAATGTGATAACAACAACAAAATTGGTTGTATAATCCCAGAGTGATGATTATTATATTCGTATTTTGTAGTTCTTGACAAGTTCAAACGAAACTGAAACAAATAATAAATTATGATTTTGCATAAATAAAATATACAATATTATGTTCGGTATTCGTATATTGCAGTATTTCTAAACCGTTTTAACTTTATCACCCCTAGAGGAGCAAATTATTTTTAACATATCCCCTTCGTGGAAACTACGTATTTAAGAGGATTGGAAAAAGAGGATGGGAGCTGCTGAACTGAACAATTTAAAACCAAATTGAAATGACCTATAAAAAAATATAAATATTATACCTACACTTTAAAATACAAGCTTTATTGAATATACAAGGTGAAATAGTATACATACATTTAATGTATATGTACACCAAATATAGATAAAAATAAATAAATATTGGATATAAATCAAAATACAAATTCAACACTAAAACGATTTAATCTGCATATTATCAGATATCATAATGATTTTATTTTCACAATATAACCGTTTTAATTTATTATTTTACCTTGTTCATTGTATAATAAATCGTACAATGTTTAATGTTTGTCAATTATTTTGTAGCACTATGAATACCGTAAGAAAACATTTGATATACTGATGAATGATGATCATAACATAACAGAGTTTAATGCGTAATATAAAAGTTTACTAGACCAAAATAAAAATAAAAAATGGTTTAGTTTGTATTGTCGTAGTATTTTTAAAACACTTCGGCGCCGCCGTTTGAACACGAGCATTAGGGGTGGGGGGAGGATGAAACTCTCTACCCACCAGGGCTTTGGGGTCTGAGTACGCCACTGTCGACGTCGTCCCTTTATTAAAATATATTATTTTAAGCGAGATATGGTGGCTTAAATATTATACAGATATACATAGGTATATACACAGCTTTCCTTTTGCTCTATAACAACAAAATCAATAAAGCTTTAGGGTGCGGCAAGGTCACACCGTTTACGCGCGTGCCATTAGTTCACCCGCCATTTCCATCGTTATAATAATAATACAAATATTATGATTGATGAAGACGATGTATCGCCACATAATAATACCTAATTATACAATAATGCTACGTTCGATCGAATTCCATCAAAACATATAATTTACCAATGTAAATATTATTATCATACCTAATAGTATAATAATATACAGATATACTATCCACCGATTCTTTTCATTAATAATTACTATCGAATACTATTAGCTACCTTTTTATTAAAAAAAGTTTTTTTTCACTAACGGGCAGGGTCACAGGGTCGTATTTAAACATTTTCGGGGAGGGGGGAACTGACGCACTAATTAAAAGAGTCATTGTACTTCTGACTATGCAGAACTAGACCATACGAATTTGAGAAATCACCCGAACTCGCATGATTTCAATAACAAGATTTAGGAAATCGATATAAAATAATGACGATCATCGGAGCAATATTTTTTGCAAGAAAATTATTTACAGAAAGTGAAAAAAACATTCATGAGTAGCAGAGCTCCGTCACTAGAGTCGAGTTCCCCCCTCCATATTTTTAAAATAAAAATATTCTTTACAAAACAAATATAATATTACACTATAGATAGTACAATTATATTAATTAACAAAAATATGGTAACATTATAACCATTTGGTAACCATAATAATGGTAAGGGTGGGAGTTAAAAGTTAAAACCCAAAAAACACATACTGGATATAAACGCCGTTGGGGAGAGTCTATATAAAGCTAAAAAAACACCCATAACGACATGATTAAATTTATATTTAAATTCAATATGCCAACAAAATAACTTTTGAGCGCATTTGGTTCAGAACGAGTCGCTAGAAATATCAAAAAGTAATGGGAAAAGACATAATACAGTAAAATAGTCTCAATTTATTTACGGGGCAAATTCAACAAAAAAAGCAGCACATTTAATAGTAAAACCAATATATTTCTTAATAAGCTCAGAGTCTAAAAGAAAAATTTTCAACTATAACTTAGCATATCGAATGAATTGTAATAAAATTATAGATGTATTAATTGCAAAAGGTATTGATTAGATCAGAGGTGCCCAACTCGCGGCTCGCGTATTATTTGCTACCCACGGTAGGTTTTAATGTGACCCTAGCTTCAATTTCAAATCATCAATTAATTATATATAATATTATGAGAACAAATTTATTTTAAGGATATATTACAAAATATTTAAAAAAAAGAGTTGATACTGGGAACGGAAGCGATCACTGTTGTAGGTGAGAAGTTGGGAAGGTAGGATACATAAGGTTATTTAATTTATTTCTGTAAGCAACGATAAGCCATTGTTTAACGAAAAACGATTCCGAGCGCAGTTCGGTAATACATAATTTTTACGATTTTCGTTTAAATTTGATTTCAAAACGTTTATTAACAAAAAAAGTCTTCCGATAATTTTAAAAAATTTACCACGTTTAGGTAAGTCCGATTTAAGTATTATTACCAAGGTTAAAGTCTCTAGATTTATTTATAACCAAATCACAGCAAAAAAACTCCCAAAAACTAAAATTCCTTAAAAGCTCAAAATTGATTCAAAAGTTTTGGTAATGATAGTGTAAGAGAGTAAATCAAAAAGGCAACAAAAAATATGTCAAGTGATTTTTCGATTAAATCATTTCTTCTGGTAGAAAACGTCGTCTGTGTTTTTATAAAATTATGAAATCGTGAAATTGTACGTTTTCCAACGTTTTTTTCCACTTAAGTACTTTTATTTAAAAAGTGGCGTAGAAAATAAAAAAATGACATTTCCAATGTACCATCTATACAACTTGAGCTTTCAAAAAAGTTACTACACATAAAAATCGGAGCAAGTTTACAAGGAAAAAGCGTATTCACAGTACATAAAAAATAAAAGAAATAAACATCTTAATAAAACCAATAGCTCCCTCGTTACGCTCGAAATCTAAAATTAAAAAAACTTTAAATATTACTTAATAGTATACTCGTATACTATTTTATGAAAGTTTGAACTTTATGGGGATCCGATAGCGATGAAGAAACAACTGTAACTATAATAACAATACAATTATTTTAAAACTGTTTTCTTTTAATGAATGTATCTTTTTTCGTAATTATAAATAAAATGTAGTAGTAGCTTATAAAAATGTTTCTACTCATTATTCACTATGGTAAAAATTATAAATAAAATGTATTATTATTAAAATGTATGTGGCTCACAATAACTTCTACTTACATGATATAGCCCAGTCTTCACAAAAGGTAGGACACCCCTGAATTAGACGATACATTGTTTCTACTTCTTCGATTTCTACAAATTGTTCTAGGCATTTTTAGTTCAAAATTTTACTTAACAGCGATATCTTTAGTTTTTCATTCCGATAACACTCAAGGATTTTATCTTAAATCTAAGATGGGTTAAAGGCTACCGCGTACCATACATATGATATCAAAATGTATAATATAAAATGTAGTATTAAGTCAAGTGTTTTTGTTAAATTAAGTAGGCACTTAATGAATTGGCGAAAACTGCAAGAAAACTAAACGCATTAATTACTATACAAGTTATATATTATATTATTATAGTCTATACGTATGGTGACGATGACTATAAGAAATGACATTTGTTTTTGCTACTATACATTGTGACACACATTTATATCATCCTCCCTACCTCAGGAAAAAAATGGTCCTATATAGTTATAGAATAATCGGTATTTCACTATGTTCTACATATGTATAAGTATACAAATAAATAAATTAGAACGTAATGATAAATCGTCAAATTTGAAAATTATGGTTTACTTTTGTATAACTTGCAGGTGTGTTTAAAAAAAAGTAATTCAGCATTTTAAGTGATCGTAAAAAAAAACAAAACAAAACAAAAATAAGACTTACACATTGTTATATGAATAATATTAGTTGGTATATTCTAGAACACAATTTAATGTAAAATCTTAAAACCTTGCAATTTGGGAATAAATCCAAAAATTATATTGCTTAACACGATTAAAATTTGAATAAATTACTCTGCCTATACCAATAAACTTTTATATTACTGCAGTAATGTCATTTTGCTTCAGCTACCATAGAATCTGAAATTGAATATAATAGTCGCCACAATTAATTCACTGGCCTACAGCACATTATAATATTATGTGATCGGAATAGTTTATATAGGGGAACGAATATGAAAAAAGTCTCAGTGAAGTGACATAAATATAAACAATTATAAAAAAAGAAAAACTGTTATAAAAAAAAAAGGTGGAATATTATGAGGATTTACTTTTTTGAATCTGACAGACATGAGAAATAAATATTATCAGAATGGAAAAATGACTCTGAGGATGAAGCTTTCAAGTCATTATACTGCAGAGGACAACCTGTAAAAAAAAATAGCTACGTATTTAAAGTGACTTTTAGATGACTAGAGGTAAAAATTATTCAATAGAAAAAAACAATCGTGAGCAACAGAGCTCACCCTTTAGAGTCAAAATTACCTCCCAGCCTATTTTGTAAAATACAAATATTAATTGTAAAACAAGAAAACCGATTATTATGTGCATTATAATAATACAATACTATTCTATAAAAATGTATACAATTTAAGCAAAAAAAGGTAATTATGCGCGAGAATCAAAAATCAAAATCCCCTACAAAAAAAACACATCGTTGATACTAACACAAAAAATATACAAAATGTCATCCAGGCATCATTTGGCGTTGTATAGGAGTATACGAAGCTGAAAAAAATACCTGCAACAATATAGTACAATTCATATTGAAATTCAACCAGACTTTTAATACTTCAAACCATCTACAAAAAAGAACTCTGATTCCCGAGTTTGAACTCGTTTAGTCCGGAGAGGGAGCACTGAAAAGCCGTAAAAAAATTTATTTTTAATTTAAACTTTTATAATATACAATCTTTTTCTGAGGAATAATAAGAATGTGTGATGATAGATAGTAATAACATGATTGAATGATGGGAGGAGCTACCCAGTGGTAACACTGCCCTTACTTGAGCTATTGTTAATTAGTTATTAAGAAGATCACGGCACCATTCTCTTCTAAGCCTNTGAGATGAGTGGGTTGATATGGAAAGGAAGTTTGGAATGGAAACGTTTGTAAAAAGTGACTGCTTCTTCATGAACTGTTTTGATTTTTAGGTCAGAGTGTAAAGTTAAGTTAGAGATGTATGGTGGAGAATTTGTGATTTTGTGAAGGATTTTATTTTGAAGGGTTTGAAATTTGTTTGTATTGGATTTTTTAGCATTGCCCCAGAGCTGGAGGCCATAGGTCCATATTAGCTTGAGTAGGGATTTATAAATTAGAAGTTTGACATTTAGAGAAGTATGTTTGTTGTTCGAGATTAAGGTTTTAAGGAAGCGGAGACGAGCATTTAGGACAAGCTTTTTAATTTTGGTGTGGTGTGACCAGCCATAAAAAAATAAACAATATAATGTTGATTTATTTATGATTATATTATATTAAAATAGTGATAGTATTTTTTTATTATCATTATTATATTGAAAACTTATTTATATAGTTATCCGAAAAAATATACATATATAGTAACTTTAATTTATGTAATATAATAACAGCATATCCTGACTGACCAATTCATCATCGCACAGCCCAAACAACTGGACGGATCAGACTGAAATTGGCATACAAATAGTTATTATGGTAAAGGAACCCGAAAGGATTTTTGAAAATTCAACCCCCCCCCCCCACCTCGAGGAGTAAAATAGTGGTTTTTAGGTATTTTTGGTACGCATATATAATTGTTTATGTTTATTTATTTTTGTTTACTCGTGGATTACCTTGGTGATAAGTGTGAATGATAATTTGGTTGTCACGGACAATAAAACTATTATTATTATTATTATTTATACTATAATATTATCTAGCAATAGTAAAGCATTGCCGGGTTAGATAGTTTGTAATAAAATAATCAAATTATTTTATACACAGAAAACCTACGGGTAAGAAAGACCGTATATAATATATTTTACGGGAAACCTTTTTTTCCCGCGTAATAAATTTTATTGGTTTTGAATAATATTCAGAAAATAACCCGAACAAAGTCCCACGGAAAGTAAATTTACAAATAAAGTAACAATATTTTAACAATTTATTGCCATACCTATAGTTTTACTATTGAATTATATTGGCCGCTTTAAATTTGTATTAAATTAAATTTAACAAAAAAAAAAAAAATAGGGAACCCGCATTTTCAGTATTTCCTATATTTATATTTAATTTATTACGCTCGGGGTCCGGATAATATATTACGGCTATATGTATATGTAACCTTCCGAACACCTGGTTTATATTTTCATCGATTATAGGGTACAATAATATTAGACAGAAACCCAAATAAACAATTATGTATAAAAAATAAAATTGATGTACGCAATTTGTTGAAGTAACCTTCAATTTCCGAAAAAGCCGGTCACACTTCGCCGCACTATGTGCAGTGGCGTCATTTGGGGTGATGGGTCAACTGGAGCCATACTAGTCCAACTGGACTAAAAACTAATTACAATATTAATATGAAAAATATGAAGAGAAAAAAAATTGAATCAAGTTTTCAATTATATTTTTTATTCCTGGATTGCGATAATGTTGTCAACTATTTCAGTACCTAATCGAATTTATAAATTTATGTTTTATCTATGGTAAAGCAAATTTTCGTTCAACGGGGACAACTCTGAGCTGTTCGTTTTAATAATAGAGTGAATTGACCTATAATCAAACTTGAAAATAATAATTGCCTGTGTGTGACGCCGTTTCTTGGTTACTATTTTAGTTTTTAAACGAGGGTATATGATTGTATAAAATATCAAGATTTACAAATGCTTATATCTCGCTTAAAAATTAAAATAATGATAAAAACGACGACACGACACAGACTATGTTCTTATCGTTAAGTTGGATCAATTTACTTAAATTTTAAAACTAACGGCACAAAGCTGTCCCCCCGCTGAACGAAAACTTGTCGCGCAGTTGAGAGAGTATATGCAAATATGGCGTGAACATTTTCGAACATTTTATATTACGCTATAACCGAAAATTTTTTTAAAAAAACGCACGAGTACTTTTCGATTATCTCGACTGCCACAAGTGACTATTTTGGTCCCCTGTTACTTAGCCGATGTGGTTTTACTAAAAAATCGGGGTTGCTTTCCGATTCAAATCCGACATTAGCTCACACTCTTGTAACAATATATTTTTGATTGATGTGAACTCATGTCGGACTTTTAATCGAAAATAAACCGCCCGATATGTTGGCGAAACCATGTCGATTCCGTAACAAAGAGTCGAAATACCTTTACCAGCAGCTCATGTCGGACTTTTAGTCGAAAAATCAAATCACCCCCGATTTAGGTACTTTGTCGAGATAACCGAATTGTGATTACCGGCAAATCGTAGGTATTCGAGATAATAGAAACCCGCGTTGTAAGAAATTTATAAACAGCTTTATCGCCACACTCATGAATCTAAAAAAAATAGGTCGCTAAATTATTATTTGTCCTATAACATTTTACCCCACCCCCACCCCCACCCCGATCATTATATTGAATCGGTTTATTGTAGAGTTCTCCCTCGTCTAATAAATAAACATATCAGCTGATGCGGTGTCGAGAACAGTGTTCAACATTATATCATATTACATATATTGTAATGTAAATGGTTTTTGCTGTTTTTGACAAGTTCACGGCTGCGTTTCTCTCGCGTCAATATTGTGTTATTATTGTTATTATTATTATTATTTTATTTTTTTTATTTTATTTATTTCATTTTTATTACGCATGTACTCGACACTCGTACGCACAGGTATATGTTATAATGTACGAGATAACCCGTTTATAGCATTTTCGATTATCTATATACGCATACGCGTAGGATTTAACAACAATATCAGCTAATATACGTAATTACGCGTGTAGGAAATTAACGAATCCAGTGCCCTGTATAAATATATATACATATAAGAAAATTAAATAAAAAACAGTCTACCTAAAAGTATTTGTTCAAATAAATAATTATTATTTAATCAACGCCGAAATTTATACGGAAACGCATATCATTATTACGCATTTGTTTTCATTCGATACGTCTTATTAGTATGATTTAGTGCCGTACAGAAATATCATCTCGTTCTAGTATGATATTCGTACCTACCTATTTTTTGTATAATATTACTACATGTACTATAATGCGATAATCTACGCGGGTCAACAATTTTAATTTTAAATCAACGTATTAATACTAGCAATAATATGCTCGTACTGCTTGTGGTTTCCTTTTACTAACCGTTAACAATTTACAATTAACAACACTTAAAAATGCTTATCAAATAATTAAAAACAGTTTTAAATTTCATATTAAAAACGACCCGTTTTTGACTACAATATAAGTGAGCGAAACCAGCGAAAAAATTCGAGTGAAGAGACGGTGAAAATTGGTAGTATTCAAATCGTGCGATCAAAAATGTTTGCCTATTCCAAATACCGAATCCGTCCACTTGAAAAAAAGATGTTTACTCATAAATGTTGACCTTTGATAAATGATAAGAATCATTACGATACAGTTAATGATATAATATATCATATCACGGTACATAACAACGGCGGCAATCGCAACGTAAACAAAAATAACCAAAGAAATTATTAGTTTTGCTGACTAATCGTTGAATTTTCAACTCGGTCGGTAGTCTAAATTACCGAATTTGAGAGATGCTCGACCTTTGCACACCCCTCCTTCCCCATATCTCTAATATCTCTGTATTTAAATATTATTTTGAGAGAGGGAACCACAAGGCGCTGTTCCGGAGAGCGAACGGTATAAAACTTAACCTAAAGGAACGGTCAAAAGACAAACTGCTGCTGAATGATAGACTAATCACTAATAATATAATACATTAAAATATTGATATCATTATAAGCGTGAGAAAAAAATGTACCGTGCCCGACTGTACAAATATTTGTATTACAATTTATTTTTCACACGGCATTTGTATACATTATAATTATTATATTATAAAATTTAACGGATCGTATTTTTTTAATTCAAATCTAATACTGGCAATACTGCAAATATTATTATATTCACAATGGAAATCGATAGAAAATCGTTTTTTTTTTTTTTATTATTATTATTTCTTTTAAAGATAATTCCCGAGGTAAACAATAATAATAAGAATAATAATATTAGTTTTGTATTTAACGTAGGTATATAAGACGACTGCGGATGTTTACAGTCCGTTGGATATCGATCGAAAATCACCGCACAATTAAACGGTCCATTTATTTTTGTAATAAAAGAAGAAAAAACGATCTCATAAAATTGTATTGGCGAAAACAATACGACACCAAAACAGATAATTGATTAAATGGTTTATTCAAATTTATTTCTTTTTCTTTTCTTTCTTTGTCAAAAAAACTCGCCTGTGAGTATAATATATACTGTTATAATAGGTTATAGGTTTTAGGTTTAACTGCAGTATTTTTACGGGACCATAATTTACTTTTCTAGCGTATATATACCGAAAAAATAACAATACTATAACATTATATTACATCCCATAAATGCTATTGATTAATTATAAATTATATCGATCGAAAACAATAATAATGGACGGGAATCGTAATGAAAAAAAAAACTAAGTCTCTAAAATCCTGTTTATTTACGTGTATTTGTAAATTACAAAAAAAACTATATAAATACAAATGGATAAGGATTACAATTGTACAATACATAAAACAATATTGAACGGCGCAATTTATTTCCTTTCGGATAGAAATATTACGGAAACGTGACATTTTATGTACTTATTTAAAGTATCATTTTTTTTTTTTTTTTTTTTTAAGACCGGGTTCTATACACTCAAGGACCAAAGTAAAACAATATCCTTTCTAATTCTCTCGACTCTTTTGTGTATATTTAAGTATAAATGACATTTTTATTAATGTATATACGTAGTATTTTTTTATTTTTTTTTTTTTTTTAGAACGCGAATGAACAGAGAAAGCGATTCGAAAATAGACGAGTCATGTAAATAAAAAGTATCCCCCTAACCCGTCCGTTCCGACGCGGCTTAAATATATACTAAAATATATATAATTATGATAATAGCCGCTAATCCACGACAATCTATTGACCTGTTGGATTAACGGTAACGAAAAAAAAAAAAAAATAAACAGAATTAAAATTAAATGTCACCGCATTTGAAAAGCCGCGGGGATCAGTTTGCGATGATCGTATGCGCAGGAACGACGATTGGGGGAGCAAAATGAAAACCGTTTCGATTCGTCGTGTAAACAAACACTTCGATATAAACAAATACAAATTGATTGTATACATACGTATTCAGATCTGTTCTGCCGTTTAAAAATATTAAAATTAATACTGTTTTGATAAAGAATAATAGTTTTACGTCGAGGTAATTATTGAATATGGTTGTAGTCAATGGCGCATCGAGAATTTCTAAAGCGGGGGGAGGTGCAATTAATAAAACAGATACCTAATTGAAAATATTATCACATGTACATTAAAAATACCAACAGTTTCCCCGATTTTGAAGTAAACTTTGTACGAAAAAAATTTGAGCATGCCCTATCGAAAAAAAAAAAAGATTTCCAAAGAACAGTCATTTTTTATTACCCACAGGAAAAAGTTTTTGGAATTGCAAATGTTTCGAATCGTAATTTGTCGGTGGCAGGCGGAAAATCCTCGTTTTTTTCTTATATCTCGTGAAAAAATATCTCAGTAAGACTAGATTTTAAAACTTTGACACACGAACATATACCCAATTATTGTAATACCTCGGAAATAATAAATTTTTTTCTGCATTTATTGGTCAATTGAAAAAACAAACAGCTCTAATTATAAGTAATACATTGCTATAACTTTTTGTCATCACTCGTTTATTTTTTCAATCTTGAAACGACTACTTATAATTTTGATAAAAATGCCATGAATACAAACACATTTAGGAAATTTAAATTTTTGATTTCCATCCCGTTGACGGCATAGGCGGAGATTGGTGGATAGCGGGCTTATGCCCTCAGAATCATCCGTATCCCGTTAAAACTATTAAACAAATATAAAAATTATTATTCAAGTCTACCCACAAAAATTATACCGACTCCCCCGAAATCGGAATGACCTTTTACGGATTTTACGTTTTTATACAGGTATTATAATACGAGTGATGAATTTTTTTCTTTCTTTTTTTTTACTCATCACTAAAATATTCACCTCCTAAAATTCGATCAAATCTCCGCTTACGGTTAACGAGTTATTCCACCTGTAGGTTTGTGTGGGGGGAGAATGAGTGGACAGCAGTGTTCGCCGCCACAATAAATGATGCTCCGCTGACATTCCATATTATCTATCTATCGTAATGTGAAACACTCTGTACATAAAGATACAGATAACTAACTCTGATTCGGATTAATGCGGGGTTTTCGTTTATGCGTATTATACCGAGGGCCGTAAAACGTGCGCCTATAACGGGGGGAAAAAACGATAAAAACAAGCAGCTTTCAAGTCGTAAAACGTGCAAAATAAAAGTTTTCGTAACACACGGACATACGAACCGCGAAACAGATTTTTCTTTCAGCCCGATAGGATGTATTAAAAAAAATGTATGTATACGTTATACCCGAGCACGCGGACATCGTAATAATTACGTCAGATTCGAATTCGCCTATTCGAATTCGATTTTCGCCATGCGTCGCAGCGATTTGGTTAGCTGTACGGCTAACGAGTGCAGCGATTATTTTACACACGCTTGAAAACCGCTGACAGCGAACAATTATCCGTGTATCTGTGCGTATAGATTTTAATTAGAGACCGGACGCGGCCTTATGGGAGCGAAAAACGTTGACGATTCGTTCAAACGCGGAATTGGCGGGAAAAATTTTTTCCACATTTGAACGTGTTTCAGAGGTCAGAGAATAGTTCGTATGTTTAGCATGTTTTGTAAATTTTTAGAAAAAAAAAAAAATAGACGAATCTATCGCAATTTTAAATCGCCATTAAAGTTACATTTGAAATAAAAAAATGTTTTTCGAATCGTTTGACGAACGTATTACACAAATTTTTTTTTTTTTTTTTATCTATTTTGGTAGAGTGAAAAATTAAAAAATACCTATTATATGGATTATTTTTCCGATTTTAAAAAGAATACAGGAGAAATGTTTGGGGTTTTTAGAGAATATTAGCGACATATTTTGAACGTTTTAAGAGAATGTAAATCCGGACTATAACATTATAACAATAACATAGCGTCCATACGTTTAATGCACTTGAAACGGTTTTTAATTCAGTTTTAAAATTTATTTTAATATCACTGACATCTGTACATCGCAAGCCCACAAAAAATAACTAATCTATAAGCGTTAAACAATATTGCCTTATTTTATCAAATTTTTATCTTTACCCAACTCGCGTACAGCTAGGGTAAAATACGGATCCGATGGGTATTCAACCTGGGTAAAAGAAAAAAAAGTGTGCGTAAACAAATGTCGACTGACGGATTTTGATTAAAAACACCGGGAAATGGACTAAAAAAAGATAAACATTACTTAAAAAGTCCAAAAAACCACCTTAAACATAAAACACATCAAAACATGCAAAAATAAAAGTTTCACAAACGAATTTGGTGTTGCGTGATTCAAATTGCGTACTCGGAGAGCTATGTATGTTTCACGAGAAAAAAAATTGCACTTTCCTACAAATTCACGGCCCTGTTGGCTGTTAACGCAAATGCCCCCTGCCCTTAGATTTTCACCTCCGGGTACCCTTGCCCGCGGCGGTTAATTGAAGTTCGATAATTATCGCACGGTACCGCAACAACAATCGTCTCGCCGTCCCTCGTGTTTTTTTACTCTTCCGATTCGAGCACCGCATAATTGAAAGCGAAACGCGCCGTTTATTGCCAAAAGCGGCCTATAAAATACTATAATAATGCCAAAAAATAAGCAGCCTGTATAAAATACGCACGGGCACAACCACTACCTGTATAACAGCTCACCTTTAAACGGCCCCGGCGACTCCCGGGCCATTGGAAATTCAAAGGTAAAAACCGTTTAGGTGTTCAAAAAATTGAAAACCGTATTTACAATTATAAATAACCGGATTACATTTACTTTAAATACTTTGAAAAAGTACCCGTATGGTCCGCAAATACGTTCAAATGCGATTTCATGGTTTGATTCGTCGACCGCGCATTTTGAATAAACCGCCCCCGTACGTATTGCACGTTATCGCCTAGACATAATGTTAGCCGGCTACCAATTGTCTGCATTCATGCAAAGAACACGGCAGGTAGAGGTCCCCCCTGTTAAATTCGTAACAATAATATTGTTCGGATAGGTATCATATCATATTTTTAACCGTGCGGTGGTTGGGGTGGGAGTTTTCAAGTAATAATCGAAACGGTCATACTAAAACATCGGTTTCCTAATGTCACTAAGTGTAACAGAGATATTATAAAAACTCACGATTTTTTTCACGCGGCAACTTCGGTTTCCGAAACTCTGTAAGTCCGATCGGAAAATATTACGATAGAAACTCGAGAACTTGTTATTATTGGAAAAAATTACGTGCGGCACACGACGTGGACAAAGCAGCACGCGCGGAAAACGTTGGAAAACGACTGCCGCGTCTCTGCAGCTCGCCGGGTTTCCGGGAAAGTGCTGAACGGGTGCGCGCCACTACTTGCAAACGGTCGGTTTAACGCAGTGCCGCCAATCGAAAATCGACATCCAAATATTATCCGAAATGTTATTCGCTGATAAAAATCAAAATATACATATATGCACCGCGGTAGCTGATAATATGGATATCTATAATCGTGGTGATAAGTCATATCTTAGCACCCTTCGTAGGCTTCAGCTTCAGCGTTCATCCTTTTTAATTTTGTGAAATGGTTAATAAGTGCTGTGTCCGAGGCTGCCAGTCCAGAGCTGGTCAAAATATCAAATTTCACAGGTATTTTATTCAGTTTCTCATAATGGACGATAATAAGCAAATGAGAACATTTTAATAAGTGTTAGTATTTTTATTTTTTATTATTATTAATACTTAATAATTTTTAATAGTTAATTATATTTTCTAGATTTCCTAAAGGAGACATTGGTAATCAGTGGGTTACATTTCTTAAGCAGCACAATCCATCATTCGAAAAACACGTTAGTTCAAATGTGTGTGGCCTCCATTTTGATTGCAATTTGGATTATGAGATTTCAAGTACCAGTGTTTTTAATACAAAGACTTTGAAAAAAAATGCTGTCCCTAGTGTAATTAATAATACAAGTAAAATTAAATATTAATGTAACTTCTTTTTTGCATTATAATAATTATTAAAAATAAATTATTTATTTTTAGCTACTCGTAAAACATTATCTAATGATTCAAATATTGTGTTTGATGAGGAAGAAATTATTCCATTGTCATTAGTATCCAATTTGTATTCTAAACCGTTAGAGACTCCTATGTCAAGTATGTTAAACAAATTTATCCTATTCTTAAAATATGAATATGTACTATGATTATGCATAATGTTTCAGCTCCTTCAATTTCAGATATGACATCACAAAATGCAAATGTTGCTTCATCTCAATCTGTATCGCCAAGTACAAACATTGTTGAAGAACAATGTTCACCAGTGCCACAAATTACAAATAAAAAATTGTAAGTTAATAATATTAGATATAAATAAAATATATTATATTTATAAGTATTAATTGGAAATATTTATAGTTATGGGAAAAGAAAACGTTTTTTGGGAGATTTTAAATCTCCTAATGATCTTATAAACCCAAACAACCGTTTGATATACTGGTATGCTTCACAAACAGCTGTAACTAAACAAAAAAAACGAGTTAAGTATTTACAAAACCAAGCGCTAAATTTGAAAAAACAAATCAATGCATTAGAGAAAAAAGCAGATCATCTTAAAACCAAGAATAAACTTATCATGGATGTTCTGAGGGTAAAATAATTAGTTACACAGTACTTTTATGCATTTTGTTATTTATAACATATAATTAACAATAATTTATTTATTATGTGTACTTATGCATTTGGATTTTGTTTATCGTTTAGGGTTCATTATCAAATAATGAAGATGATATGATTTGGAATCAATGAAGTAAATTTACGGGTAAAGCAGTTACTCCAGAATTCAACAAATGATTGCCTTATCCAAGTCCTATCAGCAAATTTTACTACATTGTCCATCAATAATTTGCCAGAATAATAGCTTTATAAACTTATCATTGTTATCGCCATAATTCCCAAAAGAATAGTGGACCAAATCAAGACTTAAGCATAGACCTTATGCCAAAGTATAAGATCTATAGGACCAAAATGTCAATTCTTGTCACTAGTTAGCAATCTAATATATCATATTTTTGAACTTTAATATAACAAAACTGTAATTTTGATCTAAAGTCATGGTTTTAACCAGTTCTCTAGGAGTCTAGTCAAAGTCATAAAGAACTCATTTTGACTAGGGGGAAAAAGTAGTATAATTTTATGAGCCAAAATTTCTAATTTTTGTTATTATGCTTTGCAAAAGATTATGGTACAGTAAATACTGTAATAACAGAACATATTTAAAATATAATTAACTGCCCCTAAGAAACGACTGGGGAAAATACAAAAACTGGTAGGCTGAGGACTGGCTCAAGAAGATGCTAAACATAGAAAGATTCGTTTTTCTCCATAGGACAATGGCATCACTTGTGGTGAGCCTGCAAGTCGATGAACTCTAGCCTGCTCTAAAAGACTGGAACTTGAAATTGATCTGGAAATTTGTGTAATTAAATATATAAATTAATTATTTTAAGACAAGTAAAAAATGTATTGGTGTTGTCATTGATCTAGAAAATTATCCAGATTATCTTAATTATACTTCCTTCAGTACATCAAAATCAATGTTGTCTATCTATTAAGAACACATGGTAGGTATGTAAATACAATTATACGTTTAGTATGACATATTATAAATTGAACACAACAATTTTAGCACTGTATACAATGACCAGACATTGTATTATTATTTACATTGCCCAAATATTCCGTGCAATGTATACAATACTCGATCAGCGTTTACAATAAATCATTTTACCACTTGGACCATAACATAATATATAAATTATATATTTATATAAAATGGACACCGCTTATAAGACTCGCTGATTTAAGATTCAAAATCGCTTGGAACCAAATGTATCTCAATACATTTTATTCTTCCCAACTTCACCTACAAGGTTCATTCAGTTTTATGGCTCACTTTGTGCTAATCCTAAAACGAGTAATAAGCGGTACCCACTATACCTATATTGTATTTATAGATTATAACTTAATATCTATACAACATTTATAAGTAACCTATTAAGATTGATTATAGCTAAAAATGTACAAATAGTTACATTTTTTTCAACAATATCCAAAGCCAATATTAAAATTACATTAAAATATTATTATAACCATAGGCGTGCACACGAGGGCAGCACATGCTGCCTCTGAACCTTTTTTCGGAGCTACCACTGCTGCCAAATGTTAAAAAATTGTATCAAAATAACCAAAACGATTTTAATTTTGATACTGTATTACCTTGATATATAATAAAAAAGTATAAAATTATCGATCAGATTTAAGGGTGAATTTGGAGAATGGGTCTGATTAATTGCATGTTATATTGGTATACTACTTGTAATTATTACTTTTATATTTTAATAGATACAGTTAAAAATATTCTTAACATTGCAAAACTGAGATCTATTGGCAAAATTCTACATAATTACCAGTTTGAATGCGAGCATCTATTGATGTTTATCAAATGTTTAATAAGATTATTAAGTTTTTTTAGTTTAACCGGTAACAAAAAAAGAATCTATTCATGCAATAGGTAGGTACTTCCATACAAAACGATTATTAATCTGATTTTAGTTGTAAGCATGATTAAACCGTAGCTATTAACTAGGGGAAAAAAATACGAGTTCGGTAATATTATATCAATAATTTTGTTTTAACTTTATTTATTTTTGTAGAGTCGCGTTTAACATTTTGACTGTGATATGTATGATGATAAATTTTTAATTCGAAACCGGTCGTACCATACACTAATCATAATTATTTATTTATATATATATTTACAACAATAGTGCTATACTATACTGTAATAGTAATTATGATAAAATATATTGTAGATAGGAGTTAACAATGTGAACAATTTAAATTACGGTTATAATAAACAGGTACCTAAGTAAATCAAGATTCTCGATTAATATCACAAAAAAAAATATATATGACGTGTATAAAGTAGAGACGACGACGTTGAAACTTGAATTTTTCAATGTTAATATGTCGAAATAAAAATTACTTAATAATTATTCATGACTATTATAAACACGTATATCAGAGGCTCGCCCGGTGTAGTGTGAATGCGGTTTACACCGGACTACCGGAGTGACACCATAGTCTACAGAATAAAATAATATTAAACCGACGAAACGAACAATTTATTATGGAACATAATTATTTTCAATAATTAACAATATTATCTAAACAAATGAGTGGTACGGCACCAATATTATTCGGTATTACTATGCCACTGCGGATTTACGGTCTTGGAAGATAGGTCCACACCGAAAAGGCGAAAACCGTAAATACGAATTAGATTACAATTCGTGGTTGTAACCATTATCCCTAATAAAATATAGTTACTATAGATGTGTTGACTAATAATGATAACCACGAGATAAGATATGACGCATGGACTATTATTGATGGTGATACCGTCAGCGCGGGCTGATACCGTCAACCGTGATTCAGCACATCGCGCGTAATGCGTAATGCTATGTCAGTGGTCAGTCACGTCACTTACGGGAGAACGTTCAACAGTCGACACAAAGCGCACAATAGAATTTCGCGAACACTCGCCAGAACGCGGAAATAAGTCTGTGCGAAACCCCAAAACATTAAGGTTTTAACGTTTTTTATTTTTATTTAACTTGATTTCCGTGAGTTTTTCACCTTTTACACGACTATTTGCAGTCATGGAATTCCCAAATTTAGGTCAGCACTGCAGCAAAGATACGTGTAAACGTTTGGGTAAGTGATCGTTAATACTTACACATAAAAATTAATACTATAATAATTGTTTGTACAGTATTTAAAAATCATAATTGGACTTATTACCTAAAATAGCAACTTGGTCATAAACTCATAAGACAACGGGATTAGAAAACTGACAGTTAAATGTGGCGTTATAACATACTTGTTATAAGTCGAAGGTGAAACATTGCTAAAATATCGAAATTAATAACGATTTTAAAATGATGAAAATAAAAAATCTATTACACCTTAATTTTATTGAACTTTACTAAATTTTTTTTTTTTAAACCCAAAAGATATATTTCAACTAGTGATGTGATATAAATCCGGAAATCGAAGAATCTGAATTCCATACCTCAAATCACGAAAATTGTCTAGTTCGTACTTTAGGCAAGTCATTTTTTGATTTTCCAAGCAGGTTTTCATTATTATTGGGAACGAACGGACAGACATTTACGGTGTAATGATGTCATGATTTTACATTATCGCACCTAACTAATGTTAAAAAATTGTAGAAACTGGTATTTTTTACAAAATACTATATTGGCCTTTTGTAGACGTGGTCAAATTTTCAAAACACTCTAGCTATTTTTAGTTATTTGATAATTTTGTGTTTTTATATGTATTTTTGTTTAGTAAGTATCTGTGATTAAAATTATCACTCTTATATGACTTAAAAGAAATTTCACTGATTTTGGATTTTTTGAACTTTAAGAAATCCGAATATTTCCTACCACCAATTTCAATCAATATTTCTGTACTTCACCAATTTAAAAAATAATAATTGTTTTATATTTTTGTTTTAGATTTCTTGCCTGTAAAATGTGATGCATGCACAGGTATATATTGGTAAGTTCTAATAAGTAACATTTTTTTAAAAAAAATTTTTGTTTGCCTATACGTTCTAAGACAAATCTCTGATGACACAGCTCAAACCATATGAGTTATAGTAGTCACCAATGTCAATCCGCTTACAAAAAAAGTGTTCAAGTGCCCATGTGTCCATTATGCAACAAGCCTGTACCAACACCTCGGGGACAAAAACCGGATTTTATTGTTAGCCAGCACATTGACAATGACTGTCGGTTTACTGCGGGTAAAAAGGTAATGTTCACAACAACAATAGTTATAGTGAATAATTTGTTATAAATATTTAAATTGCAAATATGAATTCAATTATTTTTTTATTAGGTGTTTACAAATAGATGCACGGTAGTCAAATGTCGTGGAAAAGAAGCTGTGCCAGTGGTATGCAGTGAATGCCGTCAAAACTATTGCTTTAAGCATCGCCATCCTTTAGACCATAGTTGTGCCGGTAGTGTAAAAACTGTTCAAAGAAAACTGCCGTGAGTAGATATTATTTTTTTTTTTTTCATCTATACCTATATATTTATTTATGTTTAGAGATGTAAAAGGTTTCTTTGGAACCAATGGAATTAGTAAAAATAAAACCTTTACTGCAACTGCTATACAAGGGAATATGGTAATTTGAATTAAAATATTTAAATACTTTAATGTTTTAGTAATCTGTTCTAAGTAAAAGAATTATAATTAAATATTTACATTTTTTTAAAAATTATATTTTCAGAGTGAAGATGAAGCATTGGCTAGAGCTTTAACTGAATCTGAACGCTTGACAAACAGACCTATTGAGAACCCGCAGCAAAGATGTTCGGTTTCATAAAATTGTCAATTATTGTCAGTTATTCCACAAAATTAAAATGCACATTTTACAATAGTGCATGTTTTATTGTAATATTTTAAAAATTATCAAATTATTAAGACATATATCTAATCTATATTATTTCTATTTCTTTCTATTATTGTACCATTCCACCAAAAAAAATTTGCATTAATGTTTCATTTTCATATTTTATATAGTATTTATAAGCAAAATAATAACTTGAATAATTTCACTTAACAAAATAATTCAAGGCTTATAAAGGGTATGTCAATTTCACAAGAAATAAAATTATCCGTCCTCGTTTATGTTCACATTTTTTAAAAATATATTGCAGTTTGATTTGAAGAAAAGTATTAAACGGAATATTTTATTTTTTTTGTTTAGATTATTACCATTGATTATAAATTATTGCATTTATATATTTAATTACCTAACTTACAAATTTTGTTGCAAGAGCACAAGTTGAAATTGAAAATAAAATTTGTGTATGTAAACTAAACTAATTAATAGTTAATTTTAAAATATAAAAGGCAATCATATTTTATAAAAATGTAATTTAAAGGTTAAATCTAAGTTAGTATAATGGTATTGAACAACTTAGAAACTGAAGAATGTAATTTTTTTTGTGATAGGCGAGTTTGAAGTGGAGATGAGTTAGCGCAAGGGATGGTTAATTTCATGTAGTTTGTCATTTCTACGGTGATTAACACATGCTTAGAATTGTGTTTCACATATAATCTTAAGAAAATTTGTTAAAAGATTTTTGAACTCAAATTACTCTGCGATAAATCAAAATATTGTTATTGTTTAAAGCTATTGTACGCAATTTTTTCATCAAATTCTTTTTCCTTCTGTACCATATTATGTTATTATTAATAGGCCATATACATACAAACTTTTAATATTTTTAATAAACAACAAAATAACAAAGACATCAACCACATATATTTTACCTAAATTTATTGTGTTCTTTATAAATTGGTTTATACATTTTTTTTTATTATTATTATTATTATTCATTAACATAAGACTAACATGCTCTATAATATAATATTAATAATAAATGTAATTTATGATAAATGTACAAGACAAGTATAATATTTACAAAACTCGTTGGTTTGGCTTTTTTTCTTCTTTTATGTAAAAAAAAAAAACAAACAAAAATTACATTTTGCCACTACACATTGTCACATAAATTTTAAAAATGTCTACAATTCATTCCTATAAAATAAAAACTGTTGTATAATGTTTTTCTTTGTCGTTTTTGGCTTTATATTGTACTGTCGTAAAATGTATTCTATATACTATATAAGATACATTAAAAAAAATTTAATAAAAAAAAAAATGCATTTTGGGTCTTTCATTAGTAATCCTAATAATGAATAAAGTAATTAAAACACATTCTCAGCAACGTTGTAGTAGATACTAATCTTTTTTTATAGTTTGAGGAGCTTCTGCAAGACCTTTGACCTAAAAAAAAACAAAATTATAAAATGTTAGCGCAACATAAATTGATTAATTAGTTATAAGTAAAGACCGAATATATATTCTCTTAAAACACCTAAAATATGATTCAAATATTCTCTTAGAAGTTTGAAAAATAATCAATGTACATCAATTTATTTATTTTTTACAACATTCCATACATAATTAATGACACTTGTGTATTAAAATAAAATAATAATAGTTAAGTAAGAGTAAGAATATAATATAAATATAACAATACAGGTAATTTAATTTTTAAAAACTAAAAGTCACGTTACACACGATTGAAAAAGTGTAAAACGAAATATTTGAAAATTTGTATAGTTGATGATGATAAATGATTATAAACAAATACATTACTATTATTATCAATTTGAAAACAACTGCCAGCATTTCAGATTAGCTACCATATTTAGTTAACAATAACTTATAATAGGTAGGTACCAAAACACTAAACTTTTTTATCAAAATGATACAAAAAAATTGTCAATGTACAAAACATATTTTTCCAGGTACTGTATTATTAAAAATAATATTTTTTTCTCACAATTTACAAAATCTTTAAAAATATGCAAAATAAGCTAAATATTCCTTGAACCATGAAATATTCTCAAATATGCAAAAAAGTTTTTTTTCACAAACTCAAAATTTAACACATCATCAACATTTCTTACTCTTATAAGGCTGCATAAGCTCAGTAATGATATGTAAAAACATATTTAAATCTGGTCTTTAGTTATAAGTATTAGTATGTACATATTATATCTATAAAAAGGTAAACAATATGTTTTTGATTTAAATTTTTGCTGGACTATAATAAAATTAAAAAATATTTTAATAATGTATAGGTACATAAATTTCATTCAATTAAAACTAAGTATAAAATAAATAATTAACATTTGATTAAAATAACGAAATGGTTATAATAGTATAGTATAATATAAATTTTCATATAATATTATTTTCCTGATTGATTTTAGATTCTGAGCAGAGCGAGGAATGTGTTGGTGGTTTTACAATAATGTTTTTTTTTTTTTTATCAGTGAACAACTCTTTTACTAGAATCTTTGTCCATTTTTCAAGTTTGGCACTTTTTCTGAAGGGAAATTTTCTTACGGTGGTATTTTAGTGGGGTTGTTTTTGATTTTCTCAGGGGTTTTCATAATAAATGAGAAAATGTACAATCTTAAATATTACAACTTTTAGAAGCATGTATAACTGAACTCTGTTCAGAATTGTTTTTCATTAGCAATAGTTAATCATTGCATACAGATATACATTAAATTTTCCTTCTATCTTCCGAACTTCTCACAACAGTTACCCATCCATCATGTGAAGTATAAAAAAGCGAGATAAATTTACTTGGAGAATTCCAAAACTAAAAAAAATTAATTAATTAGATAAATTAATTTGTAAAATTGAATGTTTTTTTTTTTTTTTTTAAAATCATAATATATATTATATACTAATTAAATAAATGGTATTTTATTAACAAAAAGTATTAAGTTTAAAATGTTTTTAAAAATATAAAATGTAATAATAATTTATAAATTTGGAAACATTTTCTTTCTTTAGGTCATTATAGAGTAAAATAATAATAATAATAATTTGTAATTATTATTATATGTAGTTAAAATATAATATATATATTTTGCTACTGTAAACTATATTAAGAGTGAGTCTAATATACATAACAGACATACTTTTCGCGTGGGTGGGCCACTGTTGTACGTGAGAAGTTGGGAAGGTAGAGGGGAAATATAATATATATCTGTATACAACAATTAACCATTGCTAATGGAAAAAAGTATTCTGAGTGGAGTTCGGTTAATAGTGTTGCTTTATATATATATATATATATATGTCATATTATAAAAATATATTTTTTCTTTAATAATATTTGTTTAATATTGTATTCATTTTCCTACCTTTTCTTCTATTTATTGGGAATACTTGAAAAAATCAAAAAATGAAGTGCTATTATTATATAGTGGAGCAAAATTACTGGTAGAAAAGTTGTCTACAGAAAAAAATAAAATAAAATAAACATCATTCTAAAAACAATACAGTCATTTCTCCGCTCAAAATCTAAAAAAGAATAATAATATAGTAAACCAAAAGTACTCATAGGTATTATTAAGCCAGGCCGTTGTTATATATTATATTATATACATTATTTTGGAATTCATATTGTATACAATATAATATAAAAATGTCTACCATGCACAATAAAAATCTCAAAATATCAATTTTTAGATTTAATATATTTTGCTTAAACAAGGAATTAACAATATGAACCTCTAGTATTTTCTAACATATTATAATATAAGTCCATAAAATAAAATAGAAAGTACTATTATAATAACTTTTATTAAATATTTAATGGGTACTACACCACATACTGAATATTGCGAGTTGTGTCTATTCTTTTTCAATTTGATAATTTAATTTGAATTAACATTTTTTTTTTCGTCGTGAAAATCAAACAAAAAGAACTTAACTTTGGACTATTCTTTTTCAAAATAATTATCTAATTTTTCGTTTGTAATTTTTTAAATTTAAAAATATTAGGATTATAAAGTCAGCAAAAAAACCTGATGTTTAAAGTATTTTAACCTAGTCTTTTTTTACCTGTTACCATTCCGAGTACTGTACTGATAAATTATTATATTCTGTAACAATACTTGTCAAAACTAAAAATTTCAATTTTTTTTTTTTTATTTATTTCTTGTAATTTATTAACTTTTACATTTTGTGTTGACAACTAATATTATATTATATTAATATTATTATTATTATTATTATATACACAAATATTTACTTACCTTCAAACGATCAGCTGTCTTCAAAAAAGCTGGCAATTGTTCCTGACTTATATTAACCTCTCCTGCATACATAAATTCTAGTATAGACTGCAAATGGCTGAACGGTACGTCTTTAAGTATGATGATTGGATGTTTTGAAGGGTTTTCCTAAATATTTATAAATAAATAACCATTATTAAATTTAAGCAGTGTATAAAGTAAAGGGGGACTCATATTTCAAAAATTGAAGCGTACTTATTCTTTTTGTTTGAAGTAGAACGTATAAGACACAATTGTGGAATAGGCTCCACCCTTGGATAGTGTTTATTTTTTAAATGCAATTCTTATATTCTACAAATGTTTACATAATATATATTTTGTTTATATAATATCCTTCAACCCCCTCCCCTTGAACAACCATAGGATCCGCTACTGATAGTACATATTTGTTTGTTCAAATGTTTAACTTATAAAAAGTAAATTATACAACACAGATTTAGTTAGCAGTGATCTTGGGTGCAAACTTCTGGGCACTTTTTAGGTTTAGTGTGACCTACCAACAATTGTAATATTATTATTCAATTTGGAATCACCATAAATACTTAGGTATTTTTAAATTTGTTTAAAATTTTGATTACTAATAAATTGATAAACAAAAAAAAAAAAAAACATACATTTTTAGTCTAAAATTATATTTTGATACAAATACTTTAATTTTCCCATCAATATAAAAGTTGTAACAACATTACAAAAACCAATGTACCTATTTAAGTAAAAGGTCTAAAAAAAAAACCCATGACATAACTACCTATTCAAGATTTAAATATAACTGTATAAATATTATTTAATATTACTAAAATATTGTATAATATTACTGTAATTGTCGTTTATTACTCACAATTTAACTAACTTATCTGAAACCACCCATTAATTTTATCACTGGAAAAATTATAGTATTTACATTTCCGTACACACTATTGCTATCAGTAGGTCATTTGGTCATTTTAGATAGTATAGGTCACTCTCTAGACCAATACCAAATTTGTTTTCTAATAGCAATTATTCATACCTAATGAATAAATATATACTTTAGAATAACTATGAATAAGGTACCTACATAATTCAAAAATAATAGTATAATTTTGGTACCTAGATAAATTTTAATAAAACTAATAAATAAACTGAATAGACCCATGTAGAATCAAATATAAATTAAAAAACATAGGTAGATACAGAGAAATTATAGGTATCAAGAGATAATTCATTTTTGTTCAAATTCAATATTAAAAGAAATACGATTTGATCAATTAGATATTTGGTTATCTTGGTGATAAATAGTTATACTTAATAACTATTGTTTCTACCACGCATGTTCTGCCCACATCAACATTCTCTACGAGATCTCTTTATTTTATACTTAATCTTCGAAAAAGGTAAGTTACGACTAAAACTGTGACTATAGAGTGATGTAGTGGAAAATAGCAGCAGAAATTTGTTAGAAGTTTGGTCTCGATGATAGGTAAAACCAAAGAAGAAAAGTTATTTGTGCTGTAATTATAATATCATAGGTACCTACCTACATTTTATTTTTACACATAGAAATGATAAACTTACATAGGTATTATATTTATTGTCTACACAAATTTAACTAATAGACTACAATTGGAAACAAATTAGCCCACAACTATTATTATAAACAAGGTATTTGTAATAAACTTATATTTGATAATTTAAATCATAAAATATGTTCATGTCACTTGATTTGTTTTTGAAGAGTTTAAAATTGATTTTATCAAATTGACTGGGTAATATCTAGATGCAATAAAACCAATAGTGTGTATGAAAACTTACCTGAAAACTATACTAACATACCTATCTACCTGCAGTTGAAAATATACACCAGGTATTTTTAAAGTTATCTACATAATATTGCATAGCGTAAACATAAAAATTATACAGTAAGTGTACTAGACTGAAAAGATATTTTTTATTTTCATCTCCCCTTCTTAGATAACCTAGTAAATTTTTAATTCATAACATCTTATCAATAGCATTGTTAGTGGATATTTTGTTTTTATTTTTAAACCAAAAATGGTGAAGTCAAGGTTTGTATAACTTAGGTACGAAAACAAATAGATATTTACCTCTAACAAAGCTTTAAAATAAGGGCTGCAAGCTGATAAGACCATTTTGTGTGCCTTGCACGTCTGTCCTTCGCACGCCAACGTCACGTCCGTGAAGCTCTTCTCGTTCCTCAGGTGTTTAAAAGACGACACCATATTGCTCTGGTAATCGTTCCATTTCAAAAAGTATTGCTGTTGATCGGCCATTATGATCTGCAAAGCGACCGGTTTACTATAGGTCCGTCGTAACTAGGTAATACCTAGGTGCCAAAGAATATTTACCTATTTTCAATTCGGATTCGCGGAATTGATAACGGGACGTACTCGTCGTCGTCTTCGGGAACACGAGAACCGGCACGGTCGATGATCGCGGGGCAGCTGGCGTCTGGCGGTGAAGACTGAAACGGGGATTCGTCGGCGGCACAGCACAATACACCTACGAACTTGAACTTGGATAACGGCGCGGCGATAACGTTCCGGTGTCAGAAATCGTGTCGACGACGAGGACGCTGGTGGCGGGCGATCGAGTCGTGCGTGCGGCGATGGACGGGACTCGTCTAGGACAGTGGAAACACGTCGTGGAAAAACATAACAATTACGTGTACCGGCGGCGGGCGAGATGCGATGCGATTTATCAATGGCGAAACAATCGGAAAATCGACGGAATAAACAAAACGCCGAAAAACGTTGACCCGACGTGATGACGAGTGACGGCCGCGGTGCGTGCGTGAGCGTGAGTTACTCTGTGTCGGTGCGCGCCGTCCGCGAACGTGTGCGTGCGTGCGCGCGGCGCGGCGCCGTTTTCTTCGTTATTCGCAACGTTCTCGGGCGGAAAAAAGCCCGTTGCCGCCGGTCCCGAATTCCGTGTTTCCCCGTGCGGACGACGTGCACCACGGCCGTCGTCGCCGTGACGTCCGTCGCGCGAATAACCGTGGTAAACTGTTGTGGTACAATGTTTTAACGATACGCCATCCGGGGACCCTTTTGAAAAATCGCGACACTCTCTGTCAACGTTTTCAAAACGGCCGACTCGTGACGCGGTTTAACGCGGTGCTGACCTAACGGGAGAAAAACAATAATCGGGCGCCGTGATATTTTCAGACATTCTCGATCGTTACGTTGAATCGACGCGGTTCCGCGTCCCGTCGTTTATTTCGCTTTCGCGGCCCGGTGACGCGAACCGCGGCGGCGGTCGGAAATGGGAAATTTCTGTTGTATGTTTTTTTTTTTTTTGTCTTTTTACGAAATTTTCTACCCGCAACACGGTTCGTACTGCTGCGTACACCGGACGCGAGCGCAATAACAATATTATCGTTATCCGTTTTGCATTAATTAACGTCATCACGTTGGCCGCACTGCCGGATTTATCATCGCGGTTTTATTAATATTTTTAATCGAAAATCAACCGCGGGCGCCGCGTACGCATGTATTGCAGTGTATTGCAGTGTCCATATCGATTAACCGTCGTCGTTTTTAAACGGTCGCCGTGCCCGTTTCTACCCACGAACGCCGCGGGCAACGAGTGTGATCGTTGGTAATGTACGGTCCGTATGCGGTGCTGGAAAACGATCGCGGGGACGTGCGGATCGCGCGCGCTATTTTTGCCCCGATCCGCCGGAAATGGTCGAAGACAACGACTCGCCGGCCCACACCCGTTCGTGTAACGCCCGTATTATTATCCGTCGTGACGCGAAAATGTCCATACAATTTTTATCTGTCTGTCACGGCGAATTATCGACGGTCATTGGCGCCGACACGCGGGATTTCCGTACGGGGGCGCGTTGAAAAATCGTTTGCCGTTCATGGGGGGTAATCGGTAAGAAAGAACAACGGAAAAAGAGAACAACGATTTTAAAATGTCGAGTATATTAATTAGTTTGGAAAATTAAAAAAAAAAAAAAAATTGTTTAGTATAATTTGTTGCAAGTATTGAAGTAGAAAAAATATATTTCTTGTGAAAAACGTCGGTTTTTAATTGTAAAAAAGTATTTTCATAATAACGAGTGTAGTTGCAATGTGGCAATCTTCCATTTCTTTCGTTCGTTGAAATTACCTACGAAGACTATTACATACTTCCATGTTATTATTTGAGTGAACTAAATTCAATCTCTCAAAAGTCACTAAAGTGTTCTAATGTACAATATATGTATTTTTTTTTATTTCTCATACGTAATAATCAATTATTATCATCAAAATTGTTCGTTTTATCCGGGATTAAGGGTGCAGCAGTCGTATCTTTAAAAAGGTCTAGAAACATTGTTTTTGAACAACAGCAATATTGGAATATAGAAATCCGTATGGAAAAAATTTGGTAATAAATTATTAATGTTATATGCATATATAGGGTATAGCGAATGCAGGATCAAAAAGCCCCCGACCAAAAACCCGCACGCAAGGGACAAAAATTCTCGGATTCTATTCAAATGTTCCGCGGGACGCAATTCGCGGTTTTCCGTTGGGTTCAACGCGATGACTCCCGGTCGCGCAAAAACGACAAGGTGGGTAACGGACGGACACGAAAAAACCGCGCCGAACGGGGGGGGACACTGTGTTGCAGCCGTACTTCCGTTGGAAATCCGTTTGTCCGCGTGCGTACATTCATTTTGTTTCGTCCCGGTTTATTGCTCGGAAAACCCTGTGTAGAATTCGGACTCGCGGGGGAGGGGGGGGTGTAGTGGGGTTTTGAACAATAGTTTTCAATACGGTTTATAGTCGATCTGTGGTCCGCGTCGGTTTTTCGCAAGGACCCCGCAGTTTCCGCAGCGGACAAACGTCAAGCGAACGTTCGTTTTCCCCCCAATTACTACCGGTACGGGGCGCGCGTCCATGTGAATTGAAAACGGGTACTACTGTCGTGACAGAGCCGTGCGGATTATTGTTATTATTATTATCATTATCATTATTTTTCCGTTGTCTATTCCCTACTTTAATGACCGCGCGATCCGCAAGCCGATTTTTCGGCAATTCGGAACACGCGCCGAGAGATGACGAAACGACTTTATTGCCTGCGGATAGAGCGCGTACGACGCGACGTCCGTTGTAAAGATAGTAGTTGACCGGCGACTGTCACGCCGGCGGTTGAGACGGTCCTGCGCGCGGCAACGGATTGAACAGTGCCGTCGATCTCGACGATAAATTGTTATTCATTTTTATTTTTTTTCGCGAACGTGTGTAAAAGAGCACGGTATAATGAACGACAAACGGAAATCGGCAAATCAGCAATACGATTGATAACGAAAAATGTCAAAATTATTGTTATAATTTTTTTTTTTTGAGGAGGGTGGGATGTTTTTGAAAATCGGTTGTTGAAAACTAGAACAATTATATATAACATTGAAACGGAATGAGTAAACGACCATCGAAAAACAAAACATTTCGGGGGGGAGGGGGGGTGTTTGAACGCCCAAAACGCCACCAACAGCTTTTTAACAAATTTCACGCTCGGGCCGAAACGGGCCCATCTCGCTTTTGTGCGATTTCGAGAAATTAGGAATAAAACGTGTTCTCCGGCCTTTTCGACGGACATTTTTCTGCCGCCTAAACGACGCTTGGTCGACGCACGCTCTTTTTTACCGCTAGAAAAAGCATTGGTGACGCGCAATTTTGTGCGACGTGCCGCCCGAGTGGACAGGGAGAGGTTCTCGTCTTATTCTCGTACGGGAAAAACGTTTTTAAACGGTTTCTTCTTTTGCGGAACATCACATCAAACACGGGCAATAATCGTTTTCAAAATAAAATGTTCAATGTTTATTAACGTTGCAACCGTGTAATATTTTATCACGCGGTCGTACGTGCCGCACGTCCAAAATACTAACGTTCGTACGCGTGCAATAGGCGCGCAATCGTAAATCGTAACGCCGTTGCTATCTACTTCACAGTGACCGTTGCGGCGGCGGTAATGGCGGAAGGATGAATGTTTACCTGATCCGCAAACGACCGATAAACGATTTAGACCAATCGACGCGAATGCCTACTGAATTTCACATGGTTTCGAACTCCTCTCGTGCTGTGACGTTCCAGATTTTTTTTTTTTATCTATTTAATTGTTACAAACGCAATTAATTTTTTGTTCACTACGAGCGACACGGTGAAATGAAAATCGAAATACGCCACTCTGACTTCGAAATAAAAATAAAATAGGAAACGATTGAGTACGAACGTAGTAATGGTTCAAATTGTTTGACACCCGTTGAAAACAATAAAGAAGAATGCCCGGTTAGCGATGGTAGACTAAATTTGAACGATAATGACATTGTTAATTATTTTAAACCAGCTCGTGTGTCGCACGAGTTAAATTTATTAATGTTCAAAATTACTACGGTACCCAGATATATCTCTCGAATTTCTATGCCATTGGAAAACGAAATTTAAAATTTCGGTTTAACTGGTTTTCTCGGCGGGAGTTGGTTAGTTTATTCGAAAACAACGGACGGAGCTTGTTGTAAATATCGCGCGCGTGTTTTTCTTTGCACCGTGGCGGTGTAGGAAGTGTTTCACTTAAATCTCTTGTAAACATTTTTTTTTCGAAATGGAACGCCGTAGAAAATGTTCGCAATCGTGAAATAACCGAGCATCGCAAAATTGCTGTTCTTCTTAAAATGGCTGAATATATGTATAAATAGTAACTCCGAATTAATATCAAATTATAAAGTGTTGTTCTACGGTAGAACATACATTTTTTTTTTTTTCAAATTTAATCGTTCTATCACACCTTAATAATATAAAAAATAATACAATTGTATAAACATTATAAATATATTATAAATGGTAATCCACAAACGAATTCTACGTGCGCCACTGATGTCCGTTTTCATCAAACAGTGACGTTGACCCGGTTTTGACCGAAGCCTCAGAAATTTTATCGATTATGGTGAAACGCATAATGGGTGGAATGGGTACGTTTGTATTTCATAAATATAAATTTATTTTTACTGCGCACTGCCTTCAAAACAGCACACCGTATTGAACCATAAGTAACTAAACTGTATCAATTAATTTTCCGGAGTTTTCTACGCAAAACGAAAATAGTTATAATAACGATATCGGTACTATCGATAACGAATGAAAAATAATAAATATCCAGCTTAAAAATAAAACAAAATCGTTATCATGTAGAGGGGGATGTACGTCAAACCGGATGTATGCATTGCCCAATTATCTGTATAATAACACAATAACGCAATACGTGTTATCATAAAAAAGTTGTAAACATAAATATTGTTATCAGCTTTATAAAACTAAATTGGCAGTTTTATTGTTTACCTCGTAGTACGAGTTATGGCTCGGCCCTCTGTATCGTTCCACTATAGAATGACGAATCAAATCGACTGTTACGTTTACTACTCAGTGGTCTGCGAAGACGGTATTAATTTTAATAACAATGAGCAAATAAATTGTTTTTTTTATTTCACTCAATTTTTCGTTATGAATATTACAGTCTCTCGGAACACATCCATGGTGGACAGCCATAGGATTTTAAGAACTTCGGTTTTCGACCAGTCACGGGTCTTTGTCAAAAACTAAAGTCCAATAATTTCAAAGTCCTGTCGTAGTTCAGATCAATGACGTTCAGCGAATTTCGTAAGACAATGTATTATTTACCTAAATTTGTGTTGACAAATCGCAAGCGGATACGTTTGGTCGCCGAGTCCATAACCTTCTGTGTAGTAACCAGCAGTCTGGGATGGCTGGGCTATGAAATTCGCGAGTTGATAACTTCCATCGAAAATTCTGTTCAAAAAGATCCAATGCTGCTCAACAACAAAGCACCAGAATATGTGTTTGTCGACAAACCAATGTTCACTGGTAAATTTGGCATTGAATTACAACTATTTACATGGTTTACCTACCTATACAATATAAATTAATAATGTCAAAAAAATATCAATTTTTTTATGTCTAGTTTTATTTATGTAGTTTTGTTTAACAGTTTGTTACTAACCTCATCTCATCATAATACATATTGTTACGGGCGTCTGCATATTTTCTTTAAATATTATAATATTATAATTATCATATACAGCACAACAACAGAGTATTATATAAGTATGGGCCACAACGGTATTCGTGAAGTCAAATTAAACGGGCGATAGTTGTTCGGCATCAAAGCTACATCCTCCTGACAGAGACTGATTGTCTAAATCAATCTCAGCTGCTGCTGATCTCGGGCACTCTGAATTGACAAGACGGCTGTGTACTAAGGCTCCGGCGCAACACGAACGACCGCGAACAAACTATTTTAGCAATATATTTATGCGCGTATTTTTGCACAACCCAGATGCATGGACCAACATGTTAGGTTATCACTCGGCAATAAAATGTTGTTGCTGAAAAGCGCCGACTGAGCATCTTTAGCTGGAGGTCCAGGGTACATATACTGGCCGCCGAGAACGCTTTTTCAGACGAGTCTGAACACTATCAACCGCAGGCACCTTCACGCCAGACAGACTTGTAAATTTAAATTAAAAATGTTTGAATATTTTTCAACTTAAATAAAAATAATAAGATATTGTGTCTACTCATTCAACTTAACTCTGTGTTTGAAAATACGCCCGCAACAATATTATCATAACAGATGCAATATATATATTAACAATTAAATTGTAATTAATCTATCTTCTTTAATTATTTGAGAACTTAAATAAATGATTCTGCTTTAATGACATCTTAATTTAAACTTTTTAGAATTTAACTTAATTTAAAATATTTTATTTTTTTTATATTAACTGTTTAACATAGTTAGAAATAAAATCGCATATCATATCATACCTCTGATATAGTTATACTTTAGTCTTTGATACTTAATAGATATTGGTTAGCTGTTTGATTATTATAATAATGTAATTTTAGTAAAATATGTATTAATATAGTAACGTAATTTATTTATAAAACTTAGATACTTTGTATTCAGGTATCCTTATGGATTTTGAGTGATAATCTATTGACATTATAATATAAATCATATTATTACTTGGATATATTGTATTATCAATCATGATATGTATACTTATAATTTTTTTTATGCGTTTATTATTTTAATTATACATTAGATATACATTTTTTATTTTAAGCAATTAATATAAAATATTGTATTCAAATATTTATACTTTGTACACAAATGAAGAAACTTATGTGTAATTAAAGAATAATTTCAAATAAAAATCAAATTAAGTATCATTTTTCAAGCTCCATTTCTAATTTAGTGAATTACTAAAAATATATTTTCTTTTTTAAATAAAAGTTTATTTTTTATACATTTTTTCTTGTTAATTCTTATATTTTTTTTTATTGGTAGTACAAATTATAATAACTTTAAACAATTTTTTAACACTTAATTTTTAATCATTTTATGAGCTCTAATATTATGTATAAAATATATAAATGTATTACTGGTTCTATTATATAACTAATGTTTATTCTAAATTCTAATAATAATATAATTTAATGTTATTTTTATAGAGCTCGATGAATATCAAATCATTGATAGCAACAGTATTATTCAGCCGACAAACCCTCCTGTATTTTTCTTGCAAATATGGAATGATTTCAAACATAAAACAGCTTGGAAACTTTTGGAAATGGCCAACAAGTCTAAAAATTCTAAAATAGCTTTGGCAGCTACTCAAAAATTGACATCTATGGTTCATCTAAAAGGCAAACAATAGTTATTATTAAAATAACTTTTTTTTTAAATTTATATAATTTTTATTTTAGATTCGGATTTTCAACATCTAGCTCAAATGAGTCAACCACATACTTTGGTTGGTTTAGCTCGATCAGCTAATGTGAATCCAAAATTTTTCTTACCCCCTAGAAATATGAGTTGGACAAAAGATGTATAAATAAAAATAATTATTATTTTGTGTATGAAATAATAAATAAAGTTATTTTTTTTTTTTTAGGAAATTTTATACAAAGTCCGTAATTTATTAATTAAATTAAATGAACTAACGGAACATAAATGTTTATCATACTTCATAGCTTATGCATTTAAAGTAAGCAAAAACATATATAATAAATATAAATGTAATATTTAATATATTTGTTCATGTTTGATTATTTGATTTTTATAGAATAAACAGCTTGACTATTATCAACCAGAAGATATACCACCAGATTTTCGAAGTATGCACATAGATAATGATAATATTCTGCAATTAAGTATAAATGCTTTGTGTCACCATTGCAACAATGAAAAAAATGTCACTGGTATGTAGTATTCTATTTTATTGTCTTTGTTTGAATACCAAATGGATCCTACCTACTTAAAAAAAATTTAAGTGGAACATTTATGTAAGTTAAAGTTATCAACTTTTAATGTTTTCTATATAGCTATGGTAAAATTAGGAGGTCTGCAAATTTTAATGGCACTATATCAGTATTTACAACATGATGAAGAAGTAGCTGAAGAAATTGGAAAATTGCTATCTGTTGCCTCCTTAAACAAAGATCTTACCCAAGATATTTGTGTAACTGGTATGGTTAAAAAATATATTTTATTTATTACCTTTGTTGGAAAAACAAAATTATAAAACTTTTTCAGAACTTTCAGTTAGATAACATTGCTTTTTATTTTTATAACTAATTATTAAATTTATTACTTCATTAGTATTATATTATTGCGACTGATAATAATAATTATTTATGATTTAGGTTGGATCAGTATTTTGTTTAAGTGGAAAAATCACCAAAATTTTAGAATCCAATCTTGGGCTAACCGTACATTGTTAAATATGGATAATGAAGATCCTATTAATGGCAATTATAAGTTTGGAAAGCAAACAGTATTACTATATCCAAAAGATCGAAGTCATCAAGATGCTACAATTGATGTAGTTCTTGTGCATGGTCTTTTGGGTGGTGTTAGCTTTTCATGGCGTGAAAAAGATCTATTTATCAACGAACCACTTGGCTTATTTGGTGAATATTAATTAATCATATTTTTAATGTACCTAATCATTATTTTAAATGATAATCAAAATTATATAACTCGAAGAACATTTGTCTTCTATTTTGAATTTAAATGACATCATTATAATGATGGGTAATCTTTTAATAATAGATATGAGTAGTAAGACAGATACTTATAGTACCTCTAATACAATAACACAAAAGAGACCAGTTGATGAAAATATGCAAGACTATATAGATATTTACAAAGAAGTGAAAGCTAGAGAGTGGAATCTAGTTGGAAAAGAATTTGAATTTGTTTTGAATGATATACCAATTAAAGAAAACACGAAAGGAAATGGAATTTACTCATTAAATGGGTAAAATTATATTTTTAATTAAGGTTAAATTATGTTTAATTTATTGTTTTTTGTTTAGAACTGATTCTGCTATACGACAAATTGCTATGAACAAAAGTTACAGTCAATGTTGGCCATCTGATTGGTTACCCACTGACATAGATGGTCTTCGTGTAATTGGTGTGGATTATAGTACAACACTATCTGAATGGCTACCATCATGTCCGTTAAAACAAAAGAGGTAAAATTGTTATGTTCACTTTGTACACAGTTAGGATGGAGTTGCCATAAATGACCAGTATCCTTACTACTGTGGTCACTAATTTTTATTTTATTCGTAAATAATGCTATTTTGTAATTTGATGAACCATATTATGGTTATTGTTTTATCATTATTATTATTATTATATTTACTGGATGATATCAATTACAAAAACATAAATAGCGTAGGATGTCCATAGAACATGAAAATGTAATTTTAAAATATTAATATTAATCTTTCATTCCATAATGTTCTGAAGACTTAAATTTAAACTGATTATTGGTTAATTTATTATATATTTATGATAAATCATAAAGTTTAGAAAGTCTAAACTAAAGTTTAGAATTTTTTACAATAATTATAGATAGATTAAATCTAATATTAATAAAAAACAATTCTGTAGATAGCTATAGGTAGTAACTATACCTTTTTTAAAAATTATTTCTAGGCATCGTACTCTTGAGGGGCGTACGGATAAATTAATGATTCAGTTACTTACTATCGGTATTGGAGATCGACCGATTATTTTTTTGGCTCATTCTATGGGTGGACTTTTAGTAAAAAATATGTTAGTTACAGGTAAATTATTTAATATTAGATAAATATAATTGTGCATGAAGTATAAATAATAAAATATTTCAGCTCGAAACAGTGATGATCCAAATGTTAGGAAACTCTTTGAGAAGACAAGATCTGTGTTTTTTTTCAGTACTCCACATCACGGGTCCCCATTGGCCACTTTGAACAGTGCATATCGATTCTTTTTATGGCCATCCGTAGAAGTAGATGAACTTAGAACAGGTATTTATTTTGTAAAGTTTAATTTGTTCACATTAGTTTAATATTTTTAAAATGATTATCACTCTATTTAAAGATTCACCTAAATTGGTATCTCTCCATCAACAATTTTTGGAATGTGTACAAGAGAATCCAATGAAGATTGTGACATTTGTTGAAACCTGCCCTACAGAATTTACTGCTCTAAAAGTTCCAATATTGTGTGTACCAAAAGATGCAGCTGGTAAGTTTAAATTATCTATAACATAATATAGCTTGAAGTCATAACTATAAATTTCAAAAATATTTTTCAATTTCTATGAAACACATAAGTCAATATAGTTTGGTAATTGAAGAGTTAAAATGATAAATTAATTTTAAAAATACTGCTTTAAAATTTTTCAAACATATAAATTGAATGTATTTTTTTTTATATAATTAAAGTGTAGTTTTCTTTTATCATAATATATTGTTATTTATTAAATTTATATATATTCAGTACAATCAATCTGATTCTTTTCGTTGTTGTTCAGTGTCCTAAACAAATATCCAAGTTGGTATTATATTTTATCAAATCGTGCAGATTAATGTATCTAAAACTCAATTATTTGAATGTTTTTATATATTTTTGCAATTTGTATTATATTTTATTATACTAGTATTATACTCTTAAATTTATTTACATTGAAGTTTTTTTTTTATTATTATTTAGATCCGTCAATTGGCGAGCTTTACGAGTTGCCATTAAATCATATGTCTATCTGTAAAGCTGATTCTAAGTAAGTAAACAATTTGCTGTTATTTACATTTATTAAATTCATTAGTGGGTAATACAATATACACTATTTAAGATTTTTAGTGTAGCGAGAAATGTATTAGTTTTACTGTAATGTTTTTTTTTTTTAATCTGTGAACAACTTGTCTACCAAAAATCTTACTCTAATGTATCAAGCGTAGTACCTATTCTGAAATAAAATTTTATCTTCTTAGTACTTAAAGGAGTTTTTTTCCAAGTGATTTTCATAATAATTTGAAAAAAAATAGGAGAATTTACAAAAATAATACTTTTATTATTTTCAATTTTGTTTTTTTGTTGTAATTCAGTTGAAAATGTTCATAAAGACTTGATATTTGAACAGAATGTTAAAATTGACTTTTATAGACGTGGTTAAATGTTCAAAACATTTGTGCCATTTTTGAGCTATTTACAGACATTTTAATTTTGCGAGTTTTTAACGTAATTTTTATTTAGTTGGTACTCTGTAAATAAAATTGTTAGACCCAACAGAAATTTTTTTTGAAAATTTAACTAGAGGTTCATTTTAAGTTGTACTTAGTGGTCAACAAAAAATAATTGATTCTAATGTAGTATTTTTTTTTTTATAAGAATTTTAATATCAAATTTTGACAAAAATCATATACATGGCATTTTAATACATGTATAACAGAACTCTGCTCAGAATTGTTTTTCATTAAAAATGATAAATCATTTCAAACAGATATCCTTCCTTCTCAACTTCTCATCTGTAACAGTGGCTCACCCTCCTTGCGAAGTATAGCTGTCTTTTTATTTAGAGATTATACAAATTGGTATTATTTTCTAAGAAATAAAATTAACGCATATTCTCCATTTCACGAGAAAAGGTACACGTTTTTACGTCTGTCGCTGCACATCTCCCATCACTTTTGCCCATTCACATACATAACGTAGAGGTAAGGAGTGGGAATAATTTGACCTCCGTGCTCTCGCCGATGCACGGAGCATATACCATCTCTAGTGAAACGAAGTATAGGGTATTGAAATTTTTTAATGTTAAATTTGTTTTCTTTTTATAAAAAGAACATTTGTATATTGTGTATTTTTGTTAGTCAAATAATTATTATTTAAGTTTACATGAGAACTTGATATGTTTTATATATTATTTTGTTTTACAGATTATCATTTGTGTATCAAAAAACATTGTCTGTGATTAAAACTATTGCAGCATATAGTAGTTAACACTGTTATTTGACATTTCGGCAATTTTATTGTTGTGACCAATCTATATTATAAAGGACTATTATTTAAGGATAACCAAAAATATTATTTATTACTTTGTTTTACTAATAATTGTATTTATTTATTTTTTAATATTTATTGTATTTAAATATGTATGTGCTGATTTAAATAATGTTTCATGATCTCATAATGAATTCTCATAAATTAAATTTTTATTTTATTCAAAACAAAACATACATCATTTAGGCTATTTCTTCTGTTGTTGGTTGCTTTAACGAATGTATCATATTCACCAGTTCTTGATATAGAAAACAATTCCTGTGAAACATATTCTGTTTAGTAGTTATATGCATTTTTAAGAACTGTATAAATATTTCTTCAAAAAATACCTATAATACTATCTCAAATATTTTTGTAAGTTATTATATTTTTTCATCTATTATAATATTATTAATAAATTCTTACCGATTTTTGGGTTTACAAATATTTCTATGATCCAAAGGAACCCCATATAAATCTCCAAATCCTGGATCTTTAAAAATAAAAAAAATAAATCCATAAATCATTTGGTCTTGTTCTGTATTCAGTTGCATGCATTATTATGGATAAAGAGTGAAATTTAAACTTAACCAAAGTGCTATTTTTATATTCTAACTTATAATTTTAATATTTAGAATTCAAATGGCCAATTTAATCATAGAGTTAATGAATGATATAATTGGTTTATGTAAGTATTAATTATAGTATGTTTTGTCATTTAGTGTTTTATTTGTTATTAATAATAAGTTAGAGAATTTGGAATTGGAAAGAACTGAATAAAATATATTGTCAAATTTAACACTTTACCTAATTAATGATACCTAGTTACTTACTATTAACAAAGTATTTACACCAACATTATACAAATGAACAGTGTAGTTTAACTTTGACCTTAAGAATGTGATTTTTATAAAAATCTATGAAGAGAAATGAAATATTTTACCAAACATACTCTGCTGTTAAAAACTTATACACCAAATTTTAATTTTTAAATAATAACTATTATTTGGTTTTTAATATATGAATTGAGAATATTTCCTGAGCATAACTTATTGACTGTTGGTGCATTATCAATACCAACAATTAAAGTTATAAACAAATAGTTTATCCTTTGCGATAATATAAAGTTCAAATAAATGCTTTAAAATTGTGTACCAGAAAAAATGTTTCTATCAAAATTCACACTTTATATAAAATGAGTTATAATATTAAAAAAATCTACTAAAATACTAGTATATCTTTTAATATTTTAAAAAGGTATGAAAATTTAAGAACCAAACTCAGTTTTTGTCATTTTAGGTACAATAAAATTAAAAAATTGATAAAATAATGGGTGATTTATATAAAAAAAATATACATTTTATAATAAAGGATCTTATTGATTATAAATATACATTAAGAATTTAGATACCTGCAGATTGTATAGATACGATTCTCAAATAAATTAATTTCATTAACGTCAACTTAGTTTCAATAAAACTTTTCACTTGTATATGTTTATTCGTATTCATCATCTCATGGAATGTCTGCTGAAGTTTTTGTATATCTTGTGTATCTGTTTAATACAAATTACAAATTATCATATTAACTGACTTCATAAATTTTAATATGTGAATATTATACCGTTTACTAATTCCTGTAGTTCAATTGATCGTTGAAACAATGGTAATTTTATATTAGCCAGGGGAGATCCATTATGGGGAACACTATAAAACAATATTCCTCTGGTGTTAGTTATGATTTGGTGGGATTGCTGGTTTTCATTGGCTGTAATGTTACAATAGGTTCGTACATAATAATTTTATGCATAAATATAATATAGCTAATAAACGACATAAATTAGTACCGTGAATTAAAATTTGTTTTATGAACAATCCTCCTTTAGAATGACCGACCCACGTAATGGGATTGTGCCCGACATCAAAATCTCGTAAAAGTGATATCATCTCCAAACCTCGATCTTTCATTGTTGTCCTGTATAAAATCAAACCATTTAAATAATATTATTTATATTTTTTGAATTTGTGTAGGTATAATTAACACAATTTTATATAATAGTTAATAGCCTGTAATAATAGATTAATATGAAGAGTTCTAAAACGTATAGGTTATTTTCATTTTAATTCATTGGATACCTATATTATGTGTAAAGATATTTATAGTTTATACATGAATCATTTCTGATTACTTACTCACTAATACAATCATAATATATAAAAAATATATCGAGTACTTAATTTCAAAAAAAAAAACCTACATCATATTTTTTTCAACTCCATTTTTTTTTGTTTTTAAATAAATATATTTCCATAGATATTATTGATATCTATCTGATAGTATTACATTCAATTTTAAATTGAATATATAATATATATAATATTCAATTTCACTTTTTACAATTTTAATATTTATTTTTTTTTTATATTGGTTTATGAAACATATTGTACTATCGATTTTAAATAGTTATATTTGTTTACCTGTCTGGTTTTCGAAACCATATAGGTCTCCACAAATAGGGATCAGTACTGTAACTAATAGTTATAACTCGAACATATGGACAGTCCAGTGGTAACCAGTCTCTAGGCCAACAATTTGTAAATTCTTTGATCTCTTCGTCAGTTGCTAACCTTTCAAGTTGATTGATTTTTGATAATCCAGAGCTCCTAACAACAACAGGCTCGGGTTTTTGATCCACTTGTTTCCACACACCCTGTTTCCAAGTCTTTAGTTTATCACCTCTAAGTCCGTGTATAAATACAACATCCATAAAAGTAGATTCCGGTCCTGGGTCGTATAGCACTTCGCATTTCACTTCACATCTTTTGGGACCGTCTACTTCTGAATAAATCCAATTGTGATTTTTATCTAGCAAATTTAAAGTCCAATTACATTTTTCTATAGTAAATTTAACCAGCCACCAACTACATTTTGTTAACCACAACAAAAATGAAGCCACCAAAACAGTTTCGTAGTAAACAATATTCTTGGTCTTCGTCCAACATAATATCAGCAATTGCTGGTATGATGTAAAGTTGGGTTTAAATTTAAAATAACAGATGACGTATAATATATCTTGAGTTGCCTTCATTGCATTCCTAATATTAACAAAATGATGTTATTATATTATATAATATAAGGTATAAGATAATATTATTAGTATTAATTCATAAACAGATTTAAGTCGACATATAAATTTAAGAGTATTCAATATTTCAACATTTATTTTACTGATATACCTACTAAAATTTATGTTAAGTTATGTGTTTACATAGGTAAGTACGTGTTCTATTTTGTTTTTGTCAAGATTAAAACGAATATAGGTAACTTACTGACTCCGGCACGACAACACCGATTTGATTGCATTTGGAAAATACTTGAACCAACCGTGGTCAGTGCCGGATAGTCGGTCTTCCATTCTGAAATGATAGAAATAATTTATTATATTTCAATTTTTTTTAATTTTTCAAAAAAATTGACTGATAATCAAAATGATACTTTTAATAATAACTGTATTAACAATAAATGAATATAAATTGTACTTTACATTTGTATGGATACAACCATATCATCTCTTATTGAGAAAAATAAAATGAAAACAACAAACAATAAATATTTGTAACAAAAATATTTAATATTTTACAGCAACCACTGCATGCGAGTGCATAATGAGTATCTAACTTATTAAATCCAAGAAACGCATTATCATTTTAGAAATCTGTAGGGGAATCGCTCATTTGTTTTACACAAGTATTAGGCATTTAGATGTAAAAGGGTCTTTCATGATTGTTATATAAATTGTTATATACCTATGTAACTATGTTATATTTATATAAATAATAAATTGGCTTTAAACATGGCTAATTTATAATAACACGTTTAACTTTAACTGTGGCGGCTTTTATTAATTTGACATTGAACTGAAAATGTATGGTTTCTTTTTATACACAATATGTTACAGGCAATTAAAATAGTACCTATCTATCTACGGAAATTTAAATAATAAACTGATCGAGTTTATAAGATATATTTTTAAATATATTATTTAATACCATGACTAATACAGCTATAAAAAATATTATGAAATATTGTTAGGTATGGTCTTCTGAAATGTTTATTATTTATATAAATGCATACTTTTTATGTGTATAGGGTTAAAATGGTAGTTAATATTGAAGAAAAACAAAAATTATAATATTTTTTAGTAAACATTTTATAGGAGTACTCTGTGTAGAATATTAAAAATAAAAATACATTTTCCTTTGTGTAATAATAAATGAATATGTGTACTTACGTGTGTGTTTTGCCAACAATCACATGTGTGTACCTAACGGACGATTAGAAAAAACTGAACGGTTGGCCAAAGCGCGGTGACCTTCTTTAACAGCTGCAATACAGCATTACTGCTCAATATGTACCTCTACAAGTGCAGGACATAAAATTTATATTAATTGACCAAGAGACTATAATATATGGTAGTGTGCTGAACACACATACGTAAGAATTGTTAAGTCTTGGAAAACAGTTCCCTTGATGATAAATTCGTGTGCGTATGCATAAATATAGGATTGTAAATGTATACAGATGCATGTAAAGTAAATATTACAGCTGTAATACAAAATATAAAATCATTAAAATAGATACCTATTGGTTACAGGTATTAGCTGCCAATTTAATACGTTTGTTTGGAAACAAATCAATTAGGAATTGACGAAAATTGTTTTTGAGTATAAAAATGTTTTATATAATTTTAAAAAGTTGTTAGAAAAATTAGATAGGTAGGTACGGGTTATTTTTAAAATTCCACAAAAGTTTTTGAAGATATTTTTAAAAATTACCCGAACCGAGTATGTAAACGACGAAAAAAAACTAACAGTGATCCTATCGCTTTAATTTTATTAAGAGCTATTTTGATTATTCCTACCTGCCTATTTATACAACAATATTAACCCGTACATATAGGTAAAAATTTGAAATTTTTGAAATATTTACAAGCCTCAACTGGCTCGAATATAAAATGCTAAAAGTTTTTTTTTACAAGTCAGTGGCGTATTTATACTGGGGTGAGTGGAGGGGTATTATGGATGGGAAACCCTAGAATTCCCACCCTCCCAGAGGCTTTTTATTAGGTCTGTATGATGACTAATACATTATAGGTTACTATTGAAAGGAATTTTATTTATTGAATGCTTTAGATTTTAAACGGATACAGAACTCGATCGACATAAAATATAGGTATAAAAATATAATTAGGATTTTTTTAAAATTTACGTTGAATGTAATATAGTAAATAATAAATAATACTAAATTAAGTAATACGCATTTTAATCTCCAATTGATAAATTCGCGTATTTAGCTTTCAGCTGCTGTTTTTTTTTTCATCAATATCTATCGTTATACCTAGATATCGCTAATTGAAATTTGCAAAAGTGTCGCGATCTCAGTGGCAATTTTGATAAAACATCTAGGTGGGACAGTTTTAAATTTGTTGGGCCCCATACCATAGTAACATTTATCAAATAAAGGATAAAATTTGATTATGGTCCTATCATAAATTACACATAATTTTCATTTTAGATTCTAAGTGGAGCGAAGAAGCTTATGGTTTTATAACTGTTTTATCTGTGAACAACTTTTATACCAGAAATCTTGCTCCGATATATACAATGTAACATCTTTTCTGAAAGAAAATTTTATTGGGGAGGTACTTTAAAGAGATAATTTTTTCGATTTTCTCTGGAGCTTTCCCAGCAAATGTGAACAACTGGGAAAAAATAGAAAAAACGGGAAAATCGGAACAACATTAAACAAATATTATTAAAGAAAATATTGAGACAATGCCTATATAAGGAATTACCTTCTTCTTTTTATCTGTGACAACTTTTCTACCAGCAATTTGGCTCCGATTTACAATAATAGTACTTTTTCCGAAAGGAAATTTAACTGGAGTGGTACTTAAAGGAGGTCATTTTTTGATTTTCCTAGCTGTTTTCATAATAAATGGGGAAAACTGGAAAAAAAACGGGACAATAGGTCCAATATTAAATAAATATTATTAAAGAAAATATATAATGCATATATAATTATTTCACCACAATATGACATATATTATTGACAATACATCACTATCAACTGAACTACGCTCAGAATCGTTTTTCGTTAGCAATGGTCTATTGTTGCTTACGTGCAGAACACACAAAACAGTTGACAAAAAAGTAAAGTCCAGGGGGCGATCGCCCCCATCGCTCCTCCCCCCTTAAAAACCGCCACTGCGCGGTCTTGCAATTTTAGATAGGTAAGTCATAGTAGGAATTGGGGAAGGTAAAATAATGACTCTTCCTTTTACTACCTATAGATATTATTATGTTAACTTTTAACCAGAGAGTTTTTTAACGTATAAAGCAAAAAAAAAAAAAAATTATTTTAAAAAAAAAATGTATACAATGTCCAAGGTTGATATGTAGAAGTACTTACTTACGTTTTGGACTTTTCAAAAATGTCCCCAACTGTTAAAGTTCAATAAACCGCGATTGAATATAAAACAAAAAAGCAAATTGGTAATCGGTATAGGTATACTTACATAGAAGAAGAGACGCGAGGCCATAGATTTAAAAAGTTTATTTTTATTAAATACCTAACGAAAATATTATCACGCGGACAAAGAATACAATTTTTTTAAATAGATAAAAAAAATATTAAAAAAAAATAAAAAACGCCAAAACTTTTGTTCGGATTCGCAGCGAACCGACGAAATTGTAACACTAATCATATCGAATATTATTATTTCAAACACCGCCAGAGCCCGTAGAATGTGTAAATCATAGGTACTGCAATAAGCTATACTATATTACGAATTATAATATGTATACGGCCCAGTGGTTCTCAACAAGGTATATATTATATTTTCACCAACAGCAGTAAAATAATTAAGTGCCCACCTCACATCTGGGTACATTTTGAAATCGAAAAAAATCGTACACAACGACATTGATTATAAACACCTACTTACTTAAATCAGTATAACCCTACAATAAACGACTTTAATTTTTTTTCTCTTTTGCCCATAGAGCACTTTTATTCAGAGAAAAAATAATTTTTTTTTTTTCTAAATAATGTTTTATAGACAGTTCAAAACATTGTAACCTGTAGGTAACATAATGCATTGCCGGGACAAATACGTATAATTAATGGTAGTACCGATGGTAAAAATACTCATAATATTATGTAGGTTAACCTATATTATATATAAAATTTAAATTTAAATTTAAAATGTCAAGTAAACAAACATTTTTCTGAAATAAAAAAAATGACGTTTTCGTAATATCCCCGCTGTCGTAACACTCTCCCCCCACAATTCCACGCATTAGGCACACACGACCTACCTAAATAATTCCCCCGCCTAGTTGAGAATCACTGATATTACCTAGGGTATACATTGTCAGTGCCATTAAAACCAGCAAAACCGCGATTGTAATGAATAATAATATTACAGTTTTTTTGAATTCTTCGTGCGTATAGTTAATATAGAAAGTATGTAAACAAAAATTTTTAAAAAAAAAACTAGCTATAGTATACACCCATGTCTGAATGGAAAAATGTGCTTATTGTTTTTATAGCGCTGTACAGTAGAAACGAATAAACTAAAGATTAACTCGCCGACACTATAGTAATACAGGCAGGTACTTACGTCCTACCTACGTAATGACAATACAGGATCGTAAACCGTTTGTTGAGATTGTAATTATTTCCGATACAAAAATGAAGCAGACACGTCCTGATCCTAGATACGAACGGAAAAAGAAAAATAAAATTCTAAGCGAACTTCGATTTTCAATATTTTTTTTTATTTTGTTCGATATAGCTAAATTTTCGATTTAAACGTTTAATCGAACTTCGAACTCTGAGCGAAAATTTTAATTTTTTTTTTTTTTTTGGTAACGTGTATTCATTAACTCACATTGAAAATGCAGAGCTATATTTACCTCAATTATAGAAGAAGAGAATCCAATAATCTAAATAAAATAATAATTTTTTGAACAGGTTTTGTTCGATCGAAACACGCTGTGCATCGGGTTGATAGAAATTAAACTAAAACGTCATCTATTCGGATAAGAATGTTTATTACAGAATTGTTTTAAGAAAATCAAATAAAGTGAAGTGTGGGGGGAGAGTAGCGGTTGATGCGTCACAAATGATGTTGATGCGAACAAAAATAACGGTAACGTAACATTTTGGCCGCTTGTTTCATTAATTATCCAAAAAAAAGTTTGATAATAATAATAGTTGTCTAGCATTCTAGCCGTTAGGTAATAACCACGGATATTAGTATTATTACCATAGATATAGACAGACTGTATTTGTGCCTTCCGTGCTAATAACAATGAGTATCTTATCGAGGATTGATTATTCCGTTGACCGTGCTAAACTAAGACCGTGCTGTAGACATTGAACTATAAGATAACTTTTCTTATAGTTATCAAGTTTATATATATATATATATATACACGTGTATACTTATCTAGATAACTTATCTTATAGTTCAACGCCTGTAGATATTAACTAACAAGATAACATATTGGTATTTCCATAGATAATATCAGAATTCTAACATTATCTATGGGTATTTTGACGGTGTAAAATAAAACGCCCGATAGATGGCGATAAGGTTATTATATCAATGTTGAATTAAATTCGTGTATTATTTCGTCCGCCGTCGCAACAGTCGAGTTCAATCGGGGAAAATTTGTTTTTATTGTTTTTAATCAAACCATTAGTAACTTTTTACATTGGTTACTTCGGCTACTTGTATGCTACAGTGCAATTTACCCTCGTACCGGTATAAACATTTTTATTAATTTTATCCAAACTAACCTACCATCATTATATTATTATCAATGTTTATGTTAGTTTTCAGTTACCGATCAAAAAGTATTCGACCAAAAATGTGTGGTTTTACTATTTTGACAGGCGTCCGCCGAAACGCAAGTCGTTGATAAGTAATAAAAACACGGCTGACGAACCTCTTAATATGAAGTCTGAAGATCCGTTGATCACCGTTTGTTTAGCTGTGCCGAAATATCGTACCTACCATCATTCACGCATCAATTTGTCGAACAATTTAGATAGAAACAAAATTTGCACAGATGTACCTAACCTTTTTATAGTATAATGTCGAATGCTTAAAGCAAATACTATAAATGATGATTCGACTTAGTTATGCTGGTAACCGGTGAACAGAATAATAGTAAAGTCCCCCCTCCCTCTCGAATTTGTAGTTTGGGTTGCCGCTATTTCGCCTATTAAAATAAGACTTAACGACTTATATCTCAAACGAAAAATAATATTTGTTTTTTCTTCAATTGCGAATTGCTTTCGTTTGCTGATTTTGCTAAAATTATTTCACTACGTCTAGAAAAGGTAAATCTAAATTTTTTTGTCCAAATCTAATTATTCTAGTCTAATTCAAGTCTTTATTCAAGTCTAATTATTATGAAAACTACAGAGAAAATCAAAAAGACTTTCTTACTTGCCAACTAGAGTAAACAACAAAGAGATCTTTCTCTTGTTGTTTTCATATTGCAGTAATATTTTTTATAGAAAACATTAGCCGTAAAAATTTAAAATAAATAAATGCTTGCGCCATGAATTTATCATTTTTCGGGTTTTTACAATTATTATGGAAACCCTTTATACAATCAAAATATTACAAAAACAGTACTTAACAACTAAATGCAATTTCCTTTCAGAAAAGGTGCTATACACTTGAAAGTCTGAGCTAGATTACTGGTAGACGTTTTATACACAGTATAAAGAAAATAAAAAAAATAAACATCACTGTAAAACCGATACGTCATTTCTCGTTTATTTCAGAATCTAAAAATTAGTAAAAACCTATTTTACTAAACCTAATTAGTAAATAATCTGCCTATACCGGGTATATCCTTTATTTCATCAGCTATACGTTATATACACTGAGTCTATACGCTATCAATATACGGAAACTACCGATTGTGCTATTTGATATATTCTATAGTTTTTGTGTAAGTTTTCGTATTCCATTCACGGTGTTTTCTCTATAGTAAGCGGTAAATATCTCTAGTATTTAGAAATCGTTGAGAAATACTTACTCTCCCAGAATGGGAATTATATTGTTCGCAATGCTGCTTCGCGTATAATATGGATTGGTTGGTTGTACAAAGATAAAATCTTTGTATAAATAAATGCAATTTTTAACGATTTGTATGTGCTGGCGTGCTGTCCGGTTGAGAATTACCTATCTATTACTCACGCTATGTGAGTAACGTGTCTCTGCGACACAGTCAATACGGTAACAAACAAACCGCTGTTTGAATTTTCCCACAAAAAGTGAAACGGCGTAGTTTTCGGAAATCCGTCGGTTTAAATCGATTCAATTTCAGATTTATGACTAACCGGTTTATTTTTTTTTTCGACCGCCGTGACGAAGCGGTCCAAATTTGTCGATCTCGATTTGCCCCCCCTTCCCTTTTAAACCTGCCGATTCCCTTTAATTTTTCAGCTACGGAGTTTTTTTTCGTGCTTGCGTTTGTAATTTATGCGAATTATGCTAATTGTCCCATTGAATATTCTACACCGGTTACATTCGTAAGTTTACGCATTAAATAGAATAGATGACTATTACCTACGCAGTTTTTGTTTTTAATCCGCGTGTTTTTCTTATATTTACCTATATACTTTGGACATTTTTAAATTATGACTGCCAGCAAATGGCATTTATAGAGTTAAAACGCAGCGGTTATAAGTAGCCAATTTTCAAGTGGAGAATATTTTCGACGCTTTTCTCGGTATTAATTTCAAAAAAACAAAAACAAAACTAACATAATTGTATAACCCAGTGGTTTTCAATCCTCTTGGTCTACGGCCCTTCTGTTTTTAAAAACCAAATTAGCGGCTTTATTACCAATAATGATACCTACATTCATTTTCGTCAAAATATTATTGACACAGACTTTTGTTTTCTTGTTAGGCTCTGAGTGAAGTGTTTTATTTTCTTACTCGGAGCGAAAAATATTTTAACACGTCCCTGACAATGCCTATCGGTGGTCTGCGGTCCCATAGATTTTATCTTATTTTTTTTGCTCGTTCATTTCAAAAAAAAAGAAAAGAATTACGAAAAAATATAGTATCCATTGTGTTTTTACACTTTTAAAAGTATTTATCAAAGTAACAAATAATATTATTATCGTTATTACTTCCGACGATCGATTAGTGTGTTTCACTTTTATAAGTGTGTAGTTACTAAACGTTTATTACTTTGATAAAAGTATTTATTAAATACCATTAAATAACGACTTATTAAATATTATTATTGCGACTGATAATTGTTTACCGATTGCATATTTTCTCAAATATTTAGTTATGAGATTAATCGAATTTTTACGGTTTTACGTATTTTTACCGAGTATACAATTCCAATTGGATGAGCTTTCTCAACGATTCATTTTCTTATGAACTGATATACAAATATTTACAATACAATATTTTGACATTATTTTTATTTTATACAATATGCTGGTCTATCGTGTAGTATTTTGGATAATATATTATTTTATTTTGTAATAAAACATACCTAATATCAATATAAACATGTGAATTATAGACTAAATTAATCTTAGAGATGGATACTATGTTCCTAAATTTTGTTTGACTATTTTACACTCATGTAAGTCCACATGTTGGTAATTTTATAAATATTTATAGGTTGGTACATTTGTTTAAAATTATTATTATGTTTAACAAATAAATTGTAGTTTTACGTGCATAAAACGTTATTTGAAATAGAAATTGTTACCATTATTATCAAAATAATTATTATTTACAATTTCGTTTCTCCTGAACAATTCTAAAAAGTGGACTTGTCTGGTTGTTACAGGGTGCCCTTCAATCGAGGTGGTCCGCGACCTATCAAAAATTATCGAAATGGTCCGTGGCGGTAAAAACGTTGGGAAACACTGGTCTACGCAGTACGTAATATGATATTACATACGAATAATTGAACTTTAACGGGAACAGATTAAACGTAATAACGCGGGTGGCGGTGCGCCGTGCAGTGGGAGAATTCGATTTTATCGTCTCCTCGAATTGAACCGGTGACAATTAATACACAAGTGAACCGAGATCGTCGACATAGTGAATCATAACGTCGAGTTGTGTATAAAATAATACTCTTATAACACTCGGAATTATTATAGGTCCTATTATTATACGTCTTCCAAAATACAGCGTTGTTCAATCAAAAAAAAAAAAAAAAACGGTAAAACTCATTCCGAAACTCGGACAGTTTGATAATACATTTTTTTTTTCGGCGGATTTTGTTTCAAAACTCGGCGTTGCCAATGCGACTTCCGTCGGATCCAACATTAATATTCTGAAGATGGACGTGTAAAAGTACCTGTCATATTTGATATCAATAAGGAACAATGTCGCAATCAAATCGGCCGTGTTTCGTTATCCAGCGCAATCTCGATATTTTTTTTTGTACGACAACTTTTCAACGGGTTCAATTGAAACGTTCAGTTGAATTTTTCGGAATGCGCGGTTTATATTCTCGTCTGTCCAAAAACAATAATATTACCGTAGATAAAACAATATCTCCGGACGGATATTGTGTTGAGTTAATGGCCGCGGGTCTATGACCGAGACCGTTAACAGCGTCGTTTCGACCGGCCACGGTGTTTTGAACCGGTTTCCCGCAAGTGGATTGGTCATGGTCTTTTTGAACCAACTACCGTAATTGATTTTTTATAATAATATAGGTATTTATTATTATTATTATTATTATAGGTGAATCATTAAATTCAACGCGATTGCCCGTCGATTGCCTCCGTGAAAGAAAATAACGAAAAAACTGTTTCGTCTTTGCGCATCGTTCGAATCGACATGACGTCGCGCGCCTCTGTCGAAACGTAAAGTTAATTTGGCCGTACACGGAATCACGCAAACGTCGCACTTCGAGCAGGTAAGTCACGCATCCGCTCGCGAACATTTGATTGCATTTTTATTCCGTTCGATATCCGGTATTAAGTGGCCGTTTTATGCCCGCATCTATACTGTCTCGGTCCAACTACCATGCAAAAACAATGCTTACCGCAGAATAAGTAAAACTGGCCTAATTTCGATTTTAGAGTACGTAATTACGTATCTATTATGTACACGTGTGGAGAACAATAATTCGGAGAGAATGTCATAGGGATTTTGTATTGTTAAAAGTATGCAATTCTATATCAAATGTACAAAAACTTTTTTTTTTTTTTCAAATAACTAACTTTTTCAATGGTTCATAATTCAAAAAAACACCCATGACATTACCTCCGAAATATTGTTGTCTATACATTTTTCTCAATAGGTATTTTTAATGTTAAATCAAAATTAAGGTGGTTTTACTCATTCCACGTAAGCATTGTTTCTGCGTGTTACCCGGTTGTTAGACTGAGACTGCAATAAATACGGGTATAACGCTCTTTTAAATCGCGAGTTTTTTCCTCGCTTTAGTCACAGCGTCGTTTGTCATTTGTATTGTTGTAGAGAGTGGCGTCGGGTCTTTAAAAACCGGCGGTTCAAATCATCTTCGTTTAGAACTCACAAAACGCCCCACCCACCAAATGACCCATTGACCGATAGACAATTACTTATCAAAATATATACCTGACAAACGGGTGTCAATTCAATTAATTTAGTGTAATTATTGCTATTGAATTATGTACTTACCACCCAGGCACAGCAATCATCACTCACACGATTCAGGTGGTTCGTTTGAATATGTTTTAGATAGAAAAAAAAAAAAAAAAAACGGAAATTCTAAAATATTAGATTCGGAGCGTAACGAGGAGCGTCCGTAAACAAATTTTCGAAAAGCAATTTTGCTCCGATGTATGGAGTAATAACAGTGTTTTTTCTGAAAGGAAACTTTCGTCCGTTCGGATAACCGCGTCTTTCAGATTAGGATTTAGGACTGTGTTTTATAATATAGTTGGAACTCGTTAATCCGAAAATTGGGCTAATGCGAATATTATGGTTAAATACATCGATTAAGTTTGTCACTTTGTCTGTTGTTATAATAGGCGCATATTATGGGAACCAGTGTTCAAAAAAATAATTAAACTCGATATTTAAATTAACGAACATCAATATGTATGCAGTTTATTATAATAATACTAATTATTATTATAATTGCATGTACTTGTGTTCATCGTCTTTTTCAATTACAGATAAAAATTAATTTTTAACCTTAAATTGCATTCAAATTCATATTTTTTTTTTTTTTGTAAAATAATAGGGAATCCGAACGACCCTTTTCCCCAAACCCGTTCGGATTAACAAGACCGTATTGTAATTAAATATGATAAACTTAAATATTATGTAAACATAATAGTACACGCGGACATAATGGTATTGGGTATAACATAAAAGACGGACAAACTCCGCACGATGGGTGGGTCACTGTTGTAGGTGAAAAGTTGGGAAGGTATGCAGCAATTAACCATAGCTAACGAAAAACGATTCTGTTCGGTTAACAGTGTTGTTTTTGCTTTTCAAACTTTGATATTAAAAATTCTTATAAAAAAAAATTCTGTATTGCACTCAATTTTTTTTTTTTTGTACACAATATACGACTTATAATGAACCTCCTGTTGAATTTTCTAGCATTTCTGTTTGGTCTAACAATTTTATCTACGGAGCACTAACCGAACAAAAATTACCTAAATAATTCATACAGTCGCGTCCACTGAATATTAAGAATTTGAACGATTCGGAATTATAAAAAGTAGATACAATTTACAAAAATGTAATTAAAAATAAATAAATCGTTTTTTGTGGCCTACTGAAATTTTCTCGGTGGACCTCGTCGGTTCAACACGACGCAAAATAGTTTTTTCTATACCTAATCGAATATTATATGCAATGAAGCCGTTAATCACACAATGGTATTTAAGGGTTCACATTTAAGCAATTACAATGACATTATTTTTTTAATATAGTCGATATCGCGAGTTTATTTTATTGTGTGTGATTGTGTAAGAAACTTAATCGTTTACGGAAAAACGTCGAATTTTCCACAAAAGTATGAATCATATGTTTACCTGGCGAAAAAAATGACAATAATATTGTTATTGACACATATTTAGCAATGATATTATAATTCCGGTGCCCCCATATGACTGCAACAAATATTATCGACATTTAAACAAATTATAATTTTAAAATAAAATTAAATTCGGTCTTATAATTGGTTAATTATCAATAGAGTATAATAGTTAATTATGTTTATACACGTTTATTTTTAAATAATGAATAGCAAACAGTACAGTAGGTACCGAACTGTACTATTTGCTCATGCAGTTTTACTCGTTATTAATTGTTAAAATATGTTTACACAGTTCTATGCAATATTAATTGGCCAGATATGAATTGATTGTCAGTACATCAAAAAGCTGATAAACCTGGTCTGACAGACCATAGCGGAAACAATATGAATGGAGTACTTGGAATATTTTTCTCGGCGTTTTTAATCCGAGCCAGATTCCTCCATGTGGGTAAGTAAAGTTCAATACATGTTTAACCATCGTTAAATTAACATTGGTATTTATTTTACAACAGTTAAACAGCCAATTGGTATCGGTTGTGATATACACATCAACAGTGAAATTTCACATAAACAGCCACTGGTCCTGAAAGAAATTCAAGGAAACGAAAAAGGTTATGCATTTGACGAACCTGACGTGGAAGATGATATGTTTTTCAAATCGGGTGAAAGCGTGTTGCTGGCGTGTCCCGGAAGTGGTTTTCACGATAGTAATAATACCGAATTAAGAGTAAACTGTGTTCAGTTGAGAGGATTCCGTGATGAGATTAACAAAGAAGAGCGATCGTTTGAGCAATTTAAGTGCAATCGTCTTCCAGAATCAAAATTGAAGAGGGAAGGCCAGTGTGCTGGCAATAAAAGTGCGTTTGCGATCGGTTTCGAAGTGCGCGAGGCATTTGTCAAAATTATAGACTTATGTTTTGACGAAGATACAAACTCGGCGTTATACGCAGTACACAAACTAACGCCAAACATAACAGGGTCAGTAAACATAAATATACCTAACACATTTTGTTAATGTTGTTAAATAGAACGAACGTATTGTAATAGCGATTAAAATAAATACAGCTCATTCTGATTTTTAAGTGGCTTCAAAAGGTTTCAAAAGAATTACGAGTTTCACATAAATATTTAATTGTCAGATTAGTATATTAGTATTTACATAAATCGTTGTCCTAAACATTTCTCAGGTAAAATAATATTATTATGTTTACCATGAAATGCACACTGCGAACAGTATTTATTAAAGCACTAATGATTTTTTGTCGGACCTTTACATTATTCATATAATACATTAGTGGACCTGTGGACGAAAGGTTGAGCATGGATATCTACGGCCATTTAACCAAGTTATTACTGAGGGTAAATTCGGGAATACATTTGTAATTAATTATAAGTTACCTACAGGACTGTAATAGTTGAATAACACTCTTAAATAGTTAACGTTTTATCAAACGCTTAATAATTTATAAACATTTTCATTTTATTTTTTTTTTACGAATTCCTTTAAAACTGAAAACATTTAAAGTTAGTGTAGTAAAAATACATACCTAAAGTTTAAACCGAATTAATAATTATTACTATATATAATTCTATGAACTTATCGCTGTAGTTTATGGAAGTATAGAGAAAAATAATAATTGTAATAATTTTATCATCTTCCTCGTGTATTTTTTTATCTTATAATTTTTTAATAGTTTTTTCAGTTAATCAGTATTGCGTAATTTTAGGTCCCAAAAAGATGGTTACCGGATAAGCTTCAAAGAAGGTGGCTTATTCCCGAGTTTTTCGGCCAATGTTGCATACAACCGCGATCATCAGAAATATATGTTTTCTAAAATAATATCAAGATCTGTAGCCAACCAATACATCAACAACTATGCATTTTTTGCAAGAGGTCATCTAGCGCCAAGGGCTGATTTTATATTTGATTCTCAACAGGCAGCGACATTTTACTATGCTAATGTAGGGCCTCAGTGGCAATCGTTTAACAATGGAAACTGGGAAAAATTAGAATCGGCCATCAGAAAGTTTGTCATCAATAAGCAACTGGAGTTGATAGTTTATACAGGAACTTATGGTATGTACGAAATCAACGGTAAAAAGATGTTTTTAACCTATGATGCAGCTGAGCAGTATAAGATTCCGATTCCGCAGATATTTTGGAAAATCTTGTACGACGAAAAGAATGAGAGGGCTGTGGTTTTTGTCGGGCTCAACGATCCATATGGCGACCCGTATGATAATCCAGCTAAGAAAATATGCTCTGAAGATATATGCCATTTAATTAGTTGGGTGTCTTTTAAACCGAATCCAAAGAACGGCCTAATGTATTGTTGTGAATTTTATGATTTTATTGAAACAGTGAAATTTCTTCCTCCGATTGGAATCGTGAACGATGTACTCTACAATTAATATATATGTGTATAATTTTTTTTAACACCTGACAAAATTAAGAATAATCGCAGTTACTTAATTATAAACCCATATAAATTATATGGATTTGTTTTTAATGTAATCGAATTACTATTATAATAGGGTTAGGACTTATGAGTATTAAATATTGAAAAATAAATTTTTTTTGTTATTTCTTGGTTTGATTATTTTTTATAGTTTAAAATTGAATAATGTAGTATTTGATTCACTTTAAATATTATATTATGTGTTCAAATTGGTCTTATACCGTAATGAACAAATATCTATAATGTCAACAATTAAAACTGATTGAACTATTCGTTAAGACAAAGGTATTTTCAATCTGTTGTTAACAACTAAAAAAAAAGCAACCGACAGTCCAGAACCGTTTAGTGCCCTTACTTGGATGTTTGCCGTAGTAGTTATTAGAGTTTAATATTTAAAAAGCTGTCCTAGGATAATGGGAACGGGTGCAGCCACTGCCATAGGCAATTTAATGTATATCTGTAAGCAACTATTTATCATTGCTAAGGAAAACACGATTCTGCAGAGCGGAGTTCAGTTGATAATGTTACTTTGTTAACAATATACTCTTATATATTATGTTATGGTAAAATAATTACATTTGCATTGTACAATTTCTTTAGTAATATTTTTTTAATATTCTACCTATTTTATCGTTTTTTGTTTGTTTTTCCCGGTTTTTCCCATTTATTGGAAAAACTTCTGAGAGAATCAAATTAAAACCCCATTAAAGGACCTCCCCAGTTAAATTTCCTTTGAGGAAAAGTGCTATAGTTGTAAATTGAAGCAAAATTTTTTGGTAGAAAAGTTGTTAAAAAAAAAAAAATACCATTGTTAAACCAATATATTCTTCACTCAGTTCACAATCAAAAATCAACCGGGATAAGAATATAAAAATTTATTGTAGACATTTTAGATTTTAAGCGGAGCGAGTAGCGAAGCGAATCTATTGATTTTACAATGGCGTTTTTTAAAATTTTTTTTTTATATTGTGTACAAATTTCTTTTAGAAATCTTACTCAAATGTATTAAGTGTAGCTTCTTTTCTAAAAAGGAATTTTATATAGTGAGTAGGACTAAGGCCAATTTTGGATTTTCCAAGTGGTTGTCATAATAATTAGGGAAAACTGGGAAAAAAACGTAGGAATAATGAAAAAATGTACGGAAATAATGATTTTATTATTATCAATTTTGTTATTTTGTTGTAATTCAGTTAAAAATATTCGTAGTGGTTTGAAATTTAAACAGAAAACTTATATTTGCCTTTTCTAGGCGTGGTAAATTTTTTAAAACATTTGTTCCATTTTTGAGCTATTTAGGTAGATTAGGATATCGTATTTACGTCACAAATTCAAATGATTTATTTTTAGTTTTGGCAAAAATAATAATAATATCGGATCAAATCCTTAACTACACTCTCGCACATGTTTATAATAGTTGATAGTATAATATATTATATTATTTTGGAATTTTGTTTTAACGGTGTATATTTTAGTATTTTAGTATATTTTTTTTTAATATTTTAGAAATACGTGCTTATTGGGAGGAGAGCTGAGGTCCCTAGTCCATAATCATTAGTAAAAATCAACATAATTCAAAAATATATAATCGAATTTGTAAACGAATTGAATTTCTATGTCCGTCATGCGGTCCTGCCAGTAAAGAACATAAAAAAAAACGAAAACAAAATCAAAACAAATAAATCATAATCTGTTTTCGAAATTGAATTCTCGTTAAACGCAATTCCTACAGTTTTGTCCGGCTTGTACGTGTGACTAAAATATACACCGTCGCCCGATGCGAATTCCTCCCCCCTCCCCTCTCCCTGTTAATAATATATATAGACATGACATAATATCGTACACCTACGCATCATTGCACGATATACTTACCCTAATTATTAGCCTGTAATAACGTGACGCGCAATGCGAATTATGAATTATATCAGATGTTTATACTAATGCCCGTGCCAGCGACGATTGTTCAAACAATAATAATATTATAATTCCTCTTGTGTGAAACGTCGTTTGCGTATCAGTGAAATGTACAAACGTGTATCAGCGTTCGTATTGGTACAGATAAAATAAGGTAAATAAAAAAATAAAAAAAAAATGTATTTTAAAGTGGTACTCGTGAAACACATTAATATTAAATAGGTATAATAATACCGATGTCTCTCATTCGCTCGCGAGTAGTGTTTCATAACAATATTACGTTCTCGCGTATAATCGGTAAGTTAGGTGGGTAATTCGCGTTTAAATAATAATAAAAAAAAAAAACAACTAGTTATATACTCTATAGTTCCAGTACACACCCGATCTACAGTTATTAATGTACCGTCATTTATTAATTAATTAAGAACACAAAGAGGAACGTTTTAAAAATTATTAAGTACTTAATTCGTAAAAAAACAACAATTTTTTTTTTGGTGTATAAACATGTAGAAATTGTTTTCTATTCATAGCTGTTTTACGGATTTTTTTTATAGGAAAAATGTCTCCGTTATTATAAGTTTCGGCTTCGTTTAAAAAAAAAAAAAAGGAGAAAAAGGTAGGTATAAATTATACTTTACGCTCTATACTATAATATTTTTACTGCGGTTGGTTATTATAATTTTTTAGTTCTCAACTCAGGGCCGGATTTAGACTTTTGGATGCCGGGGAAAATCTTTTTTTGAGGTCCATAGGGAAAAAAAAAATTAAAAATACACAATATCTAAGTAGTTGAGGAAAAAATAAAATATTTGCAGACTTGCACGTTATAACTATTTACTTAAAATGTGTTTATTACAAGTTTGAAAGGCTGCTGTTTCGTGTCTCACAAATTTCAAAATTCATTTATATAGCAATATTTTAAAAGTAAAAATAGGTATATTAATCTCATAGCATTTTATTTATTTATAATTTATTTTATTTAACACCCCAAAGGGATAATGAGTACAGAATATTATTATATAATACATCAATATTTAAAACTACTTAAAACTATTTAACACTATTGGAATACAATCACTTCAAAACAATATCCTCAATTTAACAAGTGAATTAAAGCAAAATCAAAGTTACTGTTACCATGAACCAAAAGTCGATTCTCCGGACTATTATCAATTAAGTTGTTGTATTTATTAAAATTTTGAAATTAAATCTTCACACTGTTACATTAGTAATTTCAAAACCAAAATGACGGACATACTTCGTACGATGGATGCAGCCACTGTTGTTGGTGAGAGGTTGGGATATAGAGGGAAAATTAATTTGTATTTGTAAGCAACGATAAACTATTGCTTATTAAAAATGATTCTCAGCAGAGTTCAGTTGATGGTGATGCTATATTAACAATTTATACGTCATATATATATATATATATATTTTCTTTAATATTATTTGTTTAATATAAATGTACCGATTTTCCCATTTTACTACTTTTTTCCTATTTTTTCCCGGTTTTTATATTTTTTTAGGAAAACTCTTGAGAAATCGAAAAATGGTCTCCTTAAAGTACCTTCCCAATCAGATTTTTTTTCAGAAAAAGTGCTGTTATTGTAAATTAAATTAAAATTGTTGATAGAAAAGTTGTTCCTATGAAAAAAAGTTCGAAATATTTTTCAACTAATACCTACATTTCGTATATTTTCCCGTGTTTTCCTGGTTTTTTCCACTTGTTAAGAACTTTTCGAAAAATAAAAATTGATTCCTTTAAAGTACCTCCTCAGTAAGATTTCTTTTTAGAAAAAGTACTATCATTGTGAATTAGAGCAAAATTGCTGGAAGAAAAGCTGATCACAGAAAAAAAAATCATAATATTTTACTAATATATTTCGTACATTTTCTTGTTTTTCTCCGTTTTTTTTTATTTTTCACATTTGATGAGAACTCCTGAGAAAATTTCCTTTCAGAAAAAGTTCTAAATCGTATACATCAGAGTAAGCTTTCTAGTAGAAACAGTGTTCACAAAAAAAAAAAAAAAAACAATAAAAACAATAAAAATTTTTGTATAACTGATATATTATTCGCTATACTCAGAATCTAAAAAACTTAATGTAATTACGCATACACGACTATATAAAACGGAACACATGCATGCACGCAATAGTTCGATCACTGGACAATGATCGATTGAATAAGCTGTTAAGTGTTTATTCATTTTATTCAAAAATAAATCATATAACCAATAGAACGTTTATACCTATATACTAAAATATTTTGTAATCGTTGGATGCCCCATTGCCTCGTGTCTCGTGAAATCTTGACGTATTAATTTGCAGCCGAAATCATATACATTTATTGGGGAGGTACTTTAGAGAGGTCGTTTATCGATTTTATCCAGAGCTTTCTCTACAAATATGAAAACTAAGAAAAATTATGGGAAAACTAGAAAAAAACGTGGGAAAATCGGAGAAATCGGTACAAGATTAAACAGATATTAAAAAAAATATATAGTCTATTTAATTATTTTACTATAATATAGCATATATATATATATATATTTTTGACAAAGTATCGCTATCAATTGAACTCCACTCAGAATCGTTTTTTCGTAAACAATGGTTTATCGTTGTAGGTATACATTAAATTACCTATAACAGTGGTAGCACCCGTTCCTGTTATCCCAGGACGTCTTTTGTGAAATATTGTGTTCATGTAAAACAACCAAATTAACCATTGAAATAGGTTTTTAACTTTTTGGGAACGACCTCATTGATGTTGATACAATATTATTCTCTAAATCAGTAGAGCAGTAACGATTTAGTTCTGGAGGGTGGGATGGATAATTTGTTAGATAAACGTCGTTAGGGAGCGTTTCCACGTCGAACATTAGAAACTATTAGTTTTACTAAGATGTGTTTTCCTCAGAAAAAATAATTTTGGATTGTAAAAAATAATCACATTTTTTTTCATGCCGTACATTAAAAGATGCGCATTTCCGCCTTATGGTCTTTACTTGTGCCTATATTTACTCGCACTTCATAAACTGTAAGAAATAAGTTGTTAGGCTCTAGCAATTGAGTTGGTGACTACCGTTAACTATATCATAAATATCTTTACAAAATAGGTATACTAAGGTATATTATTAAAAAAAGTTTCCGGGTGGGATCTATCTTTCCTCAACATAAATACGCTACTGCTTTAAATAATATAATGTTTAATAATAGCTTGTAATCGTGAAAGTACAGAAATTCGTATTTTACTTTATTATATTTTTTTATTAAATTTATAATAATACATTTTTCGAAAAAAAAAAAAAAAAAAAAAAACACCAATCAGGTTGTCTTTGAAATGTTGTCGTCTACAATTTTATAATGGGCGTTTTATCACTAAAATCAGTTTTAGTGGTATTTTCACTTGTTTAACGTAAACACATTTTTCCTTTATTGCCCGTTAGAAAAAGATAGATACAGCAAATGCCACTGTGACTGTCTCTTAAAGGTCCCTATATACAAAATTTGTTTTCTTTCACAATTTGTTTACACACTAGAGCAAGACTAGACAAGTGTTGCCAGTTGTTTTTGTTTCCTTGGAAAAACTGGAACATTTATACACATAGGTACTATTCATATCACAGCAACAAATTTCGAATAAAAACTCAATATGAACAATTCAAAATCCGTTGCTCTATAGTTTTGCAACAAAATGTTCAATATTTTAATATAGTCAGTACTAGAATTAAATAATTTTTAGGTTAAATACATGGTAAAGTAACGTTGAGGTTTTGTCATTATAGAGAATTTCTTTAAATTTATTTAGGTTACCACGATTAAAGATATTTATTAATTTTTATGTTTAATCGTGGTAGTTATTTATAAATTTTCACGTGACAACGCGTGACTGAAGCATTCTGTTCACATTGACTAACTTGTCCCTTTCTCTCACTATTTGATACCAATTTTGCATTGTTCAATAGAAACATATTTCTCCGTGTGTCGCTTTTAACCGAAACACAAAACAAACAGCAACTTTTATTACTGGTACCATAAACATGCAGTGACATTTGCTAAACATTTGTCAACTTTTGAATTAGCAACATGTTGCAACTGAAAAAGTTGCTATACATTACTCTAGTGTGGACTCGGCTTATGTAATAAGCAACATAAACATTACGTATCTAATTGATTGTCTGCTTGAATTTAGGGCAAAGGACCTATTATAATTACGTATGTAATAATATAAATCTATAATTATTAATAATATAGATAATATTATTATTGTTTTTAATACTTTATTATTGTTACGCCATAATGTGGATTAAGTTTATGATAATACTATTGATTATAATATAGTCTTTATATATAGTCTTTAGATAGTATAGGTACCTACTCGAATATTAGGCGTATTAGTTGATAGGTACTTAATAACACTAAACAGCAGTAACAAAAATGTAAATCAAACGTTAATGAAAAACTAATTAACTTATTACTTAGATAGGTACCAAAAATGATAGCGTTCAACCTTGTTGAGTCATAAATAAGTAGTAGCTCATTTATATATAATTTTTTTTATGGTTATCATAAATAATTTTAGCACAAACACTGTCTATTCTCGTTAGTAACTATGCAATTATCGTTCAACGTCAATAATTGTATTACACTCGACTCATGCCAGCGAACTTTTTGATCACAATTCGTATTCATTTTTATTACAATACACACCCAAAAAGAAAACACCGGTGACAGAGCTCTGTCACTACAATAAAATATACCGCCACATGTTTTATTTTTTGTATTACCTATATAAATATTCTTTTTAAACAATAGATAACCAAATACTATAATAATGCAATATTATACTATTATAGTACTTAAAAAAATAATAATAATAATAGTGGTATTTGGGCATAAAAATAGTGCGCGCGCGGAGTTTAAAAGCTGAAACTCATAAAAATGTATTTTTCACACTAACGTGTGTGAAGAACGCCATGAATAAACAAAAGTCCATCCTCATAGCTTCATTTAGGAGAGGTTCTATGGGGTATTTAAAGATAAAAAAACACACTCTACTATAATAACGTGGGAAAATTCAAATTTCCAAATTAAACCCGAATTTAACGCTTCAGAATTGAAGCCTATAAAACAATTTTGTTATTTTATTATCTAGAAGAAGCCGCTAAAAATATACAAAAGTATCGGAAAAAATATAAGTATATACATAATTATAACTGTGTGTTGTGCATACACTGCAATATAGCCTTAGTTTTCGGGGAAGATTCGACAAAAAACAAATTAAGTATAGACAATAATGAAACTAATTTTACGATTCATAATTTATGACTACAAATAAAAGAATATGTAGGTTGAAAACCTACGTATTGATAAAGACCGCGCGAAACAGTAGTATAAACATAACAAAACTTTAATCAAATATACAAGACCGGCGATATTGATTAATAGCAGAACGATACGCCCAACAAAACAAACAGAAAATAGCATTATCGTCGTTATTTACATATCACTCAGTCATCAGGGTTGAATTTAGATACCTACCTAATATATTATGTTTATTTTCGATGCGTAGTTGGAACTTTTTATTTGTTGCAGACAGTAATAAAACTGTATATTATTGATCTTTTCTAGTCGTGATAACATTTTGACAAAAATTCTACCGATTTTTGAGTTATTTTTAGGCATTTAATATGTATTTGAATTTAGTTTAGTTTTTATTTAGTTTAATGTCAATGAAATTGTCTAGCCAAATAGAAATCCTTGAAAATTCAACACTCAATTTATTATAAGATTTACTTAGATGTAAAAAAAAAAAATTTATTTATTAATGTAATAGTTTTTTTTAAAACACATTTAAGTTTAAATTTTTACGGAAACCATGCAAATTATGGTATTTCAAAACATGTTTAACTGATTTTTGCTCAGAATCGTATTTTTAAATTTAATCATTTTAGTTTTTACTGTAGGTAAAATAAATTGTTTACTTTTGAAACATCTTTGTCTTATAAATAGGGCCCGGATATCAATACAAAATGTTTATTTTTTGAGTGATATTAGACAATGCTTCCTAGTATATTATTTGATTTATATAATAGACTTCAAAGATGAACCTTTTATTTTGCCTTTTTTCCTTTTTCTTGCATTTTTCGAAGTTTTTTCATTTTAAGAACATTTTTAGTATTTTTCGGTCATTTCTTTCGTTTTATTGTATATTTGCACATTATACGAGTATAATATAGTATAGTATTTATCCATAAAATGACCATCGATTAAATATACATGGTATATTGAATCTATGATACGCCTTAATAATTTAAATTTAGCTAATTCAAAATATTATCCATGTTTTTCGGGTTTTCCAATCAATCAGTTAAATACAGCCCCTCAGTCAACACTATCGTCGCTAGTCACAAGTCAATTTTTTAATTTTGTGTTTTTATTTTTATATTAAATACAAATATTATCCAATAAAACAATAAATTAAAAAAAATTATTGGTATATCATTTTTTTAAGGGCGTTTTCACGGTAATTCATTTTTTAAATTTTTTAACTTTTTTTAGATCATTTTTCGATGATTTTTAGTGCATTTAAATACAGGTCCTAATTATAAATATTCAGAAATTTCTAAAAGAATTTTTAAAAATTATTTCCCTCAATTAAATCTTGCTACTTCAACAACTTTAACAATCATCATTTTCTTTTTTCTTGTCACGTCATAAATAATATTACGCAAAAGAGTATAAAATAATAAATATTATATTTTCGTGAATAAAATACCGGTTTAAATAAGAAGGCGATTTATTAAAATTGATTTGTGAAAAATTAATGAACCTACTATAAAACGATTTAATTTTAACTTTGTGTTTATGTATATCTTAATTTAAACGAACAACTTAATATGGTTATTTTTAAGCCGGCATTTATTTACATATTTGTCTGTTTTTCGCATTTTATACACGTCACAAAAGTGTTTATCAAGATCTTTGGTGTTTTTCGATGAATTCGAATAACTTCACAACATGAAAATGGCAATTAAATTTGTGATTTTTGTAAAGCGGATATTATTATGTTTGTATTGGGAAGACGATGCGAATACTAATGAACGTATAGCGGTTTCTTTGTACAGTAGAAGCCGTATATCAGATCGACATTTTTTTTTTTTTTCAATCTGGAATAAAACAAAACATATATTGTGTCGTAAACAATAATAATTATAGAAAGCGGGCAAAATTAATGATTGAAAACTACACAGTAGTGCGACCATCGGACGTCTCGTTTTCGCGGTTATTCGTGCGATTAACTCCTTCAGGCGCCGATAAAATATAAATTTGTGATCCGGCGGAGGAAGGGAACTATCAATCATCCTCGAAATTCTGAAACGTCAGATCGATTTTTAGTATTCTGTAGGCTGTGGCAACTCTGTCCGAGGCATTTAGCTTCTAAACGAAATGGGATTTTTGCTTAAAATGCACACGCAATATTACTGATACTAGTCATCAGCCACTTAAATAAAAAAATCTTAAAATTGATATAGTTTATTGTATGATGGGTGACATGAGGAGTTGTGAGTAATTTACGAACGTAACGAACGAATTTACGGAAAACATTCGCAAATAAATATTATATAATATATTGATAACACTGAGCCAAGATAATTTTTGATCATGATTAAAAAAAAATTCTCACTAAGAGTATAATTTATATGTTTTACATAGATCTGTGTGTTCTATGTCACAACTCGAAAACATATTGCGATTTTTTACCTATTTGGCACTGGTCTTAGCCTATTTTCAAAAATGAATTTGAAAACTTTTAAATAAAAACTTTTAAACTTAAAAACGACTGGGCATAGAAGATAAAAACTATCTTATTATATAATATACTTTTAAAATGTTCTCATATTACATATAACCACGAGTACGTGGTCCAACACGCATTTTTCCGTTTTATATTTTTATTTTTATAGTTAGATCAGTTTTAATAAATTCAACCATATGTGATAAGATTGAAGTCATAATACTTATTAATAGTCATTGATAATTATTGAAAAAAATGAAAGCCTTCTCTATGCAATACTACACAAATCTATGTAGACGCATCATATAGTAATTTAATTAAATGCTTATTGTGTGTCATGCGGTAAAGAAATCGATTTTTAATTTATATGTAAATTAAAAACGTAAAACTATCGTCACACCCGGTCGGCTTCGTGATAAAAGTTCTTAACTATATAATAGTTGAAACCCGGGTTTCTGTAGGTATATTATTATACTAATATACTAGTTCGGTCCACAATATGACATTTACCCCAAACATATATATGTTTTGGTCTCAAGAAAGAAGGGCTTAAGTAAATTTCATTAAAAACACAAAAAAGTAAGTAAACCTATAGTAAAATGTTAGACTTAACTAGTAACCAGTGTATTACCTGAATAAACCCGAGACCCAAACTAATGTAATGTACTACCCGTCATAATCACTAGGACCTAAAATACATCTGTTATCAGAGTACACACTTTTTAATTTAACTGTAACTTTTGACAGGTTTCCATAGGTAGCAAAAAAATAAACCTGTGGGGGTCGTAACATTCAAAATTATCTCCTCTTTTGTATACCGCTTAGCGTATACATTTATATTATTTATATGACGTTTGGACTAAAAATGTACAAAATAAATATAAATAAAAGTCCAGAATATTTTATTAATAGTTAGCAAATGTCAATAATCGGGAAAAACGTAGGAAAAATGGGAAGTCGGTACAATAAATAACAAATATTATTTTTGATAGATGGCTGTTTATAATGTTACGAAAATATTCGTAAAAGTGAAGCGAACGACTAATCACTGTTTTCGCAATTGGAACTTCATATTCCGTCTGGTATTGACAATAATTATTATTGTACTCGGCTGGTCACAAATATTTAATAACAATAACGACACGAAGATATTAGGAAACACCAGATTCGCTTCAACGACGATAAAAACCGCCCGAGAAACTCAAAAGGTATAACAGTATTATATAATATGTAAAAACACGATTTTAGTATTATCATTGAGTATTGTATATTGATTACCTACAATGAAATTTGAAAAAAAAATTCACAACGAATAGGTTGGATTCACTTTTAGATTCCGAACAAAGTGTGGAAGCTATTAAGTTTTCAACGATTTGTGTTTTTGTATTTTTAATTTAATTAAATTTTTTTCAATTATACTTTTCAGTACAACAAAAATAACCAATAATATATTAATTTAACACGAATGACGGTACGTTAAAAAAATAAACGTTCAAATTTTCCAGTTCAAAACTCCGAAAATTAATTGTTAGAAACTGGAAAATATAACGAGAAAAATTCAATATTTTATTATTTTAACTCTGACCGCCTCGGAATTATTTTTCAAACGTAATAATTTATCGCTGTTTAAACAGTGTCTAGTATTATATTGTACACCAGTCTAATACCTGTGTGCGCAAATACAAAAATAAATAGAAAAAATTAAACGATTTATCATCAAATGTATAAATATATCGCCGCTTTCGGTGTTCAGAAAAAAAAAAAAATGAAAAATTACATCTGTATCCCTGTACCTTCTCAAAACAGTTTTTCAACTTAAAATATACGCGACTATAAGAGTATATACGTATAATATTTCCGCAATTATTATAATACCTATTTCAGTTATCGGAAAACAATAATCCATTGGAAACGGTGAGCATTATTGCATCACTCGATAACGACGACAATGAGGATTTGTATAATATACGGTTAAAACGAATTGTTAAACGACTGAACACTAGGCAAACTGTACGCAATCTACATAAATATGGACCGTTAACAAACAATTCTTTAATCATTGTTGTACAAGTATGAAAAATGAAAATGTTATTATTTTATATTATGCTTTGTGTTGTTCGTTATTATATTGCAGTGTTCGCTGCTATTGATTTTGTCGAGGTCCTGCAATTGTGACAGAGACCATAAAATATACTATATTTACAATTTTAACCAGTTACCGAAAAACCGTGTAATTTATTTTTTCTCGTAATATTTACAAGCTCTGGAGTTGGTTTGTGTTCGGTTAGTTAGGTTATCGCTACAGATTTTTTGTATAAGCGCATAAACAATTCCAATTTATAATTTCAAATTATTTGCAAGCCGCCTTCGAATTACAGTCCTATCCGTTCCCTCCAATATTAGTATCGTAAAAAATATTGTAATCACATAATAATAATTATATAATTCGATTCAATATTCTCAGTTTTATACAAATATTAATGTACACAATATAATTCAATTAACTGACAGCAGATAAAAAAATGTTTTGTATACGTAGACAATGGTACCGTGAAGTTTTTTTTTTTCTATAAAGCAGTTGCAGAAAAATGTCATAAAAAATTCACATAACAACTCAAGTCTAAAAAAATCGGGTGCTGTAACCAAGGCCACCTAGACATTTCTGTTACTTCTATTTTTTGTTAACTTATCTAATGAAAAAGTTCCACATCACAAACTAACCCACCTACCTGATTTGGTTATGACACAGCTGCTTCATAAGATAACCATTCAAGCCGATACTGTACATAGATACCTAAAATATCAATATTAATTCGTATAGTGTTTCAGTAAAATTATTTAGAATATTCACTATAACGTGTAGTTTGAATTCCTGCAGGTAAACACTCGTATAAATTATCTGTATGAAGTCATCAATAGTCTATCAAAAGCTCGTGGAATTGAGGATGTATTGTTAATATTCAGTCACAATTATTATGACGAAAAAATCAACAGATTGGTAAACGGGGTACGGTTTTGCAAGACGATGCAAATATTTTTTCCATATTCCACACAAATATATACAAACGTGTTTCCCGGTCAAACTTCGTATTACGATTGTCCACGAAACGCGGCCCGAGAAAGGTAAGCAAAATTAAAAATGTGGCCCTATATTAAGTATAGAAACGGTGTCTCATCTCTCATCCTTCAGAATAACAATATAAGGATTATCGAAATGTATTATTTTAGATTCTGAGTTTAAGAAAGCAGCTATTATAGTTTTACCAAGATGTGTGTTAATAGTAAATATGATAAAATTCTATTTTATCTTAAACAATGTTCATTAAACGAATGGTAACACTTTAATCAAACAAATTATAGAATACCGACAGTTTTTCTAATAAATTGAAAAATTGACAGAAAATTTCGATAGGGGGGGTCCTTTGTTTTTATTTTTTTTTTAATTCTGAGCTACAAATCTAATAATATAACATTATACCAGTTTACCAAAGTCTACTCAGAATCGTTTTTTTTTTTTTTTTTTTGTTTAATGAATTATTGTTATTTTTCAATATATAAATTAAATCATAAACCTTCTCATCTACAACAGTAAAATCCATGCCTCGGGGCGATGATAAACTCTTACAAAATTAGGTAATCTCCTATTTAGGCATAGTGCACGTAAACAACTACACTATATATTATAGTGTTAACTCTTACACCGGATAGTATTAACTGCTACTCAAGATGGTGTAATACTGTAATATCTCACACTAGTTAGTATAATAGAAAGTTTGAAAAATAAATGTTAATCGTTTTATATGTTGTGTTAAATACAACCAGAACCACCCGATTCACAGAATGTTACATTTCCATAACTCTTTTTATTACCTCTACTTAAGTTTTATTCACCGCATATGCACTATAACTTATTATTTATGTGTAAAACACTGTGTTTCTTTTTGTTGTTAAATGTTTCTGTTTTATTTTCATTTTTGCTATTCTCATTATATAGTTATTATTACTAATCTGTCAATGTAACTTGTCAATCTCACTGAACCATGTAACCGGCGAACTGGCGTTAATTAAATAAATAACATTAGTATTAAAGTTATGATTGATACATTAATACATTTTTAAATCTTAATATCCAATAATCGATTTAAAATTTATTATATCCAAAAGTATAAAAACACATATCTACTCATATATGTTATACGTGTAACAAGTGTGTAAGATACGATACAAATTACCAATTCTAAACTTAAATATGTAAAAATGCCTGTGTAGTGCGTAGGAGATTACACTATTTCCGTATTTCGAAGATTAAACATCATTTTACATTACTAATCGCTCAATAATAATCAGAATAATGTATAGACTTTACAAATTGAATAATTTATAACTACTTATTTGTTATTATATTCTAGTGTCTATTTTTCGCATTTTTAATTTTCAGGAAATTGACCTATACCAATCGTGTATAGGATATTAGAAAAAAAAAGTAAATAGTATGCTCTCCAACGTGTTAGAGTTATGATGATACTATTACGGTATATGTTATAGAACGGAAAAAATGAATTGTTTCAATGCCACTGCCGATCAATATGGACATTATCGAGACGCGAATATTACTCAGGCCAAACATCACTGGTGGTGGAAAATTAACATGGTATTCGACCGGCTACGAGTCGTCAAAAATTACTCGGGTATAAGTTTGAATTGAATTGATTTTTTTAATAATCTAAATAATAATATATAATATAGGTAAAAAGTACCTTCACATTTTTTTTAGCAAATCAACTGAATAGTATCTCGAATAATTATTGTTCGCCGTGACTGCAAGTGTAACAGTAACGGGCGCCATTTCGGATTTTAAAGAGCTACGGGATACGAACATTTAAGGCAATTAGTGTCTTAAAATTAAAATTGTTAGTAAATAACATTTTGGGTGGACGTCATATTAACTAAAAATATTCATTAAAAACAGAAAACCCATGTAAAATCCAGACGATTTTAATTTAATTTTATAATCGCCACTACCCCCGTTTTCCAACCATACCAACTACATATGTGGTCAATACTGTTAATAGGTAATCATCGATATTACCTTTATTACCATCAGTGGCGTCATTTGGACCACGCAAGGTATACATTTGCATATTTAAAATCCAATATTCAAGGCCCAGTGTTATAAATTGTTTGGCCTAAATAAATAATGCCTGAATAATGAATAATGGCTTGCGCATTATCAGTCTGCGCGTATTCTATTTTCAAATTAGTATCTTGTTTCTTCTTTGCATTAAAACTGAAAATATGATTTTGATATTACCTACGTAGATATCGTTGATGATTATCAAGTACTTTATAATCGCGATGATTCGGGAATAAAACTCTATTAGTTAGTACTTAATGTTCTATTACATTTTTAATAGATATGTGAATTATTTTATTTTTATATTGAAAATTCTAGACAGGGTTTGTGGCCTCCATAATCATATTTGTATTAAAAAAGACAATTGAAATGACGCCACTGATATAACATTGATAATACGATACGATTGGTACAGACCCAACGTAACATACGGATTATAAAAATATGTTACCTATGCGTACCTGAACCAGCACAACAATACTGTTCATGTTACCTAGTCTATACGAGATACGGCCATAATTGTTATACGTAGAAATTACAATAATAATTATTTGTATTATTGTTATATTATTTATTTATTATTTATTATATAATAACTATATCGTTTTTCGGTAGTTATACATTTTTTATATTTACACAATCGTCAACTTTATAAATACTTAATATAGGAATATCGATACATTCGAATCCATTTTTATTACGAAACACCCGTTTACAAAATAAACGAATCTAAACGTGTAGATAACTATGTCATTATGATGTTAAGTAGTAAGCTAATATTAATGATTTAGATATTATTATGTTACGTTTGTTCGACTAACACTGTAATGACTGCTCAGGTTTGATATTATTTATGGAAGAAGATCATTACGTGGTGGAAGATTTCATACACACACTGAAATTAATGCAAAGGACATTGTCGCAAAGTGAAATATTTTCTATGGGAGTTCACAGCGATACATTAATATTTTTCAGAAAACCACAGGTACAGTATACTCGTAAGTGGTTATAGTTAATCTTTTTAACTATTTGTCTAAATATATTATCGCCTCGTTACAATAACAATGAATACCTACTTCCGAGGGTTTACGAATATTTACTAGATAGAAAATTTAATATGTTCCGAAATAACGCCTGCGATATTCCAATTTCATTATCATACTCGTTTAAATTAATACATTCTCGCGGGAAATTCTGTAGGTATAACAAAAGTGCCACCGGTGGGTGTTATTAATTTTCCTATCAATTTTAACCGGGATAGCAAAAAAACGGTGTTTTTTTTTTTATTATTAGAACCGCAGTTTTTTAAATATCATATTATAATAATAGTCGCTTTTATAAATAGAATTTCTTCATACATTTTATGAACGAAATAAGAATTTAAAAAAATGCTACTTCTCTAGCCAAAAGTTATAGGAACGGTTTTATTTGGTTTAGGTAAATATTTTAAAAATGATTAGGAACTACATAAATACCTTCACTCTTCAGAAATATTAGTTATTATAATTTTTTAACGTTTAAAACGTACCTATTGAACAAGAGTTTTAAGTAAAATTGTTAAAAAATTTCGAAATCCTGATTCTAACACTGTTGTTAACACTAATACCACACACTATGTTTTTAATTAATTATAGGATATTATAGAGATAAGTGTACATATTTATAGCTCCCGTTTATCCTGATGCGGTATGTCATAGGTAGGTTTTTATTGAAATAAAAAAAAAAAAAAATAAAAACTCTACATGTTCAATCTAGAATTTAAGAATATTTAAAACTAAATAATAATAACTTGAATTGAATAATTTAACTGCGAAACTTGTTTTTTATACTTAATGTAATATTAAAATACCTAATTATGATTTTATAATGATATAGTCCTGAAATGTAACCGAGTTACTCATTATAACAATATAATAAATTAACCTCACTTATCTCACTTGTCTATCGACGATTTTTGACTAGCTTAAATAATTTGAAAAACTATAATTCTCGTTTCTGACTTCGAGTGCACACGACATAATAATATAGGATAAGTATTTATGGGCAGCATAATAACTACAAAGTTTTTGACATTTCAGACATGGACCTTTGCGTGTGTTAGATATCGGCATGCAACGAAACTGACACACACACATAGTATTTTTTAATATTCTACGTTTTGTTATTTTAATTTGTCTACGTACATTTCAAATAAAAATTCTATGTACATTGTACCTGAATAATAAACAAATATTTTGACATTAATATTATTATTATTTGCGTAGCTATTATAATAATTATAATAATTGGTTATTATAATAATTACTTTGTATGTAGTGACGTTAACAGTAGTGGCGTGAAGTTTTTTTTTTCCATGAAACAGTTTTAGTAAAAATGCAAATATCGTCCAGAAGAATCGGAAGTAGAAATTAAGGCTACTATACTCCGTGCCACGAGAGAACGCACGCGGCTCGCATATCCAAATAATACAATTTCTCCCACTATTGAGTTCATTGATCAATGTTTTTTAGTGGGTATACACGAAAATATACGAGTTTTGGTTCATCGCCATATGCGTTCTCTCGTGGCCCGGAGTATAGATGTTCCTAGTAGCCTCAACTTCCGAAGCGGATAGGCACCTTAAAAAGAAGATGATGTTCCTATTCAATTTTTCATGAATTTTTAACATTTTGTGAGTTTTGATAAATTGCCACACCCACACCTACTCACCTAATTTATTCATGGAGCATCTGCTTCATAAAATACCCATTCACGCTGCCACTGGACGTTAACATGTTTGGTAAAATCTATGCAGACTATGATATTTTAAATACATATTTGAATGACCATCGGTATTGAGCAATTAATTATTTTTTGTGACAAGCGGGTTTGTATTTTAAAAAAACAATACTTATTATATGTTCAATTTTCCATATAAAGATAATCTAAACGAACATAAATTGGTGTTTATTTATTACTGAAAAAAACTTAAAACCCACAAATATTTATTGAAAAAGTTATTGTCACCTGAATTCGTTTCGAATCCGAAATTAATAGTTTTAATAAAATGGTTTATTTTCATAAGAGATCACAATATAAATAATAATACGTAAATAAATCCAACCAGTGTTTAAATTTTATTTATTGCAATTAATTTCTTTAAAACTATTGTAACACTTGGTGCGCTATTCGACTAGTTTTATGCTTTATTTCACAAGCAAATGAGTTTACTTACTTAGGTAGTAAGAATTCTTTGATCTCACGTATTTTATCCAAATAATTCTATCTATATCAGACAATCTTATGCAAGGAGACTGAACTAATTGGTTAAAAGATAATCTAAAATTTTCAAATAAATTCAAATGTTGTATAATTAAGTGACAATTTCTCACACAGACAAATTTTAATAAAAATAACATTAAATTATTGTGTTATTATTCTTTTATTTTATTAAAATTAGTATTCAATTTTATCTGTAGGTCCATGTGTCTAATTGGATAAGCAATTTAGGTATATCGTTCAACCGTTCTGTTTGGAATGCATTTGTCCAGTGCGCTGAAGAATTTTGTTATTACGATGATTATAATTGGGACTGGAGTTTGCAGAAAATGACGAAATATTGCAATGGTCATACTTTTTTGACTTCTACATTACAAGATTCTCGGTTTTATCACATAGGAAAATGGTAAATATTTAAACATGAATAAATAAAACAACATTGAATTTTAAAATTTCAAAAATATCAGCTCTTCTGTTTATGGATGTTTATTTATTTTTTTTATTGAAAAACTTGCGTTAGCTTTCTTTTTGCACTAATAAGACAACATTTTCTACTTGAAACCACTCTTGAAGTTGATGCAAAGCGAAAACTGAAAAAAATGTACAACATAGGTATATATATTATCATAATAAAATTAATTCACATCACTCAGTGCTTAAAATTCATGAAGTAAACCATTTACTATGAATATCACATTGATTTTAAATGATTTTATTCCTAAGGTTTATTATTACATCTAAAGTTAAATTATCCAATTCAACAAAATAGAGTTTTAAATTATTTTTAACTTTGCATTAAAAGCCAAATGTACTAATACAATTATTTAACTAAATTAAATATAATGATATATTATCTAATAATTAGTTAAAATAATTTTGACGTAATACATATTATGAGTATAATGTTTAGATAAATCGTACGAAAATTCGATAGTATAGTTACTATATTTCAATTTTCATTTAATATCGAACTACTTTATATTATTCAGTGGTATATGTATAACATATAATATTATTTTTTAAGGTTTTATCTAGACCAGATGATCCATTTAAGTGGGTACATGGGTCGGAGGAGAGTAGTGGAGTATCATTTGTGTGGCGGTACGGCGTGCGGCGCGTTAATAATGCACCTCTACACTCTTCCAATCCAAACTTAAAAGTGGAATATCTCGTCAACGGATTGACGAAAATCAAAATTGTCAACACCAAAAATTTATTTTAACTAATACTCCATCCATTTATGGGCTTTCTAATATAGGTTGCCATTTGTAAGGCCTAAAGTAGGTAGTGGTTTTACCCCCCAAAAATAAGGGTGAAAACAAATAATATAAATATAAAATTTTAGAGCTGCTTGTTTCCTAAATGTTCTAAAATAAAAAGTCCGAAAAAAGTTAATACTTTCTGAGATAATGAGTGTACCCACTTCAATTGATCACTCTGTATACGCGCAATAGGTAAGTGGATTACTGGCTGTGAAACTACAGGTCTGACGTCACAGCAGAGTGACTAACGATAAAACAAAATTGGGTGTTCATAAAGTATTTTGAATAAAAGTATATAATATTAAATTAATACATTTTAATGTTTATGCAAAGTACGAAGAATTATGGTAACTCCAATGACCAAACATGAAATTATTAAAATGTTGTGTTAACAGGTACCTGCATGAATAGCCCCATCAATAAATATTAAATTTACTGTAAAAGCCAAAATCAGTCAATTGTGCTCAGCTGACAGCCACATTATTGAAAATATTAGTATACAAAAACTACAATATTAAAGATTATAGTTTCGTTAAAAAGAAGATAAATATGAGAATGAAGTGTTCGCATTTTGTGTCTATTAAACCGTTTATTGACTTATCGTCTTGAAATCAAGTGCCATAAAAAGTGTAGAAGATTAATACAAGTGATACCTAGCTGGAGGCGCTGAATTATTTTTTTTGTGTGTAATAATGAACATTAATTTTACCTATCTTTTCAATTCTACATGGAATTAAACCTAAGTCAGGGGGGGGGGCATAGCCAGACAGAAATGTATTGATTTTACAATGATGTTTATTTTAGATTCGGATCATAACGAGGGATCTATTACCTATTGTTTTTATTATGATGTGTATTTTAATATTATTTTTTCTGTCTAAAAATAACTTTTCTAAAAGTAAATTTTCTCTAGTTGGTGCATTTTTCACAATAATTAGGAAAAACCAAAAAAGACGAAAAATACGTTTTTTTTTTTTAAACAAATTACGGCACAACAATTTCATTATTTAAAGTTTTTACGGCTTATGTTTTGTACCATAAATATTTAAAATAGAAAAACGACAAGAGATCTTTTTATTTGAATTTTTAATCCAGTTGGTGAGTTAGGAAGTCGTTTTTTGTTCGTGTATTTTTTTTTAATAATTAAGCGAAAAAAAATATAGAAAGAACGAGAAAATATATGAAAATAATGCTTTTATTATTTTCAATTTTTTTTTTTTTTTATGCCATTCAGTTGAAAATATTCGCAGAGACTTGAAATTTAGATAGAATACTTATGTTTGCCTTTTTTAGACGTTACTACGTCAAATTTTCAAAATATTTGAGTCATCTTTGAGTTATTTACAGACATTTATATTTTGCGAGTTTTTTACGTAATTTTTATTGGTAGGTACTCCGTGGACAGAATTGTTAGACTATACAGAAATGCTTGATAATTTAATAAGAGTTTCATTATAAGTCGTACTTTGTGAAATAAATAAAATAAAATTAGAGTGTAATGTAGAAATTTCTTGTTTCATACAGATATACATTGAATTCTCCTCTTAAAGCCCACCCATCTTGCGAAGTATGTCTGTCTTTTTCAATATAAATACATGCACATTGTTTGTCGTTTGATTAGCATAATAATTTTTATTTTATAAATGCATACAAAAATCATGTTATTCTTTACTACAAAAATATAATAATATAATCTCGGATATAAACAAAAATAGTTAAATTATTATTTATTTATTTTTTTTAATTTTAAATACTACAATACTGTATATTTAATTTTAATTTTATATAGCATTAGCCTGAATACAACACCATGAAGTATCTGTAGCCGCGTTGTAGTTTATTAGTTACTATTGGTTATTTAACGTAAAACTATTGATTAAATAGTTAACTGCTTTTTTCTAATGCAATCACATAGTACATACTACGATAGTCCAGGAAGACTAGTTCGCGTTATTTGTAATATTATGGCCACTGCTTTTTATATTAATTGTAAATTGTATAATGTTTTATACCTAAAAACTACCAATGCTAGGGGGTATAACTACCCCTTAAATAAGATTCAGTGACACTGTACTAAGCTATGTTATATTTACTATTCCGAAAAATACATAAGCATATCAATAATACTTCTGAAACGTATCACAAATCAGTATAGTGTATTGTCTAAACGATTTTCCAGATTTTTACACTTTTGTATAACTTGAAAATTATTATTCACCTCTTAATGACTACTTTAACGATAAGACTAATCTACTGTCCAAAACCTATTTAAAGGGAAGGGATTTTACCGTTTTTATGGAGGAATATGACGTTTTAATACAACGAGCAGTGAGAAATTAGACGTGCTCTCTAATGTCCGATTTCAATTTTTAAGTATAAATACTTATACATGAATTTGTTTAAGAATTGATTAGGAAATTTAGGAAGTCGAATTTTTGATCCAAAATAAAACCAATGTTGGTAACCACCTATGGTTATTTCCTGAATTTTCAAAAATAATATGATTAATTTTTGAGGTATTCGAAACTGGAAAATTAAAATCAAGTTTTCAAATAACCTAGACAATTTTTCAACGAATTCCATACGTACTTTAAAAATTAAAATAGGACATTGGTAAGCATGTATAATATCCTACTGCCTATGGGCCTAAAACGTATGACAAATAGGTGTGTTCCAACCCTCTTAATAAATTGGTTATAAATCAATGAGAGAATGATCAAGGAAATACAAATTATAATATACGAGTAAGGTAAATACTAACTCTAATAGCAGTTAATACTACTCTTATTACTAATTAATAATAAATGAACAGATATTGTATAAAATATTTTGTTTTTGTTTTTACAACAAGACTTTTATTAGAAATTATTTTTACGACGCTTGATTTTATGACTTTTAACTTTATGACACCGACACGTGACTATAGAACACTCGACCCATATAAAATGTTATTACATTTATGTATAGAATTTGAACGAAAACTAATAATTCGATTGGAAATTTAAATTTATACGCTTGTCGAATAATTATATGTTCGGTTTTTTTTTTTTTCTATAATATAATCAGACATCTAACTTAGAAAATTCAAAAAACCCTATTTCAGCAGTACTCAATCCTTTAAAAAAAATCTTCATATATCTCGTTTACTATTCCGGACACATTTTTATTTTCATATTTTTTTTTTTTATTGTCTGCCAAGTCTAGCTCTCGGCGAATTGAAATTACGGCCATCTGCCAACCTATAACGATGATCAAACAAGTCTCGGGACTTTTTGGTGAAACGGACGACAAGCCATTCAATCACGTCCCTTTATTATTTCCCGAGAAAAATCTTGAGAAAAACCGTCCGTTGTACAACTAGCTCAGTGTTAAAGGAATAAAATTTAAATAAACATATTCAAATCCTTTATATTATTTGTATCATATTTCATTATTCTCTGCATGATAAACTCATCTAATAATACAATAGTATATCCGACTAAGAATAATCTATTCGTGAAAGGATGATTCAACATCTGAAAATTGTACTAAATATTTAACGGATTATAAATATTACACTACATATTAATATTTCGTATTAAGAAATTGATTTTTGAATTTAAATTACTCACAATTTCTTTAATACCAACAAAATTTGTATACACATAAATCAGAAAATAGTACACAAATTGCCATTATTTTATGGTTTTCGTCTAAATTTGAACGTAGTATTTAAAAAAAAAAAATGTCGATAAAATCGTTTGATATTATTATAGTGCGACAAGAAAAACTAGTTTTATATCAAAGTTTTGGATATTTTTTAGATGTCAAACAGTATTATCTACATAAAACCAAATTCAAACAGTAATAAACATGACAATTTAAAATAAAACAAATAACACAATATCGATAGTATGTTTTGAAAATTGTACCATGTGTAAAAAGAGTTAATAAAATATAGACAATTACAGGTTCATACGATTATTTTTAACCGAATAACAACATTAAAAATAACAGAAACCATTATTGTGTACATTTACAATTTTTTCCCAATTTTTTTATTGAATTTTTCCAATAATTATATAAAAAAAAAAACTACAAGTAAAATCAAAAAATAATCTCACCCAATTAATTAATAAGACAACAATTTCTATCAAAAACCACCCGTAAAGTCGATGATTGGAGCAAGGTTTCTGGTAAAAAAAAATGATTTACAAACAAACAAAAAGTCACAGTAAACGAACATATTCCTCGCTGCGCTCAGAATCTAAAATATGACAAAAAAAACTTTGTTTGGAATGTAGGTTGTGACCGGTTTGGATTTAAACAATAATCATCGGGTAATGAAGCGTTTTTTTTTTATAAAAAACTTGCATATTATAATATAAACAAATGAGTGAGAAACGCCCAAGAGTATTGTAGTGTAGATTGTTGGTTTTTTGAATTTAAATTAAGACTTTGTAAGAGATTATGTAAAATAAATATTAAATGTATCAATGTTTGAAATGTGCCTCGTTGTTAAAATGTAGCTTTTAATAATAAAAATATTTTCGAGTGTGGTTTCGGCTCAATTTTACGGCCGAAATAACAAATGACACGATCATAATTATTGATAAATTATAATTAAGTACCTACCTAAATTTATATTACAGGGGCGGGTTGAAACAATTTATAGGGAGTACAGACGTTCTTAAATCTGACCACCCACTAATAATTTAAACACTAGCACTACCGCTGTAAAGGACCGATAAAAAGAGGTATGTGCGCTTATGGAGGTCATTGTATACGAGTATATAAATAATGTCCGTTTAAATAGTTTTTAGTACACAAATTTGCATAAAACGCATACAAGGGGGACTATTTTAAAATTCTTAAAGCTCGAACTGGGGAACTATCTTCATAACCTAGTTTTGACCACTGTAATTAGATACCTAACATACGAATAATAATAATACAGGAGATACAAAATATAATATTTTATAGCTAATACATCAAGGTCGTAAGTGGAAATAATCAGGGAAAATTGAACTTTCATTGACTAAAATAATTATTTTTCCACAACATAATATAGCACTCAATATTTACGGAAGGGGGAGGTTTAGGTTTGGTTTCTCTCGCATATTTTTTGGGGTGCAGTGCACTTACCGTACGTGCTTTCAAGCCACCTTTGTTGTGTATAGTGAAATATTGAAGTAAAATATTTTGTTTTTTTTTAGTGGCATGCATTACCATATAAACTGCTCAGATATGTCACATGTCAACAAACTCAAACAGACTCTCAAGTCATTGGATTTGTATCCAGAAGAATTAGACGTGAAGATTATACACGGATTGAATCAGATGTTTAGCGCTGGCAATGGAGGATGGGGAGACACCAGAGATCGCAAGTTATGTATGCATATGGTGTTTAATCATTATGTGAATGTATGATAAGTAAAAAAAAATGATAAACGATTCAAATAATATTTTCTAACAAAATATTGTGAATTGTTTACAACTATTGAGTTATTATTAATATTAGGTATTTTAGTTTTGATACTATAATAATGTTAGGTAAACTAAAGATTAAGATTATTGTTATTAAAAAAATGATTAGGTATTTTTAATACGAACATTTTTTTTTTTTTTTTTTAGTGTATAGCAAAATAAACTTTTTAATTTTTCTTAACTTATAAAGTGCAGCTAAAAATTATTGATTTCTGGATTGCTTTGGTGATAAGGGAAAACATATGACTTATAGTGCCTTTTTTAGATTTTTTTTTTATTAGGAATGGTTTACTGTTGTATCAAATGATATAACTTTAATTACACTATACTTTGTGTTCCGAGGAAAAGTGATCAACCAACATCTTATGAAAGTACATCAAAGATGATGAAGAAACCTTTTTTAAAGGGGGAGGGTCTACAATTTTTGTCTTTGAAGTTATGGGTAATTTATGTTTTTTTTTAATGAAACCGCAGTTTTATTGTTTATCTTAAAAAAAATGTCAACTTGTGAATGGTTTTTTTATATTTTATTTTATAGTTATTATAATTGTGCTATTAGCCAACATACATAATTAAACCAGTAATGTACGAATTATTTTTATTAAATAGAAAAAAGTACAAATTTGTATTTTTAAAAATAAATCAAGAATAACTCCAAATTATTTATTATTTATTACAAGTTTTTTATTTTATTTTATTTTTCTGCTGAAAAATACCGAAAATACATAAATGCTTTGTTTTCATACTTTTATCATTCCTGAGTTATTTATACCCTTCTGAGCTTAGAATTCTTGGAATCAATGATCGCTTTATAAAAGCTAATTATTGAAAATCTCGGAATTTTTTATTTTCTTGCTATTTTTTTTTTATTAACTATTTTGTTATTTATGTTGTTGTATTTTATGTTAGTTAAATTTATATTTGCCCTTAATAAAAATTTAACTTTTTAAAACAATAAATGTTTAATTTATATCATTCAAATTTCATCTCCAGTGAGTTTATTCTCCATTAAGGCTTGATGTCCAATCATATAAATGACAAGTCATATTCTGTAGCATATACCTCTGCAATTATGGGAGATGTGAAAACAAAAATTTTAAGATATTTTAGGTCGAATAATAATAAATACGATAAAAAAAAAGACGGACATACTTAGCACGACGAGTGGGCCTATAGACGCAAATAGGGTTTGAAATTTAGGAAAGGCCGAAGCCCTAGCTACTAAATGAAGCAATCATGGACTTGATAAATACCTATACAATTTGGGGAGGGCCAGACGAGATATTTGTCCCCTCTTGCCCATCAGCGAGCCGTTATTGGGCCGGGTATTGGCTGGTGTCGGGCTAGTTTTGGGCCTCAATCTCACAAACATGGTTCATGTCATTATGTTTTATGATACATTATTCTCCATACAAATTGGCGAAAATAGGAAATAAATCGGAGTAAAATTCTTCTCAAACTGAGACTTTATAATATAGTAGCTAATAGGTAATAAATAGGTATTTATAATAGGTATAGTAGGTATCCCTCTACATACATATTTACTATTTAGTCATTGTTTTCTTTGGAACATTCAGTTTTTTCGTATGGTATTGCAATATAGGGAAGAACCTCCAGTTTAATAATTTATCCAGATTAATAGTTACTATAAATTGTATTTTTAAATATTTACTGAATTTGTCTAGGCATACTAGCTCTGCATTAATCTATAAGGAATTTGAGGTAAATAACTTTAAGTTTATTTCTAACCGGGCTATTATGATAGAATCTTATAAAAATAAGCATTCAATTTCTCTCCTTGATCGCGACCATGGTACAAGATACAATCACAATATTAACATGCGTTTATCCAACTGCCATAAAGGTTTTGGTCAAAGTGGTATCTTATATTAAGGTTTAAAATTATGTCAATCGTTAAATATTAATGTAAATAATTTTTGAAGTCTTAAGTATTTCAAAAGTCATATTAATCGTCTTAATTTATCTATTATTTAATTTCTGTTTGTAATTTAATATTTTACATGGCAAAATAATAATTTTTACTTTAATAACTTTTAAATTATTACTGTTTATAGTTTATTTTAATTTACTACTAATATATTCACCTGTTAAGAACTGCTCTCCCAGCACATGCTTTGCTAATAGAGAGTGCTGCAATATTTATTAATAAGTTATTAAGATGTAAATTGTAAATATGTTATTGTTGTAATGTATTATTATTATATATATATTAATGGTAAAAAAAATTGAGTACAATGTATTAGTTATTAATATTTTTTTTATAACTGTTTTAAAATCAAATTTTCGACGAAAATTGTATGACCTTTCAAAACCAAACTTCGCTTTAAATCATTTTTTGTTACCTATTAATGATTTATCAGTGGTTACAGGTATAAATTAAATAACTATGCATCCCACCTTTCCAACTATCCATCTATAACAGTGACCACACCCCTCCCCAGTATCCATTTTTTTTTTCAGAATACTTTATTTACATTTCATTTTTCGTATGTTTATGTTTACAAATGCAACCAAATTTTGCTGTTTTTCAGAGTTCAGTTTTTGTGTTGGTATATTTTATTTTAATTAATATTATTATTAATTAGGTACATATTGTTTCACTAATTTATAAACAAAAAGTAAAAAGTCGCGGGTTAATATGAATGTAGTACACATTTTTAAAAAATATTATATACCACAATATGCAATAATAATTTATTTTTATTTAATTATCTTCACTAACTAAATATATATAACTCTCTCTCTATATATATACATAGAGAGAGAGAGAGAGATGTTTGAACAATTAATATTTATACAACTACCTACTTTTATAATTAATCAAAATTTGAAAAGTTTTTAAATAAATATTTGGAAAGCATAGTAATTATTATTCCGCAGTTCCGCAGGTATTGTCTAAAATTTTATGATTTAATTTTGATATACCGGCTATGATGTTTCAAAAAACTTTCTTTTTTTACTACCGTCCCATATATGTGATCAATTATAAGTTTTATTATTATTTATTATTTAATAATAAATCAGTTGTATTGCATTATTAGGTATATTTGTAAATGCAGTAAGTATAGTTTGTTCAGTGGCGTGCGCGGGGGAAGGGAGGTCAGGGGTCATACTCCTCCATGGGTTTTTTCAACACAACAAATATGTGTATATAATTAATAATTTAATATTGAAACATGTATAACTCAGCCAAGTTACAAGGAAAAGTGTGATTTATTGATTAAAAATTTGGTTTTTCGGAAGCGGATTTTAAATTGTTTAAATGTCTAATTCGACAAAGAATATTTATAGAATATATAGATGATCAAATATTTATAATCAAAATTGTCTATATCCCCTACAATTAGTCTCGTTGAAAATTCCCGGGCACACCTCGGAGGTTGTTTAACTTGACTATATTATTATATCTTAGATTCCGATCAGAGTAAAGAATGTATTGATTTTACTATGTGTGCTTTTTTCTCTGTCTGTATGTAAACAACTTTTCTACCAGAAATCTCGTCCAATCAAAAATGGTAATTGAAATTTTTTATTATATATAAGATCTTGTTATAGAGTACTTACCGACTTCCCACATAGGTACCCAGTACCAGTTAAATTCCCAAATCAAAAGAAGATAGCGGTTACACCATCAAAAATGAGAGTGAAAAAAAATAACGTCAATTTAACATATGTCAGACTTGATTGTTTCTTAAATTATCTGAAAAAAAGTTAATACTTATCGAGGATTGTTCAGGAACGGACTGGCCAGCTGGGTGGGACGCTCGGAAATTTCCGTGTAAGCCTGCAACGCCAAACACAGCCATGTGGCTCGCAGTGATCTTTGTTAATGAAATCAAATGAAAAATAAAATTCGGAACATTTTTGTTAAAGATATGTGTATTATCATCAAGGTCAATATAATCAATATAATATCATAGATTATATGAAACCAGAATGACAGAAATGTGGCGCACTTCTCGATTTACTGATAACACGAACCTATCTCAGAGCCCAATGGAGGTTTTACGGAGGGGATCCAGGGTTTCTGGACACCCCCCTGGTCCCGAGTTTAGGCTGTGATATATTATTCGCTCGAGACGCTCGGATTTTGACGAGAAATTACGATTTTCATATGCGGATATTATACGCTTATACGAAAATTTTGTTATTTCAATTTTCAACCGTATATTTTGATGTCCGTATAATCAAATGTTTGTTTGGCTACCCCGAATTGACGACGTTTACAATATCGTTGACATCTGTGATCGGTGATGATAATAGCGTTCAGCCGTCCAAGGTCTAATGTCGTGCATTTGTAGCGATAAACTGACAATCGATACACTATGTCATTATTAAATATTTACAATATTCGGCCGTCGTGCACGTCAAACGTGTGAATTGTTGTTTGCTTTAATTTAAGATCCCCTATATCCAAACGATTTGAACCGAACTTGACAAATATTCAGGTTAGTTTAAAATTTAATCTAAGTAAATGATTTTGTATCATGAATGTAATTTTAAATTTTTCTTAATATTAATTGTTTCCAAATTCAAGGGTGTTCTTTGAAATTTGAATATTAGATTTATGTCAATTCTTATTGATATAATTATACATAATTTCTCATCGATAACGCCGTACGCTATCATCGTCTATCGCGTTATTCTACCGTATATCTAGGCATTAAACAATATTGTAAATTTATAATTTATAACTTATAAACTTAAGTGCCATTTAGACGCGCGTTATTTTAATACCATTAAAATATGATTGTATTATGTAATGTAAAATATTAAAAAGACGTCCTAGGATAATAGGGACAGGTGCAGCTATTGTTTTAGATAGTTCAATGTATACCTGTAAGCAACGGTAAACCATTACTTACGAAAAAACGATTCTGAGCGGAGTTTAGTTGAAAATGACGCTTTATCAACAATATATATCATTTCATGGCGAAATAATTAAATGGGCTTTATAATATATTTCCTTTAATAATATTTGTTTAATGTTGTTCCGATTTTCCCAGTTTTCCTACGTTTATACCGGTTTTTCATATTTGCTGGGAAAACTCTTGAGAAAATCAAAAAATGACCTCTCTAATGTACCTGCCTAGTGAAATTTCCTTTTAGAAACATTGTTATCATGAAAAGTCGGAGCAAAATTGCTGGTTGAAAAATTGTGCACAGAAAAAAAAAATCGTAATATTTTAGTAATAGTTAAATACCCGAAATAACATTTGCATAAATTCAGCGTTAGAAGAATTGTATATGTATACAATGAAATAAAAAAAAAAAATTTTAATAATATTTTAAATGTACAAACCGATCTTAAAAATAATAGCTTATATCAATACATTTTAGCTAAATAAATAATGAGCAAACAATTTATGTTTCTTAACGTATCTATATCAAATAATAACTCGTTTTAAATAATCTCTCTTATTAAAATAAAAATAATTTTTATGTAAAACGACCAATTTGTATAATTTTTTTTTTTCTTTTGTCTATGCATTTCTGTGTATACTCCAGGCGACGCATTCATTCGTTTATGTAATTTGTATTTTTGTGCATACGTTTTTTTCGTCTATACGTATTTATCTACTATATTTGATTTAAATCGGTTTTTCGCGCGTGTCGGTAACAATTATTGAAACGCCGCGACCGCGCCTCTTATCGATTTTCCGAAAACGCGTAACGCTCCGGGAGCGCGCCGTCCGGTTTCACGTTACGCCTAATCTGCGGTGTACATTGTCACGACGGGGCGCGGGCGACGGACACGCGAGACCGCGTTTACGGACGAAGGCATTGTTATTACGACGCCAGCGAAATAATAATCGGCCGCGCGACACCGTCGTCGTCGTCGTCGTCGTCGTGTATTAATATTCCGCGGCGGGTAGTTCGGCGAAATGCAATTTGTCAGCGCGGTTTTTACTGCGCGACACGTGCGCCGGTCCGCGTCCGCGCGGCAGATTATCCCGTTCGACGCGCGCGACCGAAACCCGACGACATCGTTGCCGAGGTCCGCGCGCGTTCCCGCGGGTCAAACCGATCGATGTCCGGGGCGATGGCGGCGGGGAGGGGGGGGGAGGGGTCCGCGGGCGGCGTCCGAAACCGGACCGTTCTCCGGAAACATCTCCGGCGCGGAGACCGCGTCGCGGCGGACGGATTTCGCGCCCGGGAGACGGACTGTTACGCGGAATCGCTCGTTTCGGGCGCCGTTTCCGGTAATAAACGTTTCGCGTTCGGCCGGTTCGGTTCGCGGAACGGCAGCTTGCCGCCGCCGCCGCGCGCGACGGTCGGATCCGGGAACGGATCATCGGTTTCGATGGCGGCGCCGCTTTCCAAACTTCTCGGAGAAGTGTACGGCGGCCGTCGACCCCGAGAATACACGGGCGTGTCCGAGCACTGCCGACAAATTGCATACATTTTCTCCCCGTTTTTTTCTGTTCCTCAATATCGTGTCGACGTGATGTGACAACTGCGGCGGCGGGTACAGTGGGTTTATATTTTGTAAAATTGCGTTAGTTTTTCTTTAATTTAAAATTTAGTCCGTATACATTTCGGCTTCGCCGCCAATCTCGTCATTATATTTTACGGCCGCGTTACAGCCGAATATGCTGGCTCGATTGTAACTGTCTGAAGTTATTCGTTTATAGACTAGGGGATTATTATGACACAGAAACCTTTACTTTTACTTTTTTAGAGTGTATGCGATATTCGATCGGGTAATTGATATGCTATCTTGAAAACTAATTTAAAGACAGTGTTTTTAGAATTAATTATTAATTTGTACGGTCCAGTATTGAAAGATAATAAAAGCTGATTGAGAGGGGGGATTCACCGAATTAAATAATTTTTCTCGGACACGGCCCGAACTTAATATGTCCGCGCGCGCCTATGAGTCCCCGGTGAAGGGTCTGCAGCTGATTAACTTCGTGTCAGTCAGTGTTGAATCCAGGTATATGAGGTAGGGAGAGCGATAGCCCTGGAACCTAGTCCCCTGGAATTTTTTTCGCCCCCTGTTAAATAAGAGTAAATTAACAATTAATTAAATAATTCAACAAATTCGACTGGTTTAAGTAAGAGAATAGATACGCAAAAAAAGGTCGTGGCTCTAATTTTAATAAGGCCGTCCCTCGGAAAAATTGTCTGGATTCAACACTGGTGTCAGTATATTCAACAGCCGTCACCGAGAACCGATCCTCGTGAATATTCAGACGAAAAGAAAACGGGACATCGCGTATTATGCTAATTAGAATATAATTATTTATAAATCCACAGTCTACTAGCAACCTATAAGCAGTGATTCACTATAACCGGTAATTTGTCTTTGGATAGACTCACCCGCGATGATAATATTGCGTGACCCAAACACCGAATTTAATGAACAAAAATCGATACCTAATTATTTATAAAATACGTACGTGGAACGTATACGTAAGTATATATTGCCACACTGAAATACATTACACAAACGACAGCCGTGGAAACTTCGTTCCCTGTATATAATATAATCTTCAACAATAATAGGTACATTGTAAATTGTNGTACTCGCCACGAATTAAGGAATTATATTGGATATTAGAATAAAACAAATCACTCGTAAAATGGCACAGTAATATAGTTGTTTATTCCGCCCCGATAAATATCACTTATTTCACCAAAGTAATATTACCGATTTAAATCAGTACCTTTAATGACTGATTTAAAGCGCCACACATAACGGTTGAAACGCCACGTTGCTTATCTACGCTTATTGCGTTACAGATTTTCGTAAAATATTCGATTATAAGGTAATGGACTGAGGTTGAGGTGTTTTGTAAATCGATCGCATTGATGTACGTAGATTTCTATACTATTCATACCAAAATAAAAGAATGCAATAAGAATAAAATTTGTCTACAACAATTTATCGGGATATTCTCGGGCATTTTGGATAGATTAAACGATATGTGAGAAGAATTTAAAAATGTTAAGAATTATGATGACAAAGTAATTATTTACTCACGCAATTCAGTTTTTACGAAATAACGTGACGAATTAAGGAGGGGAAGAGCTTCAAAGAATACAGTTTTCATCACAAAAATGTTCAATAAGTATCAAATTCATAATTGCATGGAACCGGTAACCTGGGATCACGTAACCGTGAAAGGGAACGATTTGTGGTTGTAAGTGCAGAAAAATACAACATGATATTAATTGATAAGCACGTAAAAGATATGAGCGAGAACTCTGAAAATTTTTCATTTTTTTGGATAGAAAATTTGATAACTATCGACGAAATGTCTAATGACATTAACGAAAACAATACGTTTTTTTTTCGTTAATCATAAAAGCGTATTTCACAAACGGATTATTGCTTCGTTATTTTATGTTATTATCGAGTTTTTACGGTATTTTTCGAGAGTAAATCAATACGAGGAGTCAGTGGCGTGTTGGCCGTGATTTTGAGGGGCAATTGCCCGATAATTTTAAGTGGCGGGTGGGCGGGTGCCTGGTGGTCGAGTACTGGGGTCTGTGGAGAAATTGTAGTACAAGATTAACTTCATCAGAATATGTCATATGATATTAAATAAGAATAATAAAATTAATAATTAGTATTCTAGGAAAAGCCATCAGCCCAGAATACTGCGAAAAACAACAAGGAATATGGCAATTTAAAGCACTATCATTTTAGTTTATATTTATAAACTAAATAATATAGTAAATAATTAATAATTATTAATAAATATTAATAATAATAAAGTATACTATATTATACTGTATAGTTACGGTATATACTATATATCTACAGTACTATAATTCACACTAGTTTATAAATAAATATAATCGCTATCGTACGACGTAATTCCCAACTGCCTATTAATGACTATGGGCACGGCCGTATATTCTTCTATTTTAACGTAATAATATTACCAACAATGTCTAATACTCTAATCGTTCATCGTTCGACGTTCAGTCGTGATCGGATGATCGTAAATTGAACTTATTACTTAATTTTCCAATCGTCTTTGATTAGTCGAAAATAACTGTGCTGTACTACTGTGTTTTAGACGTTTCAGTGTTTCATATCTGATTTAGTTATTATTTATGTAATTATTTCTTATTTAATACAAATTTTAAATGTCGAACAATACAAAAACGTGCGTTTGTGGAAAAGTCCGTGGAAATTTGAATCTTACTAACTGGCAAAGACATATAGACAATTGTAAAGCGAGAAAAACAGTAAAATCTTCTCGGTCTATAGCTTCTTTTTTTACTATTTCTAAAAAGAATCAATTGGAAGAAGAGAAACTTGCTTTTTCTTGTTCAAATGGTAAGTAATGAGTTGAGTCATTATTTATAAATATTATAATCGGTGGTATAATAAACATAAGTAATATTATTAATTTATTAGACTTGAATTTGTTTATACATTATGTGATTTTAATTTACAAAATATAATTTATAATATTGGTTAATAAGGTTTTTCTACCCCAATGGCTTTGTTTTATAGCTTTTGTGGATGAGTAATTTTTGTATTTCGTCACCAAATAAATGAAATGCCGCACCATTGATATAGGTAGATTCGATCTATATTATATTTAAATTACCAAAATTATCTTGGGTAATTATCTTAAATCAAATAATTTCATTTTTTTTTTTTTAATTGAAGAACATTTGTTATTTAAAAAACGATTGATCTTTTTGAAAATAGTTTCTCACATAATTTTTAGCTATTTTTTATATTTAATATTTAATTACAAAAATAACTAAAATGATTTTAACTACATTTTTTTTTTTTTTTTGCAATAACTAGTTGAACCTCCAGATTTTAATATTAACATTGAAAAATGTGACATAATGATAAATGTAAATGAACAACATCAGTCTAATTATAATGAATCAGATACATTTGCAAGTAATCTATTTTTATACATACCTATGCTTATTCCATATTTTATAATTACAGAAATTAGATGAAATAACTTTTTTTATTAATCTTAGTTGAATGGGAGGATGTCGTTGGTCAAGAAATATCTTAAAGAGTGATAAATAACATTGATGATATGGATTCAAATAAACAACATCAGTTAAATGAACCAGGTAAAATAACACATTATCTACCTATTTTATAGTGCTACATTTAACTAGGTATCTGATAAAGTATGGCAATAAATTGTAATAGAAAGTAGTTTGCTATTTTATAAAATTGATTGATTTTTAGCTATTTTTTAATTAATTTATTAAATTGTAGTTAGAAAATGTAATTGTTTATTTTCATTATTAATCACTGATATTTGTTATTAAATGTGATTCTGATGGCTCGTCAATAAACATGCACATGCTCAATGAAAAGTACCCAAATGATCCAGCTATGGTTAACAATTCTCAAATAACTAATGAATATTTGTCATATTTGATTTCCATTGGACCATGCCAACCTTTGCCTTCAAATATGCCTGGTAAAATGTTCCCTAAAAGGAAGCAAAACAATATTGTTCGATCGTTTAATGACTCTTACTATTACAAAATATTACCTGATAAATCAACTGTTAGAAGAACTTGGGTCTCCTATTCACCTTCAATAGATAGAGTTTTTTGTATTACCTGTAAACTATTTGGAACAACTAAAGGTAAAAGAAATACATTGTCTAGAAAAGGGACAAATGATTGGCAATATATTTCTACTAGACTTAATGAACACGAATCATCTATAGATCATTAAAATTCTATAATAAGACATTCCATGTATGTTAAGAATAATCGAGTAGATATAAGTGATATTAGACCAACTTCAAACATAAAGGTCACCGAAAATAGAGAAACAGTAAAAGTTATTATTGAAATAATTATTTATCTCGCCAGACAAAATATTTCATTTCGAGGACATGATGAGAGTGTTGATCCATTGAATCGGGGTAACTTTTTACAACTCGTTAAGTTATTAGCTCATCATCATCCTATACTCTTTCATCATATGGCAAAAATAGAAAATTCTCAGAAAAAAAATCGATTAACTTTTTTATCAAATATTAGCCAAAATACAATAATTCATATCCTTGGTGAAATTATACGGAAAAATATTTAAACAAGTGTTGCAAGAGCAGGGAAGTTTTCTGTGATCATTGATACAACCACAGATGTGGCTTGTTTAGAACAGTTCTCTATGATTTTACGTTTTATTAAGTGGTCAAATTAAAGAAAGACTGGTAGCTCTTGAAGTAGTTGATGATTCATCAGGTCATGGTATGTTTAATTTATTTTGTAATATTTGTAGCAAGTATGGATTGAATTGGAAATCAAATCTAATAGCTCAATCATATGATGGTGCAGCATCAATGCAGGGGCATTGTTCTGGTGTTCGCACATTGGTACAACAACAAAATCCAAGAGCAATATATGTATGGTGTTTTTCTCACGTATTGAATTTAGTCGTTGTTGATACGTGTGATAGTTGTAGAGAAACACGTAATTTTTTTGTAATTATTCAATCTTTAAAAGAATTTATGAGAGCTCGTAAACGTACTACCCTTTTTTTAGAGCATCAAAAAAAGTTTTACCCTGTTAAAAGACCTTTAAGAATGAAAACATCTTCCACCACCCGCTGGACTTCTCATCATAGGCACTGTTTGTAATTTTTGAAAAGTTCAAAGCTATTATTGCAACTCTTGAAGATTTGTCAGAATCAATTGATCGAGTGTGTAGTTCAACAGCTAGTAACTTACTAAAGAACGTCACTTCTTTTAGTTTTGTTACTGTTATGTTTTTAATGAACAACATTTTTGATATTACTACTCCATTATCGATATATTTACAAACTCCATCAAATGATTACATTCAAGCATTAATAATGGTTGATATTGCTGAACAAAGATTATCAACATTGAGGACACAAGAGTCAGTTGATAAAACTTTACAAGAATCAAAAGAGTTTTCACTTAAAAATGAACTGTGTGAAATAGAATTTCTTGAAATTAGGCAAAGAAAATGGAAAAGAATGGATGGTGAAAATATTTCTGATGAAATTCAAAATAATCCTGTGGATTATTTTAGAGTAAATGTATATTTTTTATGTGTTGACCAAATTAAGGCTTCTTTAATAGCTCGGTTTAAAGATGCTAGGGATATTATGAAAGACTTAGAATTTTTATCATACGAGAGGTTGTTAAAAGTAAACAATGGAGATATAGTACCTAATGATACCTTTGACTCCCTTAAAACCTGGATTCCTGAAATAGACAAATAATTAATTGCAATGGAGTATAGAAATTTTACTATGAGTTTTAGTAAATTACAATCAGGTATATGTCCAAAAAAATTACATGAAAATATAGTGATTAGTGATGATACTGAGAACTCCATTGATGAAGATGATTGTGAAATGGATGATGAAGACATATCACATAATGATAATTTAAAAAAAATGGTATTTTCTTCAGAAATATTTGAACTCTTGAATTCATTCAAGTTAGCCTCATCATTTCCTAACTTATATATGGCTTACAAATCATTATGTACAATACCAGCTACTTCAGTTTCGAGTGAACGTTCCTTTTCAAAAGTTAAACTTATAAATATACGTTTACGTTCAACTATTGGCTAAAAAATTATGGAAGGTTTACTACTTCTATCTTGTGAAAAAGATCTCTCTGACAAAATTGATATTCAAGAAGTAATTGATATATTAGCTAGTACATCAACTATATTAAAAAAAGCTTTAATGTTTAAATAATAATATTTGTAATACATAATAATTAAAATAAGCAATTTCAAGTAAATATTATTCATATATACATTTTCATCTAAATATTGTTTTATATTTATTACAGTTATTACTAATATATGTATAATATACAGTTTATAGATTTGTTTATATATTTTTCATTTTCCAAATATCATAACATTACTTGAATATTAATTTTACAAGGTGTAATTTTATATAATAATTAATAATTCAATTACAGTAAATAAAATAAAGAGATATATTTTTGTTGTACATTTATTCATGGGTAATGATAATGATCAATGCCTAAGAGTCGAGGGGTGGTGGTAGGTCATTAAAAAAAAATGAATTGCCCGATAAAATATTTCACTTTGCCACGCCACTGCGAGGAGTATATTCATGAATCGTACTCGGTAAACATTGGAAAATTGAAGTATATCAATAACCCGCGGGTGTTAGTGTGTCTGTTAATTATATCGATGGTCTGTGTTTCGGCGTTGGTTACTATAAACTTATACTATAATCGGACAATATAATCTTGATAATGATAAGAGTAGCCATGGTAACAAACCAAGATATCATAAGGTATAACAATCAGTATAATTTGTGATAACGAGGATGTCGGAGATAACAGCTGATAATTCGGGCGGCCATGTATTAAGTATAGCTCCCTTTGATTTAGAACTGTCCTTTTTATACAACTTACGACCCGTCAAATTTGTTCAGAAAACTCCTGAGAAAATCGAAAAATGAGCTCTCCAAAGTATCCTCGGATACTTTAAGTCGGATTTCCTTTTAGAAAAATTGCCATCATTATTAATTAGTCGCTGGTCCAGAGGAGGAAAAAAAAAAAAAAAAAAAAAAAAAATTTAAAACAGAATCGTAAAAAACTGTGATTTTATCGTGATTGTATAAATTAGTTGAACCCTTTTTGAGAGAAAAAAAACGCAAAAAATTTCAGATTGCGATCTCGGTATGGGTGACGTCTGGGGATCCCGAACAGCGATGCCAACGATGGGAACTTGGTACCAACATGCTCACGTGATACATGTTCTACGTGATTGCTTAAGTAGGTGGTGGCTAACATTAATGTGTTCATAACCACACACACCACTGGCTTACCAGCACATGCGCAATATACTGGTAAACCAGTGATATGTGCAATTAAACACACCAGTGTTCACGACCGATGGATTGCACAGAGCCGAAGGTACCTCCCTTATCGTGCAATCGAATGTTTGAACACAGCCGAACGTTCTCCCCTCCACGACCGATCTACGCAATCCGACCACCGAGTCGCCGGTTTACAGGAGCGCGCCGCCGCTCCCGGTCGAAATAATCATAGAAAATACTTGTATTTAACTCCCTAATTTTTGAATTTATGATTCACACCGTTTTAAACAACTAAATATCGAATTGGCTCCCGAATTACAATTTTCCAGAGTAATTGGTGCAGTAGATGACATGAATATAAATAATGAATATATTGTAAAGCGTTTTACTGTTTTAATTTCCAATGCGCAGGCGATGCAAATTTAGAAATTGTGGACATAATCGTCAAGTGTATAATACTTTTATTTCGTATAATGAATGATATATTTATTGAAAATGTTATTTTAAAAATGCTAGGTGGCCTAGAAGTGTTCGTCATAGTTCAGTGTTTGATAATAATTTACTTTGTATGTTGAAAAACAACAATACGTTTGGTGACAGTATACTTTTGATGAGGGCGATGTGTATGTATGTATGTATAATATATGTTCCCTTAGTCATAGAGCCTAAACTATAATGGATCGATTTCTACAAATGAGTTGTTGTAATTTCACGAGTTTTATATACTCCTTTTTATATTAATAAAACATCGCATTTTTATGACACCACGCGGAACATAATTTTTTTTTTAAGAGTATTTCAAATTTTTGATAGCCCTCTATAAAAAAAAGTTGGTCACCACCACCGTAGACAATTCAACTGCGTCTAGGATTACGGGACCGCTGTCACACACATTTTATATTTTCATCTTATACGCTCATATATCCGTTTCTCGGTACTCGGTTCTCAACTAATAAATTATTATTTTTGAATTTTCTTCGGAAAAAATTGACTATTGCAGTATATATATATATATTTATAATCATTATTAACTCATATTGTTACAACTACTAACGTAATATAACTGTCAGGGGGGACCGGGCTCTCTCGCCACCCCTCCTTAAAACCACCACTGACGATAAAATATAATATGCGTCTTTGTTCCTCTATACAGTACCTCTACACAGGTGGACTGTGACTAAAAAAGCCATCGGGATTCAGACCCCGAATGGCCACATCTGTATATTGTTTGTATAAAAAAAAAACACCTTTTTACATTCTCCAGAGTTTTGAAAATAATATTGAACGTGGCTTTAACATGACAGCATTTTCCTGTAGATGAGCAACGTGGCGTTTCAACCGTTATGTGTGGCGCTTTAAATCAGTCATTAAAGGTACTGATTTAAATCGGTAATATTACTTTGGTGAAATAAGTGATATTTATCGGGGCGGAATAAACAACTATATTACTGTACCATTTTACGAGTGATTTGTTTTATTCTAATAACCAATATAATTCCTTAATTCGTGGCGAGTACCTAAATAAATTATTTTCTACAGTAATGTAGTATTTGGTTTTGTTTAGTTCCATAAAATTTATTTCAAATATTCGTCTAGACACTTCAACGATAACAATTTACAATGTACCTATTATTGTTGAAGATTATATTATATACAGGGAACGAAGTTTCCACGGCTGTCGTTTGTGTAATGTATTTCAGTGTGGCAATATATACTTACGTATACGTTCCACGTACGTATTTTATAAACAATTAGGTATTGATTTTTGTTCATTAAATTCGGTGTTTGGGTCACGCAATATTATCATCGCGGGTGACACTATCCAAAGACAAATTACCGGTTATAGTGAATCACTGCTTATAGGTAGCTTGTAGTATAACCGTAGGTATGACTTGTGATGACGAGATAAGTGCAGATATAACGGTGATGATATCTATGATATTGTGGCGGGTTTCGCGCTACATTTCTCCTTCCCGCTGCGCGTCGTTCGTGGCGGACGTCGGCCACGCCCCTCGCCGCCGGTGTAACGGTTTTTCGACACAACTCCGCTCGACTCGACTACTCGACCGCTACGCCGGTTCTTCGCACCGACGCCGTTCGCGAAACATTGTTTCCTCGACTCCGAACCATCCTAATGTATAATTGTTTTTCTTAGCTTATGTTTTAATTGTTGCGTGCTCGCCTTATTCTTCCGTCAGCTGGCGATCACTTGAACCATATTTTTCTTGTTGTAAATAAACGTTACTTTTAATTATCATAAACCTCGTGCATTGGTGTAACCCGCCAAATTGGTGACCTCGACGTTTTTATCCGATCGTATCCGCCTTCGTCGCTTTGGCTCAATCTACCGACCCTTCCGTCATCGAGGGCAATACCTCTGCCATTGCTAATGTCCGTCTTCTAGCGTTCTGGAAGCACTCGCCAGCTCATTGGTTCATGCACGCCGACGCCGTCTTTGCCTCACACCGCGTGACGGTTAACATTGCTAGGGTCAATTTTTTCTCTCCGCGCTCGCGTTACGAGCTGACCGGGTTTCGGAGGCCTGTTCGTTACGGATCGACACCGCGTCCGCATCGGCCACTACCTTTTCTCCCGATCGCCGAAGTCGGTTGGATAGGCTCGAGGATGGTCTCGAGACACTTACGCGTCATTTTGACCGATTCCTTCGTCGCAATTCGTTTTCGTCGTCTCGTCCATCCGAGCGATCGCGGGCACGTCCGCCTAGCCCGCACGCCCGTNCGCGACACTCCTCGCATTCGTCCACCGCGTCGGAAAATCTGAGCTCCACGGCCAGTTTGCCCGCACTGCATGCCGTGGCCCATTCTGCGCGGGCTTTCGCCAACGACGTCCGTTCCGGGACGTTGTTCCTAATCGACACCGGAGCCGAAATTTCGATCATCCCACCGGGGTCGACCCGGCCCAGCACTCCGACCTCTGCCTCACGGCCGCCAACGGCACTCGCATCAAAACTTACGGTTCCAGGACCCTCTCGCTTGACCTCGGGTTATCACGGCTCTTTACGTGGACCTTCGAGCGCGCTGACGTGCCGCGCGCCATCATTGGTGCGGACTTTTTACATAATTTTGGTCTCCTCGTGGATATTCGACGAAATCTTCTCATCGATCTCATCGACCAGTGCACCGTGCGCACCACCTCGGTCAAGGGTCCAGGAGCACCATTTTTCTCCGTTTCGCGCCCTCGCCACTGGGACAAAATCTTCGAAGACTTCCCGGGCATCACACGGGAATCGCCGGTTCCGAAGAAGTTTGTTCATAATGTCGAGCACGTGCTCGCTACGTCCGGCTCGCCGCTTTTCGCTCGTCCGCGTCGTTTACCGCCCGATCGCCTCGCCGTCGCTCGCCGCGAGTTCGATCTTATGTTGAAGCAAAATATCTGCCGATCATCTTCGAGTGCGTGGGCTCGTCCGTTGTTACTCGTGCCAAAAAAGGACGGGTCCTTTCGACCGTGTGGCGATTATCGCCGACTCAACAGCGTCACGGTTCCGGATCGCTACCCGCTGCCGTACCTACACGGTTTCACGGCTCATCTCGCGGGTTGCGAAAAAAGACGGACCACTCGCGTGGACGGACGAAGCTCGTAGTGCTTTTCGTGCTTGCCGCGAGGCTCTCGCCGACACCGCGTGTCTCGCGCATCCGTTGCCCGACGTGCCGCTTCGCCTCTGCACCGACGCGTCCGGGGTCGCTGTCGGCGCTGTCCTAGAGCAACAATCCGGCTCCAGCTGGCAGCCGCACGGGTTCTTCTCGCGCAAACTCTCGCCCGCGCAATCGCGATATAGTGCGTATGATCGCCAGCTCCTCGCCGCCTATCTTGCGACGAGACATTTCGTGCACACTATCGAAGGTCGTCGTGTCACCCTTCGTACCGATCATCGGCCGCTCACCTTCATGTTTTCACAGAAGTCCGAAAAGTTAATCGACCGACAGGCACGACACATCGCGTTCCTTTCGCAGTACCTACATGATGTCGAACATGTTAGCGGCGATTCCAATGTCGTGCCCGACGCGCTTTCTCGCCTCGAGATCGCGTCCCTTGATCATTATCATCCGGATCTGGATCAGTGGGCTATCGATCAGAACGACGATTCGGAACTTAACCAAATTTTCGATGGCGAAGTTCGCTCGTCTCTCGAGCTCCGTCCGCTGCTTCGTTCGGCTCGTGGTTCGGCCATTTTCGACGTCTCAACCGGTTCTCGGCGACTTTTCGTCCCCGCCTGTCGACGTAAAGCCGTTTTCGCGTCCATCCACAATCAGGCGCACGGAGGCCGTGCAGCCACTGCTCGACTCATTAAGAACCGCTTTTGCTGGCCGAACATGGACCGAGATATCCAGCTATGGGTTAGCACTTGCGTTCCGTGTCAGAAAAGCAAAGTCCACCGCCATACTTCGTCGCCTGTCGCCCCGTTCGCGCCTCCTGAGCGCCGTTTTGGCCACATCCACCTCGATATCGTGGGCCCTCTGCCTCCTTCGAACGGTTCCAAGTACCTCCTCACCTGTATCGACCGTTTCACTCGTTGGCCGGAGGCATGGCCGATCGACTCCACGTCTGCCCACGTCGTCGCCTCTACCCTCATCGCTAATTGGATCGCTCGTTTCGGTGTTCCGGACGTCATTACCACCGATCAGGGCCGGCAGTTCGAGTCCGACCTCCTTAAAGCGCTTATGGACCGCTCCGCTCGCTCTATTCGCACCGGCGCCGCTCGCGAAACATTGTTTTCCGACTCCGAACATCATGTATAATTGATTTTTACCACTAATGTTGTTCTAATAAATGCGTGCTCGCCTGTTCTCGTGCCACAAGCAGTCAACTGGCGAGCACTTGTTTAATGTTGTTATGTTGTAAATAAACGTTTCTTTATTACTTTATCATTAAACCTCGTGTTTTGGTGTAACCCGCCAAAATATCATAAGGTATAACAATAAGTATAATTTGTGATAACGGGGATGTCGGAGATAAAAGCTGATAATTCGGACGGCTATGTATTAGGTATAGCTCCTCTTAATTTAGAACCCACTTTTTTATACTACTGTCGTAGTTAGTTACCGCTGATCTACGGTAAACGCCGGGACAATTGGATGCAATTATTCTTTTATTCTTCTAAATTCTATTATCCGAAGGGTGTGCCTATTTTCTTAGATTTTTTTTTTTTCGTTTTTTATTTTATAATCTAATATTTTACGAAAATCTATGACGCAAGAAGGCCATGTCACACGTGGACATTTTACCGAAAAATGAAAAAGTAAAACAACTATAGTATCAGACGTGGATCTAATGGGGGCGAAAATAATCTCGTAACGAGAAGCAAGATATTGAACGTAGGGCACAGTGGTGATTACACCTTCGCCAAAACTCAAACGTTTACTCGTCAAGGCAACAATACTAACTTATGCATAATGCTCTGGTTAATGACATCAACAATAAGGTATTGAAAATTATATCTGCACTACTCAAAGTATCGTTTATATCACCAAACGTGATTTTTAACTAGCCAGGGGGTTTTATGACTGTATAATTGTGGTTAAAAATACATTTGACCGGTTTAATCTACATCAAACATGAAGCATTTAATCTTCAAAATATCAATGTAAATTGTACGGAAAAAATATATAAACGATTTATTTTAGCACAGTTAAATTCAATCGACCGTTTCGCAATTGTCAATTTCTCCTTAAATAACTATAATAACGGTGGCAATGAACGCGATGAGAATATAACGAACGAAAACGGGTGGAATGTAATAATGAAGATATTAGGAAATGTAAACGATATACTCTGCTGGATTGATTGTCCGACACACGGAATTTCGGATTTATTAATATGTACATAACGTAACACTTATACTAATACACACAAGATATTTATAATTGCACCACAGTAGTATTACGTAATATTTATAATCAATCTATCGTAGACAGATTCGGATAACAAGTAGTTTCGAAGAAACGCTTACGCACATTTAACGCACAAGTCACCACGGTGGCGTCGCACGCGTGAACGATCAAGAACGTGTTTCATTTGATTTAAATTATAGCTGTACTACAGGTGGATCGAATAATGCGATAATATTTCAGAAAAAATTTAGTTTCCTAAATAGAACGATTACTAACTTTCCCACTTTTTATAATTTTTACCAATTATCAACGTCTAACAGTTATTGTTTCAAAATTATGTTACCTATTCTTACATTATATTGATCATTCGTAACTAAATGCAAGAAGTTGAACCTAAGGCACGGTGGTGACCTTACATCTTCGCCATCGCCACTAGAGTATGGTAGGTCAAACAAAATTAAAAATTGAAACTATACTTAAAATTTAGAGTGCATACATTTTAGTTCAAATCTGATTACTAAATATATGTCTATAATCTTGTACCATAAATAAAGTAAAATTATAATTATTATATTTCTTGCGATTTTAATATTAATTTTAGACTCTTGGAAAATTAACAACAATATATATCGCCGATCACAGGAATTTTATATAAAGGTCAATAGAAGCCTAAATTATATTTGCTTAAAAATATAAAATATTGCAAGTAAATTATGTTAGAAGTTATTAGAAAAATTTATACTCATATTTTTTAGTCGTGTGTAAATTTCATACAGAAATTATAATTTTCGATAAATACTAAAACAACGTACGTTCGAAAGCAAACACAGATGGATCATACGTGTTTTAACCGATTTTCTCATAAGGAGGCCTGTAGATGGATTTTATCTACGCATTATCTACGTTTTTAGTTATCGAAATTTACGTTAAAAACAGAATCTATAACGTATAATATTAAAATTTTCACGATTTTTACTTTTTTTTTTTCAAATACTCACTCTAACGAGAATGTCGGAGAATAATAATTATATTATTTTCATCGTGGTTTGCTTTATGGTCTGCACAATTATTATACGAGCGGAGCGTATTAGCAGTGTCATTAGAGGAACCGAGTACGAAGAAAATCTACGGGTAGTCCAAAGAATACTCGATTCGCGATATTGGATTGCCAAAAATAACATCGGCGCAAACATCATAGCTCAGCAGGAGATATATAACGGTAAACGAATAACAAAGTTTACGGACTTCACGAATGATGGCACGCTAGAAGTGACAGACGCCATTAATACCCGTAAGGGTTGGTACAAATTATCAGGTGTGATGTACACTGCAATCGGGTGCAAATGCGGTGATACACTCAAACGTTTATTCGGCAAGGTAATAAAAGTACCTATAGGCAATGCCCCAATTGATGAAATTAACTATACCGTATTGAAAATTATATCAGTACTACTCGAAATGACATCTATAGTACCGAACTTGGTTTATCAAGAGCCAGGGGGTTTTCTGACAGTAGCGTTATCGTTAAATATACACCTGAATAGATTAATCCGTATCAGACATGAAGCAATTAACCTGAAAATGCTCAATGAGTACCATGCGGATCATGTATATAAACGAATGATTGCAGCACAGTTGAATACAATTGAACGTTTCGCTATTTTCAATTGCTCCTTAGACGACTACAATAATGGTGGCAATGAAGACGAAGAGAATATATCGAACAAAAACACGAGGAATGAAATTATAAATATATTAGAAGATATAGACAATATACTTTACTGGACTGGTTGTCCGACACACGGGATTTCGGATATACTGTATTCAACTCACAGTCCGTATGCACATTTTCACGTCATAATTCTTCAAATAATCGAAAAATTACGACCCATAATAAAAATCGATGAGTCGTTAGAGGACAAAATCGTAAAAGAGTCGAACGAAATCAGTGATATACTGTTGTATATGGATTTTATACTTGATTCGATAATGAGAATCGTTTACCAATCTACTTTGAACATTTTAAAAATAGTTGAAGATTACCAAAACATCGGGACTGAAATGCACAAAAAAAATTTAGAGTCTACGATCAACATCTGGACTAACATAAATGTAACAATGATTTACGATGAGTTGTCATTACTTATAACGTCCCTGAATTTTTCAATGTCTGTTGTTTATCATATCGATTTACTATCGCGAATAGTGAGAAACATTATTGATTTAAAGGACATTTATGATTTGATGTTATTAAAAAAGAAAATTGAAGAAGTCTTAAACGCCATTTATGTTAAAAAATATCCCGCCGGACTGATGTTGATGTCTAGCATAAATCAGTACGAAATTAATTTGCATGAGTTTTTAATTAAAATATTGTCTATAGACGAATTTAATTATTTCAATCGTCTTTTGAAACTATTGCAACCATACCATAATGTAAAATACAATGATATGTTCGAAACGAAATTAAACGAAATGAAGTATTCCGTCGTATATAGTACGAGCAGTAAGGTTAAGGATTTTTGTGTATCGATCTCAGTGATGTCCTTAGATNTCTCCGGCATTTTGGACACATTTATGGATATGTGGCAAGAAATTAAAAATTCTGAGAATTATGAAAACGAAAATCACAAAATAATTATTTCCTACGCGATTCAGTTTTTACGAAATAACTTATCGAATTATGTCGCCGAAGATGGAGGGGAAAAGCTTCAAAGAATAGAGTACTTTATCACAAATCTTTTTGATAAATATATAATTTATAACTGTATAAACCCGTTAACCCGAAGTGATCTACATCAATCATACAAACAAACGAAATCCTATAGTTCCAATCGAAAAATATTAGAAATTAAATCGGAAACTGATTCTAATATTCCAGTATTGTCTTCTGCCAATAAGGATTCTTCCAAAAAAAAAAATTTGCGAGGTCTTTTGCAGAAACGTAACCGCAAAGATGAAAAATCCAATGAAGGTATAAGACCTGTAGTTGTAAGCCTAGAAAAACTCATAATTATGTCGATTGATGGGTATGTAAAAGAAATGGGTGAAACTGCTGAAAATTTTAAATTCTTCTGGAAAGGGAATAAAATGACAATCATCGAAATATTTGATGACATTAACGAAAAGAACATGTTTCATTTGTCTTTTTTCGTTAATTACAAAAGCATATTTCACAAATGGATTGTGTCTTCGTTGTTTTATGATATTATCGATATCCTTCGGTATTTTTCGAGGACAAAGCAATACGAAGAGCTTGTTCACGAATCGTTTTCGATATACTTAAGAAATTTGAGTTACATCGATTTTCCCGATCACTATTTACCCATCATTAATACTATCTCCAGTGTCGGAAACGTTTATCAACAAGTAGATAATATTTCATTGCGTATACTGTTGGAACAAAATTTAATAGAAAATGGTGCTTTTCTTTTATTAGATAGTTTTAATCCGAAAGAAAATTCTGCAGACTATTATCTTAACAAGTTAGATCACATTTTCAATATATTGTGGAAAGTCTTCAACGTAAATCCAACATTGGATTGGAAAATTGAACAAAATTTTAATTCATCTTTACAAGATAAATTTGACAAATATCCATTATGGTTGACGAAGAAGTCCCCTGAGATCTCAAATAAAGTTAAACCATGGAAAAACCAAAACAATTTTNATAGTTTTAATCCGAAAGAAAATTCTGCAGACTATTATCTTAACAAGTTAGATCACATTTTCAATAAATTGTGGAAAGTCTTCAACGTAAATCCTACATTGGATTGGAAAATTGAACAGAATTTTAATTCATCTTTACAAGATACATTTGACAAATATCCATTATGGTTGACGAAGAAGTCACCTGAGATCTCAAATGAAGTCAAACCATGGAAAAATCAAAACAATTTTCCCAAGATTCCAAAATTTTTATCGTAATTGTTATGTTGGAAAACTTTGAAAGTAATCTTCGATTCATTTATTACATATTTATTCTTAAAAAATGAAATAAAATAATAAATACATTGATGTCATTAGAAATTAGTGTATAAAACATATATTATTTATAATAATAAAAAAACATTTATTTAAAATTAATATTCTTATCTTAAATGGTTCTTATTGTCGTTTTCCGGTCATGCGCCGTTATCTCTCAGTTNTGTCACTTTGTCATACCGTAACATTCTATTAATTTAAAAGTCTCATGGCTCGTAGAGGTACACAACGAATGGATAAATACGAAATTATAAGTAGAATCTTTACATGTTTCTTTTGTACCTTATTCTGTACGTCAGATTTAGGTTGTGAAAACAATGACAGTAGTATTGGTGAAATTTCTGTCGATGTTGGTAAATTGATGTTTAGATGTTTATTTAGAGAAACTAATGGCATTCTTTTACTCTCCAACTGGCATTTACAACTGTCAAACTTAGTCGCTTAGTTTTCTATAGCCATTGGGATATTTGTTTCATTTGCCGAAGTATGTATCTGACATATTTTTTATCTCCAACTGATCTTCTCACACAACAACGTAATTACTATAGCATGGTTTCAAGAGAACTGTCTAAATAAAATTGATTTTGCCTCTTAAAGGGTAGCACACTCGAGTATCTTCTGCACAACTTAGGTTGACACATTTTTCTTAAAAGCATTATTGGAGTATCAATTTTTTAAGTTAGGAAATGTGGTGGAAATCTAGAGGATTGAGTGAATTAAGAAATTATACTGGAACTGGATAATTAACTGCTTCATCTACTTTTAGTATTGAATTACCTATTCTGTATTCCATGGTTTCTGCTTGAAATGTTTTTAATAATATTATATTTTTAGAGATAAAACTGCTGCATCATTTTCTGACGTTAAAATGGATGGATCTCTTGCATAATTAATGCATGGATTTTTCTTGTTCATTAGAATATCCTTTAGTTTTGTCTCTTTTTAAATGTATTTTATAGAAAACGTGGTCCATGTTTTTATAAAATAATAAAATCGTGAAATTGTACGTTTTTCTACATTTTTTCCCATTTAAGTTTTTTATTTAAAAAATAGCGTCGAAAATCAAAAATAGACTTCTTTAAAGTATCATTAAGATAACTTATGCTTTTATTAAAGTTGCTTCACGTAAAAATCGGATCAAGTTTTTAGGAAAAAACGTGTCCACAGGCTAGTACAATGAACCATGATGTATATATAATATGTATAATATACAATAATTGGTTAGAACGCTATGTTTTACCGTCATGTTCATGACCATTACTCGTAAATTCATGTACTGGAAAACGCCCAAACATGGGGAAAAAAATGAATTTAAAAAATAATGTACACGACACGTGAGCACACAATTAAAAAAAAAAGAAACCGTCTGAATACGCCATAATTTAGAAAAATATCTCGAAATATGTAATTATTAACACAATAATAATAATAATAATGGTCCTTTGGCTGCTGAAGCGAATTTCTGCGTTATTAGATAGTGTTCGGTAAGACTTGGTTACATTTATCCAATGAGGGTGTATGTTGGCAGCCTTCTCGTGACCGCTCCTGTCACTCGCATTATTTTCTCTACGCAAAATATATAAGTCAATTAATAGCCAATACCCTGTCCATCGTCCATTACATCTTGTAATCACACGATATGAATGCAAATACAGTAGACAAAGAAGGTCTGTAGCCTCTTCTAAACAGCCCTTCTAAGGGCTTGGATAATGATGCAAGTCACTCTGACTGTAAAAACAAGTTAAACAACAATATAACCATACTTAAAATTAACGTTGAGGGATTAACTAAAGCAAACTATGAGTATTTACAAAAACTCACTGGAGATAAAAATGCAACCATTTTCTCACTTCAATAAACTCACATCTCATCTAATTGTAACATAAACAGCTATAAAATCACCGGTTTTAAACTTGCGTGCTCCCGCCTCCATAATAAGTATGACATGATTATCTACATACAATTCGAAACTGAGAGTTTTTAAATCATTCAAGTAGTATAACATTTACAAACCACCAAATGCAAAGTAGGAAAGTATCGCACTACCATCAGTTGATAAGCCTATTTTGGTCACTGGAGACTTCAATAGCCATAATACCACCTGGGGATACGCTGAAATTGATGAATCTGGTCAAACACTCCAAGACTGGATTTCATCATCTGATTTATACTTACTACAAGACCTAAAGGGCCCCCCAACTTTTTGGTCAGCTAGATGGAGAGTGGGCTATAATCCGGATTTGAAAATGGTTACTATCGATGAAGACGGCTTATCATTCCCTGCAAAGAGTTCAGTCTAGGAGCATTTCCCAATAGCCAACATAAGGTCATTATAATTAAAACCGGCTTTACTCTACACTTAATCTCCTCCTGCCCAATTCCGAGATGAAATTTTCGAAAAACTGATTGGAAAGAGTTCAATTACTATATAGAGAAGAACATTAACCGTATTCCGAAATCTCCTTGCTGTTTGTCACATTTTTCAGGGCTCATGGAGAAATCAGCTAAAAGAAGCATACGTTATTTACTTGGTTGGAACAAGGAGTCAGAAAAACTATATAAAGATTTCACCCATGACCAAACTACAAAGAACGGGAGGAAACTCATAGCTTCTTTGAACAATGCAAGATGAAGGCAAAGATGGATTAAAACCACTGAACGGCTTGATATGAAAAAAAGCAGTTGCCTGGCATGGGGCTTCCTTAAACGGCAACAGGGAAAAAATATAAACTAAGTTACACAACCACCAATCAAAGCCCAAGCTGTAACCGCAATCCTTGTCCAAAACTGTAAAGGTACAGTCGATAAAAACTACTGGAATATATCTTGAATATAATTTTTACTGTATTTGCATTTACTATAAGGACATACTAGTATATATATGTATCCTATATGCGAACATATTTATAATATACGCGAGTCTTACGTGTTCACCACGGTCGGAAAATAAACAATATATTTATAAATTAATTACACGTTAACATTAGCTATCTACATGTGTGTATCTTCGACCGGTCAAACGATGTCTTGCGCGTTCACGGCTATCCATTTTAGGTACGACGTGACTTTGGTATAAACACCGGGTATTCCGAGTTCTCCGCAACTAATGCCCCAGGACACTATCCCGACGTTAGTCCACTTACCGTCCTGTCTTTGTATTTGTAACGGGCCACCCGAATCGCCCTAAATAATCCAGAAAAAAAAAATCAAAACTGTAACAATATGCGTTAAAGGAATAATAATCGTTGTAATTATTTTGTACGAAATACCCACCAAACAGGAATCTTTGCCGCCATCGTAAGACGCGGCGCACAGGTTCGTCTTGAAAATCGGTTGCGAAAAAGCCGAAACACATTGGTCGTGTTCCCATATCGGTATCACCACTTCTTGGAGGACATTACTGACTTGGCCACCGAATACGGTTTGTCCCCAACCTGAAAATATATTATTATAACGCGTAACAATAATGACGAACAAACGCATAGAAAATTCCTACTAATATGGATACGTTTCAAATCGAAATAGATTAAACGAAACGGACCGTCAATACCCGTGAAAAAATCATTTTTCTTACCAGCCACAACAGCGAGTTTGTTGTAAACCTCCAAGTTTGTTTTAGGCAAACAGATCGGCCTGATGAATGAATTATAAACCGTCGGACTTTTTAACCGCACCAAAGCTATGTCATTGCCGTGCGTAGCCTGATCGTAGTCCGGGTGCGTTCTTATATCCGTTACTCTATAATCGATGTATTGCGTCTCGTTGTTGGTGGTGAAATCGTATTCGCCGAGTCTGACGACGAAATGCTGTTTGTCGTACCTGCAGAAGAGTCAAAATTATACGCAAAGACAGAGACGGACCTGATGGATTCGGTATCAATGAAATATATTGATGTCATTTTTGAAACCTCAAATAGACAATAATTGTGATTGATGTTTATACTTTTAGATTCTGAGTGTTAATGAATTCAGCTAAGAACATAATAAAATATGTTTTTGGAAAATCCTTTTTCGGTTAGTAAAAAAATTATCACTTATTACAAATTACCTTAAAGTTTCGGATTTTTCGCCCGGTGCACATACTCTATTTATTTGAACAATTTATCTTAGATTCCCAAAGTGTTTTTCTAAAAAAGTAAAAACTAACAAAAAACGTCGATCGTTGATACTATTTTGGTTGTATTTTCGTTAGTTCTTGTCATGCATTAGTAATGCCTAGTCGTTATTGTCAATGATTGATTTGGTTGATATTTCTAAAAAGTTATCATAATGGCTTTTTTTGTGATATTGCGATTTCTTATTTTTAAGATCAGATATCATCTCAACCATCATGGCGAATAGTGGCATGACTTGTATTAAAATTATCAAACAAATCCTTGTTAGTTACGTGATAAAGGACTTCTAATGTGTGTTTTTTTACACTCTTAATTAGTCGATCTTTTTTTTCCACGAATCATGTCGTTATTTACAAAAGTTTTTATTATCTTCAGGATTTTTCTTTTAACCAGGCGTATCAAAATCATTTTGGAGTTTTTTAACGAGAGTGTGCAATATAATTTATTTTGTTATAACATTAAATAAAATATTATAAACCAAAATATGAAGATACGATAAAATAAATTAGACAATTTTATAAGCGAAAAATCGATAAGCAGTTTAGGAAATACCGCAAATGACAATGACTAAACGTCGATACCTGATATACACCGATTGTCCACAATGACGGGTTTGCATCGTTAGTACTGACATCACCTATAGTTATTACTAGGGCTCGGAAGTTATAGGAGATGTATACTGTTCTGTATGCTCTCGATTTATAGCAGACCGAGCTATACAATGTTAATTTTAAAAATTGAAAATTAAAAATGCATATTTTGCATATTTCGTTAATTTTGGAAAAAAAAGTGGATACTTCGTTGATTTTCATTTATTTTTGTATATTTATATTTATATTTAAAATTTTCTAAAATAATTTTTTTTTTTCATTTTTAATTTATTTATTTTAAATGTATTTTTATGTAATAAAACGCTAATAACTCGGAAAACGAGCATCGTATAAAACTCAATATTATTTTTCGTAGTTATTTATTGTTATTTCTTATCGTTTACTATTAATTTAACGATATTCACGCGGTTCACATTGCCAAAATACTATCATATCGTGAATGAGACTGAAATTTGTCAGTTGTGTTCTAGACAACACGTGTAGTGTATTCTGTCATATCTTTAATATTTGTAGTGCGTATTTGTTCAATATTATACTCTGTACAGTAGGTATACACGTGCCAGACTTTATAGTAATATTTTATTTTATCAAAAAGTAAAAAAACATTAATTTACAAAAACATTTAAGAGAATACGGAGACGTATTTTCGTCTGACAGTGATATTCTGTTTTGTAAAGTTTGCGCAGTTAAAGTGATGGCATAAAATACGTTTACGGTCATGCAACACAAATAAACATCAAATGTTAGCAGTTCGTCTAAAGGCCAGCAAGTCATCTTCATGTACTCAACAACTTTTTACTGAATGTAACAAATAGTCAGCTTTTTCTAAAGATTTGTGCAAGGCATTGATGGCAGCAACTATTCCTGTTTATACAATTTCTAACACAGAATTCCAAAAGTTTATTGAGAAATACACTTTTAACGCTGTACCTAGTGAAAGTACTTTAAGGAAAACATACATTGATGATTGCCACGACGAATGTATGATTGAAATAGAGCAACATATTACAGGGCAAAAAATATTGGTTTTAATCGACGAAATAACTGATGTGGAGGAAAGTATATTGCAAACATGATTGTACTTGGAACTTTATTGTCAGATAGTCCTGGGAAAATTTTTCTTCTAACAAAAGAAGTACTTAAAAAGGCCAAATTGTTCACCATTACTAAATTACATGATAATATCACGTTTTTATTATATACTAACGGTGTCACAATGACGTATTATTATTTTTGTCCTATGCAGCATCTTAGATGAAAAAAGCAGACGACACTATTAAAGTTATTTATCCTAAAATAATTAATGTCAAATGCCAATCGGCTACGCGCATTATTTTAGTTTTCAATAATACAATTTTTTTTTTTTTTTTGTGTATTTTAATAAATAAGTAATAAGTAATAACTAATAAACTTTTATTAAATAAATAAATATTTTTTTTTTTGTTGTATATATTACATTTTTTTCATGCATATTTTATAACTTTTTCGTGTATATTTCGCCTGTTTTAGTTCCTATAACTTCCGAATCCTAGTCATTGTATACACTTCCTGAATTCCCGACATTAACGGTAACATATATATATATATATATATATATTCGTATACGTATATATTTTATAGACGATTACAACTTTACTTACAGTAAGTTATATTATTATATAGGTACCGTCGTTTTATAAGAGAATCGATACACTTTAATTACATACTCCGGTCGACTCGAATGTACGTGAAAATCATAAATATCAGAATAGATTAGCATACTGTTTTTGGGTGCACACGAAAACGATTAAAATCTTCCTTGGTGTTTCCATAAATTTTGATTTACGAAGCTAAAATGAAATATACCCGATGATATTAAAATAAGATGATAATAATAATAATATTATTGTTTAGCTACAGATAATCGAAATCAATAATGTACGTGTTCGTATTGTCAGTGCTATAGAGCAGCATAATATAATGATGCGATCGCGTGTAGTTATACTCGATAAATGCAATCTGTTACTTACAGAATATATTATATTTTTGAGACGGATTTCGTAAATGTTTAGAACATGTTTAAGGCTTTCGTATATTCTTAAACCATTTTCAATATGATTTTTTTCATTACTTTTTTGTGTTTTTAGTGCATATTTATATTTAAATGTTTTCATATAAATACTTGTCCTACATCACTAGTAACACTAGTAATTACTAACGTTAAGTTGGGTATTTCTCAAAAAGCAGAATAAAATGAATAAAAAGCATTTTTTAAATTATCGAAGTGAAAAAAAAAAATACTTTTAAATTTATTATTTGAACTCGAGTACTCTGGTAGATGTAATGTCAAGCAAACAAATTAAGGCAATGCTGCAGTACTGGGTCATAGTAATGATATAATAATAATCTGTGGGTCGAGATGGTTCATTTATAGTAGGAATACGAGCGGAAATCGTTGTTTGGACAGTGGGAAAAACTACTAAATCCTATATAATATAACATCACAGACCTTCTCGAGGCAGACAGATAGACAGATATATATAATATGTAGACTGTCGCTATAAGACGGCGTTGAATTTTCTACGATCCGGGGGTACTTTTGCGAGACGAGGGTAGTGCCTAAGTACACCAACTAATGGACAGTCGATAGAGTATTTTAATTAAGTACAATTCTTGTTTGACAGTTTGGCTGTATTACTGCACCGACGGTCGTTTCCATATTATATAAATTGATATTTCGTGTAAACCATGATTGTTAATTTTTTTTTTTATTTTTCACCTCCGTCTAATGACTTTTTCTGTATTCATATACAGGATAATTTTTTTTTATCACGATCCAACGACAATAATTAATAACCTACATAAATTTTTGGTTAAATTGATTTTAGGGTTTCTCAATCATATTGTGATTTATGTATCATATACTGTGTTAAATCCGTCATTCTAATACTATTTTTAAATGACATTCTCCTCCTCTTTATTACAAAAACGCACTAGAAAAACAAAGTTTTCAAGACATTTTGATGCACCATAATAACGCTATTCTTGTACTTGTCATTTATAGAATTATAAAAATTAATCATCCCGGGGGAGTTGTAGGAAAGGATAATTAATAGATCCATTTTTAGATAATAGCCCCTCGCTAATCCCCCGTTCCAAATTTTAAACTTGAATAATTTATATACGATAAATTGTAAACAAATCAAACATTATGGAAAATATGTTTTTTTCGAATGTGGTTTGAAAAGGGAGCGGGAATATTGCAATTAGAAAACCAAAAATCAACGTGTGTTTTAAACGGTACAGAATAATGGTAATAGTATGAAAATATTATACACGCAAGATCATTTTAGGATTCAGTAACGACTGAAAAAAAAAAAAAAACAAACAAAATCGATTTTACGCAAAATTTGCGGAGATATTTTATTATTGTGGTCGCTGGATGATGATTGAAAAAAAAAAATAGTACTGTGATATAAGCGTCTGAATTAACGTAAAAAATAAATCAATGTTGTGCGTACTTTTTAAAACAATGAGCCGCGGTCAATACAAATCGCCGATTGAGCAGCGCGCCGCCGCAAAAGTTCATATAGTACGTAGTCTCCAGAAACACGGCCATCCAAGGCCAATCGCTGGCATCTGCGTTTTGCACGGACGCGACTTTCGATATCGACTTTGTGTTCACTCCGCATTCCGGTTCTTCCGGCAACGGTTTGATGGGTTCCGGCGCCGCTCTGTCTAGAACTTTGTCCAAGTCGGATTCGTCGTCGTCGGCGACGGCGGTCATTCTCCTCTCTCGTTTCGCACGTACGACTTTATCGACGGGACAACAGAAACTGGTCGACCTTATTGTAAAAACGTACATAATATTAACGAATACAGCGTGTACATTGTACAGTGTTATGTGTATAACTTATGGGTCTCGGAATTCACAGTCGGGAGTTATAGGGCAGTTGCATATTTGTCTGTGTGCTCTCTCGGTTTATATTACGGACCGATTTAGAAACCCGTTCCTTACGACGCAGGCGAGTTTGAAAAATGTATGGGAAAATTCGACATTTCATCGATTTTCATTGATTTTCATACGCGTATTATGTATTATTATTTTACGTATATTTATTTATTATTTTTTTAATATTCATTATATTTTTGGAATATTTTTAATTTATTTGCGTGCATATTTTGATTTATTGTATGTATATTTGCATGCATATATTGCCAAATTTACCTCCTATAACTTCCGAGTCCTGCTATACCCTGCATACATAATATATTACAATAAAAAACAAATTTTTAGTACTGTATAGTATTAAACATTTGTTTTTGTACTTGTGCTATTTCAATAGCACAGAAAAAATCATTTTATTTTGTATCAGTCACGCACAATATCGCATGACAATATTAATGGTTCGTATTGTGAACAATAAAAACTTGTATTTTCACCGTTTTAACGTCTAAATATTTCTAGCGAATAATAATTCATTCGTTGAAACTTATTTCGAAATTGTATACATTTTGTAAATAAAATAAACTACAATTACCTAATATTTTAATATCTAAAGTACAGATGACAATAGTAGCCATAAACAGCACTTGGTAAAAAATTGGGGGGGGGAGTGCGAAAAATTACCACGATTCACGAACCGCGGGTGGGTGAGGGGGGGCAAAACTCCTCTTAAAATATCTAATATTTTTTACCGCACATATAGTAATATTAATGTTTTTATCAAATTTGAATTCCATACTATGCTGCCTAAACATGACCTAAGATTAAACAAAATATGCAAACCATTTTCTTTCAATTTGCTGTTGCACATTCCCGTTATTACTGCGTGTCTAAAATTCTAAATAATACATTTATTCGACAGTGATCTTTGTTAGTCCGTACTGATTGTTAACCACGATTTAAGTCTCGTTTAAACTTGTATAGAGTAGTTCACAGAGCGTATTATTATTATGCCAACCTATATATTGTATTGTAATAATACATGATACAAAGATTTTTAATATAATATCGTCATAACAATATTATACTGTATATAGCGTTGAAATATTTTTTTAATTACATTTCGCCATTAGAACAATGACTTTTAGGCGCATTTAGTGCCTTGAAAACAAGGACGCGTGACATAGTCATTGTAATTTATTTCACGAATAAACGGTGACGCGTTTATTGTAATTCAGATATTTTTTTTTTTCAACGGTACAAAATTATATTAAAAATATTACCTATCCGTATATTATATGGGCAAGTAAGGTATACTGAAATAAAGATAAACACTGATAAAAACAGCTCGTGTACATTAAACAAACAAGACATTTTTGTAGGTTCGTAAAAATAAATTTCAGCTCGCGACAAAAATTGTTTTAGCATTATTATTATATGTCAAAAAAATTAACAAAAGAAATTTATCTACACACAATTCAACTCAATTGTTAAATTACATTCATGAAAAATACACAGATAATGAAAAATAGCAACAATATATATTACATATTACGTTTTAGTAAATAAATTTATACAGTTATAATATTATTGCAGTTTAAATGTTAATTTGTATTAACTAGTTTAAACACCGTGTACAAATACAAAATCAGCTGTATACGATGCGCGTGCAGTGTATGACATAATAGGTATAATAATTTAAGGTTTGAAAGAGTTTATAAATTACTAAATTTGTTTTGGATATATACTATTATAACCTGTCCCAAATTAGCGTCAAAGTTTAAACATGTATAGGTACAAAGAAAACCACATCGTTTGTAATCGTTTGGCCTGGTAAGGTTGCCAATTCAGACTATTTAAATATAAAATATTGTTGACCAAAAAAAAAAAAGAAGAAATCTCCAACTTTTTGTTACTGATTTTTTCTATTTTATAATAGAAATATATCAAAAAAATATATATATTTTTATTTGTTTTTTTTTTTTTGAACAATGAGGTCTATGTATTAAAATGTAGAATACGTTGTTAGACGTAGGACAAATCAAACAAATATAAAACAGTCCCCCTGGCCTCTAAATGTAGACGGTTTACAACTCTAGTTCGGCCTAATAGAATTTGTTTTCATCTTATGAATAATAATAATAATAATAATAATAACTTATTAATTAAATACTAATCGAATACGGAATTAACAATTTTAACATAATAATATGGGTATACTCACGATTCGTGGTCCACATCGCATTTTTGTAGATTTTCTGATGCCGAATTATTATCACAATATTCAAAACCCGACACACATTCTGTGTATTGGTCGCATACTTTGAAACTCTAAAACGATCGATGTTTATCATTATAATAATCAGGACCGACATCAATGTACGATAGACATCGAATATAGGTATTATAATATTTACCCGTTCCGTATCTTTTTTGAGTTTGATCCTTATGAGTTCACCTGGAAAATTGTACGTATAATAAATATCAAATTTAATGATAATTTTGCAGTAGGTATATATATATATAAGTAGGTAAATGTACGATACTAACATCACGAGCTTTTATTACACCGGCTTATCGAACAACAGTAAGCGTGTCGCAAGTGAGGGTCGTAAAAATCCGGGATAATATTCTTAAATCTCTAAGCAATAGCCGGTAGGTATGTAAAATCGGAACACAATTTACCGCACGTGTCAATAGGTTTAGGTATGGAAATATGTGTGTAGTAAAAGTTTTAAAAAAATATTATATTATATTATAACTGTATACAGTTATTAGAACCTTATTAACCGTTACCTTCGACTTCGGAACCAGGACTGTGGCGCTTAATTGAAAAGACGGTTAAGCGTATACAGTACAGTGCTAGTTGAGTGTACTTACTTACTGAGGCGAAAAATGTACAGTGTACACACATATTATACAAAATAACCGAGTAAACAACTTCAGTTTCTTTGGAGGTCGGTCGTTTTGTGAGCGGCGATCTTCCGTATTTTACTCTAACACTGCACCGAGAAACTTTGAAATATTTTAGGCCCATGATAATATGGATATAAAAGTACCGTTAACCAAAATAGTAAAATGTTTGTATTGTTTTTATTTTTTTGAAATAGTGTCATTGGATTTTGGTTTGGAAAGCGTTCACACGAAAATTAATTTCTTATAACTTTAACTTTTTAATTAGCTACTGACAAACTTTGAAAAGTACTTGTATTTAATAAAATATTGATACGATTAAGCAAGGAGCATGTCGACAATTTTCATAACTCGTTAATTCGGGTGAATACAGACACGGTTAGTTTAAGTTAAATGTAATTCGTTCTCAACCTACATTAAGCCAAAAGTTTATTCCTCAAACTAGTTAATTAAGTTAATTTTAACTGATTTAAAAATTAAATTCCAAATTTTTGCTGGAAATCAAAATACCTTAATAGAAGATGTTACATAAAGTATATGATATAATAGCTACATGAGATAAAATTAAATGATAACATTTGGCATTAAAAGTCAAATTAATATAGACTAAAACTTCAATAAATCAACTTATTGCACCAATCGCTGTATACATAAAAACAGAAAATACTACTCGGACTTTTATTAAAATTGGAAATTTATTAAATAATATATTTATTATTGACCGTGTTATCAACCCTACGTTTAAGAAAAACTGTGTTATTTATGTAGATGATTATATTATGCATAAAGGTTTACCTGTAGTTGCGTGGTAGCCGACGACGATGAGTAGTGTACACACCGGAATAAAGAAATGATCGCCATTTTTCATTAATAACATTTTAATTCAATAAAAATACCTAAAACTTATTCTATAATTTCTTGTAGGAACAATACAGCTATTTTTTTTCTTAAGCAGAATAGTTCATATTGTAAATAATGATGTGTTCTTTAAAAACGTTCGCACAAGAGCGCAGAGAATGACATCGAATGATGTCGATACGGGACTATGATAATAATAAGAATATAATATCACGGTCACCCAGCTGATTATAGAAACCGGTTTGCTTTAATAACTGAGATTTTAGTGGAAATGACTAAACCCGATGGTCACCCAAACGGGAGTATACAGGGTGATTCAATTGTACAATAGTAAGCTAAATATTTCAGCCGTATGGACTACTATTGAAATGGGGGTTTTTTTTTTTTTACGGAAAATCTAGGGTTTTGAACCTGTTTTAAACTTTTAAAACCCGTGTAATTTATATTTTTTAAAAATATGTATTTAACCAGATTCGAATAAGCATATTATTTTCAAGCAACTTTAATCAATACGATTTGTTCAACCTCAAAACGATTCTCGAGGCCCTGTGGTACAACCGTGTAAATAGCATTAGAAATTATGATTTTTCGAAAAATGTAAAACTCATAACTTTAAAAGTCGATCTAAAACTATTCTTGTAAAACCATGAACAAAATAAAGGCAATTAATTATTAATCAAATATTATGCATTTTAATTTTTTTGAAAAATCGAACAATAAATTTTTCAATAAACTCTAGATGACTGTATCTCAGAAATATTTCGAGTCAGAAAAAATTGTCAACGATGCTTGTATTTAATTAGACTATTTGAATCAGGCATTATAAATAAGTATTTCCATTTAAGAAAATGTACACTTTTTACTACGTATGCGCGCACTGCAAGAGTTAAAATTTTGAAAGATGCTCAAAACGTAAAGTAAAAGAGGACGGTCATACTTCGCACGTGGGTGCAGCCACTGTTTTAGGTAGGAATTTGGCAGGATAGGCAACAGATGGAAATTTAATGAATATCTGTAAGCAACGATAAACCAGTGTTAACGAAAAAACGATTCTGAGCCGAGTTCAGATGATAGTGTTGCTTTGTTAACAATACAATATATGGTATGTATCATAATTTGGTAAAATAATTAAATCGATGAGCATTTCCATGAAAACAATTATTATTTAAAAAATATTTAAACAATAAAAACTTAATAATAACAAAAAATAAATAAAAACGGTTGCTAATAACAACCTTATTTTTAATTTTTCAATCTTTTGTAACCTAAAGACCAAGGTTTTCTTCGTTATCTCGAATATTAATGAGAATTTCAAGAAATGATCATTCTAAAGTATTACCCAGTGAACATTTACTTTCAGAAAATTTACTATACTTAATAATCAGAGTATGCTTTCCGGTAGAAAAAGTGTTCACACAAAAAAAAAAAAATAAATAAATAAATAAACGTCATTGTAAAACCAGTCTACCCGAAATCTAAAAAAAAAAAAAAAAAAACAACTCATTTCAATTTGAATTCATCCAGATGAAATATTACATACTATCATTTTGATGAATCACGCTGTACATAATGTAAAAATAATGTAATTACCGGTTGTTTATATTAATAAATTAACATTTTTTTGTTTCTTTACCCGACGGCTGTATGAACAATATACTATATTTCATTATTTTTTTCTCCGAATTGGTCAATAATAAGTTTGGATTTCGATGTACATTAATTATGTCCGTTTTATTTAAAAAAAATAAATGTTTTAAAAACGTATTCAAATAATAATATTTCTTCGGATCTAATAGGTCTAATAGGATTTATTCCTATTATTCCAATTATCAGTTGATAAATGATTTTTATAATATCGTACTTTGATTGTTTTATTATTGTTTTATATAGGTATATTAAATATTTAAATATTTGTATAATATAATATTACTGATACTGATATTGTACTGACACTAGTAGGAGAAAGATAAATATAATAATATTTGTTTCATTGTTTTTACCCTGATAGACCAATAGCAGTGACCAAACATACATGTATAATAAAAAAAAAAAAAAAAATACACGGATACACCGTATGTAAATTGCATAATTGAAATGCCTCATAATGCCTTTATAATATTGTTATTATCGACATTTTATAATATGAAAACAAAGTAAACCTAATCATCTAATTATCTAATCATCTTATTCGACCTACGATTTAATATAATTAACGAAACGAGTTAAAAATTTAGTCAAAGCAACTTCTTATTACTTCATAGTATTTCATCATATTTTTATTTTGAAAAAAATCAACCAATTATCTAATTACATCAAATCAACCAATTACATTTAATTATGATCACGGTTGTTAAATTGTTGGCTATAACTTACTAAAGTTGTTGAAATAACTTAAAAAAAAATTTAGTTATCGAACGGAGAAAAAATTCAATTCAAGTATTGTCATTTATTTCAGATGGAATATGGAATATATCATATTTTATGTTTGTTCGTCATATCATTTTATATTTTATTACCTATAGCTACTGTAAATTTAATACAGGTAAATATCAATAAAATTGTATTAGCATTTTAAAATATACAATCGTACGTACAAAATATACAGTTTCCTCGGTTTGATAGGTTTGGTATTTTTGCGTATATATATATATAACCATTATAGCATTCTATATAAATGATAAATAAGCAATAAACATATAGTGCTTTTTCATACTATGTAGCGAATATTTTACATAATATTATGCGGTTGCGGGGGAAAAAAAAATAGTATGCAAATTTGGTTTCGTTTTTGCAAATAATACAGCTCACCGAATGAGATTAGAATAATATGAAAACACAATAATGTGTAACAGAGATTCAGAGGAAAACTGTTTCCATTGTGTTCGCGAGGATGACGATTTTCTGTTTTATTTGTGTAGCATTTCCATTGATTGAATTTCGTATTTATGATAATATTAATATTCGTGTCGGACAAGTCGTTAAAAATAACGACAATAAGTACCTAATTAGAGTAGGTTTGTACGTTTCCCCGAGAAGACGATAAGTATAATACTCAAAGGCGTTTTCGGGATTTTTTTCTAGGGGGTGGGGGGAAATATGAAAATTCATTGAAACTTGAGTCGTGGTGGCTAAGTTCTTTAAGGCTTTTCTTACACCCTCTTATAATATAAAAACAACATAGGTACACTAAATTATAACATATTACATTTTTGATTAAAATATTGAATTTACAAAATGATGTCAATTTTTTTTGATTTTTGAGCCAGTACATTAAGAACGTCTTCGGAATCAATTGGAATTTCTTTATAAACGTTCGATAATGTTAATCCATTAAGACATTTCTAAAAATTATTTACTAAATAGTTCACAAAAATCGATTGACAACAACAACAAAAGTCCGGGAAATCATTTTCATCATCGTTCGATAATAGTATCATGAATCATAAGATTAACTATATTATTAATATAAATCATATTTGAATCAGCTGATTATAAAACCAGAACCGCGATAAATTAATAATCTATGGCCACAGAGATATAAAATACAAACACGATCTGTAACCGAGCGTGGTCTGTATACGAATACTGTGGAAAATCATAACGAGTCAAAAAAAAATGTTTAATGATTATATTTATTAATTTGATTATTATCACTAAATATCAGTTAAACAAGAAACTCCATACTATCTAAAAAAAAAAAGGTTATGGGGTTGGGGATACATTCCCAATGTCTCTCTCCGTGAGAACGTCCATGATATTATGGGCAATTTAGTTTATGAAAAATGTTCCGATATTCGTTAGTGTATTTTATAGTGAGAATGGACCAGTAATGATTTATTTTTTCCGGAATTCCTCTTTTGCGTTAAATTGTCTTGCTCATCATTTTATCTTCAACCCTAGCAGTACAGCACACATCGAATTTATTATGCATTTTTTTTAAGTAAATAAGTGAGTGAGTTAGAATAGAGTTCACGATCATAATAATATATCTATAAAATTATAAGTAGTAATCGATTTAAATCGAACAAATTAACGCATACCATTTTACATTTTTCTAATGATAAATTCTATTGATAATAATTGATATACTTATAAATAATACGTTTTGAATAATTTCGGGCGTTAAAATACATTGGTGGCACATTGCGTATAACAATACTGCAGTTAAATTTTAAATACATTTGGTCTAAATGTTATAGCATGCCCTTAAAAAAAAAAAATATCTGTACAGCATCACACTCAAATTGTAGTTTAAATGACTGACGGAAAAAAAAAAATCAATAGCTCAATTCAATTATGAGTTTAGTGCAAGCGTATTTAATATAATGTGATTTGTTTGTGTACAAATGCAAAGTTCATAGTGTGCATATAAAATATACGGACTGTTTATTATATATTTGTGACGCATATATTATACGTTATAATAATAATAAAACTAAACCGATTAACGGAAGTGTCAGGTTTTTTCGCATTTGATTTATCGATATGTAAAAAATGTGTACATATAAATGTACACGAAAAATAAATTAAAGTCATCATTAGGCTAGTATTTATTTTCCTAAACTAATAATCATTAATGCTTTACCCAATTTTTTATTAGAGGGAAAATCAATTTCTGGAAGTGGACTTTTACTAATAATATTTATTTAAATGTTGTATTTATTTAGTCACGATTGGAATTATCGCCGTAGAATATTTGTTGTTTAATTAAAATTTCCTTAGGTTATTTAATTTTCAATTTGTTTTTAAAAAAATGCGTAGGTATACATAAATGCAGGTAGCAGAGAGCCGTTAGCAAATTAGCTTATAGCGTTTGTTACGAAGGTTTAAATTGTCGTATTTTTTTAGTAGAAATTAATTTAATAATGCAAATATAAATACAAATTATTATTATAAAATATCATCGCAACATTTACCTGTCTCTATATTTTTAACAGGCGTAAAAATTAGGTATGTGTTTTTTTAGTTTCAATAAAGGTACTCTGACTCCAATAGATTTAAAATAAAATTTAAATCATATAAAAGGCAATAGCATTTACTAAAACGATTAAAAGAAAAACAGACAGACATACTTCGCAGGATGTATGGGCCACTGTTGTAAATTTTAGATATATCTAAGGTAAACTCGAATTGTATTGTACGTGTACAGCAGAGCAGCAGAGTAAAGTTTAAAAGAAAA